ATTAGGAGAAACATTAACAATTAAGTTAATTATTAGAATCTACGAAACTAAAAGTAGATTAAATTAAAGAAAGGTTGTTTATAAGAGACCCTAACTAAACAAATTTAGAAGCTACAATGCAATTTATTTAAGATTTAAAATAAGCATTATTAACAATAAGCAAAAACATGAATATATCCTACATCGAGGCTTGGATAATCCAATCATATGATAAATATTATTATGGTTTTAAGGATTTCCTATAGCCAATTTATGAGTCATTAATGTTTATCTAATATCCAGTTGAACCAACAGCACAACTTTCTAATAGTGGATTCAAATATTAATTAAGAAGTTTGAAGGGTTAAGGTTTTATTACATTTTCTGATTAAAAACTCATTAGTTAAGAAGAGAGGGATGTCTTTAAAATGGATGATGCTAAATTGTATATTCTGTTAAGTAGAAAGATTAAAGGGCTAGTTGTTGAATAATATAATGATAATACTGTAGAAAATGAATAAAAACAATTAGAATTATAATTAAAGAAGGAGTTGAACCAATATAGAGAAGAATTAGAATATGTTGGAAAAGTAACAACTGATGAATTAAAACATAATGTAAGAGAGGAATTAAGTCAACTAGATATTCTAAGCAAGGAATTCTTAGATTACATTTTAGAATAAGAATCTTAAAACAAAAATCCATTAATTATAACTAAGATGTTTGGTAGATTTATTTAGCCAACTTTGTCTATTTCTGATGACTTGCACGTTGATGCCTTTTTATATAAATTGCAATTTAATAAATTACAAAATGTGTATAAATAGACTGATTAAGATGAAATAACTAAAGCAACTGATTTATTAATGAAGACTTTAATTAAAATAAAATAAATCTAAGAAGATGATTTATTTGCAGAGAATGAAGTAATCTAAAGTATGGGAGTATTCATAGTTCATTTGTTAAAGTAGTAAGCCTATTCAACCCCATTAATCAAATTGATAACTGGTATTGAATTGCTATTGGAAAAGATTGAATTATGGGATAAAACAGTTCCAAAAGAGTTTAAAATCTATGGATATGATCTATAAAACATTGTTATTAAATGGAGAAAAATTGAAAGAGATGGATGGAAATATATTTTGGCAAATAAAATTTAAGAACTCTGGTGCGTAGAAAGCATTATACTATTTAAGTTATTAAGAGATTTATCTCATAATTCTCTTAAAACTTATTTGAATGAGTGTGACATAGGAGTTTTTGAAATAAGAATGATAATGCTAAGATAAATTTTACAATATTTAAATTTACAGTAGAGATAATTGATTTCGTAACATATTGAATAAAGCTCAATATTTGTAGAAACCTATAATTAATAATTAGGATCAACTGTGTAAGGTTATATAAAGGAAGTAGCTGAATATCGTAAATTAGTAAGTTGGGAGTCTAAAAACTATATAATTGTTCAATAAACATCTCACAAGATGCATGGAAAACTAATTAAAGTTTAAGGGAGATTCAGAGCTTATTTGAATGAGAAGATACAAAAAGTAGTTATCAAAACCCAATTACAAGATGAATTTACTGATTGTGTAGACGGATTCTTACTCAAATCTAAGCAGTTTTAATAAAAGCCTTAAATTAGCAGATCATTCAATTCCATGATTTAAAGTTTAATTGAGTAAAGTTTAGAAAGAGTGAAGAATTTGAAAGATTAAAAATCAAATTCTAAATTAGCTGCATTAAAGAACTTTTAAGAATATATTAGTACATTTTTGGGTCTAAAGTTGCACTAATCATATAAGGAAGATAATCACTTATTACAAAATGAAGCTCATCCATTAATCTCAAAAGCTTCATTTTATTATTATAAGGCGATTTCTGTAATGGAATAATCAGTTCTATAAATTGGTAAATTTGTTCCTCCTGAATATAATACTAAATCATTTTCTTTAATTCTAGATTACATAAGGAAATTAAATCATTAATTTAAATTAATAAGACCATTAATTAAGACCGATAATGAGTCTATTTCAAAGAATGTATAAGTAGTTCCATAAGATTATCTTAATTGTTTCAAAGATACTGATATTTATGACTAATTAATCACATTTAATAAAAATTAAGATGAATAATCCTTGTTGAAATTACTTGCTTAAATTGAATCAAAGTTTCATAACTATTCTGATAAATATGAAAATTCCTATCATATACTCAAACAACTTCATGAATACCTAACATAAATTAAGATTAATGATTTAAAGTATAATATAGAGAATGAAGAAAAGTAACAATTAAATTAGGAGAAGATATAGATAGTTTATATCAAATATATGAAAAATCTTGAATAAGAAGAAAATCTATTGGCAGGCGAGATTAAAATATTAAATTCATTTAATAAACATGGAATCGATTAATCTAAATTAAATTTGGTAATCAAAAATTTAGAGTATAGTTGTAAGTTTTTATATTTTATGACCAGTATATTATGTAATATAATTGTTAAAGGATTTTGTTAGAAAGATGATGATTAAGATGAGAATGGAGAAGATAATCCAGAAAACTTTTAAGCAGGAACAGGAATTGGAGAAGGAAAAGGAGAGTAAAATGTTACTAAAGAAATCGAATATGAGGAATAATTATTAGGAGAACAAAAATAATAATAGTAATAATAGCCTGAAGAAGAAGAACAAGAGAAAGAGAAAGAAAAAGATAAAAAAGAAGATGCCTTTGATATGAAAAATGATTTTGATGGATAAAATTAAGAGTAAAGTAAAGATGAAGAAAATGAAGAATAAGAAGAAGAATAGGAAAAGAATTCAATGGATGAAGGATTCTCATCTGTAAATGAGGACAATGAAGATATGAAATAATATTAGGGAAATGAAGAAGAAGAAGAAAACGAAGATGAATCTAAGTCAAATAGGAAGAAATCAGACATTGAATTTAATGCTGATGAAGAAAAAGATGATAAAAAAATACAAGCTAAAGAAGAAAGAGAGCAAAAATAAAATAATTAAAAGAGAAATATGAAAGATTTAAATGAAGATAGTCATGATATAGATAGTTAGATGGAAGAAGAAGAACAAGATGGGGATGAAGAAAATGAAGAATCAATTGAATAATCAGGAGAAGATCTTAAAGATTATGCAGGAAAAGGAGGAGAATAATTGGAATCTATGGATGAAGAAGATGTTGAAGAACTAGATAACAACAAATCATAAAATTAAGATCAAGAAAATATAAGTATGAATGAAGAAGAAAATCCTAATCCGGAGGAAATGCCAATAGAAGAGGAAGTTAAATTTGATGAACCAAATATGGAGTAGGAGGCTGAGAAATAAGATATAAATGAAGATATTATGTAAAAATAGGCTGAAGAATTGGAAAAATAAGATATGGATAACATAGAATAAGAATAAGATCAAAATTAAAATTAATTATTTAAAAATTAAGAAGATATTGAAAATTAATTAAATGAATAAGCATAAGATTAGGGTTAATAAGGAGAAGAAGGAACCTAAGATAAAGATGAGAAAGATAAAAAAGAAAAAGAATAAGATAATAAGAACAAGAAATAAAGAGAGTCAGGAGATGATGGAGGTGATTCTAAAGTAGAGATGATCAAAAAGCTATTTGATGCAATGGAACAACATTTAACAAAAGAAGATATGGATAATTTCAAAAAGGATCTAAATGTCCATGATAGTGAATAAGAAGATATTGATAATGAAGAAGCACTTTAGGATAATGATTACAAAGTTTCAAAAGATTAAGTTCAACATAAAAGAGAGAATACAACAAATTTACCAACTAAATTTTAATAAAACGAAGCTTAGGAAGTGAAAAGAGAAGGAGAAGAAAACAAAGAAAAGGGCCAGGGCAAAAACATGGATGAAGAAAAAGAAGAAAAGAAAGATTAAGAAAAGGAAAACTAAGAAAATCAAAATATGAATTAAAGTAACAAAGAATTCATCATACCACAACCTATTGAAATTGAAAATAAAAGTTTGAGTGATATCCCAATAGAAGAATACATCAAGTAATATTTTAGATTGGGATATGATGTAAATGCAGATATTAACATTTAAAAGGGATTAGAAATGTGGCCTAAACTGTAATAAGAAGTTCTTGAAAGCTCAATACATCTTTGTGAAGAACTTAAGTCTATTTTAATTGCTACTTAAGTTTCTGCTCTAAAAGGAGATTATAAAACAGGAAAACGATTAAATATGAAGAAAATAATACCATATATAGCAAGTAATTATAGAAAAGATAAAATATGGTTAAGGAGAACATAACCATAAAAAAGAACCTTCTAAATACTCTTAGCTTTAGATGATTCATTAAGTATGAGTGAGAATTAAGTTGGATATTTATCTCTTTAATCTTTGACCTCATTATCACTAGCTTTATCTAAAATGGAAGCAGGGTAAATAGGAATAGCCAGTATTCATGAAGGAATGAGATTGCTACATGATTTTAATAAACCTTTTACTTAATTAGATTGTCCATTCATCTTAGGTTAATTTAATTTTGAATTTGAATCAAAATAGAGCAGTGAATTATCTCTAATGAGGTTTATGAGAGAATCCATCGATAAATTCAAAAATATCAGAGTTTCTAACACATAATAAATTTGCTTTATTATGTCAGATGGTAAATTCAACAAGAAGATGGTGAGACCTTTAGTGAGAGAAGCAGAAGAACTCTAAATATTTTATGTGTTTATAATTCTGGATAGAGAAGGTATAAAATTGATTTAATTTAGATTAATCAATAACAAATATCAAGTCCACTCATTATGTAACAGTTAATGAGAAGTAAAAGATTGAAATAAGAAACTATTTAGAGGATTTCCCATTCAGATATTATATTATAATAAAAGTAAATTATTTTAAATAATTTAGTCTCCACATGAATTGAATCATGTACTTGTAAATATTCTTAGATAATACTACCAATTATTAGAATGAGTGTATTGTTGTGATTGTATATAAATACATTTATATAAACATGAATCAAAAGGTAATTAATTTTTTTGATTTTCTTGCAGGTTATTCCTTTCTTCTATTTTTTTTGATTTATTTATTTTTTGTTAAAGGTATGATCTCTTCCATAGCTCTGGCTTTATTTTCTCTTCTGACTTCTCTTTTGGATTTGACTCTGACTCCTTCCATTGCATTAATCAAATCATCTGCTTCATCATGTTGAACTTATTCATGTTATGGTTAATCATTCATTTCAATTTCTTCATCAACTTCAGGTTCTGGCTTGAAAACTACTTCCTGAACTGGCTTTCTTCTTGCTCCAACAAATTAAGTGGCTGTGTAGGGTAGAGATTAACTTCTAAAATCAACAATAGGTTAAGGTTTATATTTAGGAATTTAAGCAGATGGGTCATTTGGATGTAGAAACATATTTTTGGGTTGAGTAGGTCTTTGAAATTTCTAAAGAAAATTAAAACAATCAAATTTACATTTTGTATGGTAGCCTCTAATTTTTAATTTAATTCATTAAGATCTTAATTGACTTTAACATTTTGGAGATGCTCTCTTTTGAGTGATCTCCATCTACGCATAACCTTAGATCTTTATGATTTTGCCATGAATTAAAAATTTTATAATTATTTTATAATGCACTATGATATATTTTCAATCGAATAATTTGGCCAAAAATCCTTTATCCTATTTCTATTATTGTTAGTTAGCGACTGGCTATTGTTATTATGGCTTTTGTTATTGCGGTTGTTATTACTATTGCTAATTTAATAACATAATTTACTAAGGTTGGTGGGACTTGACTAACTTATTGTTACTACGGTAGTTGACTAATCTAAGGAGGTTGAGTAGGTGCCTGATGTCCTTGTTAGGCAATTAATTATTGTCCTTATGGTTGATAACCATAGACTAGAGGCTATGTTTAGGCAACAGGAGCTCCCACTCGAGTTTGGGATGCTTGATAAAGAACTGGGGTTTAGGGATAAGCTGTAGTTATTTGAGCAGGAGCTTATACAATTTGAGAAGCTTATCTAACTCTTGGACTTGATGTTTAATAGACTGGGACTGGTATCGTATTTTAAACAGATAGAGGTTGCTAAATATATTAGGTAGTGATTGGCTATTGATATGTAGTATATTGGGTTTAAGGAACATTCTAAATGATTTATTTTTAGACAACTGGTTAAGTTACTTATGTGACTACAGGCTATTAGACAGTTTAGACAATAGGAGTGGCTGTTTAGTATGTTTGAGTTGTCACAACTGGTTAAAATTATGTTTACTGTACTTGTTGTACAGAGTTCTATTTTATTATAGAAATAGATTACTTAAAACATATTTTATCTTGTAACTGTTTAGTATTCAACTCTTTCAGCGACCTTTTCTACTGGTACGTATTCAATCACTTTTTCTTAGATTACTTAAGGAATATATTCAGTTTCATATTAAATAGCTTAATATTCAGTAATTTGTCTTGTTACAGGCACCTGAATTTATCTTCGTACTTCCTCATATTCCATTATAGTCTTTTCATAAGGAATGTACTCAATTCTTGACTCTCCTTTAACAGCTTATCCAGTCTAAATTAAAACGATTATATACGGAGACTATGTTAGAACTTATTGCAGATGCACCTAAAACTGGTTGATTAACTAAAACTCCACCTCCTTAATAGAATCCACTTTAACTCAAGTTCTAATTTGTTACTATTTATTATTAGTTAATTGAATTTCCCAACATAATTGGTCTAACGAATTGAGGCTAACCTGCTAAAGTTTGAGGCGCTCCATAAAGAGCAGGTTATTAAACAATTGCTTATGGTTAATACTCAGCCATTTCCTTTTAATAAATTTTATTTTAATTCCTTTAAATCCCATCTATTTTAATTAAAATAAAAAAAGTTATTAAAAAATGAAAAAACAATTTCAAATCATTTAAAAAAGAGCCAAACCTTATTAATCAGACTGAGAGTATTCTTCTTTTCAAAATTATTATACTTGTCAATTGAGTACTGCTAAATTCTGTTTGGACAATATTATCATATAAAAGTCTCTCTTAATAATTCTATACAATAGAATTTTTTGAATTCCTATTTAGGGTTGACCTAATATTAAAAGGTATATTATTGATTTAATATTTACATTTTGTTTATTATGATATTTTGTCTAATGGTGGAGTTTTTTTTTTACAAATGATGAGAGAATGAGAATTATTGTAAATTTCTATTCAATCTCTTCCTTAGATAAAAGTTGCCAGAAGCATATTTCCAATTATTGATGAAAATCAACCTAAAAACAATAATAACTATATTTGGGTTCATCCAAATGAAATTTTTAACGAAGAAAAAAAGACAAATTAATTTTTATATAATATTTTAAAACAAATATTTATTTACAATTGCAATTTAAAATTAAATTTATTACTCAAGTTGTAATTTTATATAAAACTTACGATTCTAATTATTTTAAAGCATTTTTTTTGTTGTTTAATTAATTCTATTGAGGTGTTAATAATGGATATAGAGTATTTCTCTCAGCCTCATCTAGATCTAATAATAATCAAAATAATTGGATTCTAGTTGTCATAAAGTTTATTTCATTGGAATAATTAATTTTTATGGATGTAGTTATAATATATTTTAAATTTATGGGAAATTCTAATAAAAAATCTGAGTATGGAGACATTGCAATCCGAACAGAAAAACCATTTTATTTTGCAGGCGACTTGGTTAGAGGTGAATAATAAATGTAGTTCTAGGTAATATCTTTTTGAACATTTGCAAATCAGGTTATCAAGGAAATATCATTGAATTTACAGTTCAAGGGAAAGAGAAGACTGAGTGGGAAGAGGGAAGTGGTGATGAACAAAGAACTTATAAAGGGAAAAATAAATTCTATTCCTAATCAGTTCCTATATACACATTTTCAAATCAGATAGCGTAAATTGGATAGTACGTATTTCCTTTCCAATTTTAATTGCATCCAAATCTTCCTGGTTCATTTCACCATAAAAATCAATATGATTGTGGCTCTATATCATACAACGTGAAAGCAAAATTTACATCGACATAACCAAATAAACCAAGTATTCGAAATAAATAAGAATTCATGGTTAGAGAACCAATCAAGTAAAATGTAGTTGGATAAGAATAGGAAAGTACTACTAATCTAACTGAATGTTGTTGTAATAATAAAGGGGTATTTATGAAAAATCATTTTTAGAGTTCAAGACTCAAAAGTTTCTGTGATAAGAATCATTATCTACCAGGAGATACTGCCTAATTAACTATTGAGGTCGATAATTCAAATTGCTATTTGAATATTGACTATTTTGAAATAGAATTGCATTAAGTGTTGATATTAAAAGCAAATTACTCCACAACTAAATTAGCCCGAAAAATATTAACCTAAAGAATTCCAGGAATTCAGGCTCGATCTAAAAATGTTGGCTCTGAAAGCAGAAACGTTTCAATAACTCTTTTGAATTAAATAAGGCCTTAAATTGAATTAACTCCTACAACTAATGGCAAACTAGTGAATCAATAATATTATCTCAGGGTTAATCCAAAATTTGAAGGTAATTTTCAATTTATATTTATAGGCTGTATTTGTTGTTCACAAAAACCTGTTATAACTTTCTAGATAGTATTATTATATCGGATTCCTTCTGATTACATTTAACCTCTTCCATAACCGCCTGATTGGAATCCTTAGACATTTGAGCCGGTTTTGATTGACTTTGAGCATTAATATCAAATGAATATTGCAAATAATAATATGCAATAAAATGATCCTTTTATGAGCAAATATTGATTCAAGTTTAAAATGAAATAATTTGATATATCAAAATGTTTTATGTTCAATTTATTGTATTTTTCTACTCATCAGATGAAGACAAAACAAATTAACCTAAACACATAATCCAATTTAATTAAGATTCAAAGAATTAACGAACTAAAGTAGTAAAATCCAAAAGAGATACACACTTTAAAATTCAATTATTTATAATTTAAAAATTAAAACTTTTAGATTTTAATCCTTTACAGATATATTTTGACCAAAATCTCTACGAAAATTAAAGTACCATTTTTTTTGCTAAATACATTGATATAATTCAAAATACCTATAATGAATATAAGCTATATAATAATATTATAATGTCCTTAAAAATTAGTTGAAAATGATAATACTTTATGAATGTATATTATTTAATATATATATATTTATTTTTTTATTGAATTACTGTTTGTTTAGTAAAAATACCATTATGTACAATATAATTCAAAACTAGAAATTAATAATAACAATAATTAAATAAGAAATTAATAATATAAATGATATTTTGAATTATGATTAAGATCTATTATTTTAAGATGATTGATGGAAGAAATTTCGATTATTAAAAACTGGAGTTTTATATAAATTAGTATAATTTCAATCAAAATCTAAATCAATAGCTTCTTTTTAACTGTGTGTTTTTTTTTCTATTTCGCTACCTTTAAAGATTAAGAATTATTTTTCGATATCTTCATTTCTATCTTCATAATCTAGAAATTATATTTTTCAGAGCATTTTTCTCTACAAAAGTTACATCTATTGAGCATTATTCCATTTTTAATATCAAATGACTAATTACAATTTACACATTAAGCCTAATCTTAATAGAATTATTACATGGTACAAATTTTTATAATTTTTATAGCAATCTAAATTACAAAATTCATTGCATTGGACTTTAATTAAGTCTTTAATTAATAATTTAAAACAATTCCAACAAGCTACCTTTTATATTCTCAGAAGTTATGCATTTTATTCATCATATGGCTTTTATTTTGAGATAGACATGGCGATTATATTATTATCAAAATTGTTTTAATCGGAGTATGTTTATATACTAATATTTGTATTTTCTCCAATATGATTCTAATGCATATAATTAGAAATCTCTTCTAATTAATTCAAGATAAAGGATTAGCGAAAAATAATTTAATTTGTTAATCCTCTTCTTAGTTGTTGTTTTATTGAAAAGTTACTTTTTTAACAATATTTTGATCTTCATTTCTAAGGCTTGATTTTTGCATAAATTTAGTGAAACTCAAGTCAATAGATGGTTCTATGGTAATTGAATAAGAATACCTTCTAATTAATCATATTTAAGTTCATTTTATATGACAACTTAATTCACTTCTACTGATTATTTAAGCTCTCTAATTTTCTTTATTAATCTAATTTAGTGACCTAATGGTATTTCCATTGATTGTAATTATTCTTTTTGTATGTCAAAAAGGATATCTAATTCTTCAAATCCATTTTCTTTAAATTTTTCGACATATGTGTCTAATTTGATTGATTTCAAAAATGTTTCTATAGGCTCTGACTTACTAGAAGGTGGCCTATCCTTAAGTACTTAATTAATTGTGTATTTTACTTCGATTATTTGGAGTTGTATTGTTTTACCATCTTACACTTTCTATCTAATCTCCTGATTATTTGCTTATTTAAGATCTTTCCATCCTTTAAGAATTCAAATTTTACTTAAGTTTTTCTAACTTTTCTGCCTAAGAATATATTCTAATTGTACCATTTTTTTCGCTTCTTCTTGCATTTAAAGTGCAAAAGGATTGGTTGTTTTATTAGTTGATGAACCTCTATTTTTATCATAATATTATATTATGGATTTTGATTTCAACGAAGCTCAAAACTCTTTTCAGTTCCTCTAAGCGTAAAATAAGTTACCAATTAAGATGTCTCACAAACTTGAACTTCTTTTGGAGTGCATCAATAACTAAGAAATTGACACGTCTGTTTTCCATTCATTAGAACTAGAGGAGTGTCAGGGATTCATGAAGTTGAATAAGTAGGCCCAAAAAGAGATGTTTATGTCGATCATTAAGTAGTATGCATATGTAATTTTGACTTTATTTATCAAAGGCTAATATGATCCCATCTGCTATAGGAGAGATTAAAGGGATTATAGATGTTAGAACAAAAGTATTAAAAAGTTGGAAGTAAAAAGAGTTTAAGATAGACTCTAAATAAAGAACCTTTGAAATATTGAGAAAAAAGAACAGCAAAAAGAAACCTCGAATTATCTACCTCTAATATTATACTGTATAACCTTAGGAATTCAAAGATAAGCGCTATAGATTTGTTATTATTGCCAATTCTGAAGGTCATGGTTACTACAAAACATTGGTTTGTGGGTCTGACGATAAAGTGCTTTATGACAAAGTGATCCAGGCACTTAAAACGATATCGTAATTTAAGGATCATGTGATGAGAGGGAGCATCCTACTTGAATCAAATGATTTTAATTAACCAAGAGCATTTAACAATTAACAATCTTTCATTACAACTAGATAAGATATGAAATTAGTGACATAGTCAGAAATCATTCCACAAAAACAAAACATGAATATTAAAATCACAAAGCAAACAGTAGAATCAGATATAAGGCCAATTCAATAGTAATAATAGCAATATTAATAACAAACTCTTTCCTAGAATATCAAACAATAGCCAAATGCAAATGAATAAATTCTATAAAACGATTCCACAATCAAATAACAACAATATCCATAAAATTTATAATAATAATAGGTATAATAACCCGTAATATATAATTAATTAGAGCAGTAATAATAATAGCAATAACACTCGCAATAGTAATAGTAATAATAATAATATTAACAATAATAATAATAATCTTAATAATAATAATAATATTTATACTAATAATAATCATAAATATAAAAAAATTAAGAAGAATAATATAGATTATAATAAGATTAATTAATTTAGCAACAGAAAATTGATTAACAAAGATAATAGTATGAATAATAAAACTAATAATTACAATAATAAGAATAGTAATCAAAGATTTTGAAATAAGTACTGAGTCAGTAGGAAAATGAAATACCTTAACTTAAAAATGAACTAAAATATCCGTAAGTTTTTCAAATGTTATTCGAAGAGGGCAAATTTAATCCTGATTATTTTACTCAATCAAATAAATAATTCACTCAAGTTTATTCAAAAGATGGAGTATAAATATTGAAGGATTAAGGTAATTCACTTAGCTTTAGATCAACCTTAACTCTATATAATGTTGAAATTGATAAGGTATTTTAATGTTTGGCTGAAATTGATTTTGTGAAAAAATGGAATGCAGTCATCAATCCTAATGAAACAAAATTATTAAATCTGATGTAAAGCGAAAATTGTGGAATAATATATGAAAGACATAAGCCATATGGATTACTTTATTTGCCTAGAGATTTTGTGTATTTAAGGTATGTAACATACAGAGGAGATGACATTTTAATTGTAGACAAATCAATAGAAAATGAAGATGCGCCTCCCTATATGAAAGTGATTAGGGGAGAGATTAATTACTAGATAACAGAGATCGTTAACAATGACAATAATATTTTAGTCAGAATTGAGACAGAAATTACGAATGGTGGTTTATCATCTGTGAGTCAAGACTGTGCAATTACTTAATGGTATTTAAGTGAACTTTCCCATTTTCAACAATTTTTGAAGACATACTCTGCAGTTTAGGAGATAATACAATCTCCTCTTTTATAAATATTAAAAAGCACTAGACCAAATAAATAAAAAGAAATTATAGTAATAGATTAAGAGATATCCAGTATTCAATAATAATAAATTGTGTCTCCACAATCACTTTAATATACTTCTACAAATCAATAGTAAAGTATTATAGAACAATAATCAATGATTATTAAGGAAGTGAACTAACCTTTTCCGGTAACAACAGCGCATGACGAATAATTAAAATTTGAATAAGTTACTGAAAATCGTAGGATAACTTTAGATTAACTCCCAATAATAGCCACAGTACCAGAAACTGCTCCTTTAATAATTGACAATCAAAAAGAAATAAATGAGATTTAATAATACAATAAAGATATAGAAGATGCTGATTTAAGTAATTACACTCCAAGTGATTTCATTCAATAGACATTACCAGAGTTATCAGACAAAGAGATTGCTTAAGTTAAACAAATGATAAAAAATATTGAACAAGGTTTATGTGATTATACTTCAAATTGTATATTCCACAAATATATCCAAGAACCTTAAAAGGTCAAGGATGAATACATTACTTAGATAAATGGAGGACATTACTTTTTAAGATAGGACTGGAAAAGAGATATGAAACATGGGGGAATGATATTTTATAATTAAAAGAAAATAGAGGCTTAAAAGAGAGTTATCAAATTTATGTTAAAATCAATAGGTTCTAATCTGTTGTCTGGTAAATCAATATTAAATATATCATTACCTGTTGAAGTTTTTGAAAGCAGATCCAATTTAGAAAGGTTTTGTTATTCATTTACATTTGCTCCTTAGATCTTAGAAAAGGCCGCTAAAATCGATAATATTCACGAGCAAATGAAATATACGATAGCATTTGGATGCAGTATTTATTTATTTTAATTTAGGTTCAATTATTATGTATATGTCTTTGGAGAAACCATTCAATCCTATTTTGGGAGAAACTTATTAAGGCTTCATCAATGGATGCCCGGTTTATGCTGAGTAGGTGAGTCATCATCCCCCTATCAGTGCTTTTTAATTGAAAGGTAGAGGATATGATATAGACGGACACATTGAATCAGCAGCTAGTATGCATGCAAATAGTGTTACCGGAAAGAACATAGGATTTATTAGAGTCACCTACCACAATACGAAGTCAAAGCAAATCTTTATTTAATGTCCAGGAGTTTTAACAGGAACTGCTTTTGGAACCAGAGTATTTAATATAAATGGAAGGTCGTATACAATTGATTTGGTATCTAAAATTATGATTTTTAGGAAAATAATTTAATTGCTGATATGGCATTTAATCCTGGAAGCAAAAATGTATTCAATAAGAAAGACTTATTACAAGACTAATTTATTGGCTATTTATACAAAGTAAAGCCTGGAGTGTTGAATAAATATAAAAAGGAAGGATATGCAAAATATTCTGGAATTGATTTTGATAAGGATGTTGAATAAAGAGTATGACATTTTTATATATTAGTTTTTTTCAATAAATGGTATCTGGAATCAAATGGTTGAATTTGATGGGGTTAGATTGTTTGATACACTTGAGATGAATCCTCATGTAATGGTTAATCATCCATGTCCTTTGCCTTCAGACTCAAATTTCCGATTGGATATTCTGTATTGGAAATTGAGGGATTTTGATAATTCTTAGAGGACAAAGGAAATATATGAAGTGAAGCAAAGAAATGATAGAAAATGGAGAGAGAAACTTACAGGTAAGAAACATTGAGTTTTTGTATTGTATATTTTAATATAAAGTTTAATATATGGATAGATAAAAAGAATTATACCAAAAGGCTGTTTCCCTTATTAAATAAGAGAAATATAAAGAAGCATATGATGAATATTTGGATGTTTTGCTATTGAAAGATTGTAAATTCCAATTATTATGAATAGAAAAAAACATAGAGTACAATATGCTGAGTGGATTATGCTTTTAGAAGTAAAAGAATTTTAAGAAAGCAGAAGAATTTTATCTGTACACACTTGAAAAAAGACCTGAAGACCCAAAAATATTAAATGCTCTCTTTAAATTGAATAAGGATGATATTAAAAATAAAGAAAAAGCAATTGAATATGGCTCAAAGCTAATAACAATTTAGTAAAATTTTATGTAATGATTAGCAAAAAAACAGATATTGGAAAGGCAATGGAAGCAATAGTTGGATATTGTGAAATTTTACATGAAATGTAGGAGAGAAAAAAGTTGGATACTTATTTTCTGGAATTATTAAAACATGGTTCAGTGGAATAAGTTCTTAAGGTAGCAAAATTATATATTCCATTAATTATCGATCTTAAATTAATAGATGTGACTTAACCAAAATCATTTAACTCTATAATTTCCCAATTTTCACAAAAGATTTATAATTAAACCCAAAATTTTGAAATAATAGAAAACATTGCTAGAAAAGTAGTATCGAAATTCCCTGTGAACTATAGAGATATTATATTTGGATTAGCCATTTCTAAAGAGCATTATGTTGTATTGTTTGATTGGCTAGAATTGCTTCCTTCGAGTTGTTTCTTATTGGACTAAGTTTTGAGGTATTGTCACTGCTTTCTTGATTATAAAATCAAATTCTTGTTAGAATAGAGTATCATTTTATTGAATGATGCAAATGGAGAATCGACTTATCTAAACTATAAAATTTATGATGAAGAACAGTATAATAAAACTATATTGAAGGCATAATCCTTCTTAGCATTTATGAGGATCTATGCCTCTTAGATCGTCCAATAATGTGGAGATTAATTTTTATCAGCCATAGATAAATTATTATAATAAAACAATTTTGATATCATTGAAAAAAATAAGGATTATACAATTTTAGAATTGCCTCTAAAAGTTGCTTAATTATTTAAGAGTGGAAATAAAGAAAATACATAATTAGCAAATACTTTGATGGTTGATTTCAATAAGAAAATGAAATAATTAAAAAACTCTGATTTTGATGTTTCTGTGTTAGAAGAGGTAGGAGCTAATCTTGGATATGATATTTTAGCAGATCCAGTAGAATTAATGGAAATGAAAAATTTACTAAAGATAAGAATTAAAAATAAGGCATATTCACTTGAAACATATGAAAAATATTTTGATTATCAAATGAAACTAGTCTCCTTGATTAGACATTATGATGAAGAATTGTCTATGTAATTAATTTTTGAAAAGATACTATCTGACGATCCATAAAATCTCAAAGTTCAGATTAATTATGATTGGCTTAAGTTTTCAGAAAATAAAATCTCACAATCACAATTGATTGAAATATATTAAAAATATCTCCCTGCCCCACCAAAGATTGAACAAATCATTTACAAAAGAATAGGAACACTAAAATTAATAAATAATTAAATAAATGAAGCAAAAGCTTGTTTTGAAAAAATATAAGGTGATGATTACGAGGCCAGTTTGGCGCTTGGTATGATAGCATTCTATTAGAAATAATACTCAGAATCCTTAGAACATTTATATAGAGCTTTTAATTATTGTCAAACTAATTACCATTTAAATTAAATAATAATGTTTGTATTAAACAAATTAAAATAAAAAGATAAGGCTTTGGAATTTGCTATTAACATTTATAAGTTGTAACAATTTTAGAATGTCTATTGGTTAAGCTTTACAATAGGGTAGCACTTAATGTAGAATGTTTAATTTGGCAAAGCTCATGACATTTTATAGAAAGCAGCTGATCAATTTCATTTTAATGTAGAAAAAACTTATAAATTGTATTATGAGAAGAAATTTGATTAAGGAGATTTTTCGATTCCTTATTTTATTAATTAGAATGATAATTTATATTTATCTGATTATCCTGTTTTTTCTTCAAATTATTTAGTAAATTAAGGAATGATTGTTTTAACTGAATAATATTTTTAGGATGAAAAATATTTAAAATTATTTAAATTAGAGATGAAGTTAGCTGAATTAAAAAAAATATTAGGATTACAAGGTTCTGCCTTAAAGAGTTTGGAGAAAGCAGAAGAATTGCTATTAAGCGAAAACAATAACTAAATATCAGAATTAGATAATTATTTGACAATGAAATGTGATGAGACAACTAATAAAGGAAAATTAATTAAATTTACACAACAATTAAATTAAATATAAATTTAAAGCAGATGGGTTTGTACTCTTAGAGCCAAGAAAATAGGTTAATAATATTCTAAACTTTTGATTTTGCATAACTTTGAATGTGCTTAATTGTAATTATATGGATAATAGGAATACTTTAGTTAGGAAAGAATGATTTAAGGGTTATTAATGTCAATTCATAATTTTGATGATTAAGAAATTCAAATCTTGATCAAAAGTTATTTATGTTTTGTTTTTGAAATTGCTACATAACAAATAAAAAATCAACTAGTTTATGGAGCAGACGGAGTTTAATTATTAGCTTAGAAATACTTAAGCCTATTTGAATTGATTTCATCTCAATTACAGTTAAATGTTTATGCATGTGAATGTTTAAGAGAATTCTTTTATTTATTAGGAATATATCATGATGCCTAGTATTTTTCTCAGAGTCTAAAATACTCATAAATAGTTATAAAATTATTATGTCAAGTCGACATTGCAGATTAATTCGATTTATAAGAAACCTTTTAACATATGCGAAGTATTTTAAACGGATAAGATAAAAAGTAGCTGATTGTAAAAAATAATTTGCAATCTTTATTATTAACTCGTAGCAGACTTAATTTAGATACAATAAAATATTTAGAATTAAGTTTATCTTTATTTCCAAAATGCGATAGTTTGTATTGCATAGCTGCTTAAATTAGAAGAAATCCAGGGTTTATATTAAAAGCTCTGGAATGCAATTAGAAATGTCAAGCTGCCCTTTATCAATTAGGACTACTTTATATTGGTAGATAAAATTATGAATTTGCATTTTAAACACTGTAAAAATGTATTGAAGTTGAGCCAACAACATCAGCCTTTGCATATTTGGCATTATCAATAATTTTATTTATTTATCTTCAATAAAACTATAATATTGAGTTACCTGATTGCAACAAAGTAAAACAATTGGATTCATTAAATTTTTACTAAAATTAATTGACATAAGCAATATCTTCATATTTAGATTACGTATCCACACTTCAGAATACTCCTATTTAAAACATTTTAAGTATTATATATAGAAACTTATATTTGGGATACACAATTACAAGTGAAGCCATTCTTCATGACTAGAAATTTAAGCAGTTACTTAAATAATTCCCACCTGAATATACTAGCATTCTGTACTGTGAAATTCCTTACATCTAGAATTCAACAGAATTGGAAAATATTTATAATAAGTATACTAGTATAGTGTAAATAAAAGAAGAAATAAAATTAGTTATTACATAAATGAATCAGTATGAAAACATAAATAACAATCAAGTTTAATGGGCAGCAAAACTAAAATATTTGATTCACTTATTAACATTAAGCATTGATAAAGTATCAAATTTATAAGATTTAATTGGAGTTACAAATAACGTATTTGATATGTTGGTTAAGAATATTATTCAATTAAGATAAGCAACAAACATTTTTAACTTTGATGTTTTATTTATGAGTTTTGTCAACAAATGGTATCATTATACAAGAACTATTTATTTAAAGGATAATTCTCATAAAGATTATTATCTGTTTGTTGCTAAATTTTAGTAATAATGTCTAAAATTGAAAGAACTCAACGAAGCTCAATTGATAAATTATATTGATTAATTAATGGATAAAAATACGAAAATTACAGAAGAATTAAAACATAAGTTATAATTTATGGAATTGATTTATTAAGGAAATTGGTAAGAGGCAATTACTCATTTATAATTGTGTATATTTCATAATCCTTTGAAAAGAGTTTATAGAGATATTCTTAATAAAATTCATATGACATTTTACGAATAGAAATATGTTCAATAAGATATATTAGATTTTAGAAAAACTAATTAGGCTTCTCTTTGGTTGAATACTATCATTAATGAATTGGTACTAGAGAGATCTAGAAATATATCCAGATTGCCTTTGATGCTAAAAATAATTAAATTTAAGATTTTACCTTATGCTGATAATTTAATTGCAAAACTCTTAGTTAAAGTATTATGTGATATTGAATAATAAATATCAACAGAGGGATTATTGGATTAAATCGCTAAGAAATTCAATATAGATAAAGAGAAATATTGGATTAAAGCATTGATTTAAAAACAGTTAAATGAAAAATAAAATGTTAACCAACTTATATTAAAATATAGAGATGTATATCTGGAACAATTTGAAGATTAAATTTAATGGAAAAAGACTGCTTTATTTTTTATAGTATATATTAATTTTATCACTAGCCAATTTTAACATAATTGTACTTTGATAGAGGTTCGTAAGGTATGGAAACAATACTATAATAAATTATGCAAAATTATTGTCTGTATGCACAGCAATTTTTACCAAAGGATGATAAACTAAAGAAGGCTAGGTTTATATACAATATGCTACATTATGGTTGCTACATAAAAAAATTAGATGATATTGAATCTATAGGTGTTACATTGACTAATTTAAAAGAAATAGCAGATGAAGTACTTATTAAAATTACTCTTTTAGTTTGCTAATTAAGGGACCTATAATCCAACTAGTTTATCAGTATATTTGCATTATCTAGTGGCAACTGAAAAATATTAGGAATTAGATAAATGGCTAGAAATTACTAATCAATATATTTATAATAATGATCCAATAATTACTTGGGGTTAAATTATAAGGTCATATCATTAAGTTGAAGAAAAGAAAGACATTAATACTCTAAAGAAATTCATTACTTTGGTACAATAATAATCAATTCAAAATCCTAAATTATAATCCTAAATGCATTATTTGATTGGACAAGCAATGATGAATGTTAATGATTGGTAATAGAAGTATTCCAAAGAGGAAGTTTTAAAAAAGTTTTAATTAGCTTTATTGTTGAATCCTAACAGAGAAATAATTAAATAATTATAACCTCTTTAGACAGTTAGATAAATCAAATAAAAGGTCAAGCTTAGATTGGAATATTTTGAAGATGTATAGCAGCCAAAAAGAAAGTTGAAGAAAAAGGTTCTAGAAGGTCTTAATAGTGATTCAGATGAAGCATTAGTTGATCAAATGGATTATGAAGAAGATTAAAAAGAATTTCAATAAGAGCATGGCATGACCCTTGAAGAACATTAATAAATAACTGAAAGTGTTATAATTGAATAATAAAAAGCATTAGCAGAATATAATTAGTAAGTAGAGAGTTATAACGAATAATTAATGTATATTTATGAATAATAATAATATCTTGATTCTTTGGGTTAAGAAGAATAATAAAGATTAATCGAATATTATACATAGAATTATACCTAATTATCATATGAGTAGCAATGTTAGTATATGATATTGTAGGGATATCAAAATGAATAAATTGTGGAATATTTTTACCATTAATAATAATAATCATAAGAATCAGAATAGTAGTAAGAATAATAAAAATAATAATAATGAGATGGGCTTTTGTTTAAATATAAATTAGTATAATTTTTTTATATAATTAATTATAATGTGTATATTTTTGGCTTCTTGAGTGCTATTATTGATTATAAAATCTATATCTCAAAGTCTTCAAGCATTGATTCTTATATAAAAATAAATGAACTTGCAAAATATTTAGTTTGTTTCAAAGCACATTTTACTTTCTTTTCAGTTGAAATCTTTATAATTTTCAAAATAGATTTGAATAGATATCTTTGCATACTTAAACAAAATAATGTTTAAGAGATTTGATTATAAATAAAATATTTAGAAGTTGAACATGTATAATTTTAAAGCATTTAAATAACATTCCTTTATTATGTTAAGGTCAATTATAAAGATTGCATCTGGATAATATTTATTTATGAATAATCTCATATTGTTGTTTCCAAAGTTATTCCAAGAGGAACTGGAAGAATTCCACATTTAGCTGGGCATGTTCCATCAATTGGTACTACGGTTGCTAAGGTCCATGAGAATCTATAAATTGAATAGATTTTAATTCTACGTATTATTGAATTTTCCTTTAGCAGAAAGACCAACGGTTTTATTAAGAACATTTAATCTTGCCTTAACATCAGCTCCTTAGAATTTGGTCGAAGCAGCCAATAAGATTGAGACACTGCTGACTGGGATATATTCAATTTCAAATCCATATTGATTGGAGTTCTTTCTGATAATAGCATCAACTAGAAATTTTCCAAATCCAAAATTGCTAAATAATGGGAAGGATGGCTTTGGGTTGGTTAAATGTCTAAAGTAAACATCGTATTTTTAGGTTTAATATCCAACCAAAAAGTCCAACTTATCGAATTCCTATTTGCTAAGACACACTTATGAAGCAATAACATAAACCCAATTGTTATGTTTGACTTATGATCTCAGTAAGAAATTGACTTTATCTTAGTTTAACCATTCAAATCCTAAAAATTGATATAAATGATAGTACTTGCATGACTTAAGCATTTTTATCCTTCATAGACTGATCCAAATCTAATGGTTGATTTTGATGAACTATTATAGAATTACACATTGGCAAATAAATTTTATTGTTTGACGATATTAAATTTGCCAAAATCAACATGAACCTTAGTTTATTCTTTTCTTGTGGCAAACCAGAAATAATAATTGTTATATGGGAATTAAAACTTTGTTTCTTATCCTGGTGCCAAAGATTTAGCAATATCTAATGTGCCTTTGTAATTTGCAATTCCGCCACCATTTGCTGAAGCCTTGACTTTCAAAGTAGCTTTTCCTGTTGAGAAATCATCTTCAATAAGCTTTTTAGCAGTGAAATCACCCAAAGATTACAATGGGGCTGGTGACAAGGACTGAGGGGTAGCCATAAATATTAATTAATATCTTTTTTAATTCTTTTCTTTTGTATTAATTGGATATGAATACGGAGATCAATAGTAAGGTCCTCTGCATATATGGGATTGTTATTTAAATTAATAATTAGATCATAACTCTAATTGGGGTCCTTTAATTGATGATTAAGTCCGAATTCTATCATCAAAACTAGTCCTTTGTTTGGTATAAGATTAATATTATCTTGTCTTTTCCATTCTATGCTCTCTGCTTTTCTGCCATAAGAGGAGACCAAGCCCAACGAATATATACAGCTTGAGTATTAATGATATGATACTGCTGCAGCAACAATACATGCAGTGGCACTCTTCGAATAATCCCTGGATTTTCCTCCTGCCACAGCATATGGATAAAATGGGGTTTTGGCATCAACAACTAAGAATAGTATAAACTAGTATTCTACTATATAATCATACGAATGCTAGTGCTGCTAAGAAACTATTCACAACCCAAAATTCTAAACAACCCATTTATATTAATTATGAAATCAACTTTTACAAGGTCAGCTCAAAGAAGTCTAGAGGAGCAACCAGTGAGTTCTTAATTCAAAGCATCCTCTCAGCTACATGCTGCTCTCCTTAGTGAGTATAAACGCCCTGAAAATTCGTCTATGCCCAAAGTCACACTCACATCCACAGGCAAAGAAGCTGTCAGATAAGCAAGACTCGAAAAAGAAATTTAAAAGTTTGAATATACTTTGTAATCTGAAGTTGCTTCATTACCTAAACATCCTGCACCTATATACAGAGAATAAACTAAAGTAAGTTATCAAATTTATTGTCAAGTTGCTTATTGAAAGACAAAAGGATAGCAGAAGAGATAAACACCTGAAGTTTTGCGATGAATTTGAAAAGTGGGTCAATCGTCTTAATAAAAATTTAGAAGAGGCATATAAAGATATTAAAAGAGATATTACAGATTTCTTTTCTGAATCAGATCAATAGATTACTAATTATTATTAAACACTTACTGATGAGGCCTTGCTCAAAAGGGAAATTGACTTTGTGGAAAGTATCCATTCAACTGTCAATGCACATAGAGAAAAAAGAGAAACCAAAGTCAATGCACTTGATAAAAGATTAGAAGATTTAGAGAAAGAGAGATTTAGATCCTTAGAACTATTCTGTAACAGATTCTAAGAAGGTCTAATTGATGTGGCATTTCAATTAGAACCTGAAATAACTGCGCATGTGGATGTATGAGCTCTTATTATACATTCAGACTTTCAGAGAAGAGTTTCGAAAGGTTGTGGCAGAGAAGAGAGCAGAGAATTAAGTCTATGTTCAAGAGGTCAATAGACAACATCAAGAGACATTCAAATTGTATGACGAGACACAAATTTAGAAAGAATAACGGTGGAGAGATTTAAAACATTAGCATTACATCGAAGAGTTTAATGTTGATATATAGAAATTAGAATATGTCTATCCCGATGAAAGAACATAGTTGTATGATAAATTTAGGAAAACATAAAAGGATATATTTAGAGAAAGAAAATAACTACTAGAGAAGCTAAATTCTATTGAATTGGCTGCTTTGACAAAGTCAATAGTTGAAAAGTGGATAGATGAAACTAAATCATACAATGAATTAGCATCATAAACAATAGATGTTTGTTGTAATAATTTACTAGAAGAGACTAAAAAGACACATGCTCATTGTATGTAAAGATTTGAATTAATCAAAACATAATTATTGTATGCTAGGGCTAAATCAGAAGAAGAATTAAATCAATTATTAGATGAATAATTCTTACCATAAGTCAATTGTTTAAATCAATCTGCTAGAGATTTGATGAAATAAGCAATTAATTACTATGAGAGAATTGATTAATAATAAACTGATATAATAACGAATTTTGGTTAATTCTTCATGAAAATAGCATAGAAGAATGATGAATACAAAACTGAAATGCAGTTATTAATGCATAATTACGAAATCCAGAAAGCATAAGCAGCAGATAAAAATGATGAAGTCTTAGAGGAACTTACAAAAAAGTTAAAAGAAGATAAGTAGAAATTAACTGAAGCATTACATCACCCTCGTTTGGAAGAATGCTTAGCCTAATGCTACAAGGATTTGGATTTATTTGGAGAAGAATATGAGAGATTTCATTAAGATAATTTGGCGATTGCCAATCAACATCCAAACATAATAAGAAATAAACATTAGTTGTTTGAAAAATCAGTGTTAAGCATCTTTGAACTAGTTGATCCACAAAAGGAATAATTCTTATAAGAGAAATACAGAAGGATAGCCGAAATCAAAATAAAATACTTAATTGCAAAGGAAGAATACAATAAAAAAATAGAAGAAGAGAAGTTAATCGAAGAAGCCAAAAATAAAAAAGGAGGAAAGCCTCCTGCCACAAAGCCTAAAGACCCAAAAAAGTATTAATATGAAAATATCATAGATTTTAATAAGAATTAGAAGATAGAATGAAGTAATTACTAAAGGAATAACCACCCTAAGAGGTAGCGAAATATCAAAGTCCACTTGATTAGTAATTTGTGTAATTTAGATCTACTAATGAAATTGCAGAACGTATGTACATTCCACCTGATGAAATGGAACAAGTAGTAGCTAAAGAAAAATCAGAAACTGATGAAATTGAATCATATTTATAATAGCAGAATGCCCCAAAAGATCCTAAAGCAAAACCTGCAGCTCCTCCTCCTATTGAGTTACCTAATTATGCTCCAGAGGAAGATGTTCCTAAAAAATCAGTGGATTTTGCTGAACCACCTCCTATTAATGTGTTGAATTAGGCTGTTTTAGAGAAGGATGCAATAATAACAATTGAATATTTGTCATCATTATTGAATCAAACAAAATAGAAATTGTTTGATTATATAACAAGTTGTCTTAACTTCTAAAATCAACAAGCTAATGTAAGTGATCATGAATTTATCAAATAATCAGAAAAACAGAGGAATGAAAGGTAGGCTTAAATAGATCCTTAAAAACAAGAAATCAAAAATACTATCTATGTTTTAAGAAGCCAATAAATTACTATGCATAAAAAAAGGTAAAACTAAAGATTAATTAATTAGATATGAACGATATGCAAAGTAATTAGTAGAAAGGATTGATGATCAAACAGAATAGATTAATTTCTTATTAGAAGGTGGATTATTAGATATGAAAGATTACATTCAAGAATAGTAAACACTCAAAAACAATCTACAAACAGCAACTACTTTAGCCAAATTACAAGGAATTTAAAATACTGTTAAAGAGAACTATTTCAAGTTTGGAGAAAGTAACTATTTTACTTATTATAGAAATTAATGATTTGGAATAAAAATTAAGTTATTTGGCAAATTAAGAATTGGACGTCTTGTTGCAAAAAAACAAAGATTTTATGAGAGATTGCAAACCAAATGAATATTTTAAAGAAGAATTAGAATGGTATCAATAAATGATGGATGAACATAATGCTACAATAGTTAAGCATAAGGAGAAGAGAACATAAAGATTAGAAGAAATTAAGAAAGTGTTGACGGCAAAAAGATAAGAATAACTGGATAAATTTGAATAAGAATACATAATAGCTGTTGAAGATTTAGCAGCAAAGGATGGAACTGGAAAGAAGTATGGAAGACCTAAAAGAATAGCATAAGAAAAATTAAGAACAGAGATGACTAAATGTGAAAAAGCATAAGAATGCATTAATTTTAAAATATAAGAATTGAAGGACCATTATGATTTATTCAAAAAAAAATAAGGTGATTATTTTGCTAATCTTGAACCCTCATTTTCTATTAAAGTAAGAAAAATATTGAGTGGAACATTGGTTTGTATCAAAAGATATGCAGCTCATATTGAAGCACTTAAACCAGATAATAAAGTCGTAGATATGCCAAGAACAACTTGGAAGGAAAATAAGTTTGATACTATTTTAGAGAATGAAGAATAATAAGACGGATAAAAAGATGATCGAAAATGATTTAGAAAACATGGGACCTTTATTTTATGCGGAGAAAAAACTATAGGAAAGTTTAGTAGAAATTGAAAAGATAATTAAAGAGGAAGCTATTAAAATTTATGCTGATAAATAGAAGTTCTTAACTGGAGCTGATAAAATTCCAGATTATCTTAGAGCTTATATTGAGAATATGTAAAGGAATATGAATGAATTCAGAATATAATCTATTAGAGAACTTAGGAATGCTTGTGAAGAATTATCAGAAATGTCCCCAAATATTAGTGAAATGATATTATTCTCAAATCATTAAAGATGGATTTTCACATTGTAAATGATTAACTCTAATTTATGGAATGAATTACAATAGGAGTAGAGTAAACAAGAGAATCTTAAGAAGACCCATTAGAAATAACTAAGACCTAATTTAGGAAATCCATAATTAAAAGAAGAATTAGATGATCTTAAATCAAGGGAATCAAAAAGACTTTCTGATTTTTTGGAATTATTATCAAAATATTAAGTAACACTTTTTGATGAGAATTTTAATCAAGGAGACAAATATCTGAAAGCTGCAAGTTAAAATTTTGAGTTTTTGTTGCTATTTTATGATTCTCTATTGCTATTTGAGGATTTTATTAAATTACCCTGGAGATGAATAAATACAAAAGAAGCATTAGAATTTAAAAGTCTCTTTGAGATAGAAGTAGAGCGGTTAGATCATAGATACAAATTCAGAAAGATCTCTAAGTAAAACTTGGGAAGGAGTCTAATTGGAAATGTTTACTATTGGGGATAGAATTATTCAATACAATTGGCAAATCAATTAAGTTATAAAGGTTGATCCAAAGGATGCAAAAAACAAAGCTCCAGAAGCTAAGAAACCTGCAGCAGGAGGTAAACAACAGGAGATTGAGAAACCAGTTTAGACAAGCACAACGTATTATATTTACTAATTTAGACCATTAAAATCGTTTAAGACATTTAGATAGATATCTGCCAAACATGAGTTCTTTAGGTCTGTTAATGAATTTGTGATTGAATACAAGAAATAAGTTGATTATACCAAAGATCAAATTAAATTACTGAGTGAAAGAGAGTTAAAGTTTTAATTCAAATGGGAATAAAGCATTGCTTCTTTGTGATATTAATATAATTTATATATATTTTTATGTTATTTCCAACTGAGCCTTACATTAAGAAGAAGTTCTTTTATAAGAATATGTTGGCAGACAATTCCAAAATAGACTTCCTTAATTAATATAAGGTGTTATAGCAGTTGAAAGATAATCACAATGGTAATAACAGAAATCAATTTCATACATAAGTTACATAGGTAAGTCTTTATAAACCGATGTTCAGTATTCATTCTCCTCAGACATCACAAACAATAAATAAATCATAAAGGCCAGGATTCAGTTCAGTAAGGCGTTTCCATACTCATAATTCCTAATAAACCCTTTTGAGCAGACATCCAATTGACACCCCTAAATTGGAAAGCAGGAAAGAAAGGAGGGCGCCTTTACACAAAAGGAAATTAGTTTTGAAATAACCATCCTTAGAAATTTCTGATTACTTGGAATATCTTAAGAGCCAAAAATAATCTAATACTTCTCTTAAATATTCAGATCTCTTGAAAGAAGAAACCCCTATTGTTACTATGAATTAGTAGAAATAGCAAACTTATAGGAAGTAAAAAGAAGAATAAGGAAACCATTTGCAATTATTATATTAATGGTAAATCACATCCATAATCCTCTAGTACGAACGCGGTTTCTCGTATCTAGGATGAAAGTAATTTCTAGGATATTATTAATTCGTGTACTCATCAATATCCTAATCTAAAACACACTATTGATTAATTGATGTAAGATATCGAAGTTGCTTCATTGATATATACAAGTCCATCCTAATTAGGAGCCACTCTTGGTAGAATTAATGGAGTTGATTATAAGATATTTTATTTGCTTTTTAGACCTTAAATTGAATATCCAGAATCAAATTAACTTTACTCTGTTGATGAGGAACTCTGTAGAAAATATAAGTTTTTAAGACCAACCAAATATGATGTTTATTACAGAATCTTTGGGGCAGGTGATTTACCATTAGAATTTTAGGATTAATTAGGTTAACCTGAACCCTAAATCAGAAAGCATAAGATTAGACTTTCAGAGTATTAATTTGCTTAATAAAATAAACATATAATCCCTTCTATTGATTATGATTTTGTTAAGAAGATATCTTACTACTAAAAAAATTTATAATTATTCTTAAAGTAGAAATCAGGAGATATCTTGACTAATCTCAAATAATCAATGATGGATGAAGAGAAAACAAACGGCAACATGTAAAGACATACTATACTTTCGAAATTAATGGATTCTGAAAATTAAATTGGCCATTTCCCATTAGTAACTCGATAAAATAGATATTTATTCGAAAAGGTTGAATACGATCAAAGATTACTAAATAAATAAAAAAACTGAAGAAGACTTCAATAAAATATATTATTTATTAATTTTATTTTTATAATAAACTAATCAAATACAATTCTAATCATTAATAAAATAAGAATAATAATATTCCATATTTTATAATTAAATCAAAAATTTTCTTAATATAAATAAATCTTTACATGTCTTCCATATTTGTATCAAATAGATGCTTAAATCTTTTGATTCCATTAGTAATGTTATCTACTATGTAAAAGGCAGATAAATTGAAAAATCTAATAATTAAATTCTAACTTAAATTAAGAATACAATTTACTTAATAACCATGGTTTTAATGCAATTGATGAATTTAGAAAGAAGGAAATATTTAATCAATTTCCTGCATCTAAATGTATAATATTAATCGAATAATTGATTAACTTAATATTTAGTATCTATAAATTTAGGAGTTTGTTGAATATCCAATAAACCAAATCATCGATTAGGAGAGTGTGGACACCTAAGCACCGACTTGAGTTACCATTTAGAAGGATTTCTGAGGATATGCGAAAGAGATTACTTTATTTCAATAGGATGATGAAATTAAATTAGAATTTTAAAAATTTATTTTAAGAATAATCTGAAAATTTAAATTCTTATTTAGGTAATATTAAATTAATTGCTTTTCATTAGGAATCACTATATGGAACACATCCAGTCCATGGTCTAGCTACGTATTAATTGAAACGACCGTCAAATTACAAAGTATTTGTAACTGTATTTTGGACTTATGTTTTGTACAATAAATTGTATTCAACTGGATCCCTGGCTAAAACCCACATGAAGAATTTTGATGGTTCACTAACGATAGCCCATTGATATTATTCATTTTTGACTGGACCTAATTAGACAATCCAATAATCAGCATATTCGAAAGGAGCTCCATCCAAATGTACTTTTAATTAGCCTGGTTATTCTGGATTTGGAATATAAGCATATCCTGTGATTTCCTTGATTTCACCTGAAGGAGATCCATATCTTTCCATATTTAAGACACTCAAATTTCCATCTGATTAGACACCATAAGTAGCTCTTGTGCAATAAGCATCTTTTTCAAATGTTAAATGAACCCAAGGGCTGCTGGCCACTTCATACCAGTTACCCAAGTATTAAGTAACATTAAGTGTTTAAACACTCTATAATTAAGCAGATGCCAATCCAAGAAGCACAACAATAATTAATTTGTTCATTTATTAATGAAAGATCAGGAATTAAATTCTGCTTTTCTTTCTAGAATAAGAACAATATTCTTCTTAAAATGATGATGCGTCATTAAATTTAATTATTAATAATAATAAAAAGTCATTTCATATTATTAATTTGGAACTTCTTCACTTCTATTGATTTTAAAAGTGAAAATTTAAATATTTCTCTTGCTCTATCACATCCAAAAAGTAGACGTAAAACATTTTAAGATCCAAATTACAAATTCAATTAATTATGTAAAGTTTGATCAATCTCAAGTAATGTCATTTTACTTAAATCATATGTTCCTTTCAATTTGAAATAGTTTTGCTCACTCGCTTGCTTCTTTTGTGTTTCTGAAGTTAGTTTTGCATATTTTTTATTTACTGTTTGTTCAAGCATTAAATCTGGCTTAAGGAAAAACCTATATAATGCTAATATTGAAAATGTTACCAATCTTCAAGATTTTCAGTGAATATTCGAATTTATGTACCATCATTGTGGATCAACATTCTTTTTTTGTGAAATTCTTTGAATTTGCTAAATATTGGTTTTTCAGGGTTAACAACGGCCCACATTGTACATCTTGGTTAAATACCATTACTTATATATAACAAAGCACCTTGACTGATTGTATCATCAGAAAACTTGATATTATTCAAAGCTATCTAAAATTTCATAAATGAAATTATTTTAGGGAAGAATATGATAGCTACTTCTAAAGAATCTTCATCTTTGAATGGAGGAGGCTAATCAGTTACAGAATAGAGAACACAAATTCTTTGATCGCCTTCCATTTTATAACAGCCTTCGATCTAGAATATCAAAATATTATTTACTTGTGATTTATTAATTTTGAATATCAATTTAAGAGAAGTAAATTCCATTAATAATTTTGGGTTTTCAAATTAAATATTAGGATTAGCTTTCTTAGAGATCTCCTCATCTGCCTCACATAGTATAAAGTACTTAGAAGTCACTACTACTAATGAAGGCAGATTGAGGCCATTTTGTGTTTGATAATAGCATTTAATAAAATGTTCAACATAATAATCAGGTCTTTAATTTCCTTATTACTCTTCGTCATCCTTATTCTTAATTAAGATTGATCTATTTAATAAACCTGATTGTAATTTTAATTAATAATCGAATGCAAATAAATCTTCTAATATTTCTTGAATAAATGACTGTCTTATGAATTTTTTGTTAAAGACTTCCATTTTTGTTAACACAGATAGAATCTAAAATTTTAAGCTTTTACATTTTACAATATATAGACCTACTAGTTTAATCAAAGAGGATCTTGTCTATGATTTGATTTTAAAGAACTTTTCATCTAAGCTTACCGCTGCTAAGAGACTTTTTTCTGATTGCATATCCCAAACAATAATTTCTAAGAATATTGTAAAACCTTATAATGGAAGCAAATTAAGTAAGATATATTCATCGATTTATCGATTGATAAGTGTAGCTATTTAATTTCTTTCTTCTATTCTTAATTTTTAGAAATCTTCGAGATAATCTTTTTCATAAGTTTCCATAATTTTATCTTCATATGATATTTTAGTTAAATTAGATGTAATTTTGCTCATGCATTCACATGTCTCTTTAATCAAAACCAAATCATCATAAGTCAATGGGAACTTATCCTCATTTTGTAGTTTAACAGAGATAATATCTAGCATATCTCTTACTGCTTTGGCAATAACAAAGAAGGATATTATAAAAGACTTCTCTTTAGCACAAAAAGAGTATTCTAAAATTACATTCATTATTTTAAGATATTTGGCTCCTATATTCCCATTATGCCAATCAGCCCATTAGCAAATTAAAGTTAACTCTCTAATATATTCAGCTCTCTATCCCAATTACTCAGCCATTTTCTATCTTTGAACATTTGGTTTATTTTGATCCTAAGGACAATAACCTAGTAAGGCATAAACTATTCTTAAATAAGCACATACAGTAATTGTTCTTTCTTCAAATTTAATACCAGTATAAGTAATGTGTTCCTAAGTTATACTTAATGCTTTCTTTGTGAACATTGGGAAATGAATAATCTTATTTGGATTAAAATAGGGTTTCTATTTAATGAATCCTCTTAATGGATCTGTAGGCATTGGTAATCCTTGAAATATTGTTGTTAATTTCTCATTCATTCTTGTAGTAGATAATTTTTTCACCTCTTACTGTTTATTTAAACTATCACAGTACTCATGAACTTGTTCACGAATATAGAAATTGATTGAATTAAGCATTCTTTCGAATATCAATTAGTTTCCAAAGGTTTCAAGAAAGTATTCTTTCAAAGACAAGGATTTAGCTGACTAATTTCGACCAACTAAGAAACCCAACAAGTTTATAGCTCCTTCCTAATCGTAGAATAATTGATGTTAACTTATATGATAAACAGAATCCTCTTGGTTTTCAACAATTAGAAATGGATCTGCACTAGTTTTCATAGCATCCCATATTTCAGTTTATTTGGATCTCCTATCTAAAGCTGTTTTCTTCCAAATCTTTTGAATTTCCTTAAAATCATATAAACCTGGATTTTTGACTTTACTCAAATCTTCTACATCATCTTCCGGTCTCATTTCTAAATTCTCTGCAATTCTAATCAAAATTCTATCAGATACCTTCTTGTAAGGCAACAATGCATCTCTATTAAATAAGACTGAAATCAGGTATGTATTTTACTTACCAATAAAGGATCTCTCAATATCAATGTCTAAGGTTTCAGGTGTGAGCAAACTATCTTCATTTAGAAGTGAGACCTTCATACATTAAGCCTAGTAGAGTCCTTTCAGATTCTCTCTTAATAATGGCTCACAATGTAATGACTTCAAAAAATTGTTGGTTCCAAAAGATAATTCGACCTTCTCTTAATATTCTGAATTGTCTTCACCTAATTCTAATAAATCACGTTCTTGATTTCTCTCTAAAATATCAAGGGCATATAATGTTGCATTCTAACTGAACACTGTAACAAAATCTTCTCTGGATGATGATTTCTCTCCAACTACAATCTTTGTCAAAATCATCATAATATTAGCAACCACACTTTCTGTTTTACCAGCACCCAAATTCCTATAGGAACCTAAGAGTGTAACTAATTTGCCAATTTCCTTAGAATCTAATTAAGAAACCTTAATAGTTAATAGACATTAGACTACAGCCAATCTGACCATATCACTAGGAGTAGCTAAAACAATGAATAAAGCTTCATCTCTTCCATTGTTATCTAAATTCTTACTTACTTCCATGCAAATATCAGAAATTGGACTATCATACCCAATGGCATTCTTAGAGAAAAATTTGAGTAGTTTAATGATACTTCTAAATACCTCATGCACTTTTACATTCAGTAAAGAACTGAGGTTTTTAGTTAATTTCTAGATAGTTGGATCTAACTGTTTCATCATCAAAACATAGTAGTCTCCTCCTAAGTAGTGCAATAGCAATTCGCAATTATGAGTTTTTAAACATATGTATTTGACAATCTCATTGTTATCCACTCCAGGTTATTATACTTTAATTACTTTGTTTTTCAATAGCTTTCTAATATAAATGGCTACTGCATTTATTAAATACGGATGTATTGCTGGAATTGTTGCCATCTATAACAATTCATTCACTAAAAAGCTCTCTTTTATTTATTATTATACTATGTTATCTGATTTCCATATTGTTCCATATACCTATATGAGAATCCCCACTTTTTCATATCTCAATAAGATAGTATCCTTGTTCTCTTTTGTTTCAGGATTTAAAAGGGAATTTCTGAACTTTTTAAACATAAACAGATATTTCCTTAGTTCATCCTCCACATCCTTAATAAAGTTACACGCTGTTTATCTTGACTCCAATACTTCCTTAGTGCATATCTGACTCCTTTTCATTGAATTATTGATCAAATACAAGATGCCTATGTATTATTCATCCAATTCAGATTTCAATAACAGTTTGAATAAAACTAAGCTCTTAGATATGATCCCTCTATAATGATATTCATTTGCAAACTTTTGAAATTCTGCTAACTAAGCCATGAAATTTAGAAATAGAACATCTCTCTATTGTTGTTCTTCTCTTAAGTTATCCATATCCTTCATATAATTGGCCATAATCTAATCCAGCCAATCTACAAAATTAAATTGAGCCAACTTTATTGGAACCATTTCCTCGTCATCTCTTTCTTCGACAGTTCTCAAAATACCTTCCATGACAAATGTAGGAACATATTCTAACTCCTTTTATTATTGCAATAAAGGAATGCTATATTTCTAAATAATGTTCCTAGCTATTAATGCCATACCAGTTCCACTTCTCACTATTTCCACCACCATTTAAAAGCATCTCCGACCAATTTCTAAACATCTCACAATTGCTAATTAAGCCAAAGCCTTTAGAATTTACTCTACGTAACTCTATTGATTTTAAGCAAAAAGAAAGCAATTTTATAAGAAACTGTCTATATATTCTGCAATTTGTTGCTACTTCTTTGGATCCTTATCAAGGAAACACAAATCAGCTTTATTTGGTTAAACAATAATTCTATTCACTAAATCGTCTATCCTTCTTAGACAAGGGACAATTGCCTAAGGATCATTTATACATTTAGTTATCTTCTCACATAGTTGTTTAGCATACTCCTAATCTTCATCATCAGGTTCACTATCAATAAACTCTACATCTCCTAATACTTCTTCAATATTGAAATTAGCATCGGGTACAAATAAATCTATAGATTTGGTATTCAAAGTTTTCAGTATTCCAGATAATGTAACAGCAAATGCAGTTTCAATAAGAGGTTGTCTTTTTAGAAATGGATTTCTCAAAATGTTCAAAGTCTATATTTTCAATTGCTTTAATTCCTCAAGAATGTTCTTAATATCATATCCATGAGCAAATTTAATTAAGTTATCATTGATTAATAGCACTTCTAAGTTTTTTGAGAATTATTTAATGTCATTATTTTGAATTGTTGTAATAGAGTTATGAGATATATCAATATATTTAAGTTAAGATAAGGGACCACAATCAGGAAATCGTTTTAATCTGTTATGCTATAAATTTAGCATTTGCAAACTCTATGTTTTTAATTTAACATCTTCTATAATATTGTTGCTAGCATCTAATGTTCTCAAATTATAAAATTAATTCACTTCCTCGATCATTTTTAATCGATTTTTAGACAAGTTGATTATGCCAATCTTCTTCCTCAAATCCAGTTTTAATTAATCAAATGCCACTATACGAACAAGTCCTCCCTCTTCTGAAAAATCAAGCTCATCGTCATGTTTATCAATCTGATTTAAAATCTGATCAAGAGTTAATTCAATTTCTTATAACATGTGAAATATATTATTATTCTGTATACTTGTAAAAATTAATTCAATTAATAAAATATTGACTTGATACTTAAATATCATAAGGAATGTTTTGTTCGACATAGGCCATTTCGATATGATTGTCTACAATATAAGTATGGAAGTCCCAGAATCTTTCAGCTGCAATTATCTTTAATAAATAATTAACTACCTTATTTTTTGTTATTTTTCATTCTGTATTTATGAAATGCTTATAAGGCCATCTAACCAAAATGATTTTAATAAAGCTTGAGTGATACAAGCATATCATTTGTTTCCAATGATTCTGCTATCATCTTCAGTCCATTGTCATCAATATCATTCCTAACCATATCTAAATGTATTAATGTTCGCTAAATTTAATCCCAATCAATTACATTCTTGCTTAAAGCCTATGAAATTGCCTTTGCACCATAATGTCCTGTTCTATTTGAAGTTAATATTAGACTCTCTAACACGCAATATTCACCACACAAATATTTAGCAATAGCTTCGCACCCCTTAAATGAAATTCGATTTGCTGTTAAGTCCAAGACTCTTAACTTATTGTTTTCTAATAAATGCTCTGTGATGATATATATGGCATCACATGTAAAATTATGTTTTTGCAAAGAGATTTTTTCCAATCCTCTATTGGAATGAAACATTTTTCCAAAATGAATTGCTGTCTCCTATCCAATTGAATGATAAACTGGGTTATCCAAATTTAATATTTATAATGTATTATTCTTCCAATTCAAAATTGATGTAATTGCCTAATAAATCTAAAAAACTTCCTTACAATCACACCGTCATGATCTATTCCATTGTTGGCTAAATTTAATTCTACAATAGATTTATTATTAAATAACATCTCAACAATAGACATTGCCCCTTTGGTTTATAAATTGTTAAAGTTCAAATTCAGATGAGTCAAGGTTTGTATATCCTTAATCCCTTCTGCTATCAATTCTCCTCCTTCGACACCAATTTTATTACTCTATAAATTGAGACTTTCCAATGAATTACATCCTTATTTAATTTATAGAGATTTAGTACCTGATAAAAATTTTGATAATTCTTGAACTCCTACATTAGTTATTTCATTAAATGATAGATCTATGTGTTGGATATTTTCCTTGTAATTTTGAAGACAAGAAAGTAATAAAATTAAATCTTAATCTAACATCCGCTAATTGAAATTGAGCTTGTAATTTCCTCTAAAAATTAAATCAATATCGTTCGCTTTAGTTTAATAAGTTCTCACTATTGCTTCATTCACAGGTTTCGAAAATTCAGAGCATTATCTTTTATAATCAGTTGCAATTTTAGGTCTTATAATTTCCCAATCCATTATTTTAATTAATGCAATAATAATTAAATTCTTAAGTTATTTTAGATCGTAATCAAGAATTCAAAGGAGTTGAGTTCTAATTCAACTCTAGAAAGATTGTTGTTGAAAACATAGATTCTCTAGAACCATTATCAAAGTATATTGATGCAGATAAACTCAATGAAATTCTCAGTAATTATAATCTTACTAGGAAGATTATAAAATTGAGGATTCAAAAAAAGGAGAAGAAGGCATGAAATTGAATTCGCATATTAAATATTATGACTTCTCTAGACCTCCAACTGGTATTCCTAAAAAGGCTTTCAGAGCATATAGCGCTATAGCAAAGAAAAAGAAGTGAATACATATTATCATTATTATTCAAGCTATTTTAGTAAAAAATTATAGCATTTTGAGAATATCATAAGAAATACAATCTGATAAGTTTTCTTGATTATATATTAATAAGGCTTCAGCTATGCGAAATTAATAGAGCATTTTGGACTAATTATATAAATTTCAATGATTAATTATCATGCTTAGTTATATATAAATAATTTATATTAATTGAATGACCAATTCTAGGGTTCATGCCATTGATTCTCTAAAACCTTAATCTTTAATCCATATGGAATCTCAAGAACAAATTTAGGATAATCAAATTGTCATTTGTAAAACTAATCCTAATATAAAATCAATCCTCAAAAAATAGGAAGGATAATAGAAAGAGAAGAAGTAACTTCAGTTTAAAGACGATCGAAATAAAATTTATGTAGTTGAAAATTGGAAAATTTATAATACCCCTTTCGATGAGGATGACAGTTGCTGCTGTTTAATATAATGAATTTTTTTAAAGATTAATAATTCATACTAATTAACTAAATCATAATTATGCACGCAAGTATTAAGTTATTTCTTAAAACGATGGTCTTTTATTCGGATCTTGATCCCAACATTTGATCATCAAATCTTTTAAAAATGAAGGACACCCTAACTAAATTAAGTTTAGATCTGGTCTTCCATGATCAACAGTTACTAATTTCATAATCGCAGGAGGATTTGTAGATAACTGTTTATAAGGTGTTTCTCTGCAACATATTTCCCATAACACTATCTAAAATTAGAATAACTATTATACTGCATATGAATACACATCTGCTTTTATAGTATACGGGACATTCTAAAATACTTCAGGAGCCATCCAATGCTACAAATTAGATAATATATTATACAAATGTTCCTAATATTCCTGTCATTATCTCACCATTATCAGCTTAAACTCTTGCTAAACCAAAGTCAGCTATCTTTATATTCACCTTAGTTTAGTCGTAGGTCTATTCTAATAATAAACTAACATTAATAATAACAAGTACTTTAAACTTTTTAAGTCTCTATGAATCAATGGTGGATTCAATTTATGAAGATGTAACATTCCTTCTGCAATTTACCATGCTATTTTGACTCTATTCTACCAACTAATATCTAGATGCTTTTTTCTATGTAATAAATCAAACAATGTCCCTCCTGCACAAAATTCTGTTACAATATAGAGTTCGTCATCCTTTTAAGATATTCCCATCAATTAGACCAAATTATTATGTTTCTGAATTGTTACAAATGCAGATATTTCTCTCCTAAATTCCTTTAAATGATTTTCATTCAATGACTTTATTTTCATTTTCTTTATTGCCACTTCCCCTCCTCTCCAATATCCCTTATACACTTCACAGCTACTTCCTGTTCCAATTAATCTTTCTAATCTTAGTTGATCGTGAGAAATCATCCATTCTTAAACGTCTAAAATAAGATGATAATTTATTTACTTTTCCCCTACTTTTAGAAATAATCTACAACTTAAAAATTATTTTATTATTATTATTATTATTATTATTATTATTATTATTACTATTATTATTATTATTACTATAATTATTAACTGATCTCTACTTTTTATTATGAAATATTATTATTTTTACTTTTCTCATTCAACTAATTGAATTAATCAAAGTAATTATGATTTATTGGCTAAGAATTTGCTGATTAAATTCTTTAATTTTAAAGTAAACCATTTTAATTACTTGTTCCATTGTGTTTTTATCCCCAATTCAAAAATTCTTCATCATTTAACAATTCCTTTGTCAATTTTACATTTTAGTTTACCAATGGTGCTCTTATATTATTTTACAATTATTCATTGGGTTTATTTGGAAATTATTCTGTCTCATCTTCGTTTTGGTGAACCTCATCTTCGTCTGAAAAATCTAAACCTTGATATAAATAGGACCCTTATTATTACTATTTGGTTTATTTCTTTTTCTGTTCTACATTCTTGTTTAGGCTCGATTGATTTTCTTGTTATTGTTTTAAAATTTATAACTCCTCTTATTATTATAACTATAACTATTATTATTATTATTATTATTATTATTATTATTATTATTATTATTATTATTATTATTATTATTATTATTATTATTATTATTGTTATTGTTATTGTTATTGTTATTGTTATTGTTATTGTTATTGTTATTGTTATTGTTATTGTTATTGTTATTGTTATTGTTATTGTTATTGTTATTGTTATTGTTATTGTTATTATTGCTAAGAAATTACATTAGAATTGTTATTGGAACCATTTACACTAGTGTCCACATCAAAGCTAAATTTTTTAATTCTTTCAGCATTTGTTTAAACAGATAACACTGGTCTTATTGGGTATTATGTTGCAAACTTCTCATTTCTAGGATCTAATTCTACAACTTCGTCATCATATTCAATTACTTAAGTACTCATGATTTCTCCATAACTTTAAGGTATTTTTATTCCATCAATTGACATAGAATAACTCAGATAATCATAAATATTGAACTCCCCTTTAATTTGCTAAAAAATTGGTACCTTTTTCAATGTATCAATTACACTTCTTGGAGGATCAGGTATAATTTAATAAAATTAAGGGATTTATTTACAAGATTAAAAAAATTATGAAGTACTATAAAAATTGTTTTGGTATTCATCTTCAAATTGTATAAAAGCTTATTTGATTTCATTATTTTATGAAGGCATGCCTGTAATATAATTTGTACTTTATTTTAAAGCATAATAAATGTGAGTGCAGGTACTTAGAATGTTGTATAATTCATCTGCCATTGTAATTGCAAATCCTAATTATAAATTAAATAGAGTTGATTTTTAGAATTAAAAACTATTTATGAAAATATTAATCTATTTCCACAAGTTAATTAAATTATTTAATATCGCTATGCTTAATTTTAGTTTATCCCTAGAGTTAATGTGATTGAAAAAGGGAACCATTGCAAAATTGCCTTCAAAGTACTTTAAGTAATATTTATGAAATTTGACCTTTTCTATTAATATAACAGAATAGCTGTATAATAAATTAGTAAAAAATTGTGATCTAAATTTATCTTTTGATGGTTTGGTTATGGAGGTCTCTTAAAACATTTTAATCTTCTCTAAAATAGAAAGGGGTGAATTTTAATTATTAACTAACAAAGCTTCTTAAGGCCCTTTTTTTAAGTAATTGTGTAACAGTTAAAGAGTTTTGAAAGTAATTATCACAGAATTTAATTGTAATCTGTTGAATAATTTTTCATAAAACTTTGGAATTTTGGCTTTCTTTTACCATGCTTTAACATGAAGATAGCGAAAATATTTTTAATTCGGAGCAGCATCAACTTCTTCCAAACAAGCAGCCACCCAAAAATCTGTCTTTTAAGCCACTTTACTCACTAATTTGACAAATTTTGTAGATAGAGATGATGAGGATGGATGCTGAAAATCAATCAGCTCTAATTAATTGCTTTTATAATTCTCATTTCTTTAAGTAAGTATTTCTCTATTCATTTTTTCATTTGTTGATAAGCTTCTAATATGAATTTGAGAAGACATAGGACTATATATTAAACTTTTTTGTACTTCTAGTTTATTAAATAAGTGTGAATATATTCTTCAATTTATTCAGCACTCAATCTCTCCTTTGGATTAGGAATTAATAGAAGTCTGATTAACTCTTGTAATTTATTACTATAGAGACCCCATTTCGGACTTATATAAATTAATTTATACTTCTTCTCCCAATTAGGATTTTAATCATATCGTACTTTAAATAAAATGTAATACATTAGCTATCCTAAAGCATAAATGTCAACTTTTTTGGTTATAGGCCATCTCTACTAAAAATCCTTTTGTTCAGGAGCTCTGACATGCTCGAAAGTGTTGGCTTCAATTTCTTCTTTAATTTTAGGAATATATTCATTAGGCAAATGATCGTATTACTCGATTACATTATTTCATACTTAAAAAAAGCATCTTTAAAAATTCCATAACTTAGCTTATTTATCAATTCCTATCAAAATATTTTCAGGTCTAATATCGCGATGAGTGATGCCTAAACTATGACATTATTTTAATCCTTTGCTCAAATCCAATAAAATCTACACTTATTTTTCTGCTTACTTTCAGGACTTGAGGTTCTTCCAAACCTTTTTATGAATCCTTCAAAATATTTTGGAGGACTTCAGCTTTTTCAAATACTATTACTTTAATATTTTATTGGAGATCTCCTTCAAATGATTTGGCAATGTTGATATTTCCATAATCTTTGAAAATATGTACAGCTTGTAACTCAGTATTCAAATACTAAATTAAAATTCATAGTTTAACATATTACCTTCTCTTACCCATTGTCATATACTTTTACTACATAATTGAACTCAGATGTTGAATATAATCTGTATTTTGTACCTTAAAAGCATACATACGAAAGGTATAGACTCTACTTATTTCCAAAAAGCACTTTTTGTTATTACATTATTAAAAATAAATATAATTTAACCTATTTAATATTAACAAAATTTCTTAAATTGGGCAAATCTTGTTAAAAAGTTACTAGAAGTTTGTAATTTCAAAATTAGGCAATTATAAATTAAAAAAAAATAGCTATACATTTTTAAATTGATTAAATTTATAAATAAATATAGCATTTATTCTCTTTTGTGTTTTAATTCCTCTATTTTAGTTTTTTTGTAAATAAATTATGTACTTTAAAATAAAATTAACCATAAGTGATTAATAGTGGCAAAAATAAAGATCTCAATTTACACCTCATATAAATATTCACAAATTTATAAACCCTGTAGATTGAAAATTTTTATAAATGTCAATTATTGAGTAGAATTAAAATCAATATACAAGTACTAGGTAGAGACATTGTTATCATGAAGATTTTTGAAATTGGATGATAAGAAGGGTTGTTTTTTTCTGTAGTGAAATGTATTATTTCTATTTGAATAATCTGATTCATAGTTAATTGATCAAATCTGAATTTTAAGAACTAATAGGGGTTAATGAAAACTAATAATTTAAGATAGCACAAGACTAATAATGATTTGGATCGCTCTGTACTAAACCTAATAATAATCTTAAGAACTAGTTAAAGAGATTTACTTATTGATGTTTATCTATGATAAGAAATCAGAAATACCTCATAAACCGAAAACAAATCAAAAATTTAATGGAATTAATATAATTTATGCTCTTTATCAAAAAATACTTAAATGAATGGAGACTTCCTTTAACAAATCTGGACCAATAAAACTCAGGAAATCATACTAATTCCTATCGAAAAACAAAATTATGGGATTACTTAATTGATCTAATAAACTTAGAAGGTATATTTATGAAAAAATAATTAAATAATTCTAAATCAATTAGATTGATACCTAATTTATTATTATTATATAAATGTTTAGAATTGGACGAATATTCCCCATTTCAGTTCCGCCCGCTCATCCAAATGCTCTAACTCGAGTATTCTTCGATGTTGAGGTCAGCGGTAATCCATTAGGTAGAATAGTATTTTAGGTATCGAATTCATTCATATATTAGCTTTTTGATAATATTGCTCCAAAGACAGCAACAAACTTTTTGAGAATTGCTCAAGGAGTTTAAGTAGATGGCAAGAAGCTTCATTATTAGGATACATAAATTCATAAAATTCTACCATTCAGAGGAATTTGGGGTGGTGCATTAGGAGGATCTATCTATGGAAAAACTTTTCCTGATGAAAATTACAGAATCAAACATGATAGAGTAGGATTATTAACAACATCAAACCCAAAAATCAATAGCAATGATGCTGGTTTCATAATTACTTTGGGTCCTGCTGAATGGCTTGATAAAAAGTCAGTTGCTTTCGGAGAGGTTATTTATGGGCTTCAACATGTGAGAGCAATTGAAAAATTAGGTAATTAAATTGGCTACATTTTTTAGGTGGATTATCTGGGGCACCCAAAAAGTCTGTTGTTATTAAATAAAGTGGAGTCATTACTGAACACGAATATCATAAATATGATATAGTAGAGGAACCAAATATTTGGAATTTGTAAAGTCATCATTGATAGATATTCAATAATATAATATTATCAAAAAGCAGCTTTCGTTGGTTTATTAGCTTATTTCTTCTCTTTATTTTGATCTAAATTATGCCCATCTTCATTAAATTTTCTATCCTCCCTTGGTAATGTGAGCATCCTTTCCTTTTTTTGTTTTTCTTCTCTATAGTATCCATCCACTTGATTTTGGTCGTTTTATTTTGATTCATGTTCTTTTTTAAATTTACTTTCTCCTTTAGATTTATTTTCATTAGAATTATTATTTTCTCTTACATCAGAACTTCCACAACCCATATTTGTTAAAATAAATATATTAACTAATTATCAATTTTATTAATAAGATTTTAATTCTTTTGATCTTCTTTCAATCAATTAACATTATTATTGTACTTATCTTTGGCTCTTATAAGTGGTGAATCTAATTGTAAAGCATTTATGTTCTTATTTCTACAAGTGATCAAATTTAGAATATTTAACTCTCTCGTCCTATGCTTTTAAAATAAGTATAAATTTGTTAAGAATACTGCTTATAGTATAAAAGATTCTGATAGATCTTTTAATAATCATGAAGATTATTTGGATATATTTTATATTGACATTTAATTATTATGATGAACTTCTAGAAGAATTTGATAGTAAAGATATAATCAACTAATTTCTTGTATAAGAGTGGTTAGACATTCATTTAATAATTTTAATAAGATATAAGCTCAGTAATATTATTATTCGCTAATTTCATTTTCAATATCATGTCTTTTCCATTTGTTAATCCTATTCATGCGAATCTCTTCTTTTGTCATTTCCTCATCTTCTATTTATTCCTGGTTTTTCATTTTGATAGTTGGCATTTATCTTCCATTTTTTTAAACGATTGAATCTAGTTATATTCTCACTATTCTATTTTAAATATTTACATTTATAAGAATTTTAGGTTAAACATTATTCACAAACTATCATATTCTAAATTTTAGGTGCACAACCATGATGATATAGATGACTGCATCCCATAAATGCTAACATATATTAATTTCGAATTTCAAAGCAAGTCTAACAAGAAGGACTGAAATTAACTCCAATCTATTGCAATTCAAATAAGCTCATCAAATTTTTCATATAATCCATTTATAATACCCTAATCAACTATTATTGATTATAAAGCTCAAATGAACAGGAGGACAAGAGTTTACTGAATGTTCTCCTCAATTCCTCTAAATGAGTAAATGATCCAAATAATATTTTAATGTTCATTATTATTTAATAGAGATGAACTCTTTCCAACAATTCTTCCAACATTACCTAATACACATTGTTTAAAGATTTAAAGATGTTCTTGTTATATTTGAAATCCTCTCTCAACTAAACCATTCGTATAACAAGAGTAAACCAAAAGCTAGTACTTTCTTCTTCATTTGAGTGATTATCTCTACAGATTTTCAAACAAGGCAAAATTAAAATTTAGATTTGTTCAATTTGGCTTTATTAATCATATTCTATCACTTACATCTTTTTTAATTCAACACTAATAATCTATTTAAATAATCAATTATTAAATTACATCAAAATACAAATTCAAAGCCTCCATATAACGACCACTTCTTTCTTTTAAGAATGCCACTCCTTTCATTATTTGAAAATCTTCACACAATCTCAAACATTCATCTTAAGGGAAGTCTCCATATTGCAATTATTCATATGCATCTTTTGGATGATATTAACATATTAATTTGAAAAAGGAAATCATTAATTTGTCTTCTACTAAATATTTATTATTTCTTTTTTCTTAAATAATCTCTGAAAGTAATTTCAATTTTAAATTTGGATGAGAGTCTAACATTTCTATTGCTGCTTTATAATCCTCTTCATTATAATATTAAAGGATTTATCTTAATTTCTCAGCACAAATGCTCACCTAGAATAAAGTCACAATGTATTCTTACCAATTATGGCACAATGCTCAACACATATTTCAAAATTTCAGTTCTGAGTTAAGAATACTAATTCACATTTATCATCTGTTCAATGTAATCAAATATGAAAATCTTAATAAATTAGAATATAATTACTTTGTCATCCTCATTATTTGAAGTCAATAAATTTTATAAACAAAATTACCATTAATCTTTTATGAAATATATCTGGGCCTTAACTCTTACAGATTGAAGTTCAGAACAAGAAGCTTCCTATATTATTGTGGATATTGCCTCTTAGTCATTCATTAATTTATCTTTAAATTGATTAATATAAGAGACAAACACAGAATCTCTAATATTTTTATTTTGTATATTAAAATCTGGCTATTTGAAGTATTCTAGATGTTGAAATCTATGATTGCTTTTTTCAACCAAAGTTTATAAATTAGTGTATGGATCTTTGAAATGACATTTAACAACATTCAAAAAGTGTTCATATTTAATTGGGTATCCTAACTTCATAATTTCATATACGAAAGTACTTAGCTAATCGAGTAGATTTAACTTCTTAGATGATGCTTCTAATAATAAAATAACAATTTCTGATAAGCTTAAATCGTCAACTTATAATTATTCATTTGCTATAGTGATCTTATGTTACTCAAGTTGTTCATATTTCTCCTTATTTGTGAATATTATCAATAATTCATTTAAAAAAATGGAAGAATCAATTTTTAAAAATTCTTCCAGAGTATCATATTGTAATAACCAAGATAAGATTTCAGCTATAATAGATGCCCATTAATTTTCTGGTATTTTCTATTATGGAAATAACTCACCAATCAACAACATATGAAGATTCCACAAACATTTGTAACCTAACAATTGGATTTCTTTTTCTATCGTAGATTGATTTTCACTCAAATTAACTTAGATTGACTTGTAATACTTTTCTAGAGACATTTAATCTCCTTTAATCAATTACCTATAAACTGCATACATTTTGAATAGAGGGGTTTTATAATCTTCATCAACTCTAGGTGAAATATAAATTAAGAGAGTAAATAAATTATTTTCTATACATAATTATTAGATTATTATGGGATCCAACAATTTAATATCTAAATTAATTATTAGTTATTTCAAGATGTTTAATTTTTTCTACTAATTGATTAAATAAATCATTATATCTTTCAAAGAGTCATCAGGTATGAATTTGATTGAATTCTTTAAGATAAATGGTTCTAAGCTATTATAAAATTGCAATTCTAAATTGTGTTTTTGAAGAATGCTTTTGATTTCTCTAAATAAATATTCATAGGATTCTATAGTAACCATGAATTCAATAATTGTAGGAATAAGCACACCAATTGTTTGATGAGAAATACTAATTTCAACAAATTATTTGAGTCTCTCATTAAAATATGGTCTTAAGAATTCTTGTCTTCCAGTTTTTGGTAAGCCAGCAAATTTTAACTGTTTACCCAAATATAAATATAAACATAATCCCATACACTCTGTCCATTTGTGATTAGATGTCAATTATTCAATGTAATCCTACCAAGTTATCAATTAATAATGAATAATATTTTATTGTTGATGTCCATTCTCGTCGATTTGAATGTAATATAATTAATTATGATTTTGACATATAGTATTCTAGAAAGATTAAATCTTATCTTCACCTATTTGTTAATCAGCAACATCTTATGATAATTGTGATTAGACCACTAAAACATTATTTTCAGTAATCTCAGAAATAGCGATTAATGAATACTTCTTCCTATCATTTTTTAAGAATAATATGTTATCACTCATCCATGATAAGAATTAGACATCATCATTCAAATTATATGTTAGAATTACTTCAAAAGTGGTGATAAACTTTCCTTCCTTATTTTCATAATTCATCTTAATTATTTCTATCACCTTGCCATTACTAACAGCTAAAACAGGATTCTCACTTTCGATTTACCATTTTGCACAAAGGAGTTATCGTTTTTTTACTTCATACTTCTTTTTAAAGATCAAAAATATTTTAGGCTCTACAATTGCAACAAAGACTACTGCTTTATACACAAATGCAACAGTTTAAATATCTTTAATTTTAATAGATTCACAACAATGACACACTCCAAAAGCACAATCCTGAAATAATGGATATCTTTCTATACCATATGTAAATAAATTCTTCCTAATTTTCATCAAATTCACTTTACCTAGAGAATCACAAACCAAGAATTAACAAAAAAAATCCTTATTTCCATTTAACATAGTCATAGTAATTGGTATACCCTCAGTCATTTTCTGAAAAGCCTTGCAAAATTTATTCTTGTTGTATAATAGAATTTACTATTGCGAAACAGCCAACAGGTATTGCCCATCTTCATTAAATCTTAAACATATTATGGGACAAACAGTAATGCTAGGATCTGATTCTAATTTAACAATTTTGTCACTGATTAAATAAATGAATCCTTTTGTAGTTCCAATAGCAATAGTACTGCTAAAACAAGTGATGCATTTAATTCTGAAGTCATTTTAAAAGATTGATGAATAAAGATCCTTAAGTTTGCGGTCCATTTTGACTTCTTGAAAAGTATTATTAGCCTATTTCTGATTCTCATAATGCTAAATCAAATCTGAATCGTCATTTTATTTTTGGATGACTTGATAAGGTTCTTTTTCTAATTAATCCACGTAATCCAAGATGTATGGAATTTGTTTGTTTTGCTCAGTTTGTTTAATGCTTTCTCTATTGCTTGAAGGATACTCTCCCGATGTGATTTAATGCAAGAGTTTATCTATTTCTTCATTGGTATACTATTTTTCAACTTGAGTTTCAGGCTAAATGGAAACCTTAGATTGATTGCATTATTATTCCACTTCTATATTTGGTGTTCCTTTCAATAATTCTTCAATGTCGTTGAATTGTTGGTACTCATTTACTTTCTATGGTTGGAAATCCTTTATTATTCCTTCTAGAATTAAATGTTTATCGGCAAGAATTTCATCTTAAAACATGTATAATTTATTAAAAGAAATTGCATATAAAACATACATATTGTATATGAATTGTTTTTCAATATAATTTTAATTGAAGATATCAGAAATACTACTATAGTACATAAGAATGGCCTCAGCAACAACCTTATGATCAGCAGAGTCCCTATCTAAAGTATGATTGTTTAAATATTTGTGAAATATATAGATGTTCAATCATTTTTTTGTTAAGGCTCCTTTCTTCTAAAATTGATTATAAGTATTGGAATTATAGATGATGTTTAAGTTTTGAATCTTAATTGATTGTTACATTTATAATTATTATTGACTAAATTGCGATTATCCTGAAGCCTTCATCTTGTTTGTGTCAGAATTCATATTCAATTTCTACTCCTTAAATCCTGGGACCAGCTTCTCTATTGACTACTAGATTTTAGGATGATTTATTACTGCTTTCTTCATCTATTTGCCATCTTTCTCCTATTACTATCCTTATATATTATAATTATAGGCTGTATTTTGCATATTTAACTGATTTCCCAAATAATTAGGTACTTTGAAACTAGTCTAATTATAATCTAAGATTAATACTTTAGTTCTAATCACATTTTATTAAGTGTTAGGCGACGCAGCAGTTCTATGAACACCTGCACTTACTTATCTCTTTTCTTAATCATTCTACATTTCCAATTCTCTCATGAATTCAACTGCTTCTGGCAAGTCTTCGAAGTATTAATGTCTAAGTGCTTATTTGCAAGTCAAACGCTCAGCTGGTTCCATCTTTAATAATCCTTTGACAAAATTTATGGCTTTTTTTGGTAATTTACAAAGATATCTAAAATTAGCATAAAAATAATAAAATTACCTTTATTCCAATGTTTCTGGTTTAGATATTTCAGGGAATTTCATCCCTAAAAATCTAGGATTCTTTGAAAAAGTTTCTTATTGACTCTATGTCAGTGGTCCTAACATCTTTTAGATTAGATATAGTTAATCCATCTCGTTCTCACCTGGAAACAAAGGATTTCCATCTGTCAATTCACATAACAAACATCCTATCGCCCTAAATTTATGTTTAAACTGGTACCACATATCTACTCCTTTGTCATATATTGAATAGGAAAGCAAGAGTTCCGGAGCTCTATACCATCTTGTTGCCACATAGTCAGTGAGATCTTAGGTTGATGCAGTTAAGGACTAAATTAAATAAGAATGAACTTCATACTCTTGCAAAACCAAAATCACATAACTTCAATTGATGATTGCTGCTTATCAAGAGATTTTCTGGTTTAATGTCTCTATGAACAATGTCATTCTGATGACAACAATATATTGCCTTTAGCAACTGAAAAATTATTCTCTTGATATAGAGTGGCTATTGTCATAAAGATACTAATTACTTCTAATCCTGAAGGAGATGCCTCCAGAACTTCAAGTAGATTACGCTCCACATACTCAAACACTAAATAGATTCTCCCTTTTCTAATTAACTTCCCACATCATACTACCTTTTGAATGCTTCCTTCAATTCCACTATGTTAGCATGTCTCAACAATCTTAGTACTTTAACTTCCCTTTGAATACTCTTTTTCACAATCTCATTCTCTTCAGTTTCCTTGAACTTCTTAATGGCCACTACACAACTTAATATCAAATCTAACCTATTTCATTGGTCTCCTTATTCTTACATTTGAGAACCACACCGTAAGCACCCTCTCCAACAACTCCCAAAACTTCGTATTTATTCATTAATTAAATGAATAATTCAAAGTGTTAATCTTGCAACAAAAACATAGCCATTCTCAATTGCATGACCTGTTCTCTTATTATGTGTTACTTCTGTGATGAGAAACTACATGCAGACAAGGAAAACCATATTACAACAACTTTGCCATTTGCCTCCTAACATCCAACTTAATCAAATCAATCTCATCTAAATCAAACTATCCACTAGAAAAGACTAGAGCTATAGGAACTAAAAGATAAAGAATAAAAAATGGCTAAGATTTACCAAGAGAAAATGCTACATGCTTAAAAGAAATATGAGCAGCAGATTAATGCACTTGAAGAGAGATGTATTACTGTTTTATAATGTCTATATAGTATAATCAGCATCACAATTCATGAATTAAGTGTAGGATCAAGTTGAAGAGATCGATGTTGATAAAATGCAAAATGAATTGGAAGGTTTGGATAAGAGTTTGAAATTGGATATCAAAAAGGCTGAATAAGAATAAGCTATTCTTTTGGAAAAATCAAAAAACTCTGATTAGCTTATTAGCAAATTACAAAAAGCAACTGAAATTGAACATAAACAAATTTTAAAAATGAATGAAGTTTTAGCAGTATTTAAAGCTTGTTCAGAGTAATTGCAAAAAGAAAAAGTATTATTATTCAATCCAACAATTTATAGGATCTATTAATGTTGGATAATGAAAAACTAGTTGGGGAAGTAGAAATATTTGCTAAATTTATGGCTGAGAATGGGCCCCTCTTGGAAGAAATAGGTAAAGTTTAAAATGAATAATAATAATAATAATAGTAATAATAATAATGATATTTATTTTGAAATTTGAGGAAAGCAAGCTTATTACCTTCTAAAATTACTTGATACTGGATAATCTACCACATTTCTATTGTTCTATATTCAAAACTACTTTTAGATAATCTGTTCAATTTACTAACAAAAATCTAATAAAATGTTGTTCTAGTAGATCAATCATTTATTTAATATCTTTCTTTAATTAAATTTAACTACCAGATTATTGTTTAATCTACTGATTACTGATTTATATTATGAATTAAATCTAAATTAGTTTGCTATCATATAAATCAATTGAATAGTTTCTAAATTAAATTCTATTTATAAGAAAATGATATCGAAATATTGAATTATGCAATTTCAAATGAAAAAATAAAAACCCTCAAAAGATTTGATCAGTTAGAAAATATAAAAATTGATAGATATGATAGCATCTAAATGCACAATCATCAAGATTATATATAGTTTCTTTAAGAACACATTAAAATATATGCTAATATTTGAATTAATAAATCATAATGAAGATTGATTTGAAAATTAGAATAAAAGATTCATTTTAGTTGATTGGCGGGTTGAATTTGGAGAATATTTTAAGGGTGAAAATTGGAATTAGAAATGAATTTCAATAAAAAGTCATTTATCATTTAAAGTTTCAGATGAGAATGAATTTCTTTAATAAAGAATTGATCTATATTTACTATTTTCATTGATTATAATCATTAATTAAAATATAAAGAAGAGAGAATGTCATCATAATCTACTTACCAAGCATAATTAAATTCTGTGTTAGATCTGAAATATGTATTCCTGATGAAACCTCGTTGTAAGGAATCTGCTGATACCAAGATTGCAATTGATTATTCCCCTATATACAGTGAGTAAGTTAAATTCTAAAGTTCAGAGTTTTAGGGTGCAAACAAAATACAGTACCGATATTTAGCAATGACGGAGAGCCATCGTAACCTGGCTTTATCCTCTAGATAGATTAAGTATTTTATTTTAATAAATTTTAGCCTGTGCATTTGGCCAATAGCATTCATTATAGATCTTAGTTTGATAAGAAATTATAGGAGGTGTAGGAGAAGAACAAGGATCTAGTATATATAAAATTACTATATGAAGTTTATCCCAAAACCAAGGGGAACCAAAATCTATTGCAATGTTTGTAAATAATCTATCGAGGATTATCTCTAAGTAAATTAAGGAATTCATTCTTTAGCACACCGAATCTAAAAACCACAAATTGAAGTTTAGGAAGAACAAAGTCATCAATCTCATCCATTCTATGGCTGATGAATTTTAGAAGAATCGAAGTATGCCTCAAAATACACCGACTCTTCATTCCGATTCTGATAGATGTGGTTACTTCTCGTCCATCTAGGAGGATAGCGTTGAACATTAAGACAGCACATAGTAAGAACCACATACTATTAAGAAGATCAAGTTGAATGAAGATGTCAGCGCTTTCAACAAGATGGGCAACTCGTATAAAATTCATTAATCCTATTAGTCTTGTACATAGCTCAAATTAATCATTCAACGATAAGTACGGAAGGTAGTGTCTTTGAAGGAACAATTATGAGCAGCATTATATATATATATATATAAAAAAAGAATTATCATCCCAAAAATTAAGTTATAAACTCTGAGTTTGGTATATTTAATTATATGTCTCTTGGATTTAAATGTTTATGTCTCTACATGCAGGCCTCTAAAGAGTTAATTTGTGGCGATAACTTAATAAATTACCATACATTGTAAAATCTATTTAGAGATACAGTTACATCTTTTTCAGTAAACTAGAATTGTTAAGCTGAATTTATCTGTTCATTTTTTGTATACAAAGCCAACAATAAGCAACAAACAGCATACAATTGTCTTTCAATAATGAGTTATTCATTTCCCATAACAAAAAAGTCACAAAAATAGTAAGATAACATTGAAGATTCATTCGACACTTTCAATTTTGAATTTAGAATTTTTAAGAACTAAATTTCAGTCGTATAAGTTAAGTTATAGTCTAAAATTCAAAGAATTTGCTATTCCATATTAATGATTTGTTTTTCATTGTATTCATCAGCAGTAATATAAGCGTATGCATTACAATTCTCTTACTTAAGTATTCCTTAGACCTTTCATTATAAACACTTTAGAATTAATGAAACATAATACTCAGCTAACTTTAAGGATGTAACTCCAATCAATTATAAGTTTATTCTCCTTATCTTCATTGATGACAAAGCCAAATCAATATAAATGATCGACAGAAGCAACTTTTCATCCATTAAATTAAAATGAATGCATATATCAATTAATCAATCTATTAAGGTACTCCGCATAGTTTGATTGATTTCAGTTTGAAATTTCAGATATTCTTTGAATTTAGGTTCTGTGTAATAAATCTATGCATTCTAACTAACAGCGTTTAAAAAAGGATGTTGTATAATTTCTATTATATCCAATCTATCTTCAGGCTTAATACATAACAGTTTTTACAATAAATCTACTCCTTCCTTACCTAATATTGTATTAAGAATGAGTAATTTTTCGTAGATCTATTTTCTATTTTAAATAATGTCTACTATTTCATTTTTTTTCAATTCATTTATATATAGATTATATTTGGAATTTAATTTTGACATCGCTTGAGATTGAATTCCAGTCTCTTTCATCAGGTGATCCAAAAAATTAGAATACCTCAAATAGATATTCAATCTCAGTTTTGCCACTAAATAACGGACTCCTCAAAGCCATTTCAGCTAAAATGCATCACAATGACCAACTGTCTATTTCACAACTGTAATACTATTTTCTTAATAACATTTCCATAATCTTTTCACTTCTCTATTAGATCTTTCTCTTTTATTCTTTCTCTTTCTTTGGGATCTTTTGGTGTATAGGGAATGATAGGAAAGGTTTCCATTTTAGACATTCCAAAATCTGAAATTTTTACTAAATTTTTATTAATAAATATATTATCCGGTTTCAAATTCTGATGTAATATATGATTTTAATGTAAATATTCTACACCTCTACATATTTGTAAAAATAGTGACTTTATCTATTCTATTGATAAATTTGTCCTCTTAAACTATTCTCTTAAATTCAAAGTGTAATATTCATATAAAATTGACACTATATGATTTTTTATTTTAACTTATACAATAGACACAATGTTCTCATGACACTTTAAGGACCTTACATAAGAAATTTCTCTTAAAACTGATGTTTATACTCCGTCATCATGATTTGCTTTTGCCTTGATTGTGTCCAGTTCTCTGAGTAAAAAGCATTAACCAGTCAACCTATTACAGACTTGATATAATTTTCCCTTTGATCTTCTTTCTTGTAGAAATTTCAACTTCTAATATAAATCATGAAATAACAGAGTGTTGAATCTATTATAATACTAATATAATAAGATTGAATAATACATTCTAGAATTGTTGATTAATTAATTACAAATATTAATGGTTGAGAGTTCTTATGAGGTTATTGATCTCTTTAGGGGTTAAAAAAAGGAATAATTTATAAAGCAAATCTTTAGGTAAAAGAAGCCTGTGTTTAACTTAATATTCTGCCTTTTTATTAGAAGAAGTTTATATTAAAATGTTCTCTTTTCCTTTATGATTTTCGAATTCTTTTTTTTAACTGCATTATTATTAATACTTTATGATATAATTAAAGAATATAACTGTTGATATAAGGAGTAATTTATTTATGCAGATCTATTAAATTTCAATTTTAATTGAATTGCCAATTTGTAACTAAGATATTCTAATAAAAATAGATTGTGAAATATAATTAAATTGAATATAATAAATCAAGTATTTTATGATATAATTCATGTATTATCAAGGTTTTAATCAATTTTATAAATAATTCAGGAGCATAGTTGCAAGGGTGCTTTATTTATCTTATCTAAAGTCTAAAGCATGGTTCCTTTTGCAGAGTACAAGAAGATCTTGACTTGTAATTTAATTGTTATCCTTTTAAACTTAAATACATAGCAGTCTAGTCACAAATAATTACCAATGATACAAGATCTACTTCATACATTATGGATACTATTGAATATATTCCAATTATTAAAATTATAATATCTATTTGCATATGTCTATTAGTTTATATTTAATAATTACCTTAGATATCAGTTTTTAGGATTTTTAAAATGTTTTAATTTGATTCTAAGATTTGAATCATTAATTCTATAATTGATGCTTCTTCTCCAGGTTAGAGTAATCTTGAACTTCCAATCCCAAAAATTTAATTTATATCTCTTAAATAAGGAAAATAATTACTTTTTTATAATATTATTATTTAATTTTGTTGATGGATACCAAAAGGTTTTATCTTCCATTAATTGCTTCTTTAAAATTGGACTCATTTTGTTAACCCATTCTTGTGTTTATTAATTTTTTTTTTCAATTAGATGAGTCTCTTCGAGTACTATTCTTCTAACTAATTCTCTTTATTAAGTAATATTTAATTCAAATGGCAATGTTTAGTAAATACTTAATAAAGATTCCTTTAAAATCTGAATTCCAGTTTTATATTATAAGACATCTAAAAAAGAATCGTTATTATTATCGAATTATTCGGGCTCTGTAAATACTCTGCATTTGGGAGTTGAATATTTATTGGTTAATGATTTAGATATTCCTTAAATGATATTCTTTTCAATTTATTCCTAAGATGTATCTATCTGATGATTGATTTTTAACTTGCTTGGAGTAATTGAACTATTTCTCTTTTTTTTTGTGATTTCATTAACAGATATAACGTAAAAATTCTTTTTCGGTTGAGACTTATTTCTATGAATAACTTCTGGGGCATCTTTATTTTTTAAAGGTGAAACCCAAAAACTCTCAGATTTTTAAGTTTGTTATTTTACTCCCTTAAGAGCTGATTTGGGTCTCTTATAAAATTTACTCTAAAGAATTGATCTTACTCTATTAGGAATTACGTATTCTCCTTCCTACGGTTTATAAACTTCGACTCCTTAACTTTATAGTCTGCTTATATAACTAAGACGCATTAAATAAATGTTTTATAAATAGTTAAGTACAAAATCAGATATAATTATCATTAGGATTATTATATTGAAGTCATTGATTGGTTAATTAATACTTGTGCATTCCCATTCTAGGGAATAAACAAATAACTAATTAAAAACAATTCATTATTAAACTGAATAACAACATTGGTAGTATCCAATTTATAAATAATTGGGTGTTGATAGAATGTTGAAATTTTAAGTCAATTTCCCCAATCTTCATAACCTTAGATTTGTATGACCTTAATATTAACTAAATCAAATGCTTAAGATAATATAATTATTCTGATATTCTACATATATTTATAACATTTGGAGAGCAATAAACTTTAATAATACTCATTTTAATTCGACAATATCTTCATATTTAGTGTCTGAATGTCTTTGTTAATCCTTATGCCAAACTGCCATATCATCTTCATCATCATCCTAAGATCCTTAATCAAATAGTTATTATGCCTTCTTATACTACTACTCAACATTTTATTATTTAGCTTATTATTAATCCTATTCTATTTCTTTTTCTACAATTTTTGGATCTCTCCAATGCTAAGGCATAGACCAAACCTTGATAACTTTGTCTTTAGCAGCTGTCAACAGAGTTTAATCAGCATCTAACCATTACAATTTCGTAATATCTGAATCATGAGCCTTAAGTACATCTAAGTAATCATCAAAAAATATTACATAATTATTGTGACTTTCGAGCATCCCAAATCGTAACAGTGCCATCTATATTGCCAACATAGATTTCACCTCTTTTTGCTGACCATCCAATTTCTCTGCTTTTTGACTTTCCATTTAATTAGGCCACTTCCTTAGAATATTACTCTCTTCCAGGTAATTATATGTCTATTATTAAAATAACTCCATTTTCATGACTAATTGAAAATAAATAATTCCTTTAATTATCTATGAAAAATCCCCTAATAAACAATTAGTTGGTTGGGATTTTAATAACCAATTTTGGTCGTTTCTAAATTATTAATGAAATAATATACTTTCGTAATATCATAAATAAATATTTCTCCATGTCTATCTCCTACAAATGTTTTCTTTCTTTCTTCGCTTCCTAAAAGACATGTCAATTCATATTAATCAGGTTCGATATCTAAATTATTATTAACATTGAAAATAACCTGCTACTAGTTCCCCTTTTCTAAGATTTAATACTCTATATTTTCTATCTTTGGATATGGAATGCAAATATTTTCTCTTACTATCATAATACAATCCCATGACTCTATCTGTATGTTACTCAATTTCCAAACTCTCTGTAAATTTCTTAAATCCTTCTTTTTCTGGTACATACAAATAGTTGATTGATCCACTATCTAATCCAACAAGCAATACAGAAGCAGCTGCATCCCAATAACATGTTATGGCTTAAGAATTGTACATCTTAACCCATAATCTTGAAAATTCTCCACTCTCTTATTGTAACCAACATTCAACACATCCTACAGGTATTAATGCTTGATCTCCCTTTTCAGATTCCCAAGGAGCTTTCATGTTTGTTAGATATGCATCCAATCTGTTAATCACTGAGCAATCTGATGTAATAACAAACATCAATCCTTGTTCTGAACTTATAGTAAAATCTCTGATTCCATGCAAAAATCCTTTGAACTCGAATATTTGTTTTGGAGGATTCACTATGATTTCTTTTGCATTCTTTTCGATTTCCAAGAATTGTTTTAGTGGTTCTGATGCAACTACTTCAGGTCTGCTGGCTAAATTCTCATTATTTCAATAGTATTCTTACTTGAATGAATTCATCTAAACCAGCCTTTCTTTTTTCAATGTCTTCAGGTGTTTTACCAACTAAAAATGTTACATATTTCTTTTTGGGAAGTGATGGCAATTGCTCTCCAAAGAGAACCTTTAATTTTTTGGCTAAGTCTTCAAATTGAGAAAATCTAATTTAGATTTCGCAAATACCTTTTTTCTAATTACCATACGTCACTTGTTTTATTTTTGACTTATATCATATAATAGATAGCATCATCATTTGGATCATTTCTAAATGAAATTACACTTGCCTAATTATTATTAGAGAAATATACAGATATTGGAGATTTCGAGTCCATAAAATATAATAATAATAATTGCAATTAACACAATAAATTTTATTGAAAATTTGACACAGTTGTGAATTTGTAGGAAATAAACATATATACTCAAAATAACTTAATTTTTTATGTGTTCTTCCTTTTTATTTTCAAATTTTATTCGAAAACTATGAGTTTGTCATTAGGACTATGAAATTATCCTCTTTATTCTGATTTAAGTTTGAACTCTTAAGGTGTTCTTGTTGTGCTTTATCTTAATAACCTACAAGATTGGACACTTTCATACGGGTCCCCACTGTTTGAATGCATGTGAAAATGATCCGTGTTATGAGATGAAAGATTTCTGTTGATTTTATAAAAGTTAATAATGTTTGGGGATAAAGATTATTATATTTAGAGAGTTTGATTTATATCCTTTTAAGATTTACTATCCCTTGTCAAATTATGAAATCTTAGATTCTTATTACTTTAACCAACTAAAAAGGGATTCGTTGCTGTTTTCTTTAATGTTCTTTTTTTCAAAGCACTTGTTTTAGGGATATCCCCAAGCAATTTAGTAGACTTCTTAGTTAGTATTGTTTATAATTGGATATTTTCATCAGGAACAATTCCAATTTCAGGTTCTGAGTCACTATCATCCGAGACTTAATTGTCATCGATTTATTAATAGTACTTTTTATTCAATTCAAGATCTTAATATATCCTTGTTTTTTATTCTAATTACATATGATAGATTTTTAATGATTAATGCAAATCCATACCGATTTATACTAAATCATTTTGAGAATATTAGATAAATTTATTATCGTATTTATAACCGAAAAATGATGTTTCAAGAGTGACAATGTTATGAAAACTGTTAGGTTTATGCTTTTACACTTAATTAAACACAAAGGCTCTTGCTGTTTTTAATTTATAGGATTTGAGATTAAATGTACATGAATTAAAATCGAAATATTTAGAATTCTCTGCCATAATCCTGGGAAGAACTCTGCACTCAATAGGATCTTCAGAGTTCCTACAAGCATACATAAAAGTTCCAAGTTTTCTAGAATGACCATGCAAATCAATAAATGTTTTGATGTCCCTCCCTTCACTCAATATTTTGTCAATAAGACTTCTGATCTAAATTATTTATTGATGGTATTTTAATCTAGGATTTTGCCAGACTCTATTCAAATCCTTCCCACTTAAATCGCATCTAAAATTACCCTATTTGACTCCATCTGGATTGACCATAGGAATAACAATGATGTTATAAAACAATTGGAGTGTTTTGTCATTTGAAAGTGCTTCAAGAAAACCTTAGCAAACATGAGAGGATACGGTTTCTCCAGGATGTTAACGTGCAATCACTAAAATAACATCACTTCTCTTGGATCCGAATTGAACCATTCTTATAGGCAATCCTGTAATAGTATTGGCTAGGATTTCTGATGAAAACTTAATTAAGTATTTATCTAGATCAAGATGAGTATAGGGGATTCCAAGGGCTATCTCATAGGACTTCGAGGATTTATTTATCCAGAAGGAGAGAGTGTATAATTTAGTCGAGGTGGTTTTGCAGTAATTGGATTTGACATATTAGGATTATTTGATTAATACTTGAGACTTGAGTATTTCCCAATGAGAATCGTACTTGATGTACACTCCGAAACCATTTTGGTACTGCAAATAATTTTTGCTCTGTTGTTTAATATTATAAGTTACCATATTAATGATGTTTATTCTGCATTTGTACTCGTTGGGATTGGTTACTCGAAAGTAAAACCATTGAGAATAGCTGGTAGCGTTGATGTCTTCTTGGAGAAGTAAATCATATTCGAATTTATCCACTTGATAGACTGCTGCGAGATTTCCAGATGTGAAATTGGAATCAAATAGTGGTAACTGTTGGGGTTATGTGATGGTAGGGGTTTGTATATCTTTGAGATTTAATTATTTAAAATGTTGATTACTCACTTTTGATCCATATTATTTCTTATAAATGCACTTATATGATTTTTCGATATCTTTTATGTCATTTGTCAGTCCTCGATTGTCTGCTTAGTATACGATGGGATTGGGAGTGGGAAGAGATGTGATTATGAATGTAGGTTACTTATCTTATTAGGTTATTAAGGTTTCAATAAAAGCAGATTCGAATCCCTCATCATCCATTTTACCCGTTTTTGAGAATTAAATAAATTGAGAATCGTCTGGCAAACACAATAAATATTAATAAATGAAAGCCACACTTGCAATTCTCTTGTTGATAAGCATTGCATCTGCAACATCCACTCATGATTAAATCATGGCTCTACTCCAAACTGGTACAAAAGCCATGGATGCCATTGACACTGTCTTTGGTTTATTGAATGATCTAATCCAATCCAACAAAGATGCCTAATTTGCTGCCGACTAAAAGAATGAAACAGACGAATGGGTTGGAGCATAGTAATTATCTTCCTTAATCATAGAACAATCGAGTAATTCACTAAGATCAAGACACTCAACTAAAAGCTTTTCTAATAATCAGTTGAAAATAGAGTCCTTTTCGAATAAGAACTCCAAGACACCAAGAATTATCTTGCTTGGAATGAATAAAGATAAGATGAAATCACCAGAAAAATCAATGTCCTCCTTGATGAACAATGTCTTAGTAATCAACTCTTCGTCAGATCAATCAAACAAAACAGAGAAGCTCTTGAAGTTGTCAGAGTTCTCAAATAAGATGTTGCTGGTTACATCATTAACGGAGATTCATTTGAATTAGTCCAAGAAAAAAGCACCAGTGTTGCTCAAAAACTCAAGGCTTACAGCAATCTATTCAACGACGAAGAAATCAAAACCTTCTTGAGTTTGGCTTAAACCAAATAAGAAGATGGAGTTAGCAGAGGTGCCACACTTGCTGAAAAAGTCCTTGCAGTCCTTGAATCACTTGAAGCCAACCTCCAAGCTTCCCTTGAAGCTCTTGAAGTCAATGAAATCAATGCCTCATGGGAATTGGCCGGCTGGGTTTCATTGAGTGAAGCTGAAATCGCTACCCTCAAAGTTGAATACGAAAGAAAATAAGTCTTTGCTGATAGATTAGCTACTGTATTATTCATTTTCATCATCCGTAGTAAATCTAAGCAGCCTTAGCCTAATAAGCCAAATCCAAGATCATCTTATAAGAGTCCCAAGATGCCCTTGACTAAGCTTAATCTGATTTGGAATCCAAAAGAGCTGACTATGCTCAAGCTAAAGCTAAGAGAGATGAAGAAAATGCCATCTTAGAATAAGTTATCATCATGTTCAAGAAATAAGTTGCCTCATGGTCTGGAAGATGATTAATATAACTAATCAAGTTATTCAAAACATTTATTCAGTTTTTTATTGACTTCTTTTTTTGACTTCCATCACTCAAGTATAGTTAACTATAGATTATAAAATAGCAATTATTATAAAATAAATATTAGAAGTTAAATATTTACATATAACAATTTAACCTTTTAGTCACCAATCTTTGAATGGATCATCCTATTATTTAATAGAGTCTGGTAATTCAGTACTATCAGGATAAGTAGCAAAATTAGAAGTATCATAATCAGATCTACATATTAATATATCATACTGAATAACTGGTATATATTGTGGCTTTAGTTTTTTGGCAAACAAATCTTTCCAATTCAGAGTTTCATACCATTTATGTTATTTAATATCATCTACACCATTTTTTAAATTCCCAAATCTTTTTGTTACATCCTATTCCAATAAATGTTTTACTAAGCTTTTTGCTTCACTAAAGTTAATTATTATTAATTTCATTATTACTTATCAAAATTACGTGGATATTTGACTTTCCCCTTCAATATTTTCTAATATATAGCCATTGGATCTTCATCATTAAATGGATCAATTCCTTTGGATTTCAACGATAAAACAAATACCTGCAAGCATTTCATACAAAAAGATTCCTAAACACCACCAATCTACAGGTTTACTATGACCTTAAATTTTGTTACATTTCAATAATACCTTTATTTAATAGGATTTCAGGTGCCAAATATTCAGGTGTACCACATAATGTATAGGTTCTATCTTCAACCACTTTAGCAAAACCAAAATCAGTTAGTTTCAGATAACCATCAGATTAGACAAGAAGATTTTCAGGCTTCAAATCTCTATACACTATATTCTTAGTGTGAAGATACTCAAACATTAAAACAACTTAGGCTGAGTAGAATCTACTGTCATCAATTGATTTACTAAGCCTCTTCATTTTGTACTGTTCCAGCATTTCTTAAGTATGTAAACAATTCTCCTCCTTATATGTACTCCAACACAAAATACAAGTACCGTTCATCTTAAGTGTACCCACTCATTTCAATCTAACGCGTTTACTTATGATACTTACCAGAAATGGGTGTTTTACTTACTTGAGAATGTTAAATTCACTTATAATATGATCAACCTATTTAAGTCGTAATATTTCAATTTTTTTTAGCATCTTCAAAGCAACATATTTGTTATTTGATTTTTGTTTTGCTAATCTTACTCTTCCAAATGAACCAGTCCCCAATGTATTCATTATGTCATAATCAGCTAATTTAACCTTTTTTGTTTCCATTTATTTAATAATAATTTTTATAAGCATGATCAATTTCATACTAATGGTTAACAAACAAGGACAAACAAGACTAGCATAATATTTTCAATTTCTCAGTGTCAAAGAAAGAATGACACTCGAAGGAGAATTGATTCGTAAGTGTCTCTCCAGAAATGAAACACAATGTAGTTTTCTTGAACATAGAGGATACAAGGTAATTTATCAATCTCATAATATAGATTATATACAGAAGATATGCATCACTTTATTTTATTATTGGAATGGATTTAGAAGAAGAAGTAATTCTATATCATAATTATGAAGAATGAAATGGCCTATTTAGAATTTATTCATAACTTAGTTGAAACACTTGACAAGTACTTTGAAAATGTTTGCGAATTAGATGTACTCCTATCATTTATTCTAGATAATGTTTAATATTGAAAAAGCTCATTACATCTTAGAAGAAATGGTCATGAATGGCTAAATTGTGGAAACTAATAAGACCTAAATTTTAGGTATTCGATTCTTATATAATCTAAGCCCCAATCCATGTTTTAGACAAGGCTAAAGATGAATGACGATTTTTTTTGTTTATCATAATTGATTTTATCAGAACTTATATAACTTAAATTAAGGAAATTGAAATTCAAAATTAATCATTATCAAAATCTCCAATTGCTCTAATCAAAGTAATCTAAATAGCATGACTCTTTTCAAAGGTTATTGATTGCCAATAATTAAAGTTGTATACCTTTGATATGTTAACATCTTTAATTTTCTTATTTCTCCATCTATATAAAGGAAATTATATTTATCATTAGTATCTTAATTATTTCCCATCAGATTTAGTTCGTTTATTGATAATCTAATCCATTTAGGAAAGAAGTCTTGCTTTGAATATTTCAGATTATTCTAACATTTTGACAATTATATTTTTATCTAAGTAAGTCTTACATTGTTTACAATTAATAATAACTATTCATTCATTAATGAAGGTTGTGAAATCTATTAAAATTAAACAAGATAAAATTAAAAGAAGGTTCTTCTTTAAATAATATATATAAAAATGAAAAAATAATCTTTGCAGTCAAAATGATGAAAAATAATCGACTTCCAATCATCTCAATTAATTATAAACAGTAATCAATATTGGAATTTAATCATTTTAATTAAGATATCATTTTGAATTATGAATGTTATAAAAATAATTATTTCAATGCTTTAAAAAATAATTCCAAAATATCAATAAGAATATACAAAACAGATTATTAAATAATAACCTATTTTCTTAGCTTTGACAACTAAAATCAAGATAACCAATAACAATGCGTAATTCACTATAAATTCTCTTTAAATACAAGTTGTAAAAATGTCTTTTATAATAGAAATATAAATGAAGACAATCTGTCTTCAAATGCTTAAGTACTTTTTAATAAAGTAGTTGGAGTAATTTATATAATCTATACTAATATTTTAATGATTAATTTCATTGTTGATCTTCATCATCTTATTCAAATTGTATATTCAATTTCCTTGATTTGCCATGTTCTTCATCATCTATCATACTCTTACTATTCTCCAATTTTGCTTTTTCGTATAATTATTTCTATTATTCTTCTAACTATTTCAAGTGCTCCTCATCTTAAAACCTTGCTCTATTTTGATTTTTCACCTTAAAATAAAATTCATATATACATTCACTTCTTCTTTAATTTCTTCTTCGATTTCTTTAAGATGGGGTATTTAACTGTCTAATTTCAATTTTGAAATAGCCTTATAGAAAAATTCCCCTGATATTGTCTTCTTTCCTTGCTCTAAGCAAATTGTATTTGCTTGATCAGAAACTAATTAGATATATTCCCTAGCCATTGACATCACTTAAGTCACAAATTCATTAGAGCATTTCATATCTCCATTTGTGGAACTCTTTATAAACTGTTAAACAGTAGCTACGATTACATTTTAATTTACCTTTTGGAAGTTGTTCCATTTCTATTTTTTTACATTTTTATTAATCAATTTTTTTTTTTTTGAATTTAGGATAGTTGCAGTACTTATTTTATATTTAATGATTGGTCATTAATAATCGATTAGAATAAATATAAACCAAAAAGTTATTATTAATAAAGTATAGAAGACTATTTCTATAACTAATATTTTCCTAAAATATCTTGTTCTGAAATTCTTGATTTATTTAATATTATATCTATAATAAATCGTATAATTATTTTCACATCATTTGGATAATATCAACTATTTAACCCTCCTTATATCTATTTATTTATTATCACAAAATAATCAATTTACTTTATAATTCATAAAACCAGTTTAGAGTATATTAACAGTTGACTTATTATTAATAATTCAATTTACTAGATTTGAATAGCATTAATAGAACTTTAGGTATTTTCTTAATTAATTAAATCTATTGTTACAATGTGTAAATAAAATGTAAAATATTTGAATTATTCATTAAATTCTCTTAAATTATTGCAGATTGCATTTTATAATTGAATGAATAAATTATTAATTAAAGTAAAATAATTATTAATAATAGAATATCTTCTAAATTATAAGTAGATTTAAATAATTTTGATTTTACATAAAACAGCAACTCTAAGGTTTCTATTAACTTTTAAATAATTTTTATACCTAAATGTAATTATTATAAATATTGTTTGTCTCAATTTCTATATTATAATTAGTTATTTCTATGGATTAGATATAATATAAATTGATAAAAATCAAAAAAAAATGAGCTACCATCTCGCTTAATGCGTGTCATCCTTACGCAGGGGCCATGCTAATCTTCTCTGTTACGTTCCAATTTGACGGATGACCCCGAAGGGTTCCAATTGATATGAAATTGATTTGTTTATAAATTGGACTAAAATAGGAATTATTTTTATGGGTTTAATTAGGCATATAATAATTTGAATTTGTATATATTAATTAAACTTCTATAATAACAAAATTATCTGAATGTTAAATATTGATTAAGGATCATCCCTCTGTGATAGTCTAGATAGCTGTCTTAGTAGATCCATCCTTAAATTTATAAGTCTTAGTGATTTTTGTAACTTTTTGTCCACCTTTCATACTTACAGCAGATGAAGTACTAACAGAAACGCATCCAGGTGGCAATTATTCTGAATTATGCATTAGAAGTACCTTCTTCTTCATCCTCTTATTAGGGAGCAGCACCAACATGACCTCCTTTTCCACCTAATTCGACTGTCTTTGCTTAATTATTTGATGATTATTTAGGCTATTGGCCTTATGGAGTGAATTCAGTAGCAAAATCAAACACACTTTGAGTTTAATATGTTTTGTGATCTCCTGTAGCAATTCCAACAAGATTGAAATCTTAACCAAAACAATTCTTTCTATGTCCTCTAGAACCAACTCCATCATCAATCAATAGTTAGATGATAACATCTTCTCCAGTTTTTTATCCATAACTAATATTTTCACCTATTTTTCCATTCCATTCTCCATATCTTTCGATTCTGTCAGAAAGTGATGATCCATCAGTTCCTGTATGTCCACAGACACCTTTAGGTCCTGTGTCTTTGACATGATCAGCACAAGCTTATTCTAATCCTTTTTCATATGTTAATGGATGCAGAGGCTGTTGTTTTTATAAAAATCCGATTAATTCTAGCTTATTAATATTAAAAATTACCTTGAATGACTTTAGTGCCTTCATTAGTTTGCAAAGGTACTTCTCCAGGTTTATAAAGAACACTGCCTTTAAATAGTTTGATCAAATTTTATAATTTTGGAATAGGGAGTGTGGGATTTTATCTGACTTGATTTAAATAGTCAAAAGCATCTTAAGTTATTTTATCATCAGGGTCTTTGACTTAAGGTTTGGCAGGAGGAGCATCTGGTTATCTATTTTATTGTTGTTCTGGTTATTATTATGAAATGCTCTGAGAAGGAGCGTTGGCATCAAGTCCTGGTTTATCTTCAAATGATCCTGCAAAATCAAAAACGCATTAAGTTTTGTATTGTTTATGTTCTCCATCATATATGCCTACAACTCCGAATTCTGGTTTAAAGCAGTTTTTTCTATGTCCTCTAGATGAAACGCCATCATCAATAATTAATTGAATGATAACTATAATGATATTGAATTGGTACCATCTTCACCTGTAGTTTATCCATAACTGATGTTTTCACCAACAGTAACATCCCATTCTCCATATCTTTCGATTCTGTCACTCATGGATGATCCATCAGTGCCTGTATGACCTGTGACTCCTTTTGGTCCTGTATCCTTGACATGGTCTCTGGCTGCACATTCTAATCCCTTACTCCAAGTCAAAGGACCAAGTGGCTTCTGATTTTGCAAGAATGAAATGCACTCTAGTATATATCTGAAAATTACCATTGACAACTTTTGGTCCTTCATTTGTTTGGAGTGGTATTTCTCCAGGTTTCTATAAGATATTTCCTTTGAAGAGCTTGAGATGTTCTTGCAATTTAGTGATAGCCAATTTTGGATTCTGCCTTAATTTATTAAGATACTCAAAGGCCTCTTGAGATATTTTGCTCATAAAAATTAATGTTATGCCTTTCTAAAAATTATTGAAAAAAAGTGATATTGAAATATAAATGATATTAAAATTTTTAAATTAATTTTAAAATGGTGAAGAATGTTGCTTAAGAGAGTGTGAATCAAAAACTTTAATTGGTTGTCAGATCAGGAAAGATCACCATGGGATATAAGCAAACATTGAAGGCAATCAGAAATGGAACAGCCAAATTAGTGTTTATTTCTAACAATTGTCCCACAATTAGAAAGACCCAAATTGAGTATTATGCCATGTTGGCTCAAATCACCATTGTGTTATATTAAGGAAACAACGTTGATTTAGGTACGGGGGTTTAGAAGGAGAGTTTGTTCTTCTTTGATTGAATTAATGGGCATTAGTGATTTAATCTTATTATAGGTACCGCCTGTGGTAAATTACACAGATGTTCAAGCTTAGCCATCATCGATGCAGGTGACTCAGACATCCTTACCCAATAATGATTTAATTTTATGTTAGTACAATATTTTCATAACACAAATTACAGATATCCTAAATTATATAATTATTTCCTATAAACTATTTGAATCACTTTCTATTTCCACCTCTTGTTTTAATTTCTCCTTGTTTAGTCCTGTTTTCTCTATCCTATGATGACAAATTGAAATTAGACTGGTTTTAAATTGGTCTTGGTCTTCCCCCGGGTTTATAATTCTTTTAATTTCTTTATTGCTCTCTCTCATTTACTCTTTCTCGACTTCTACTGCCTCCTCTGTAACTCTCCTATTAAATTCAAAAGCATTGTACCTTCTAATCTTGTTAATCAGGCTTTCTTCTTTATGCATGAGAATCTCCTCTAGTAATCAATTTTCCTCTATCTTAATTTGATTGCTTATTATTGTCCTCCCTATTCTATTTATTCTACTTGGGTTTGTTCTCCCTTGAAAAGAACAAATTCTATGCATAGATCATGACATATGGAAAGAGTTCAAATTTCTTTTCATCTTTCACTTCTCCTGGTTCTTAATAGCCTGGCTAATTCAATTCCTCTTAAGTAGGATTGCATCTACAGTATAAAGATTGAGTACGTCAATTTAATTCGAATTGCTGGGATTGCAATTTATATTTTTTTTGTTTGTCCATTCTCATTCACCTCAATACTCTTTTACATATTCTCGAATGTTGCGATCGAACTCAGTCCCTACAATTTCTTAAACTTTTACCTTAAATCTTGCTCTTACTATTTCAGCAACCAAAATTGCATTTGGAATAGCTGATCCTGCCCCAAAAAGTCTGACTGACTCACTCTTATTATCTCTATCTCTTAAAAACAAAACAGCCTTCACTAAATATTAAGCTATTTGGTCTTGTGAAGACTTAGATTTTATCTTGATATCTGTCTTCTCTTTTTAATCCATAATTTATTGATAATATCTAATTCCAATATATTAAATAACATCGATTTATATTTCTTTCGATTATAAAAAAGCAATTACTAGCTTTATAATTATTACTGTATGATTAAGTATTCTATATTATACTGTGCTATTTTGAAGCATAATTTAATGATTTTTTGTACTAACTCTTATCTACAGATAATTTAGTTCTATTAACTACAATAGATCATCATCTAGATGCTTTAACAGAATCATAAGTGTCCACTCATTAATCAGTTTTAGCCAAAGGAATATTTTGTATGTAATTACTTTGAAAATGTGAATTTTGGCTCTTAAATTAGAAGAGTAATGTTTAAATTAATTATAAATTATAATCTTCAACTCTAATTATAAATATATGTATCATGTTATATGATATCCCAAACTACTAAATTATCTTATCTATATCAATTCTTATATGACATTAGATAGTATTAAATTAAATTTTTGCTATCACTTCGCATTATAAACCTCAAATAGCTTAAGAGAAATTGGAATGCTTAAATTTCTTTTTAACTCAAAAACTTCTAGTTATCTTTTTCTTTAATTCTTGACTATCTTTAAAATGTTTTGAAGTATAATACATTCATACTTCGAATTAATTTATCATCCATAAACTTTATCTTTAATATTATTTCAATTGAACGTAAATGTTTTTTAGAGAATTAATTTATGTCAAATAATCTGTAAATAAATCTATTATTATATATAAATTTTGCCTTAATAAAATATTATTATTCCTTTGTATTAATTTGTACATATAATGAAAGATAATTAAAATTTGATAAATATAAAATAGAACCTAAAACATCTTAATTATATTGATTAAACTCTACAATAAATGTGTATCTGTATTTAAAAATGAATTCTATCTTAATATAGTAATCTAAAACATGATTAAAATGTAGAGCAGAAAATGCATTCTAATTTAATCAAGCTGATATAGTAAGAGAGGGTAAAGTAATTTCATAGTTAATTTGTAAATTTGATGGAAAGTAAACTCAAAACGGTTTTATGATTATTTGAATGATTTATTAATAAACCAATAAAAATTAGAGTTTAAACAAAAAAAAAGAGACGTTGGAAGTTATTGAGTTTTTATCATTTGAAATTTTAATTAAATAAAATTATGTAATAAGAGGATTAGGAAAAGATTAATCTGATTAGTGAATTAAATCTGCATAAATAATAGGTGGAGGAATACAAGTCTAAATACTTTTAGGCATAAAAGGAAATTGAGAACAAGAACAAAGAAATTGAAGGGTATCATTCTAATTTATATTAACAATAGTTTGAGATAGATGATGTAAATGACCTAGTCTATAAGAGGATCTGATGGGAGATAATCAGAGGATTTGAGAAGAAATTTGTAGGTTTTGATGTCAGAGAATCAAAGTTTGAAATCGCAGAACCAGGAATTGTAAAATTAATTGCAACAATTTAATCAACAAATGCAATACCAGCCTTAACAATAATAACAAATTCAATTGCAACAAGAAATCAATAGATTAAATAATGACAAGATGCTAATTTAAGGGAATTTAGATATATTACAATAACAATTTGATGCTAAAACTAAGGATTTTGATTAATTAAAGGTGAGGTTGTAAGCAATAGATTTTATACAGAACTTACCTTAAGGTTAAGAAGCTAATAAAATATTGGTTATGGGTAAGGAAATCTAGAGATTGAATTCATAGTTGATATAGAGAGATTAAGAACTGGAGAATCTGAGATCATAATTACTTGAACAACAGAAGGGGCTGTAAGAAAGGGATAATTTATCAGCTCAATTGAGATCATATGAAGACAAAGTAAGAGGATTATCAACTGATATTGAAAGCATGTTAATATAAGTGGGTGGTTTGAAATATGATGTTCAACTAAAGAATGATTTGGAGAGATGTAAATAATAGAAATTAGATCTTGAGAGGGAGTTGGTGTTATGGAAGGACAAGCATACAAAATTAGAGAATGATTCTAAACATCTTTATGAAATCGAAAGAAAGACTGAGGATTTATAAAATAGATTGATAAGAACGAATGAAGAAAATGAGAGATTGGAGTAGGAGAATAGGGGAATATAATTGAAATTGTAAGCATTCGATAGATTACTGAGAGATAAGGAATAATTGGAAAGGAAAATATAAGATCAAGAATCAACACTATATAATATGGAATAATAATTGAATGAGAAGAGAAGGGAAATGGAGTAATTGAAGATTAGGAATAGAGATTTAGAATAAGATTTTATTAATTTTAAGGAGAATATATTTAGACCTAATGAAGAGAGATAAAAGAGATTGGAAATAGAAATAGAGAATTGGAGAAATAAATGTTTGGCTTTGGAAAGTAACTTTTTTGGGAATAATGAAAGATTGTATGTGGAAAATGAATTGAAGAGATTACATGGAATTGTAATTTAATTATAATAAGAAAATGATGAATTAAAATCTAGACCTAGAAGAAATCAAAATAATTACGGTGATGAATAGAGATTGAAAATATTATTTGCAGAAAGAGAGAAATTATATATAGAACTTGAAGAGGCAAGGAGAAGAATTGCTTAATTAGAAAGATAACCATAAATGTAATAATAATAATAGCCTTTCTAATATTTTGATGTCAGTGATAGTGATAAGGATCAGTAAATTTAGGAACTTAAACAAGGAATTAATTTGTTAATAGATGAAAATAAACAATTGAAAGCAGAAATAGATAAATAGTATTTACAGATTGAATAATTGGAGATTGATAAGAATTATATTAAAACTAAGTAAATTGCTCCCAAGGAAACTGTTCTTGAGATGCTGGCCAAATAACCTGATTTACATAAGAGTGTTTTGGAATAGTTGGCTAGAAGATTATATGCTGATCTAAAGGCTAAGGACTAAATTATAGAATAGATGAATCAGAATTTATCTGTTAGCTAATAATTATAATATGAGAAGAAGATTCAAGATCTAGAGGGTTAGATTCAAACACTTATTAATAATTAAAGATAATAGCTATCCATTTCTTAAAACAATTTATTATAATAACCTGAATAGTAATCTTTGAACAATTCAAGACTTTCCAGTCCTAATAAAAAGAAAATATTCGATTAAGTAGATTTTGAGAAAATTATTGAGGAGAACTAGTAATTGAAAAACGAGATTAAGGACTTGAAGTAATAAAGGGATTATGAGTTCATAGAGTTATTAGAGTAGAAGGATAAAGAATTGGAATTAATTAAACTCAAATTTAATCAAATTTCAAATAATGCAAGCGATTTCAAAGTTGATGATTTGAAGAAGTTGAGGGATGTATTGGAATAGAAGGCTTATGAGGCTTAAGAATGGAAAGATAAAATGGCAGCACTCCAAATGTAAGTAAGAAATAAAGAAAACTAAAATTATAATAGACCATTTAGTTAAAATATTCTAGAATAAGAATACAAGAAATTGAGTTAACTATATGAGTTGAAATCATTGGAAGTTGAAGAATTAAGGGCTAGATCAGGAGTTAATGGTTAATTGATTATAAGTGAGAACTTACAAAGCCAGAATTTGGATGTCATTAAACTGAAAAGAATTTTGGAGATGAGAACTGCTGAACTAGAAGAGTGGAAAAATAAATGTTTAAAGTTTTAACAATATTAAATCTAATTACAAAATCAGAATTAAGGTAGTAATGGTGTGTCTGACATGGAAGAACACATCCGTAAACTCAAACTCACTCATGATTATAAAACAAAAGAAGCCGAAGATTGGAGATAAAGATACAACTAATTATTGAAAAATCAGGATCCTAAGTCAGGGAAAGCCATTGATGAAATGTAGGCAGAGCTAGTTAAGTTAAAAAGGATTCATGATGCTAAGCACTAAGAACTATAAGAAATGTAACCTAGATTCTAAAGGATGTAATAAGAAAAGGATGTTTTAGAAAATGAATTAAGAAGACTTAAATACTCATTGGAATAATAGATTTAGGATAATGATTTGTTGAAAAAGAAACTTGGAATCAGCACAGGAGGTAATATGAATAATTTATCAAATGATAAAGTTGTAAGAGAGTAGTAATTGAAAATCTAATAGCTGCAGTAATAATTATAATAGTATTAAAATCAAATGAACGATTTCAGTTAAGAACACAACAAATTGAAATAAACACACTAATTAAAATAAGATTAAATCAAGTCTATTGCTTTGAATATTGACACAAAAGAATAGTAAATGAGACAATTATTGGATGAAAACTAAAAGTTAAAAAGTGCTTTAGACTAAAAATTAAAGGATATAGAGGAACTGAAACTTTAATTATCAAAAGCATCATAAATGCTGTAATAAACATCTAGAGTAAATTAATTATTTTAATTGCTTAGGAATATTAAGAGTATAGAAAATCTACATAATCTGTTGAGAGTTATAAGGCATAATTAACGATCATGTAGAATAAGATTTAAGAGTCAGATAAAAGAGTGTAATAGATATAGGGGGATATGCAAAAGTTATAAAATGTTCTTAGAGAAAAGGCCTCTGAAAATGAAAAGCTCAAAGGTATTTTGAATAATCCTAAATAAAGAAAATTTAAATAAGGTGAATCAATATTAAAACGAGAAGAATATGGTATTGCAACAGTTGCAGTAAGCCAAGACTACATTGTAAGAGAAATAAAAGGAGAATGAAAAGTTTAAATAGTAATACTCATAATTGCTATAACAACATTAAAAATTATAGACTTAATAGGCTGAAACTAAGAGTTAGTTGGACAAATTAAGATCTGTTTTAGGAAATTTTGGAAAATGATATATAAGATATACTTAGAAATATATAAATTTGATTGGTTTATGAATAGAATGTTAGTGCTTCTTCTGTTGAAATTTTGGATAAGGGTAATTTTCCGATTGAGTCAAACTTATGTGAAGATACTAAGCTAAACAATTGAATTAATAGGAGTAAATAATTGGAATAGGGAAGGTAATTTCTATTGAGTAATTTTGAGTTGTTTTGTCACATAGGGATTGTTTCTACTGAAAAATATTTATAAACAAATAATATATTAATTTACATTAAAAAGTTATGAAAAATGGCATAATTTTAGAATAATACGAGGATGAAGATGAATATGAGGTAAATAGTTTGGTTTCATTCAGATTCAAGAGGAGAAGCAAAGATAGGAGAGAAAGGAATATTTACGAAGAATGCAGCAGATGATTTTTGATGAAACTCATTACGACATAGCCTTATAATAAAATACAGAATCCCAGATAATTTAAGAATATTTGATTGATTTGGATAATGAATTTTATATAGATTATACTCATCAATTGCCTGCCCCGAGTAGTTAGATAAAACTGAGACCAATGAATGAATTACAGTTAGCATATATTTATGTTGATGAGTAATTAGAAAGTTAATTAAAATTAGTTTCCCATTTTTAAAGATGAGAAGATTGTTGATGATAATTTTTTAGTCGGTCAGATATCTAATGAAATATTTAATAAATCTCAAATTTTTTCAATTGATACTGATGGTAATAATTATTTTGAATTCTCTATGCTTAGCATTAGAAGTAGATTAATATGAGATAATTTTCATAATTTGTTATTCAGTGGAAGCCATTTTCAAGATGTTGGCATTGGTTAACAATTATAATTATCATAGGGTTTGTATTCTAAGAGAGATTCGTATTTTCGAGACTTTTGGAATGTAATCGATTTTGTAATTCTGGTATTTTAATACTTGCCTTACTTTGTGAATATATAATTCAATTTTAATGCCTTACGAACAATAAGAATCTTAAGATCTTTGGATGCAGGTTAAAGTATTCCAGCTTTGAAAGTAATATTGACTTCGTTATTTTAATCAGTTTACTAATTGAAGGATGCATTGATAGTATTGGTGTTTTCATATTCAATATTTGCAATAGTAGCTCTTCTCCTTTTCAGTGGAGGATTAAAGAGAAGATGTGTAAATTTGGAAACAGGAATCCCTAGAAATAATGAAGTGTGTTCAGAATGTTAAGGAGAATTCGAATGTGTTAAATAGATAGCTAATCCTTTTAATAGTTTGATTAACTTCGATACTTTCGGATGGTCCTTAATATAGGTGTTTATATGCACTTTACTTGAGAGTTGGTCTCAGATCTTAGATTACACAGTAGCAGCATATAATGAAGCAGTTTATATCTATTTCTTTATGGTAGTGATGGTAGGAGGATTCTTTTTGGTTAATTTGACTTTGGCCATTATTAAGCTTAATTTTTCAAATAATCAGAAATTTGTGATACCACCAGTAATTGAGGAGAGTTATGATTATTGGGAATTGAGAATAATGGGAATATATGAGCCAGCTAAATTGTAGATATAAGCAGCTTTGAGAAGGAAAAGTGATGCCCAATTTACATTCAGAGAAAGATCTTAAAGAACACAAACGAGAAGAAAATTAAGAATTACAAAATATCCTAGTCAAATTTAGAATCTTAGTTTAAAAATACATCCTATTAAATTTGCTAATAATTTCAGTACCCCTTTCGTGAAGCAAGATAAGAAATTTATGGGAATATATGGTATGGGTAAAAAATTGTAACCAATTATTGGAGGTGTTACTCCTTCAAAGAATGCAAGAAATAAACTCAATTTTAATTAAGAATAACCAGGATAGTCCATTCTTCAAAGTCCCATAGATCAAAATATTAGTTTCTCCTATAATTTATCACCTAATAATAAATTAGGTAATATGCTATTTAGTCAATCGAATAGGACTCTTTTGAATAATCAAACCAAATAATTATCAAGCAAATCGATTTTAAATAATAATAAATCTCCAAATAATCGTTCTCGAATTATTTCTCCATAAAATTAGAGAAATCACAATGAATTAAATAATGGATCTCCAAAATCTCAATTCAGTAAATAAATAGTAAAAAGAGCAGTAAGACCTTCAATATCTGAATCTGATTAAATTCTAGTAAATGATCTAAAAATGATTGGATAGCCCCAATCTAAAAAGACAATCACAACACCTAAAAATACTGAAGAGCAACTCTTAGATTTCCTATCTTAAGCTCAGAATAATAATAATATCCTTACTAATGAAAATTAGAGTAATGGACTTTTAACTCCAAACAATTAATTGAATCTACAGAATCCAACATTTAATAGAGCTAATCTTCAACATGGTACCTATGCACCAAAGACTTCTCACTAAATTTAAATGCTGCAAGATGTTAAACAGCGATCTTTCAATGTTAGAAACAAATAGATAGATTAGGTCAAAAATGATGTATCCATTTTGGATAAGAGTGAAAATTCCATTATTAATTCTATCCCTAGTGAATAGGTTGACCAAGAACTAATGGATTTAGGCATATTGGAAATAAATAATATCAAAAAACAAAAGCCTGAAATGCAGCAAAATTCATCATTCAAAATGAACTACATTCGTAGGAAGAAGCCTCGATTAACTAGGAAAACCTTGAGAAAATCTACTTATTTAAGTAAGACATTTAATTCAGCAAATGATGATAGATTTCAACAATTAAAAATCAAATTATTTAAAACTAAATTTTACAAAGAAGTTCCTTATTTGCCTTATACTTCAAACTCAGAATTGGATGTATTAGAAGTTCAATAAATGAAAAAGATACAGTAGAATCTTAAGAACAACGAAGAAATTAATAGGAAGCTCAAGAAATAAGTTAAATATGTATTTTCTAATTAACAAACCCAGCTAACTAACTTAAAATCTACTTCCAAACTTCAACCATCATCAACTCAAATTAAAAGTACAAATGCCAAACGATCTTAAAAGTAAGTTAAATTCCAAGATTAAGAGGAGTAATAGTAATATAAAAAGTTGATTTTACATGATGTATAATTAAACTTCTAAGAGGCCTAATTATTAATGAGGAAAGAAGTTTAAGCTGTTGACCTTGAATAATATGGCTAGGTAGAAATATAATATGATCTTAAAGAACAATTGCGATATTTGAATTACGAGCAAATTACTATAACTACAAGTACTAATTATTCAGAATATGTAAAATTTATGGTAAATCTATTTTAATTATTTCTTAGTCTGAAGCGAGTTCAAAATTAGAAATAGTTTAATAATCTTCAATTGAGGATGTACTTCCAATGAGTGACTATGTAGATGATTAAACAATATCAATAATGAATCAAATCATGCTTGCATTAAATTATACTATCAATATTTATGAAATCTGGTTGCCAGGAATATCAGGTATTTTTAAAGTATTTAGAGTTAAATTACAAAATCTAATTTAGAGTGAATATTTTAATCGATTAATTAACTTTTGTGTTGCTTGCAATACAATCGTATTAGCCTTAGATGGTCTAGTTACTAACGATAAATTGCTATCAGATTTAAATTTGGCATTTACAATAATATTTATTATTGAACTTGGATTCAAATTAATTGGGTTAGGGGTTAAAGGATATGTTTAAGATAAATTTAATCTTTTTGATGCTTTAATTGTTGGAATCAGTTTATATGAGGTAATTATAAATCAAGAGAATGGAGGAAAGTCTGGATTTAGTGCTTTGAGATCTTTACGTATCTTTAGAGCCTTAAGAGTATTAAGAATTTCTAAGTTAATAAGATCTCTTAAATTTATGGGATTTTTATTGAAAGTATTGGGTAACGCGTTTGAATAAATACTATGGATGTTTATCTTAATGCTTTTCTTTTTATATACATTTACTATTCTAGGATTTTCATTATTTTAGGGAGAGATTTCAGATGAAAACTATAGGTATACCTTTAATTCATTTATTATTTCATTTGAAACAGTGTTTTAATTATTCACCATTTCAAACTGGAGTGATGTATTGTATTCTTTATTCTTGTCAAATGCTAACAACATTGTTGTATTTTTATATTTAGTTTTATGGATTGCAATTGGTAACTATATTTTTTTGAACTTATTTCTGGCAGTGCTATTAGATAATTTTGAGGCAGAGTATAGAAGAGACAAGAACTAAATAGACAATAATATTATCATTGGCAGAGATCAGATTTTTGAATCTGCAATATCTTCTAAACCTTAAGGAAGTAGGAAGTCAAGTAAATCTTCATTATAAGATGATGTGGAAGAATATTAGAAATTGTAAACTTAAAGATTTATTTACTTTTCAGAGAGAGGAATTGCAGAGTTTGCCTTGATGGTATTATCTTAGGAAAGTGCATTTCGAAAGATGTGTTATAGAGCAGTAAAAGATAAGATATTTGATATTATTATTCTGATTTTAATTCTTATATCAAGTGCTAAACTTATTCTGGATACTTATACTTTAGGCAATTCTTATGATGTCGTATCATATTGGCTAGATTTTTCTATGGTTATTTTATTTGGCTGTGAGGCTTTGCTAAAGATAATAGCATTTGGATTTATTGGAGATGATCTCAGTTACTTGCGTAATTCTTGGAATGCTCTTGATTTCATTATATTAATAGGATCAATAGTGGATATCAGTGTTGCAGCAATAGATTTGAGTTATTTAAAGATATTGAGATTATTTAGAACATTGAGACCTTTGAGGTTTGTTTCTCATAACAGATCCATGAAAATAATTGTGTCAGCCTTATTGCAATCAGCTGATGGTATTTTAAATGTCGCAATAGTCATAATACTTGTTTGGATGATGTTTGCCATCATTGGAATAAATTTTGCAAAAGGGAAGCTCTATTATTGTGATATGGGGGATGGTGCAATGCATTATGTAACTAAGGCAGAAGTAAGATATAAATTATTAATTTTAGTGTGAAGGAGTGTGGAGAATATATGATAGTAATTTTGAGAACATTTTTTCAGGAATGCTGACATTATTTTGTTTAAGTACATTGTTGGATTGGCCAGATCAATTATTGTATTTTAAAGATGGAACTGAAAATGGTTTAGTTAAGGATAGTTCACCTGAGTTCTTTCTATTTTTCTTAGCTTTTATTTTGATTGGGTCTATTCTTCTTAACAATTTATTTATCGGAGTTATTTTGGTTAATTTTCATATTGCAGAAGAAAAGGCCAGAGATTCCTCACTTACTCAGGATCAAATACAATGGATTGATACTCAAAAGTTGATCATTGAAGCTAAACCTGATTTAAGTTTGTATTATATGCCGAAGAATAGGATTCAAGCATTTTTATTCAGGATTGTCAAAGCCAGGAATTTTGACTTGATCATCTCCCTATTCATTATAATAAATATTGTTGTAACTGGTATGTACATGGATGGTAATCTGTATTATAATTATTAGATGGTGATCTTGAATATCTTTATGTAATTGATTAAATTAACTTTGCCATATCAATTATCTTTTGTTTCGAAGCAATAATAAAGATTATTACCTTTGGTCCTTTAGCATATTTCAAGGTTAATTGGAATTAATTTGACTTTGTTATCGTAGTTATATCCATTATAGATTTCGCCACAAATGAGAGTGGATTATCTATAGGGAAAGGATTTAGAATCTTAAGAGCTGTAAGATTATTGAGATTGGTCAAATAATTTAAGGGTCTTAAGAAACTAATAGATACAGCTGTATTTTCAATACCTGCAATCATTAATGCAGCTGCTTTATATTTTTTGATCCACTCCATTTTCTCTGTTTTGGGAGTATTTTTGTTTTCAGATATCAAAGAGGGAAAGATAATTTCTGATACCAACAACTTTTAAGATTTTCATCATTCATTTATTTTACTATTCCTGTCTTAAACTGGATTAGATTGGAATAGAATCATGTATGATACAATGAATAATGGATCATAATACAATGCTTTATTTTGGGTTGTATTCATTTTGATTTAGAATTTTGTGATGCTTAATTTATTTATACTCATTGTGTTAGATTAATATGATGTTAATTACTTTCATGAAGATAATCCACTTAATAGATTTGATGAATATTAAAATAAAACACTTGATGTTTGGACTCGTTTCAGTTAAGATGGAGCAATCATAAACCAGAACAAATTGACAGATTTGATTCTTGCATTGCCTAAACCGTTGGGTTTAGACATCGTGAAATCCACCCAGAAAGGTGTTGAAGATTGGAAACATATCAATCCTTAACATACTTAAGATGAAGTTAGCTAACTTAAATTTACTATCCAAGCAGATTTGATTAGAAATGCTTTATTTAAAATTATGGATATGCAACTCAAATGTGATTCATTAGGCAATATACCTTATAATCTTGTTTTATTTGCTGTAATGAAAGAGGCTTACTTAGAAAAACTTGAAATTAACTTAACAGAGGAAGGAGGAAGAAAACTGGTTATGAAAGAAATGGAAACTAGATCAGAAATTGAAGAGGAATATGGAATGAGTTTAGATTAAGATGTTAATCCTTTGGTTTCTTATTTGTATGCTTAAACATGTTTTAAAGCAATGTAGAGATTTGTTGAGATTTCTAAAAACAAAGTATAGGATGATGGCGTCTCATTTTTAGCTAAGACTGATTCGTCGATTGATTTTGAAGAATATTTGGACAATGATTTATCAAGAGATGATTATGAAAAACCAGACTATGAAGAAGTGTATTTTGTTGAAATTCCTATGAATAATAAGATTTATAATGGGGAATAATACAAGGTGTAAATTGCACAAGATTAATCCAGTCAGGATCAGGAGTCTAATGAATAACCAATTGATGATGAAAATAATGTAGAAGAATTGGAAGAATATAAATTATAAATAGTTGATTTTAATAAGTATTTAGGAGATTAAGATTGAAATTTATTATATATATATCATACAAATATATGTGTAGAATAGTTGATGAAGAACTGGAATCAGAATAGAAACTCAAAAGACTTACTAAGACTTATAAGGAAATTAGCAAAAGTATATCTGACAGAACGTCATATACGATATATAAGGATTATTGATTGTATTATTTTTTACATTTATCTTTCTAATATTTAAGTATTTCGCCTATAATCAGGTGAGTGTATTCAAGTTTGTAAGTATATATTTCGGGGAGTTGATAATCTTTTGATCTTTTATGGATCTCACATAGTTAGAGTAATTAATTGATTATTGATAATCTTTTATTCTGTATTATTATTTCTAAAATGTGCTAGAGGGTGTAATAGACCATCTCTATTTTAGTTGAATAATTATTTTAAACTCTTCAATCAGAGGGCGCTTCTAAGGATTTCACTTTTGTTAGCTAAGTCAGATTGCTACTTGTTAAGAGGTACTGATATCTGCTAGCTTTATAATTAGCCAGACAAAGGTGATGAATTTGAATTTTCTTTAAATATAAAATTTAAATAATTCTAAAATTGCCTTAAATTTAAATAAATTAATTAATAATAATTTTTAAATGATGCTAATATTTCAAATTATGGATTAAAATTCCGAATTTTCGAAGGCAGTGTTGATGGAATTTTCAGGGTTTATTTGTTAAGCTAAATAATAATATTTTTCTGCCTCTTCAAATCGTTTCATTCGTATAATGCATTTCCTATTTAAATATGCTTAATTTAATACCTTTGCCATAATAACAATCTGAATTTTCTGGGTTTTTCTAAATTCCTAAATCAAAATATTTTAATCCTTCTTCAAATCTATTCATTTTTAATAAAGCATTTCCTAAGCAATCATTATAATTTAGACCTATGCCTTGGTAATATACTGATTCATCTGGGTTTTTCTAAATTGCTAAATTATAACATTTCAAGGCTTCTTCATATAAACCCATTTAATATAAAGTAGCCCCTTTTAATAAAGGTACAAAATTTATACCTTTGCTATAGTAATAGTCTGAATTTTCGGGGTTCTTCTAAATGGCCAAATCATAATATTTCAATGCTCCATAAAAATTATTCATTCCAAGTATATTCTCAAATTGCAATCCTCTTTGTAATGCAGTTGTATCAGCTAAGTAATTCTTAGATTAATATTACCTTTGTTATAATAATAGATGGATTCTTCAGGGTTTTTATCAATAGCAAATTAAAAATATATTAATGCTTCTTCTAATCTATTCATTTTTTATAGTGTTATAGCTGAGAAAATATGCAGATTTAAATTTACCTTTGTTATTATAATACTATGAATCTTTCGCGTCTTTCAAAATTGCTTGATCATAATATTTCAAAGCTTCTTCTAATCTATTCAGTTTATTTAAAGTTTTGGCTAGATATTATGGTAATTTAAATTCACCTTTATAATTATAATATTCGGATTTTTCAGGGTTTTTCTTAATTGCTATATCATAATAATATAATGCTTCTTCAAATCTATTCATATTTTCTAAAGTCATAGCTGATACATACAAATTGAATATACCTTTGTTATTATAATAGATTGATTCTTCAGAGTTTTTCAAATTGCCTCATCAAAATTTTTCAATGCCTCTTCTAATCTACCCATTTTATATAAAGTGTTGGCTAAGATAATGTGTAGGTTTAATTTACCTATATTATAATAATAAATGTGATTTTGAGGGTTTTTCTAAATAGCCAAATCATGATATTTTAATGCTTCTCCAAATCTATTCATTTCTTATAAAGTCAGGGCTAAGATAGTATACTATTTTATTTACCTTTGTTATTGTAATAGTCATGATTTTTTTGGTTATTTTCAATATCCTAATCCTAATATTTCAATTCCTCATCACCTTATTTCTTTATACGGCACTTAACAAACAATATTGCTTTTTAAAAGCTGATGTGTTTTTTATAATTAAACTGTATTTATTCAATAAACTCCCTTTCAACACCTTCATATTTATTATTTTTATTTACTGTTTGCGTTCATTTCAATTTTATGAAATATACCTCTAGACTCCATTTATTCCTAAAGTTATTGTTGAATTTATCTCAACTTCATATAAAAACTTATTAAAGACAAGCTCATATTAATGAAAACACATTTGAGGCCTATTTTGTTATCAAAGTCATTTTAACTAAATTACATCAATAAATCAATAAGTAATAATAAAATTATTTTCTACACGATTTTGAACTTTGATCAAAATAGCCTTTCAAAAAACATCTAGTAATACAAACTTTCCTTATTAAATATAAATTAGTTTAAAGAATTATAAATTCATTAGAGAGAATACTGAATAATAATTTTTATAATATAAGATTATCGAAGAGTTATAAGTTTAAAAAATCATCTATGATTAAACTTAATAACTTTACTTTTTTATAATCAAGTAACCTTTATTATTGTTATATAAATTTTCATAGTCTTAAATTTCTAACATTCTTCTTAAAGGAAATTTGTCGGAGCACCTTGATTATATTCTATTGCTTTCCTAAATTTCCTCTTTTAATGAGAATCTTAATAGATTTTTATAAGATATCCATACTTTATTATTAAATTCGAGTATCATGCATTCTTTTATCAATATAGTTTGGTTATCAAAGCCAAAAAAAAATTAGTTGAATTTATTTTGTTTTCTTTTTTAAATATTAGAATGAATAAAAAAGTGAAGGTACAACCTCTAATAAAAAAGGTAATTAAAGTATTGAGATTAAGCAATATACAGTTACTGATGTATAAATACAATCTTTAGGAAATGAACTTAAATTTAAACTGCTTATTATTATTTTTATATAAGTTTATAGAAACTCAAATATCCCATTTTTCTTTAAATTAAATATCTAAAGTATGTTTAGAAAAGTGTTTGGAAATTCTATGAGACATAATCCAACTCGTTTAAGATACTTAAGGGAGTATGTGTGTTTAAGAGAAGCTGCCAATCCATCTGCTTAATAAGCTTAGATTGCCCAATTCTAATAAGTGGCAAATAAGTACGGATTGTCAACTACTCAATTAACAACACTCTCTAGTATCTATCAATTGAGTTAATTGCTTCGACCTTAAAATTTCCCAAACCCCAAAGATTATAAAGTTTACTAATTTACAACTATCAATATAGGTTCACGTTGAGAAATTAGAGTTGTTATTCAGACAAAATCAATCAAACACCGAAAACTTAGAATAATTTGCCTAAAGTCTATTATACAGAATCCCCGAAATCAGCAAACTTACAAATGAAGCGAGAAAATAAGCAGCTCAAGATTTGTTTAGCATTTATTTGGAAGGAATTCACTATGATAATTTAGTCTCACCGTAGAGATTATATAATATTTTAGAGGCTATGTCGAACAATTAGAATCAACATTCAGATAAAGAACTACTGCAGTCATAAATAAAATAAAAAAAGAAGTCAAAGATCCATAATTGGCAGCTTAATTAGAATAATCACTTGAATCAATCTTTCAAAACTATTAGTTTAACCAAGGAAGGTATTTTATCATTTAATGAATAGATATGTGGGTTTGATCAAATCATTCATTGAATCAAATCAAGAAACCGAAGTTTAGGCAAGTCCAAAATTAAATTAATAAGCCTAAGAGAAACAACTGTTTATTCAAACTGTTGATAGAGCAACAAAAAAGTTTTCAGCTGAAGATCAAGAATATGCTAGAAATGTTGATGGGCATGACTTCAAATTGTTCTTACAAGAATTATATGAAAAGGAATACCAATCAGGATTTGCTTAGAACAGATTTAATGAAAAAGGATAGAAATTAGTCTATGAATCATAAGCATAAGAACATCATGTTTTAAGATATTAAATATTGGCAGGAGTCTTTGCTGGTTATTTCCTCTACCTATTTTACAGAGGTGATGCTTACTATTCAACAATATTGGCAGTTCCAACTGTTGCTGCTGCTTTCTTTTATTTAGCAAAATAGGGACAAGTATCTATTGTTGCATAATAATCTTAGGCAAAAAGAGCAATCCCTTTCATAAGACAAGTCCTCAAAAACAATGACAATACTTATGAAGTGGTCTTTGAATAGAATCGTATTATTAGTAGAATCGAGAATGTTTAAGCTGCATAAATTAAGTAATACAGTTTTATATAATCTAAGATTGGCTTAAGACACTACATTCTCAAATGCTTTGGTATTAGGAAATCCCACCGATTTTGGATATCATGTCAAAGTAGCCGATAATTCATTTATTGTTCCCTACCTCTATAGTGGTAATGGTTTAGATTTTAGAGCATTTATAAATATTTGATTCAATATAAGAATAAAAAATAAAACAAAATTTTCATCTATTAATCAATTTATTCCAATTCATATTTTTGCATTGAACTTGACTTTCTAAAGAATTCTATTAAGTTTTATATTGTCAAATAATAAACAATAATTTTTTTGAGATTATATTTTTTATAGATATCAATTAAATCATTGTTTTTATGTTTCTGGTAGCTCTGTTTCCTTTGCATCAAAGCTTTCATTATATGGAGCAGTAGCATCAACAATTTTCTTTCTCCAAATTAGGTATTTTAATTTGTATCCCCACTTCTTTATTAAATAGAAGAGAAGGACAGCCAACCAAATACCAACCACAATTAACACATATATTGTAAGAGTGTAATAAGCATATGTAGTATAATTTCCTTCTAACTAATAATATTAAATATCAATTTACTTCAGTTGTTGTAAAAGTGAAAGAATGAGACACATTGCATAAGGTGAATTAGTAATTTAAATTATTTTCCTTATCCTTCTTTGCACAATTTGTAGAATTAATCTTAACATAAAACTACCTGACTCCAGCATCACTATATTTACATTCAATTTTAGGCATATTCATAATTATGTTAATCAATTAGAATTCATATTTACTAATTGCTGCAAATATCCTTTGATTAGAAAACTCTTCTCCCTCAAATTCAAATTCCTTTACTGTTACCAAATCAGGTTAATAGAACGATGTGTGAGATATTAAATTTTAATTTAAGAAACCTTTACTCAATTATGCTAATAAATACCTTGATAAATTGAATGATAGATAATCTTATGACCATCATCTCCAATCAAAACAGCATAGTATTAAAAGACACTCACATCATTTATGGTCATCTCGTCAAAAAAATGGTTATTGATATAATAATCGTAAGTTACTTAATTAACAAAGACCTCAATTGCAAAATCTTGTTTATTGATTGTTTTGGCCACAATAAAGAATGTATTATCATAAAAATCAAAACTTTAACCATTTGAAATTGCAATAGTAAATTAGTAAACCAATTCCATCATATTTTTGATCCAATAAAATTTTAATCCTCTCTCCAAATCTAATACGTACAATCCATCCTCTCCATTACTATTCACATCAACTATTTAACTATCAATTCCTAGATACTAAGCTGAAATATCCTTCATGAATACTAAAGTTCCATTATTTATTTTGTATATATCTATACCTTCATGTCCACAAGCCACAAATATCAATTAATGTTTCTCATTATAATGAACATTGTAGATTTTATCTCTTTGCTTTATCTCCTCTTCTACTTTAAATTCTATGTCAAGCTTGGAATTACTATCGAAGCTCAATCCTCCGTTTGTTGTGAATATAAATATTTTATTTGATTCTCTGTCTCCAACTAAATAAGGATGATAATCAGTGTTCTCCTCGTCATAGTTAAGTAGATAGGCAAATGAATGTCTTATAGGGTCAAGCTAAAGTCTGAATAAACCCTAATTTAAATCCACTTGTATAATTTAAAAATCATTTCTGACAACATAAGCCTTCTTAAATTTTTCAGCCAAAGCCACATCAGTACAGTATATATCCCGTGTTAAACCACTTTTATCAAGCCACAATTTCAACTTCATGCTTATTTCAATGTTCCTCTATATTGAATAACAACCGTCCTCCTCCAAGAGATCTTCTTCTACCTTTTAAAAATCTCCCAAATTAATGCTTTGGTTACTAATCTCGCCTTTAACCCTTTAATGTAAGTCGATGGCAAAGACTCCTGGATAACTACATTAATGTGGATCAATGATATTACGCTCCATAAGGAATTTCAATAATCTCAGACGCCTATCTGTAAAAATCATTGGACTAAAATGTCTCATCTATAACTGTCAAGTTTGGTTTAATGATTCTATTACTCTCAACCTGGTTTAAAAGAAGTAATATTAAAACAATGAACATAATTAAATTAATAATATATTTAAATAACACTATGAGGTTTCTATATTTTTAATTGCTAAATTTGATATTAAAATAATTAGTGTTTGAAAATAATAGATTTCTGAATAATTTAGATGATTCAAATAGTATTCTTGAATTTTGGTGTAAGATTCTATTGATTTTAATTTATTCCTAAATTACATCCATAAATAGGTTCTAAATAATATTAAGAATGATATCTTAGATATTATCAAATATAAAATATAAAAACAATCATTATTGTACTGATTAATGAACCGAAGGTTTCATACCAAATTGGGAAGAATATATCTGATGGTAACTAAGGTATAAAAGGTGGATCTTATGGAATAGAATTTTCGATATCATCATGAGGGAGGGCTATAAATCTAACTTTTAAATTAAATCTATAGAGCTTTGTATTGGTAGGTATATTTGTCTTTAGAATTGCATTTGAATACACAATTTTAAAAGACGAGATATAATTTTATCTACCTTCTTTCATTCCAAATTCATCTGTAAAGATTAGTACATGCTATGTAAAATATATATAGTCTGTTTAAGGCACTTCTGTTGTGGTATTGACGAAGTCTAAACTACTAGTTCCAAATAAAGGAGTTCTTGCAAGTCCTAGCAAAGTATTGTATGGGAAACTGTTAAATATTTACAATCCAGACCAAGAAAATGTAGAGAGAGTTGTTTAATTAAGTGAATATGAGCATGAAAATTATAAGTTTTAACCAAACCTAAGAGGTTCATAATTAAGGGGGTTCTGATCATCAGATAAGGTGCATGTTGAATCTGAGGTAGACACCTTGGCTCTATAGATTTTGTATCCAAAAGGATTTGTTTATAAGTTGATATGTCCTTGAACATATTATCCATAATCATATCCAGCCTTTCCTTAAAAATTAGAGTTAGTAGCTATCAAAGATAAATTGTAAATTTACATGCGTTAGCATAGACCACTTCACTAACATAATTGTATAAGGTTTGATCACTTGAAAAGTACGCAAACGTGTTAGATGTAAAACTTGGTGTAGTTGTTACAGCAGAGGTTCCCATAAATATCGATTAACCAATCAAACATCCACCAGGCTTAGTTGCTGATTATGCAAAGACGGTTGATGATTTTGAGTAAAACTATGTCTATGAACTAGTAGATGTTATGGTTTGTAGATTTGTTTAACATGTAAGCATTAAGCAACTTTATTTTTGAATCTATTTATAATTTATGAATCTCTTAGTTTGTTTGCATATTCCATTTGAATCTCTGTAAACGAGTATATTAGATTTATCATTAGTTTAATAAATTGCTACTTAAAGAGAATCTGCTTTTGAGACTTTAGTTTCAGGTATAATATTAACTTTCAAATAGTCTTACAAATATGTTGGATTATTGTAGGCTTATGGCAGAGTGACACCGGATGTTGAAAGACTGCTCTTCTCATAAATAAAGCATATTTAATTGCCTTGTTCCTCAACTTAGATCCCTGAATAATAATTTTGAATATTACATTAGTCGACATTTTATCTTGATAAGATATATTTTTTAATGCAAGTCCTTTTTACAGATCCTAATAGACAATCACTTGGAAGTGTGGAGGAGGAAGTACTAATGTCTGGATCACAACAACATCTTTCATCAACTTCTCTGACTTTCAAATTGCAAAAACAATATTCGTCATTTTATATGTTAAATGTGCTATTATCATTTGTTTATTAGACATTAGTGAAGCTTTCCAAAGCTATTTCCGCTTTAACGATTATATTGAGGAAAACAAAAAATAAAATAAAATTAATCATATTAATGAAAAATAAAATATTAAAGAAACTTATTTTAAAGTATTCAAGGCTTCTGAAATTTATAATAAAACGGTTATATATAACCTTTTCTTAGAATATAAGCAATTTAATGATTTCATATTTTGGATTATTTTTGATTTCCTTTTGTTCATGTTCATGCTGTTACAATTCCTCAAAAATCAAGATCTATTCATCCACTTTTTCACTCTTAATATACTTATTTTTCATAAAACTCTTACTTTCTTATTCTATTCAACCGTGTTTGCTTTTCAATAAGCTCTAACTTATTATGATTGTATTTATTGATTCATCAATAAATTACAATTCATTTAAAAGCTACAAAACAAGTTGTTTAAATTACAACTTCTATATTAGATTTATCAATAAATTTGCATCCCCTAATTTAGGAATAATATAAAAAATTATTATGTTCAAATATAAGGAAAAAAAGAATTAAGAATTGCAAAAAAAATACTAAGATACGAAAATTTGATATAGCTGAGATAAGATAAAGACAGAAAACAAAGGAAAATAGCTTAAAAGAAATCATAAAATTAGCCAGATTAGAAATCAAGTAAAGGACTATTAGAAATAAATGTTATAGTAATTATAAGAGCCTTTAGATTCGAAACTTAAAAACTTTGAATAATAATAAGATAGAAGAGAATAATTAATGATATGGGTTAAGTTATAAAAATAGTTAAAAAAGGAAAGGAAAGAATTATCAATCGAAATTATAAAGGTTATATCGCGAACGAAGGCCGAAAAAAGGATTAAGTGAAGAAAATTAAAATTAAAAAAATGGATCAGAAACTGAGGGAAACTATTAGAAGAAGATAGCAATAATGTTCTTGATTTTTACAATTTTTGATATCAAATTTTATTATTTGTTATTTAACGAATATTTTTAATGAACACTATGAAAAAAATGTCAGAAAGCAGGCATTTCTCGTCTTAATAATAAGGTATAATTCAATTATATAAAGAAGAAAGTAGTCCATTAATGAATTAATCCACAAATTAATCAACTAAAAAAAGAAGCAAAAACAAAGAAAATATAAATTTGTTTAATGAAGTTAATTCCTTACTCTAGTATTACCAAAATTCTAATATCCTCAAAAGTATTTCAATATATATGTAATAAGAAAAAACATCATTGCCAACTTCGATGGTTTCTCCTAAGAAAATGATGGATGATATATTTTTGAAGCAAGTACTCTAAACAAGAAAAACTAATAGCAGAAATAAAGTCAGTGTATCATAGAATGTAGGATAAAAAGTTTTAAGCTTATCACCAATAGAATAAAAATAAAAATCATTCACTAAAGGTAACCAATTTCGTTGTGCCTATCACGCTAATAAGAAAGTATAAAAATCTGTTAAAATAGGCAAAATTTTTTGAATATAATCGCAGCATTGGAGCTATATTCTATTGTTCTGAATGCTCTGTTGGAAAACTAATTAAAGGAAATATTCTCTTTCCTGTTGAAAATTATCAAGTTAAACAGGTGTCGAATAAAAAACGAGAAAATCAGTCTGTTAGTAGAGCTAATTTTTGGTCTGTGGACGAAAATTCACTCCTATCTAATTCTCCCTTTTTATTAGAGTCTACTGATACATTCACTAGTATAACTGATGAGACAGAGGACAAAGCAAAGGAATTAAAGGACTTTTAGAAATCTTTATCTTCTTTATAATAGGAATGCTAATCAATTATTGAAAATTCTAAAGGAAATACTTATTAGACCCAATTCAATTCAATAAATACAGAGTTACAATAACTACTATATATGATAAATATTCAGTCAATGAAGTTGTTGTAACAATTGCAATCTTAAAATCATTTATAATAAGTCTATGAAGTACAAAATGAATTAAATTCGATTTTATCTGACATTTAATCAAATGAATCAAATATACTCAATAATATGTCAATTAAGCCATTTAAATAAATAATGAATGTAATGCATTTTTCTTATTTTAGAAATATAAGGAAAAATTGAAAGGACACACATAAACAATTAATAATTGCTCAAGCAGTCAATAAATTTTTGAATTGGATGATAGATTACAAAAATTAAATAAAGTTAAAAAAATGCTCAAAACCAATTTTAAAATAGAAACTGACGAATAGGAATTGTTGAGTACTAAAAGAAAACTTAGTAGTAATGTTTATATTTCTTTCGAAAATAAAGAAATGTTCTTAGCAGCAGCAGCTGCAAATAAAGCCAATAGTGTTCATGTCAAGGATGAGCCCGATTTAGTTCAAATTGATGATAAATGTCATCTACTTGAATCTCCTAATTTTATTCAGAATTGAATTAAAATATAGTTTTTTGTTTGATTTATTTTATTAAACTCAATTATTATTTTGTTTTATTTTACAATATGGATTGGAATATTCTTTATAAATAATCTCAAATTAATTAAAAGCTTATAAATAAATAGATTTATTTGAACCAAAACCAAGACAATTCTATCTCATTCTATTATATTACTAATCAATGTGGAATGTAATATTTGAAAAATAATTTAATGGAATTTAGTATCACTTACCTTTAAAGACTTCAAAAAGTTATTAAAAACTACAAGTAGTTAATTAGTGTTATGATCGAAAATAATTAACAAATTATTATTAAGATTACCAAAAATTTAACATCCCTAAAATACTTGTAACTTTCGACCCATATAATTTGTTGTTATTTTTAATTAATAACTTGTAAAGATATATTGCTTCATAAAATAAGTGCAAATTTAAGCAAAAAGTTTAGTTTAAACTCTTTTAAAGTCATTATAAAATTTGACATGATTAAAAACTAATATCCTTAAAATCAGGGAGAATAATAAAAACAATTCCTTATAGATTAAATCACAGATGTACATAGCGAGAATTGAGAAATTAAGAAGAATTTAAATTTTTAAAAGTAAGATGAAAATATTCACTTTAAGATGGGCAATATAACATTTTGAGGAAAAATGTAAAATTTCATATTTGGAGAATGTTAAATTGATAACTTAATGAATATTTTGAAAATATCGACCACCAGATGTAGTATTAAGTAAGATTTTAATAAATGTTTTATTAATTAAAATCATGATGGTTTGAAATAACTGAATAAAAGAAAAAACTGAATTCATATTAATAACTCTTTCCTTCTAATTTTTCAAAAAATTAATTAAATGTCAATATCATCATCAAATTCGCATACTCCAATACCATAAAGAAAACCATGGACCACCTAGGAGGATGAACTGTTGACTGAACTTAGAAAAAACAACAATTTAGATTGGATTGAGGTGGCAAGAAGAATTGATGGAAGAAATCCATCATAATGTGCTTAGAGATGGAAAAGAATAAAAGGGTTTAAGTTGAGAAAGCAATGGACTGAAGAAGAAAATCAAAAACTTATCGACTTAGTTTCGAATTTTGGTTATCATTGGAGTAAAATTAGTTCTTTTCTTCCATAAAGAACTGGAAAGTAGATTAGAGAACATTATCTTAACTAACTACATCCAGATATTAATAATGAACCATGGACTAAGGAAGAAGATGAAATAGTAGTAGAATTTTACAAAAAAGTTGGTGGTAAATGGAGTCAGATTAGTAAACATTTGAATAAAAGATCAGAAAATAGCATAAAGAATCGATTCTACTCCTACTTGAGAAACAAATATCTAAATATCAAAAACCCATATTACATCGTACCAGAAAAAAAATAAAAATTAAACGAATTCCAAGATCCTAAGCAAAAATTAGAAAAACAAATGAATAATCCAATGATATAAGAAGCTTCATTTTAACCTAATTATCAACAAGTTCCTAGAGAATAAAACATGCAATTATTTATGCCATACTATCCAAATTAATTCGTCCAATATTCTATGGCCTATCCTTGCGCTATGTTCGTGCCAATCTATGTATATTAATAGCAAGAAACCTAAGTAAATTAGATCATGCGATATTGATTATTAATTTTACATTATCGAGTTTATTAAAAACAATATAAAGAACCATTGATAATATTTATTATATTCAATCGTAAAATAACTCTCTAAGTCAATATCTTAAAGTAGTAACCCTTAAAATTGGATTTCAACAATAAACAATATTTTAAAGAACTTTTATTTTTGTTTAGCAATGCGTTTTATCACAATGTTTTTTATGATATTTATATAAATTTAAGTAAAATAGAAACAAAATATTTATTAAACATAGATTCATTAAATTAATTTTGATTCTCCTTTTTTCTCGAATCTATTAATAATAAGGCTCTATTTAATCAATTAGAATAACATTGTTAAGCCTCATTTAATGTATTTACAATGTTTATCTTAATAAAATAAACTAAATTTTTAAATGGAAGACTATAAAATCTGAGTAGATATCCTTCCATAATTCCAATAAGAATTTTCTTAAGCACTTGAATCTCTACTTCAACTGATGTAGTTTGAATATAAGATGTAGTATTTTATTCATTTAAATATTTAAAGCACAATTACCATTAAGGATTTAAAATAATGGCTTTTTTTCGTCATTTCTTTTAATGGCATTGTCAGTTATTTATAAGAATATTATATGAAATGTAGAAAAAATTTCAAGTTCATATTAATTAAAAGTATCAAAAAAGGCCTTAATTAATGAATTATTTATTAATATTATTATTAATATTTATATAGCAATATCACTTTCATATAAAAAGATAACTTATTTTTTATTTTTTCACTATTTTATTTTAGCTTGAATTAGAAATAAGTTTCGATATCCTATCTTCTGTAATTTATAATTATGAACCCTATTAACCTCATTATTCTTAAGATCTTTTTGAAATATAATTCGAAGAATTCATTGCTATAAGGTGTATCGATTTTAAATAATATACTTATTAAAATGGGTGATTTAAAAATATCAACTCTTAACCTCACTAAAAGGTACAGCAATTCTTTTTAACTGTTTCTGATGGTGCATAGTCATCGGGTCTTCAGAGGGTTTTTCATCATGCTGTTATTGTTTCATATGATTTTGTTGCTTGTGCCATGGATTGAGATCAAAATACCAGCATGGCCAATATTAAAAATAATATTTGCAATAGGTGCTTCTTTGTGGCCATTTCCAACCTTTGACATGTTGTCTGAAGAAAACTTATACTTGAGACAAATATTAATGAAAACATTAGAGATTTCAGTGATAATGTTATATGCTATAGATTTATTGCCAAAAATTTTTATTTGGAGATAAAATGTGCTTTGGAAATTTGTCAATATTGTCATTTTATCATAAATGATGTTTTTATTGCCTGTGTCAATAATTGCATATGATAAAGTTGCACTGCCAACCGACACCATGAAATTACGTATATTTTCTATTAGCTTTTGTTTTGTGATTGTTTGTGAAATTCTAAGTATAAGAGAATAAAAATCATTGAGATTCTTACAAATAACACAAAGGTAATAAGAGAAGCAAAGATAAATAAAATAAAAAATCCAGGAATTTAGTTGGTGCGAGATAGTGAAACATGATTCTCCGAATGATTGTTGGGTCGTCATTAAAGATAAAATCTATGATGTTACTTAATTTTTATAGTATCACCCAGGGTAACTATATTCCTAAATCATTTAGCGGTAATATGATTCTTGATGGAGCAGGTGGAGACTGCACTGCCCTTTGGTATTCTTATCATCCGAGTTATTTGACAAAATAAGAGCCCCCTTAACAGTATATGATCGGGAAGGTCAGAGATTATTAGTAATATTATTCATACGACGATGATTTCTATTAAAACATAAAGGAAGAAGTTGAACAAAAGATTCCAAGATAGAACTGGCAAAATCATTGGGTTCTTTTTTTGAAAGGATTCCTCTGTTTGACTGGATATTTAGCATGTTTGTACTATTATGTAAATTATTGCACTTTATTGTCTGCGATATTATTAGGATTCTTCGCTGCATAAGTAAATTAGTAAATCAATAATTAGGCTGATGTTAATATTATGCATGATGGAAATCATTATGCCTTCTCGTCGAATAAAACATTATCATTTCTAGCTGGTTATGTTTTGGATCTCACCTTTTCTACAAGTGTGGTGTACAGAAGATCTCACAATTTCGGACATCATAGTTGTGTGAACCATTTAGAACTGGATAGGGCATTTGATACTACATTCCCATATATAAGATTGCATCCTCTTCAGCAAAGATTCTGGTATCATAAATATTAGCATTTGTACATTTGGATTATTTATACATTTGTTAATTTCACTGATGTAATGGGAACTTTTGATGAAATGCAATGGTTCAGCAATTATCCCTGCAGAAGAGGGTATGTATCTAAATTGTAAGTATTCTTGTAAATAATCGTCAAACTCTTATGGATTTCAATTACATTAATTTATCCTTCGATCAAATTCTCTTACAAGGTTGCCTTCGGAATGTGGTTTGTGTACAATGCAGTACACAGTTATAATTACGCTTTGTTCTTTTCAGTCAATCATTGGACTCTGGAGGCTGGTGTGGTGGATAACCAAAACATCAACTAAACAAATTGGGGTAAATTGTAAATCTAAAATTCTTCTAATTTTGCTCTTGATTCTTTTATTTGGACTCACCTATCTGGCGGACTTAATTATTAAGTAAGGCTAAATAGTAATTACTTAGATTGAGCATCACCTATTTCCATAGTTTGCACACACTAGACTCAAGGAAATAAAGAGCACTATTTAAGTGAAAGCTAAATAAGCCAAGATAAAGTAAGAAATAGATAAATTTTATTCTAGTTATTTTGAGTTCCCATCATTTTTAGATGCCTTAATTAGTCACTATAAATTGTTAAAAATTTTAGGATCAAAAGATAAAATTTGAAATAATTTAATAATTAATTAATTAATAATTAGAAATGAAATTCATCATCGTTTTTTGTTTGATCTCTCTAGGTTAAATGAATGATTCTTATATTAATGAAAATATTTAGCATTAATTTTAACTCTTTATAGAAAATGAAATAAACATAAAAAGTCTACTAAAATCGTTTTAAGACGAGTTTTTGGAAGTAAACATGAAAAAGCTCAACTATTAACCTAAGCAAATGTTCATTAACAACATTTTGAGTACCCAAAAGCATACACCTTAAGGTTGTTACCAAGAATTGATATCATTAAACTCACAATCTTAACAAAATATTTTAGACTAAGACCAATTGCTTTAATAAATGGAAAGAACTGTATTATCATGCTACTAATTATAAAAATGTAAGATTTTAAGTTAGACTACTAGATTGGGATTAGGTTTAGACTTGTTTCATATAAATGAATGCATTATAGGGGAATATTGGCAAATTGGAAAAAATAAATAAACATTCATCCAATAGTTACATGGTATTACGATAATTGGTTGAGAATGTCTTATTGAAATGTCAGAGTAGCAATAATGATACGATATTAAACAATAAGTGTCAGAATAGTTTATTGATTATCGGAGGATTGAAGGAGAATGCAGGCAACTTTGGAGAGATTTATAATGGTTTTCTTTCTAATTGTTGGATATGAAATATTATAAATTTAATTATTAATGTCAAGAACAAATGATGAAGATTATGATTACTTATTCAAAATAGTTTTGATAGGTGAGTTTAATGAATAAAGATTTAGGTGATTCTGGAGTGGGAAAGACAAACATTTTGAAGAGATTCATTAATAATGAATTTCAACTTGAGTCGAAACCAACGATTGGAGTTGAATTCGCAACTAAGACATTTCAGCAATAAGGGAAATCAGTGAAATGCTAAATCTGGGATACTGCAGGATAGGAGAGGTAAGTTTTGTTACAAAATGATATTTTAGATTTAGAGCAATTACAAATGCATATTATAGAGGAGCTGTGGGAGCATTTATCTGTTATGATATCACGAGAGAAATCACATTCAAAAACACAGAAAAATGGTTATCAGAGTTAAAGGAACATGCAGATGGGAACATTGTGATTATTATGATTGGAAATAAAATAGATGCAGTTGATTCAAGGGTATGGCTATATCTTAATATAGGCTGTGAGGACAGACGAGGCCTAAGACTATTGTGAATCGCAGAAAATAGGATTCATCGAAACTTCAGCATTGGATGGGACTAACATTGATGTTGCATTCAATAAGATTGTAGCAAGTACTCCATTCTTATGACATAAATAGATATTTTTAACACAATTGGTTCTAAAAACATTAAGAAGGTAGTTTAAATGGCAACAGAGCAAGTACTCTTGGAAAAACCAAAGGTAACGCAATCCAAATCGAAAAAGAATAGAGAAGGATGTTGTTGAGTATATTTCATTTATGTCTTTGATTATTTATTATAAATGCTCCCACTATTCAATCTAAATTAAGAATCTTAAAATGTTAATTGAAGTTGATTATTATTTTTAGTTTTCAATCAATGCCTTTCTGAGTTTGATGTGAGGAACCTTTTAGAAAATACACAATTAATTATACAGCAAATTATATTAATAAATTGCTTAATTATGTATTCGATTAAAACAGAACCTCAACCAATTGCAATCGTTAGTTTACAAATGAATGATACAGATGAAGAAATAAGAGTTTATGAAGGGGAAGACGTAGAAAACATTGTTAGACTATTTTGTTAACAGCATCAATTGGGATAAGATTGTGTTCTGTATTTGGTTGATCAAATAAATCAATAATTACAAAGAGAACCTTCTCCTAGATTTGGGGATAGTTTCGGAAACAAAAACATTTCTCATCAACTTCTCTACCCTTGTCATACTTAATAGAGTGACATTGGTATTACTACGTAAGATAGTAGTGTTAATGAAAATTAGAACTCAGCTTAAAAAAGTTATGAAATATGGTAAAAAATCATAAATTAAAAAACAGATCTGAGATAACTCAGTTCTGTAACTTAAAATACATTATTATGGAATATTCCCAGTTCAGCCAGATGTAAACTATTTTAAATTTATTATAGCTTACAACGATAATAAAAAAGTCACAACCAATGAAAGGCTTTATCGGGATGGCTTGGATAGGTAAAAAACCAAACTGGAATAGGCCGAATAATATAAACTCCAGAAGTCCATATTGGAACAAAAAGAATCTACTTTCTAACCTTTAATATCTCCTCGATCCAGATAAATGGCAGAGTAGAAGAAATTAAGTAGACCTGATTGTTCTATTAATAATATTGGATTTCAATTGTATTAAAAGGGTTTAGATATGAATTCAAAGAAGGAAATACATCGAATGTAAATGTAAGAATAGGAAAGAAAATAATCTCCTTTTTAACCTAGAATCACGGACACAAGTAGAAATAATTCTCAAAATAGATCAAATACTCCAATTCATGAAAAACTCTATTGTTAAGCTAAAGAAGATAAGAAAAAGAAGGAAGACTTTTAAAATAGAGAGTTTTCTAAAATTCATCCATTCCATCCTAATTCCTCAAAAAACCAAATTAAACAATCTACTATTTAACAAAAGAAATTCGTTGATAAATTATTCAAAGAACAAGAAGAAAAATAGAAAAGAATAGAGAAAAAAAAGTAACCTTATGATTTCTATTTATTAGACAAGAGTTCTAAATTCAAACTTAAAGTCATGTTACTTTTAAACCAACCATCAATAAAGATGCTACTTATAAGAAGGTTAGTGAAAAGAAAGAAAATGAGGATATCAAGATTGCCTTAGATTTATAGAAAATGCAATCGCGTTTATAAAGTAAGAATTCTTTTAGTCAATCTGAGACGAGAATTTCATCACAATAAAGCTTGCAATCTTTGCTTGATTTGAAAATTTAGAGAATTTTCAATAAATTAGACAGTGATAAGGATGGATATATTAGCAAAGATAATCTGAGTTTGGAGGAACTGGATTGTGAGACCAAGAAGATTATTGAAGTGGTTCTAAATTAAATTGAAGAAGACTCGTATACGGAGATTAATTTAAAAGGGTTTAAGAAGCTTTGTGAGATGCATCATTTGCAAGAATAATTAAATAGTTTATGAATAATTTTGGATTTTATTTATATTTATAAATCTATAAAATTGTTATTTTTATCAAATTCATCTGTATTAATAATTTAATTATGCTCTTATTTACAAATAGAAGATTATGGAGATTCGCTACTCAGAAGTATTCATGATACTTAAACAAGAATTTATAAGGATTCCACTAAATTATCGGAAGAGGAAATATCGAAAATACTTTTTAAAGATGAAGAGCCTACTACAAACAACACCTAATAGAATCTGAATAATGAAGTTACAATCGACACCTTGTATGAGAAATCCAATATCAATGAACTATTGGACATCATTCAAAGAAAGGCCCAATAAGAAATCACTCCGAAAGAAGAACCGAAACAACCCACTAGATAAGATTTGCCATTAAAATATGGGTTACCTATTAAAAATGTGGGTTTGGATCTCACAGTGGAGAAAGTGGAGTAATGAATTTGTGTCAATATTAATTTGCAGACCTCCCAAGACAGTGACAATGAAGATGTTTGATATTCTGAAATTGAATGAGCATACTTCTTATCAAGAGTACGAAAATGCAATATAACAATTTAAAGAAGGCTTGTATGGAAATGCAGTAAGACCTTTTTATGAAGTGAGAAACGAGATGAAAGAAACATTAAAAGAAGATGCTATACCCTATGCCTTATTGAATAACAATAAATACATGGAAGAAATTAGAGAAAACAGAGCACTCAATATCTCAATACCTGGCACAATCGAAAACGAACATGCTCACAGATTCTTGAAGCTTAGACCTGTTGAAGAATTCAGACATACTCCATTGATTCCTATATCTGATAGACAAATGAGGGAATACCAAGAGAAGGTTGAAGCATATCACAGGAAAGGAGTGTATTTGGAAGTGTCAAGAGAATAGCTTTATTTTGCTTCATTCGTCGCAGGAATTTTGTATATTATGTTTAGAATGTTTCAATGGGTTCTTAAGAAGGAGGAAGAATAAGGTTTGCAATTTTAGAGACTCAAATTAAGGAGAATGGGAATGGCTTATGAGGTTGTTTGATATATAAATTATAATTAGTAATTTCTTAATGTATAAAATAACACCTCCTTCTCAACAAACCTACAAAGGTCCCAAATTACAGTAAAGTCGGATAAGTCAATTGTAAAATAACGAAACTGTTACTGAAGATGTCTTGCAGAGCTCAACTGAACAATATAGAGAATAATTGGAAGAGATGCTTGATCTGAAACCAAGCATAAGGGATTTTAAGTCAAACAACAAAAACAACCAACCTGATTTGTGGAAAACTGTATAATAAATCGAAAAGAGAATGCAAGAACAAGAATAGAACTTGCAAAGAGTCAACAGCGAATAATCAGAAGAAATTAATAAATTAAAAAGTGAAATAAAATAACAGAAGTAGTTGTACGAGTAAGAAATTGAAGAAATTAAATATTCATCAAGAATTCAAAGCTAAAAACCTCAACCTTCTTATAATTCATACACTCCCAAAAATACACGCGAATACAGTTATAGAAGTATAAGCAATAATAATCTCGAAGATGTGCAAGAAAAGCATTATTTACAATAATTGGTGTAAGACTTAAAATAACAGATCTTAGTCTTACAATAAAAGAATTACTACTCTCCTATTCAAAATACAGATAATATTTGGGAATAGAAATTTAGATAATTAGAAAAATAAAAAGAAACTGAATTGTAAATGAAGGATTAGCATCACATAGAGCGTATTCGTAATTTAGAAACCTAATTATTAAATCAAAAATAATCCTATGAAAATGAGTTATTTGCAATCAGAAAGATCTTGGATGAAAAAAGCAAAGAAGATTCTCTGATCAGACATTAAAATTAGAAATTGCAAAAAGACTTAAACTCTTACATCAATCAAGTACAGTATTTCAATAACTTAGTTTAATTTGCTATCATAATAGATTTAATAATAAAATCAGTAAATTTAGTAATATTAAATATAAATACAGTAATTATCCAATCAATTAAATCAATAATAGCCTATTAATTAAAACCAGTAATTGATGGAATTTGCTAATTAACTACAATCGTTAACACATCTATTAGATAAAAAGAACCAGGAATGCGAATATTATAAATAGAGATCAGCATAGAATTAGTAGCCTCTATAGTAGAATCCGTAAATAGTATCTTATCGTTAAGCTCTAACTCCAACAAGATAAAATACTCTATAACAAAGTTCTGATTCAATTGTCTTTCCTACTTTAACTAAACAATAAATCTTATAGCAATTTTAATGATATTAACATAAATATTAGATTTCATATAAAACTGTTGTATTTTTTTTATATGGGATCAGAACTGATGTCATAGGTGTAGCAATGACTTAGTGGAATTTAATTGCTTTGTTAACATTATTGAGTAGTAAAGTCATATTGACAATAATTGTATTGATTGCACAATCTTTTACTTGTGATTTAAGAACATCTAAAATAATAGAGACCATAACTTACATTATGTTCGAGCACTGCGAATTCTACCAAGTACATTTATTAGTAGCTATACAATCATTTGGATTGGTGAAGTAGGAACATTGTGTACATTTTCCTTTTTTTAAGAAACATCTTCTTCCATTTCTAAATGTAGGACAATCAGAATGCGTATTAAATTAGCAATCTTAACTTCTACAACTTCTAAAATCGAAAATATCTGTAGAATACATTTCCTCTTTTTCTTAATTAGAGGCTAAGTTATTAACTACATATTGACATCTTTAATTTAATATAAATTTGAATACCTGTCTCTTGTTCTGGCGTTTCTACACTATTTGAAGTCAGTAATTTGAGAACATTTCTCTATAGCTTTACAGCGATTGTGATACCATGCACAAAGTAATGGTTATCCTCTTTATTCGCTGCAATCAGAATAATTATCTATATCTTCGCATTTTAAGTCTTTAGTTCTCTCTCCAAATATATCTTAATTTTGAACTCTCTTCATACACTCTCCTCCGTTCCAATAACACATAAAATTTCTATATTAACTGTTATCTCTTAAACAATCCTGTACTGTGAAGAATTAATAACAAGAATCGTAAGATCTACTTTTGCAAGTGTTATCCCACTCACATTTTGCAAATGGATTGTTTGTATTCTCACATTATATTTAAGTTTTGATGTTTTAGCAAGATTATCTTTATAAAATGCACTCAGTTCCACTTACTAGAACAGCAGAAAGAGCAAATAGTTGTATGATCATTTAATTATTCTAACAATTCTCTTAGGGTTTGATAACAATTATAGATTTTATGCATCAATATTGATTAGTAGTCTATGTTGATTTCTATTTTATATTAATTATAAATATAAATATAAAAAAAATGGAAGAATAGGAGGAATGTAGTGATTGTAAAATTATAATTGCCAAAAAAGGTAAATCTAACCATTCATCAATAGAAATGTATTGTGAGAAATGTCTGCAATAATAGATGAAAAAAGAGGAGGAGGAAGTTAAACAATTAGAAAATGAAATCAATGAATTGCAGATCCAATTAAAATAAGTCAGAGACGAAATGTACAAAATGGAAACTAATCAAATTGAAAAGAAGAATGATAAAATAGAACTGGATGTAAATAAAATCATTAATAAACATAGAAAAAAAACTTAGATAAAGAAATTTATTAATTAGAATAGGATGAATAGCAATAGAAGAAGGAGTTGATTAAGCTAAAAAATTCGATCCTTGAGCAAGAGCACAATGAAGACAATTTATGGGAACACATCAATAAATTCACAAGAAAACTATATTCCTTATTTGAATCTAATTAAATTGCTGATAATAAATTATCTCAACTCAACAACGAATTAGATCGATTAAGCAAAGTATATTAAAATAATATCATCCAATTAGCTAGATGTATTAAATGATTTGTTTAAAATATCCGTTTAAGATGAAGTAGCAACTATTAATGGATTGCAAATTGGTAAGAAGGGTGAATAGCCTGTTGATTGGGATGATATCTCAGCTGGAGTTGGTCATCTTACCTTGTTACTAGTTTACTTGATGAAGAAGTTTATGTACACCTATTAAAAGTATGGATCATAACTTTAAAGTTTATAGAATAGAATCGATAGAACTAAATGGGTCATTCTCAAAAATCAAAATCAAAGATGAATATTAAAATACTCTATGTACCAAAACATTAAATCTATATTTGAATAATAAAACTTCGCAAAAAGATGAGGAAGAATTTAGTGATGCCTTTCTATAGTTGTATTTCGAATTTTAATAGTTTTGTAAATATTTGTAAGATGGGGACATATTGAGAAAAAGAAAAATTAATCTAAATTTACCTTTTACAATGAATGGCATGTCTGTAGACAATAAAATACTTAGTTTGAAGTAACCAGCAGCTTAGAAATGGCAAGAATGGACTAATTCTGTCAAGAAGTTTTTAGCAAATGTCAAAGCTCTCATTGTTGCTAATGCATAATTTGATTTATCTTTATGAAATATGGTAGCATAATTATTATCATTAAAACATCATAGTAATTGTATTCAAAAATAATTTATCAAGGTAATTTTAATTTAATTGAAACAACAATAATCACTTATAAATTTCATATAATTTAATAATTGCTCCTAATCTTTCAATTTTATCTTATTTTAAGAGCTTTGTTTATCTAATAATTATTTAAATCCGATATCACCTTCATGTAAGTTTCAGATTCATTTCATATATGCAAATTCAAGGAATATGATTGTTGTCATAGCTATTTTGTATAATAAATTATTAATCCTTGTTTATAGTATTCTACTCAGAATTTTAGTTAGATAATAAATAACATTCAAACAAATATTTTAATCTATATTATAATTTTCTCCATAAACTAATATTTGTAGTTGGAAATCCTTTGAACTTTTTATGCAATATCTTATTTCCCTTTAAATTTAATTATTTATTAAATAAAAATTTTCTTATGATCCAATAAGACGCAAAGAAGGATTAGAGACTCAAAATATTGCTTTAAGCAGATATTGAGGTAAAAACACAAATCAATTCTGATGTCAAATGGATTAACAGAATCGTTCCATTAAAAAATAATTTGGCTTTTATTTTTTATGAGGGAGGATTTTATGAATTGTACGATATAGAAAAACAATAAATAACAGTTACAGGAAGACTTCCTGATAAAATTAGATTTTTTCTTGAAATTTACACAAAGTAATTTTTAAAAATAATCAATAGAGTTTTGATCTATCACGATCCCACAGATATTTAAATCAAAATGTTAGACTTGAATACAAATTAAATCAATCCTAATTTTGTATTTAGAGCGAGTGACAAAATAGATATCAAGAGTGATGAATAAAGTAGAGAGATAATTATAGATAGTAATAATCATTCGATATTTTAGAGTTCAGAGCTTTCTTTCTTGACAGCCAAGAGAGATAGTGTAAATATTTGATAACCCAAGATTTAGAAAAGTACTACTCAAATAGTAATGTTTGCCATTTCAAAATAAGGATTCTTCCTCTTGAATATACTCCTGAAACTCACTTCGATTTAAAACCAGTAGCCTAATATGACTATCCTAATATTATTTAACAAACTGAGTTATATAGTTGGCTTGTAGACAATGAAACTTTTACTATCTATGGACAAGACAACGATAACAATAAATCTGAAATTCTTTTTATCAAACCTCATCTATTAGAAAATGCATTTTATATTGTTCATACAGTGCATTAATGTTCATACACAATATTAAATGTGTCAAATTGGATTGGCCCTCATAAGGTGGCCATTTGGGTAAATTGTAATGATGGTACTACAAAGCCATCTATATTTTCTATTGATTTAAGAAAATATTATGATGGTAAAAATTGGTTACCTGAAACTGAATATTAACCAACTTTGGTAATTATCTAAGCTTAAATATTACTAGGAAAGAGATGAGAATATTTAGGATAAACCAGCAATTTTTATGGATATTTATCAATTTAATTTAGATTCTACTTATACAATTTAAATTAGATAAGTTTAAGATGATGCCATGATCTCGATCATCGATTATTAAAATCTCTAAAAGCCAGAAATTATAAGTGAAGTTAAGGTTAATTCATTTTGGATTGATCCTGCAGTCGATCATTCTTACATTTTACTTTATAATGATATGTCGTAAGACTTTATTATTTACTTTTAGCATTGAAAATAAGACAGTCAAATTTACGATATTGTTTCCAGCTGATGCAAGACATTAACTATTATAAATTATTGAAAAATAAAATATAATTGAAAAATATGGGATTAATAATGTTGAAGAGTTATTTGAATTCTATTAATGAGCGTTACAATATTTTAAACAAATCATCAATTTTTTCAATTTCTGTTTTGATTCTGTTTTAAATAAATTAAATTAATTTAATTTATATAACATAATGAGAATAAGTATTAATATTAAATTCATTAAATCAATAAAAAGAAGATTTGAAATATCCATATGTTTATGTATAATGATATTTATTCAGATATTTTAATACTTTCAGTCAATCATTCCCTTCAGTTTAATTCAGGGTATGGATGTTAGGAATTGAATTTCACAGCAGCCTCAATTTCCTTCATCACTCTTAAGACCATTTCATCTTAATTAGGCAAAGCAGCAACTTGAACATTGACAGGAAGACCTATGGCTCCTTAGAGATCTCTTTTCATAAACCTATAAACAAGATCCATTGAATTCTATTAACCTTTTATTTCCAAATCTTAATCATTTTGAACAGTTGTAATAGGTAGACAACCCACAGGGAAATCTACTACATTCCATATCCAAGTATATAATCTAAAATAAAAATAGAATAATACGCTGTAAAAGCCAATTATTTGGAACCTCCATGTTTAACAGCAGGTTATCCAAAAGCAGGACAAATTATAACATCTATTCCTTAATTAACAATAGCTTAGCAGAATTAGAAATTTGTTTATTTTCTGATAGCTGAATCAACCAAATATTGATATACATCTACTTTAGTATTATTGTTGTATTCCAAGAGTGTTTTCTATCCAAATAACTTAAATAACGGAGCCAAAACAAACTTCTTGATTCCCAAACAAATATTAGCATCTTGTACCAAAAGTTCATACTCCTCAATGAATTTTTAGCCATGTAAAGCTTCAATGTATGATTTCATTCCTCCATCAGCCGCCACTATTTTTAAGAAGCAATTAGCAATAATGCTTTATAATTATTAATCTACTTTAAATTCAACAATTTCATGTCCTTAACTCTCTAATGCTTAACAAGTTTCTTTCACTGCTCTACTCATGCAAAATGGTGTTACCAAACCATTAAAAATATCAAAATATCCAACTCTTAATTTTTACTTTTTTGGAAAATCATTTAACTCTTGAGGTTCAAAATAAGGATCTTTTATTTACATAGGAATTTTCGAATATATTTCTTTATCAAATAGAACCTTTGTTAGAACTATCAAATCATCGACACATCTAGCAATAGGTCCTCTTGAAACTTTTAGTTCTGTAACTCCTTCAACAGCTAATGAAATCTTTGCCTCGCCATAATCTGGTATTCTTCCACTATAAGGCTTGAATCCATATACACCACAAAATGCAGCTGGTATACGAATACTACCACCTACATCTGATCCTATTCCCAACACACTTCCTCTTGCTGCTGCCAAAGCTCCTTCTCCCCCTGAAGATCCTCCAACTGCTCTGTTAGGATTCCATGGGTTCTTTGTTCTTCCATAAACATGATTGACTGACTCGAATGTCATGGCTACTTAAGGAACATTAGTCCTTGCTATGATTATACCTCTTGCTTATCTGATTTAAGCAACTTGTATTCCATCCTCTTAAGCAGGCTAAAAACAATTGGCTCCTAGTCCATATGTTGAATCAAAGTTTTTCTGGATAAAGGTTTCTTTGACTGAAACTGGAATACCAAACAATGGATATTTATTTATTATATTTTTATCTTGTTTAATTTCCTAATCTTGTATTCTAAATTAATAACCAATCTTACTTGGCTTCTTCCAATGCTTCATCAAAATTGATTTCTGTTATGATATTTAGGTTGTCTGAACAAGCTACCTTAAGAATTCTTTCAATAAAAACTAAAACTGTTTAAAAGACAGTCATTTTCTCTTCATATAACAATTACTTAATTTAGGCTACATTACCATTAAGTATCTATTTTTGCAGTTCTTAGCTCAATTAACATGGTTGATGATTTAATTTATAATTGTTTATGGCTTCAATTGTAGCTTATCTTTTCCTTTGACAAATTCTATCCATCTTTTTGTGTTTGATATATCCAATGAATTTACCAAAAGTCCAAAGTCCAAAACCACCAGAAAGTGCTAATGCACATCCTTTTCTAATAATGTCTCTTTTATTTTATTTTAATAAATCTTTAAATTTCATTTGTTAATAAATTTAATATATGATTAATAAATCTGAAATTAATAGGAATATAAATATAATAATTTTTAAATGTGTCTCAATTAGATATATAATTTAAATAAAGATGAATATTTAGTTTTAAAAGAATTCAATTCATTTGGATTTATTAAAATATGTCATCACATTTTGATAGTAAATTATGTATAAATCCTGGAAAAATGTATAATTAATGAAATAAATATACTCCAATTACCTGGGCGTAAGGTTGAGTTCTGCAAGCTTGATAGCCTATTCATAATCTGCTTTTTCACACTAGCCAGGTTTTAAGTGCTTCTTCTTAACAATTAATTATTAAATGCTGTCATTAAACTAGAATTGGGACTTCTCAAAAATATATTTCAATTCATTCTCTATATAATAGATTTCCTTTTTTGTAAATAATTCATATTTTCCAATTAATTACTTAAATACACTTAGGACAATTTAGACATCATTACTTCTTAAGGCATCATAAACAACATAATCTTCGTTGTTATCCTCAACCAAATACCTTGCAATAAGTTTTCTCTATTCATAACTCTGAATTTTGAATGGTTCTTAGAGCAACAAATCTAATAATTCATGGATTTTAATTTATTAATCATATTTTTCAAATAACATTTCAACATCAAAGATTGAAACTTCTTTACTTAATAACTTAAATTTTATTTCCAAACCAAACTGTGCCACATCATATTAATTTACTCTAATAATCTTTTTTTATTTTCTATTGCTCTGTTCCACTTGTTTTTCATTCTCATCAATTTCATTACAATACTTAGTAAATTCAGTATTCTATATTTTAGATGAATCCATTTGCATGCTTTATTTATATTATTAACTAGATTATCTTAAAAATGAATAATTTTATTGTTGCTAAGATATTCCTGAGTTATTTAGTGATATTTTTAATTTTCTAGTAGAATCTTGTCTGGATTCTACCTTTTGTATATCAAATTAATTGAGTTTCTACTCTTATGAGCTAGATTAGTATTTTTCTATTTGTTTCTTTAATTCTTCGTATTCTAACAATTATAGTTTTAAATCATTTATCTCTTAATCTCTATCCTTCATATCTGTTGAATAACGAAATTCTAAATGTTTCAATTGTTCTTGCAATTAAGCATTCTCAATAGACTCTCTAAAAATTTATTATCTTGATTTAGTTATAGCATTTGATAATTAGTGATTCTCCTCTAATTGCTTTTATACTGAGATTAATCGTCTTATTTCCTTGTCTTTTATGATCAATTAGGTTTTCAGAGATTCTATTTACCCGTTTATGAAATATCTCTCAGTCTTCATGGTAGTATTTTCTGATTTGAGTTCATGGTTCTTTTATGATAATTTCTAAATTATTTTCTCCTGCTTTTAATAGAGATCCTCTATTTTGAGGGATTAATTCTCTTGTAATTATTCCTTCAAATCCTTTATCTCCTGTTATTGGAAGAGCACTTATTATTAATAATTAAATAATTCGACCTAAGATCATGAAATGAATAATACTTGCAATTCTTAATATTTGGTGACATTAATCATCTTTTTGTACTCTTCTATTTATTTAATTTTATCGCTTAAATCTGATTCCAATTTTTTCAGTTACTATTTTAAGGAAATTAAAAATGTTTTGCTATTATCAAACATGAGATTTTGAGTAGAGTCTCTCTATTCTTAAATTAATCAATACTTAGAGTTATTAATATTTTAATTTCCAAACTTAGACTTCATCCGATAAAGTATTAATCTAGGTTTTCAATTGATTGTTCTAATGACTCAAAGTTTCAGGATCCACCTTATTTGGATTGATAAGATTATTATGAGATTTATGGTTTTTGTGAGATTGTATTCTTATTATTTTCACATTATCTTAACTAGACACTTTTGTACTGATGCTATAAAATTTGTGAGACATCAAAATTTAATAATTAATAAACAAATTAATATTAAATGCAATCTATTTCATTTTATACTCTAGCATTTCTTATTGATTCCCAATCTGGGTTCAGCTAAGCAATTTTTAATTAATAAGTATCTGATTGGATCAACAACAAACAATTCTAAAGCCAAAGCAGGAGCATAGTATTGCAAACAAATAAAATTGTTTATCTCGTAGTACATTATCCCTATAATTAGAACAGCCAATGCACTTCCCCAAATGACATAATTGATCAATTTGATATAGCATCCACTTCCATTCTTGCATATCGACTATATTGTATAATAATCGTGTATTTTGATGATCAAATACCCACCACTTGAAGAGGCCATGATATAATAATACTACAATTGTGAAACAAATAGAAGCAATACTCCACAAATTTCGAAACAAACCATTTGTCTAAAATAAATTTATGCGAGCATAAAAATTCTTGATAAACCAATTTTGTGACTGTAAAATATTTTAGCAAACAAATTACATTTCTAATTAAACTCAATTTTGTACATAATAATCCTTGGCTGGCTTTGGTACATTACAATTCTAAACAGTAATGGAATAACCACTTGTCTAAAAATTTGAGATAGAAGGTATCTTAGGTTGATTGAGAACCTTTTGATCTGGAGTCTCCCCAAAAATACTGTTCCTTTCACTATTATTGCCTGACTGTCTTGATCTCACGCTTTTTCGGTTTGTAGATTACACAGTCTCCACACCCTCCATATTTCCTGCAATTTGTTTTCTTGAAAAAATTGTCTACGGCGTTGTTTATTTCTATTTTTTAGTAATTGGGAGTTTCAGAGATGTTTCCTTTTAAGCTGATTCATCTTAAATTTTAATTCCATTCTCTTGATTATTTTATTATGAGAACATTCTTTGATTGTTAATTAATTCATCTACCAATTAACTATCGTTCTTTTATTAAGACTGCTTCTAAACATTAGATATTAACATATGATTAACAAAAATCACACTATTTTAAGGCGTTTAACTTTTAACCTAAGGTGTTATGGCAGCTAATTTATATTTTTTTTCTAAAAAATAGCCTATTAAGATCAAAACGATAAAAAGGACAGTCCATAAAGCAAAAAATACTATTATTAATAAGTTATGAATCATTATTAAAATTAATTTTATAATAAACATTGCCCATAAGTTTATAAATAGTATCCCCTGATTATTAAGGTTCTCTCTCTCCCTTTCGAATTCCGCTATGCATTTATAATCATTAATTATTATAAATAAAATATGATGAATAGTTCTATTATTCAAGGTCTGATCATGATGCTAACAAATGTAATTAAGATCATGTATTGTACTTGATGATAATCTCATTTTTATATTCCTCAGCACTGGCTATGCAAATATCTTAATATTTAAACTATATAAGGAACTAAGGTATATTTTTAACTAACTCCCATATATTTAATCAGCAAAATGGGTAATCTGAAATTTCTTAATATAATTTCAATTAATTTTTGATAAATTTAATCAAAGATATCTCTAACTTCCTAAATAGACTCTAGTAATGATTTCAGGACTTAATCAATCTAAGGGAGTCACAGTCGCTTTTTTACTTTTGGTCTTTATAAATAATTTAGAGACCAAACTCCTGTTAAAGATGAAGTGAATGCTAATATAACAAAATTCTCATAAATAAATTAATATAGTAAATCTATTATTTCAATCAAATTTCTTAAAATCTACATGATACAATTCTCTGTAAACGTCTTATATTGATTTATCCATTGTAGATATTAAATGTCCAGAACCTTAATGTAAAATGGGGACCTTGAATTCATTATAACAAGTACTTTAGGATTCTTATCTTTAACGACATTGCATTTTTTCAATATTATTTTAGATGTCTCAACAGGATTAAATGTTTCCATCTCATTTCCTTATTTTTTATCTTTTTCATTTCCCATTTCTTCAAGTCTTGCCGGTGCTTCTTAAGACATCAATCTCAGCTTCTCAGTTGATTATAATGGTTTTTTTCTACTTTCCTCTTAGGTATGTAATAGTGGTTAAGATCTTGCATGTTCCATCAAAGTCACTAAAATAATTGATAACCAGTATACATGGTAAATTATTAAACATAGTTTAGGCTGCCTAGAAGTGGGTTTTATTATGTAATGAGGGCAATAGATTCTTAGCAATTAACCTTGATAGATACGCTCTTCTTTCTAAAGCTGACATTCCTTCTGAGAAGTTCTCTAGACTTACAATCTTTTTATGATCAATTTTCATGTTCTCTACTTATGATTAGGTATGATCTTTTAAAAATTATTCAATTCTAGCGAGAGCAGTTTTATCTCTATATCTGAATATATCTCTTTTGATGTCTTTAGATGGATCTCTTTCTCTGAAGGAATGTTTGCCTACTTTTAAATTTGGCAGGAAATCCAAGTCTTTATTTTTTTCTTAGGCTTCCAAGATTCTCTCCTTCTCATGTTTAAAACCTTTAACATAAATTTACGGATCTCCCAAATTTTTGGTTATATCTTCTTCTCTAAACTTGTAACTTTCAGGAGGTTTATATTCATTACAAACTACAGGATTCTCCAACATATTTATGACAAAGTTCTCAACTCTTTTTTTATAATTCTTCGACAATCTCTAATTCATATCTATTTGTTATGTAACTCCTCATACCTTTCCTACGTTCTCTTTCTGAAACATAATCCTTCTTTATTTTGTCAATATCTTTTGTGAAGGCAAGTTACTTATCATATTAATATCCATTAAACATTAAATTATTATATATATAAGTCATTAATCAATATATTTTTAATAAGTCATTCTAATTAACATTCATATTTTTAGAGTTTGAATTTTATTCTGATAAGAACTCAAAAATATTTCGAAGCTCTCACTATGAATTGGGGAGATGAAATATTATTTTAATTAACTTCATTCACAATTATATTATTTTATGCTGATTGAAAATTTAGCAAATGAACTATAATGCTCAATTTGGTTAGCTATCATATATATCTTAATAGCTTAAGTTTATATAGTCTTCCATTTGTTATTCCCTGTGGACATAGTTTTTGCCGCGATTGCATTCAAAATTATGGCAAATCAACTAAATCTGCCAAATGCCCTCTATGCAAGTAACCTTTCAATCTTGCCAAAATCAATCTTAACATATCACTTTAAGCTGTATTGAATGTAATCGATCAAGACAACACAAAAGTGAAAGGAGATCTCAGCAGATAAAAGTCAAAATCTACTAATTTTTTTATTTGCACTTCAAATTTATCAGATGAATAGAAAGTACTAAAATGAATAAATTAAGGAATGCATTGAAAGATTTCAGAAACACTTCAAAATAAAATCCAATTCAAACATCAATTCCAAGATTACTCACTTGATTTCAGGCCCTGACAACCCAAACAAACCTTTTATAGCCAGAAGAACCTTAAAGTACTTGGAAGCACTGGCTCGCGGAATTTGGATTGTTAATATAGATTGGGTTATAGAAAGTCTCAAATGCGATAAGATCTTAAGCGAAGATGATTTCGAAATCAGGGGAGACGAATTTCCAACACTCACTCCGAAAATATCAAGAACTAGAGGTGGAATGTATGATTTCCTGAGGAATTACGAATTCACTATTGAAGTTGGAAATGTTAACAAGACCATAATAAATCAGGAATACGTCGAAACCTTAATATTACTGTGCGGTGGCAACATCGTAAATCAAAAGGAGAAGACTCAAAATACTATTATAATTAAAATAGTTTAAGACCCTCAAATGAATCATACTCGAATCGAGTGTATTCCAATGATTGTCAATTAAAAATGGTTGTTTGATAGTATCAGCAAATTCAACATGCAAAACTATTTTGGCTATTTAATAAGTAATTGATCCTAATTAATAAAATTTCCGTTTTTATTGTATTATAAATATCATTTATATTTTTACAGATTTGTCAGCTTACATAATAATACTTAGATTCAATATTTGTTTTATGATTTTTTGTTTCGAAACTGCAATTTTATTAGTAAACATATGCGGATTATCATTCTTCAAATAAATTTATTGGCAAGTCTTTGGAATTCAGTAAGTAATTATTCTCAGCCGATTGGTTAATTATTAATATCTTTTCTAAGCCACATTCACGAAAATAATGATCTGCTGCATTTGCTGAAAATAATTTAAGATGCTAAATGTTAATGTCAATATTTAGAGTTTTATTTCCTTATTTTTCTTTACTATAAGCCAAAAGAAATTGAATTTGGAGATAAGGTAATCCTTAAATCCATAGAGAAAAGATATTCAATTTAAATTTCATGGAATGTGGCTTTGCTGGAATTATATCTCCAACATTCTAATCATTTCTTATAAGTATCTAACAAATCATAACTATTTAGTGGCTTAGCCTAAGTCTTTTTAGTTCATCATCTAATTTGGAGTGACTTGACTTGTATTAATAAAGGAATTAACATCTTTATAAGATACACTATATGTTAAGAGGATAACTATATCAATATATAAAATTGTGAGTTAAATTATGAAGAAGAATAGAGGATTAGAGAAAATAAAACATAATTCAAATTTGGGAAGGCTAAAGACGAGTATTTTCCATCAAAAACAGAATAAGATATTATGCGCTGGTTAATTTATTTAGAGTAACTTTTCTTAAAATAATTGTGTATAATAGCAGTTTTGTTTACTGGAATCATTTTTGGTTAGAGTGTTTCCATTTTATTGGCAATTAATTTATTAATCAATTCAATTATAATATTCTAATCAATACTTCCTGGAACAGTTGTAAAACCTCGTTTAAATATAATTCTTGGATTTTTATGATTAAAAATCATAGATAAATATATTTTCTATCACATTTACAAATTTAATTTGAATGGCGATATTTATGGACTATTGGTTGAATAAAGTTTAAACATCTAAAACCCATATAAAATGACCTAATTATTTTAATAACTTTAGTAGGCATTCAATAGTTCAAGCATGATTGTTGAAATTATTATAAAGAATAAATATAAAATTACTGTTTATTCTTGAGGAAATGACAATTTAATATTTTTATTTAATCAATTGAATTAGAACTTGCACTTTTAATTTTATGTGTTTTGTTGACTTCATCAGACATAATTACAAATAAACTATTAAAATAACCATATTAATGTATCCTAATTTTAGCTCCAAAAATAAAGTAATTTGGCCAAAATAACTTTGTTCAATATGATTTTATTCCAATTAAAATTCTTTATTTCAACATCCAAAAATATTAATTAATTGTCATCTACCTTAAATCTATTTAATATGGTTATATTTTGAACAATTGTATTAATCCTTAATTTTAAATGTATTTAATTTAGTTTATAGCGATCTTTTTTGAGTAAAATTAGCCGATATTATAAGTAAAACAACCAAAAAAACGTAATTATTTTGATTATTTGTAAGGGAGGCATGTTATCATTAGTTAGTAATTAAAAACATTAAATGCATTTATTTTGGATTTATTCCTCAAAGATTTTAAGAAGTTATTTGATATTTTCATATCAACTAATTAAAATATTTTAAAACTTCTGATTAAATCATTCTTAAAATAAAAAGCTTTAGCCAAAAAAATTCAATTTATAAGGGTTCTTATATTGTAGGAATTCTTATATGCAGCTAAGATTCATACTCTTACAACTAAATTTCAAATTAATGATATTTTCATTCGATTATATGTGTTTGTTATAATAAAATCAAGATTTTAATACTAATTAACACTAATCCTCAATTTCAGAGTTAATTAGATATGGAAATTTCAAGAAAAGCATAGTTTACTATTTTTAAGAAAAAAGGAGCAAGCATTTAGACAATTGAAACTATCGAACCTACATTCAAGAAATAAATTTCTCCATAACATACTCATCGTCTCTTTTAATCGACTCAATCGTCTAAATGTAATAAAGAAATCTATTATAGCCATGGTTATCAACAAGGATAAAGAAAAATAAAGAATCAAATAATTGCTTGAGGAAAATATGAAGTTGTTAGAACAATGCTCTGAGAAGGATTTGTAGATTGGAAGATTGAAAGCAAACGCGCAAAGAAACTTAGATTTGAGAACCTAAAGAGTCTAAACTCTCAATAATTTGAAACCAAATGAAAAAAAGAACTGTTACTTCGACAACTAAAAAACATAAAATATTTCAGACTTAGAATAAAATGATGATAAGCAACTTTTCACTTTTTATAGTCCAGAACAAAAATAAGTATCATAAACATTCAAGCTCCCTAAAGTTTTCAGAGCATTTCCTAAGCAAAATAGATATTATATCTGATTTTTCTATTCATTATTACAACTTCAATAATATTGAAAACTCATATTTACAATTTACTATTGTTTCAGATCAGTTCTAAGATATCATAATAATTTATTACATTTTTAAAAGTCTTAGACTATTTAATTCCTATTTTAATAATAGAATTATAGTATTCTGAAATTTACATCAAATTTATAAGTAAATTTGAAATCCATGACTATAAGTTTAAATTTCAATAATAACTCTGATTCTTTAAAACAGAGTGACTCTAAATATTTAGAAGTTAACAACTTTTTGTTCAAATTTTAGTATAAATATTATAATAAATGATTAATACACAAAGTGAAGATGGTGAATAGCCTGTTTCAAGTGTGCAAGCTATTGAAAAACCCTAAAAATTTAGCCTATTTGATTTGATTGTTGGATTGTCTATATTTAGCATTCTATTTTTTTAGTAATGTATGGGTGAAATTTTATTCCCGATTGGATTAATATTTTTGATGAATGGAATACTCTATAAATGCAACAGACGAATTGATTAATTTATGATTGGTCTATTTTATGTACTTTAATTATTTGCAGTTTGGGCATTAACCTATCACGATTTCGAAGAGTGTCGAATTGGATATGTATTAGTCGTTATTTACGTAGTTGTAATATTTTGCTTCATTACAAGTAGCATGATTATATTGACATGAAATCAATTATTGTCTAAAATACATATAATTAACACTATTCTTTCATTGCATTATTATCATTATGCACTTCTTTATAAAATTTATATATATACTTAATATATAAATTTTAATATTCTTGAGAATGTTTACTATCACAATATATGTTAAGTTGTTTAATAACTTGAATTTATATATATGCAATTATTAGTCAATAATCTAAATATAACTCTTTGATGGTAAAGGTGGTTTCATCAAGTTCATACCATGGGAATCTCCACTCGTCAGTCATACCATAATGTGGAATATTAGGATAGGCTTTCCAATTAAATGGATCGTGATTTTAATAGGAAGGACTTGAGATCAAATGAACCTTTTTATTCTTAATCATGTCCTGACTAATGACCTTACCATCAATTCCTCCGAATGTGTATCCATTCCCTAGATCACACCTTGGACTTAAGGCACCATCGCAAGCATCGAATTCAGCAGTAACTTTATTGTATCTAACTAATTTTCCTACTTCTTTAACTGTTTTTAGATTTCCTTGGTACATTCTAAACTATCTTGCTCTTACATCATCATTATATGAGGTAGTTTTTGGATATTCTTAAATTTTATATAATTTTACTTAAAGAATCAAAGATTTCTTAATCCAATGGTACATTATAAGATGCCACATATCCTTAGGATGCTAGTAATGTATTTGTTAGATCATGCACCTTATAATGAAAGAATGCCTCTTCTCCCATGAATATTTTATTATAATCAGTTACAACCCATTAATTATTATGAGTTCCACTTCTATGCTACCCAAAAATATCCATCCATTCTGAAGGAGTCTTTGCCAATCTACTTGCTATATTAGCTCTCATCCAACAAGGCACTGAATCATAATGAAAATAGGCATAATTTTCTTTATTATAATTATTAAATGATGTTTCTGTCACAACCATTTAAGTATCCCAAAGGACAAAAAAATCATCCTTGGATTCTAAATCTCCTGGTCTTGCTGTAAATGATAAATGTGGATTGACCACATCTTTGTCTTTTAATTTAAAATTATAGCTTTTATAAATTCTGAGCATAGTTTGATACACATTAAAAGTCGAATGTGCCACTATGCCTGGTTTATAAAAGGAATTACAATTTCCAATACCTTGAGTTTAAACTTAGCCAACACTTGGCCATAAATCTTAAAGATCTCCCATATTACTGAGATAATAGAACTAGTCAAAGGACAAGGCTTTTTCAGTCTTGCCATAATGATAATTGTATCCTTCATACATATTTTCTAACTAAATCAATAGATATTTGACCATCCTCCAATAAGGCGTATTTTAAGATTAACTTTGTTCTTTCAACCAATTATATTAATTATGCACATATGTCTAAAGCGATTTCGGTAGAAAATGTCTCCCTCCTTAAATTCCATAAATATAATTCAAATATGCATTATAAATTTCCTCTCTGGATTCCTCGCCTTCGTATCTTCCGGCTGTAGCGAAAACATCCTCGTCATTTTCCACACTTTCAAGATTTATTTGAAGAAAGTTCCATCCAGTTGTATTGGCAGTTCTATTATAAATGATTGATCCCTTCACTTTACCATTATCAATTTCTAAAGAAAACGATATAGATACAAGTAAAAATATCAAAGAGTTCATCATTAATATTATTAATATTTTGTAATGTCATCACATGCATAATATTAAATATCTTTTTTAATGACATAATTTGGATATCTATTATAAAATATATGATAATCAAATTGTTAAAATAATAGATTATAGATTATAGCTTATACATATATATCTAAATTTCATCTCTTAAACAACACAATTTAAAATTTATTACTATGAGAATATATATATTCTATATAATAACAGTTATTTTTAATATTAGTACGATTAAGTTAAGCTTGCTTTTCAAATTCATTAAATTGCATCCTGCTATGATTTTAATTATATATAGTGAAAATTAGGTTTTCAACTCACTTGCGAAAAATTCATTCTATTAATACTAATTTCATATTGAAACTTTCATTAATGTAATTCATTATTTCGCAAAGGCATACTTTGAATTTAATATAACTTAAATAGATTATTTCATGTCTGAATGACTTGCTTTTATAATGGAATAATATCATAATTGATTAATCTGTTTACAGTTAATATATTTATAAATTTGCAATTCAAATACCTTTGGATAATTTTTCTAAGGTTAAAGTCTACACAATTTGTTTACTTTGAACTATGCTTAATGATTTGGCAAACATTCATTGTAACTTTAATAGAATGCCTCTATTCAGCATCGTTATCTATGTTCTTTGAATTTTATCTTTAAGTAATAATTTCATCCGAGTAAACACCTTTAGTAATCAAAGATGTATGTGTTTCTTCTTGTATATTTTTGAAAGTAATCAACTAAATCATTCAAATTAATTAATTTAGTAATCCTCTTTTTGACAGTATTAAATTTTACATATTCAATTGGGTAAAAAGGAGAATGGTTATAACTTTAGGGTAATAAGGTCAGTTTATAAGGAGGAATAAATAAATTGAATAATAATATATTAATTTTCATTAATAAAATAAATTTAGAAGATGATTGATGAGATAACTCTGTTGGCAAACTTCATTTAATTGAAAACGGAAACGCTGTATCAAAGATCAAAATTTAGCGGATTGTGCTTGTACCCATCTATCGTATTGTCGATAGCCTTTGATAGAAGTACTGTAAATATAGGAACTGTTTTGATAACATTGATTTTAACAGCTATTTTAAAAAGTCATAATAAATTAATTTATATCTTAAGAGTAATATAATCAAACATAGTTATAGGTTCTCTTATTGTTTCCAGAGCTACTTCTTTAAAATTAAAATCAAGCATTAATCAGTTCATTTTTGATTAACCAAATATATGTGCCTTACTGGCCAAGTTAAATTGTGTTTTAGATGGTTTTAGTTAGGTCAGTGAATGGATTGTATTTGGGATTTGGATTAGTAATGTTGTCTAGATATTTTGAAATTTTAAAGCGAAGATTCTTTATATCATTCTATATTCAAGAATACAACTAAAATCAGAGAGAGTGTGTGTTGGAGAAACTACCAATAGACATTTTCCTCATTAATAGCGAAGCCAACATTTACTATAGTAATAATCATGTAAAATAATTTGATAATGAATTGCAAAGGAAATTGGCAAACCTGATTCGAAAGAAGAAAACAGATGAAATAACATTAAACCATAAATATTACAAGATGGAATAATATCATTCCGATTACCTATTGACACAATAATAATTTAGTTGTGGAGATATCGAACTGTTTATAAAGTTGTCACAATAAATAGATTAATTGTACAACCTCATATGCTAGGACTATCAGAAATGGAACAACTTAAGAGCATTTAAAGTAGTGAAGGAGAGCGATTTAAGTATCTTAGGTCAATGCACCACAGATTGTAGATTATTAAAACAGTAAATAGATACCATAAATATTCTAAATCACGATTGTCAATAAATCAAATACTAATCATCATCAAAAGACGAGTTTTTTTGTAAGTAAATTGTTTGATTTAGTGAAGAACTATGTGGTGAATGTGATTGAATCAATGGTTAATCGACTCTAAGAGCATTTCAATATAATTCAACTTGAATTTGAGGAGGGCATTCCAGAAAAGCTTGTGGGAAACAAACATGGCATTCTCTATAGTCTGTATGCATTCTTAATGAGTGCGATGCTTGTGGAATAGAAATCAGATCTGTTGACAATAAATACTAGAATAGCTTAAGTGTATTTAGATAAATCAGAATATGATCTTGAGATATCCATTAGTTTTCCATGTTCCAACAAATAAATGAAATTGTATTGTCAAGATGAATTTGAGAATGAGAATGAACAATTTTTGCTAATCATGATCAAATAATGTAAGTAATTGCTCTCGATTGATTATAAAACTGATGGGGACAACATTATCATCTTATTGATAACAAGTGTTCAATTGTGTGAAAAGAGTGACAAATCCTGTGATAATATTCAGATGGTTGATTTGACTTTTACAAAAAATGTTATTGATGTAAATCATTACTTTTGGAATGCAAAAAGATATGCCTCTCCAGCTATGACTTATGATAAATCCTTGAGATCACCTATATAAAAATGCACGGCTAAATTTAATTTTACTGATTCTTTGGCTTCAACTATCCAATTGAAATCGATTCCAAATTCAGCCTAAGCCTCTGCTGCAAATTCTAATGTCTAATCTCCTGAGAATACATTGATTAAAAATGATGATATAATCAGAGAAGTCGAAAAGGCTTTCAAATATACTATACAATTTCCTTAAATAAAAGAGGATATAATCAAATTGCTAGAATAAACCTTGAAAGTTGCCTACAATGAAGGAATCTTGGATCACGACAAAACCATACTCGATATAGGATGTTCTCAAATGGGCTATGATAAGTACAGTTAGATTAGTGTGAGATCAGACACACCATTTGTTCAAGATTATTGTGATCAATTAATTGATTAAAATGACAACGAATTTTAAAAGAGTAAACCCAAATAGTTCAAAACTCCTTAATTAAAACCTAGAGATTTAGTAAGATTCGATAATTTGGGGCAGCAAGTGGTCCGTGAATAAAAGAAAAAGCAAGAAAAAGCTAATAGGTCTATCTAGGGAAAGAGGAACAAAGATCAAAAGTAATTGAGTGTTCTGTTTAGTCCTTCTGTGATGAGCAAATTTAGTAACAATCTGGTATCCAAAGTCTAAAAATCCAAAACTCAATTGCCTAAAATTGATGATAACAATGGTATTTATTTGAGTCTATCAAGATAATAAATTTCATATTAGAGTCAGAGATAATAGATTAAGGAAACAACAACGAAAATGGACTTGTAGAATTAGACTGGATGAATAACCAAAGTAGGAACCGAACATACTCTGTTTGATTCCTAATACTCAATTTATTCACGTGGCACAAAGGTTTGGTAATAGTCAGTATGGAGATTTAATGATCGGAGAGCCCATTATCACTTACTCAGTCTCAGAATTGATTGCGATCTATAAATAGCATTTTAATGAGGGCAAACAGTTTTGCTTTATTTTGATATACATTCATAAGATTAGTGAAATCGAGGAATTGAGCATTGCTGTGCAAAGCAATGAAAACTTATGGTGTCAAGATCGTGATTTCAAAAAAACAGTGATGATAGGAATTTACAATTAAACCTAATTGAACAAAAATCTATATCAGTTTCTTCAATACACTATTCCTTTAAGCTAAGATGCCGAATAATTAGCCAAATCAAAAGAATGGATAGCGGAAATAAGTAAATGATTATAAATTATTATTAAAATTAAGTAATAAACAATGTCTCACCACCACCAAAAGTATTATGAGAGACCAGGTATATATTTCCTACTAATATGTTCTAAGATGGATATGTGTACTCACCTGAAGAATTGGATGCTCATAGAATTCCTTTGCCCTTTAGAGACAGATGTGTCAATTTCTATGTCCCCTTCTTCAAATGCCAATAAATCAAAACAGACAATCTATTCAAAACCGCACTCGCAGCCATCGACTAGACTTTGGATCATTGGTATTTCATTACTTCTATTCCTAGGGGTGGAGAATGCTACAAAGAAAAAAGAGACTATGTAAATTGTGCTAAAGCAGCGTATATACTTTATCCAATTATTTTTCAGTTACCAATATTCCTTGGCCATCCCTGTTCAAAATATTTATACTGCCAATCCATGGTATGCTAGTCAAGAAGCTGTTTCATCCGAATTAGAAAAAAATCATTTTAGTTCACCAGTCTTGTATTGACAAAATAATCAATTTTAGTACAAAATAAAACATTATTATTATTTACATGCATTATTCACTTGTAGAAGGATCTTAATAAACCGATTCCATTCATTACCCTTCTAAAATTCACGTTAGATATCCTTCTTAATTGCAAATGGGTTCTCCTAGAATAATTCTCTTGCAAAATCACTTTCCTGCTGTGAAACCTATCATTGTAAGAAAACCCCAATAAGGATCAAACTTAAAATAACTCAAAAATGCCTACTACACCAATCGATAACCTGTCAAAACTCTCTGCAACGAATAATTGGAAATACCAAAACAAGAGAAAATACTAAAAGAAAAAAACAAAAAACTATAATTGAGGAAAAATATGACCAGAAAATTATTGAAAATTACAGAGTATCTAGCTTCCTACAGAAAGCCCTGAAAACATCTTCCTATGATTATAAATATGATAATAAACCCTTTATAAATAATGCCATCTATTATTAAACTCATAACAATGTCCATCCAATAAAGCCAGTACTTCGAATATTCAACATAAATAGATATTCCAATAGACTACATCATCTTTTCTTATCTTACAATTCTTTATATTAAAAAATTAAAGAGACATAAGTTAGAATTAAATATATAGATTTTATCATGGCGATTTGTGGAAAATAAATAAATTTTCAATTTATTGTTCTATTCTTTAAAATGTGTAAAAGATCCTCTATCCCCTTATAGGATATTTTCTATGTTTATATATGATATTTTTAACCAAGAATAAATCTTTTCATATACAAACAAGAATCAAAATTTCAGAATAGTTTTTTAATAAATTAGAGCTTAAATCTCACTTTGATCAAATCGAAATAACTTCCCATCCCATAATTTATTTATAACTTAGTTTAATGCCTATTGATTATGGTTTCAAAATAAACAAGACAAATGAAGACATTAAATAATCTACATTCACATATTCAATAGAATATAAATGTTGATAATATTAATTAATAATGACTTTAGATAATGTTGTAATTAAATATATGATAAAATCCGATCATCTTCTTAATGAGTTCTCCACTCTGTTACATGTTTCATCCAACAGTCTAAGCATAGTTTCTTCAGTGGATTCTCTTTATGCTTTTTCTTCTGATAACTATAAATTTAAAATATTATTCATCTCATCTATCATTCTATACATTTGAGATTGAGATTCCTATCTTTATCGTTTCTCCTTAGTCAGAGTCTCCTAGATTTAAAAGACAGATTCTCCAAATCTTCTAATTAGCTCTTAGCAAGCGGCTTCTCTATTAATTAATTGTAATAAGAAATACCTTTCTCTTCTTTCATTTTAGACATCCTCTGCTAAGTTTAAGACTCTTTCTCCAATTTCATTTGAATATTGTTCTTCAGTTTCCTCTCTCATTTTCTTTTATTTAGCTAATTCCAATCTATATTGATATGATTTTTCATCAATTAATCTAGCCACTTTCAATTCTGATTCCCTTCTCAAGGTTTTATCTTTTTACAATTCCTTAACTATATTCTACTCTAATCCCTTAACATCTCTCTACTTAAAATTATCATCCCTTGACTATAATATAAATTTTGAATTCAAACATCTCTAATTATTTTTTCGTTAGTTAATCCATCTTCTATTTTACTCAATTGGTCTTAAATTATTTTAAGTCTGCTTAAATCATTTTAGTAAGCCTTTTAAAATTTCTCGTCAAAAAGCTTGAGCTTTTATTCATAAGCTTCCTTTTTTAATGTTTTATCCTCTTCAATCTGTAATCCAGATAACTTTTCGCTTAACTATGCAATCTTAGCTCTGCTAGGAGATACTACAAGGATTAAACCATCTCTTACCGTTCCTATCAGTAATTGAAGATTGTGGGGCAATCACACTTTTCAAATTTTTTGTTTAAGGTGATTAATATAACGAGCTATTTAACATTAATTATTTATTAATTAAAACTAAAAGGTAGCTTTAATTTATTTGTAAATAATATCAATCTTAATAAATGTAATTGAGTTCTTTTAATAACTAGAAGAGAATATATGGGGTTGGAAGTTCAAATTTAATTTTAACGTCTATATTACAAGTTAATAAAATAGGACTTCATTTATAGAGGAATCAGCTGGATTTCTGTCAGCAATTATGTGATGGGCATTTCAACTCGATTTTCATCAATAATTATGCTGTGTGCATTTCATTACAAAAAAATAATGATTAGAAATATATTTAAGCTTCAATTTGAAATTTAGGTAGATATTTTTTTAATTAAAACATCATAAGATTTATTACCGAGATATAAAAGTTTTAGAAGAGAATCAAAAATTATAAGAATATGATCACATTAAAATAATAGCTACTTCTAATTTAGAATTCAAATTCAAACCCTTATTATTTTATAATTAATATATCATAACTAATTCATTAATAAGATATAAAAACACATTATATTTGATGAAAATAAGGTGAGAATTCATAATTTGTAATTGCATTCCAATGTTCAATCAGTTATCAGAACTTCAAGAATATTAATTATTTACTTATCAAAGGTTTCTAAACTATACGATTTTTATTGGTATATGAATATTGATCAATGAGAAGTATATCAATAGATAATTCAAAAATGATGATGCTATTTTATTCATTTATTAATAATATTTAGATCTTTGAAATCAATATTTAATAACTGAAAATACCTTTTTGTTTGTATAAATATTTTATTTTTTAAAATGGCAGACAACGAAAATAACGATGATCAACCAAATTTGGAGGAGGATCCAATGGCATTCTTACCAGCAGATCACGTAATGGAGTAATATGATATAATTAGCATTTGTTGGCTCGTTTGCAAATTGCATTACAAAAATAATTGGATGATGAGCATTCAAGAGTAGAATTAGAGCTTGTCGAAGTCGAAGATTAATTAAAAAAGCTTGATAGAGAAAAGGAGGATATTGGTACTTGAAATAATTAATATAAAAGGTGTTAGATTATATGGTGTATAACAATAGTTAGCAGAGAATTAATAAAATTTTGAAAAAGCACATGAAAACTTTAATTTTGTATAAAAATTGAGAATTGAAAGTGAGTAAAAACTAAAAACTATTAACGACTTACACTTACAGAAGAAGAAAGAGGTAGATGAATTAAGGAAAAAATATCTAAAAGCTCAAGATGAATTATCGAAACTTACCAAAACTTTGCACACCATTGAGAATTATAACAATTAGATGCAAGCAGAAATCCAATAGACTAGAAGAATCGTCTACAGAGGAGAAGAAAATGTGCAAGCATTAGAAAAGGATAAGAAAAAATAAGATTACTTAATTGATCAAATGAATGAGGAAATTAAGAGATTGACAGAATAAAAGACTATATTGATGGATCAATTGATATCACAAAGCAAAGAGACAGAAAATGCTAGACAAACAATGAAGGATGCTTAAGCTGAAATGGAAAAGATCATTGCATCAAAAAAGAACCTTATGGAAAGATGGTAGAAGAGTTTGGTAAGGATGTAGAGAATGGACAATGCACTATAAGAAATTAGAGAAGCTTATAAGTATGTATCTGTATTGATATCATAATAGAAAAGAATCAGAAGTCAATATCTAATTAGGTACTGAACTATAAGGAATTAATAATGAAATCAGAAAAGAAAATGCTAGATCTGAAGATTTAATTGCATAGAAAAGAAAATTGGAAAATCAAAAGTCGAACTTAGAAAACAGGAGATAAGAATTACTTGAAGAGTAGGCAAAACTCAATGCTTAAGTGTTATTGTTGAATGAATCTCTTAAATAGACAGAAAATGAAACTAAAAAGACTGATAATGAATAAAGAAATGTCGATGAATAAATGAAATTGATTGAAACTAATATTATGAAATTGCATACAGAAACTAAAAGCTTATTGGAAGACTTATTAGATTCAAAGAGTGAAAATACTACCATTGAAAAAACTGCCTTAAATTTGTTGAAATAGGCTTAAATTATCTAATCTGAAATTGAAGAAAAGGAAATAGAATTGGAAAATCTAAATAATGAAATTGCTAGAGTTAAAATTGATCAATTGAACACAGAATAATAGATTGAATAATTAAAATTAAAAAAGGCTGCAGTTATTAAAGAAAGAGATGACAAGAAAATTACTGTTGCTACTTACGAAGTATAAATTAAATAGGGTCATGAATTAAATGAAAAAAAACAACATGAAGTTGGTAGATTAAATAAGGTTCATGATGAATTGACAAACAATTCTTCAGAAGTCAGCAGAGGACCTTTAGAAGCTACAAAGTCTAATCTAAAACGATAATTTGATGAAATGATTCAACAATGTGAAGCCATGCATAGAGATTGGATCAAGAAGCAAACTTAATTGGTTGAAAAAACTAAAGAATATGAAACATGTTCAACAGAGGTTGATGAATTATCAAATAAACAAGTTATTTTAGAAAATAAAAAAATGAGATTAAATTCTTAATATAGATCTCATGAAAGAGAAATAAGAGAAATCAAAAATAGTCTTAAAAATCTTTAAAATGATATGAATAAATTAAATGATGATTTAGAAAGATATTAATTTAAATAAGAAAAATTAACAAACGAAAATAACCATATTTAGAGTGAATTTCTTGAGAAGTTGAAAGAGTTAGAGAAGGAAGCCGTAAGATATGAAGTCTAAATTGATAAATTAAAGGACAGTAAAGCAGATTTATTAAATGATATAATGGAGGCAGAAAAGTAAATCCTGTTGTGGGAAAGAAAGATTCAATTGGAAAAAGAAATGCAAGAGGCTTTGGATCCAAATGTTGGACAGAGCGAATTAAAACTATTGTAAAAAGAAATACATAAGATGGAACTAAGATAAAAGGAATAAAAGAAGAGTTAGGAGTAGATCATAAAAGAAATGGAAAGAACTGTTTTTAAGAGAGAGACTATCCAATTAAAATATCTGAACAAAGATAAATCTTCCTCAGGACCTAAAGAACTTAAACTTCCTCCTGTTGGAGCTAGCAATAATACAACTTAAGTTAACAAATAAATCTAAACACTTAAGAATACATTGAATCAAACATTGATGAATGGATAAAAGATAGAATAAGGTATAAGAGCACAAGAAGAGTAACTTGAAAATGTAAGAATTATAAAATATATGCATGTAGCTTTAACAATAAATCTAGGAGGCTTCCTAACAGTAATAATAAATGGAATAGGAAGCTTATGACAACAAATAAAAATTATATTATGCTAAAAATGAAAAGCATCTAAATGTATTCAAAATAAGTCAATTATAATCCTAAGCCAAGAAATACGAGGAATTATTAAACAACCCAAAACTTCCTTTTCCAGAACAATAAATTAGATAGTAAATTTAATTTTAAGCCTTAGGAAACTTGAAGAATAGAAGAACTTCACCAATAATATCAAGAGTGCCTTAAACAAACTAGTTGATGAATAGCCATAATTACAAGAGATCTTGGCCCCATTATTAGATTTATGAAATATATGAATTTAAAATTAATCAGATAGAACAATATTTAATCCTTATTATCATAATTGAGAGTAATTCTAAAGAGATTTTTTTAATTAAAATATATTTGTATTTAGTTTTTAATTATAAATATTTTAATTTGTGAAATGGCAAAGGATAAAATACTTTCTGCTAAACTTAAGTAATAGGAATTTAAAACCAAATCGACTCATTTGAAGACATAAAAAATAGCTTAATTACTTGAGCCATAGTTTTAGTAGAGTGTGGAAATAGATGATGAGAGACCATTATTAAAAATTTCTAATTTCAAGGGAGTATTTACTCAGAAGAGAATGTGCAAAATGTAGAACTTATATTCATTAAACAAGATTATCAATTTAAAATTGAAACAAGGACCATATAAAGCTCTCTGTGACACCTTAAACAACATATTTGGGCAGGAGAATCTGGTCACATAGCCGCTTTTAATTGGAGACACAAGTAATTGGAATGTGAATTCGATGTGAAAGAGAAATGCTATGATATCATTTCTATAGCGCAAAGAAATTTTGCAGTAGCCCAAAAAAGTTGCATCTACATTTACGATCCAAAAGGAGTTGAAGTTCATAAAATTCGTGAATGCAAACAAGCTACTAAATTAGAATATTTGCCCTATCACTTTTTATTGGCTGCTCTAAATTAGAATGGTTAATTGACCTATTAGGATATAACTTAAGGGAAAAATAATATCAAGTAACATATTGAATGATTATAGCATATAGAACTACACCATCTCCTTTGTGTTTAAAATAAAACAATAACAATGCAATATTAGGAATAGGAGATCAAAATGGGAGTTGTAAAGGATGTACGCTCCTAATACTGGAACTTCGCTTACATCCATGTTATGTCATAAAGGAGGAGTGATGTCGATGACTTTCTCTCGAGATGGCAATCACTTAATTACAACTGGATCGGAAGGAACAATTAAGGTCTGGGATCTTAGAACTTAAAAATTATAATCTCAAGTTGCAGTCAATGCAACTAACATAGCATTAAGTGATAAAGGAATTTTAGCTGCAGGGAGAGGAACGGATGTTGTTATGTGGAAAAACTGTTTGATCGGAGATTTAAAAACACCTTATTTAAGATATAAGGCATCTTCAATGATTTGTGATATTGATTTCATTAAGCATGAAGATTATTTGGCAATGAGCACTTTTGATAGTTATGAACAAACAGTAGTACCTGAAAGTGGAGAAGCATTTTTTGATACTTATGAGCAACCAGAATTGCAAAACAAAAAATAAAGGTTAGAGACTAACGTTAGATAATTACTTGAAAAAGTAAACTATTAATGAGATTAATTTTATAGCTACCTCCAGAGTCGATATCTCTTTAATCACATAGGATTGGAACAATAGATAGAACTTCAAAGGTTATAATCGAAAAAGAGTAAAAAAGGTAACTTGAGGAATAGGCATCTAGGAAAATCAAGAAACAGAAGAAAAAAATGAGAGGAAGGTATAGAATTAATATAAATGGCTTAGAAATAAAATTGGAAAGAGAGAGAAACTCAAGGAATTAGAGAGAGATCAGAAATAATAGGTTAAATGGTAAGAGATGTTGTCAGATGCTCTAAGAGTTAAGAGAGCGGAGAAGGAAAAGAAAAAGTTTGAAACTAAATTGTTGGACAGATTGGAATAGATTCCTAGCAAAGAATTTATTAGAGTAGTTTCATGAATTTGTATAATAGAAAACTGAATATATTTAATTATTAAAATATCCTAATTATTTCATTATAATAGATGATAGCATTTTAATTAAAAGATGTGGATAAAGGTTTGATCCCTGATAGAGTGGTCTAAGAAATAATCAGTAAATTGCCTAAGGAGTCAGTTGAAAAAGCTAAATACTTTGCCTAACTATTCGATCAGGCTACTTAAATTCTGACAGATGAAGGAAATGATGAATTTGTGAAAATTGAAAAAGCTATTATTAATAATGATTTAAGAAATTAAGTTTGGGAGATTAATTTCAAAGGAGAAGAAAACACAGAGTATTAAGATAAAAAAATTCAAGGTATTGTAAATCTTCAATGTTTAAGGTTATTTGATTCTACCGAATGACTATCCTACAGCTGCTCCAAAATTCTATTTTTGGTTTTTCAAAGATAATTCTAAAATTATTCATGAAAATATCTACGGAGGTTCCAATTATAAATATTTTTAGATGGATTACTTTGTATGCCTATGGTGACAAATAATTGGAAAGGCAACGAAGGATTAACCTAAGTGATGATGACTATAAGAGACATTTTCAATAATCCAAATGATAAAGATCCAGCCAACCCTATTTTCACGAAAGCCCCTAATGTTGAAAAAACTAGAAGAAGAAAGGCATAATCAGAATTATTGGAAGACTGGGAATGATCCAATTATTTTAAATATAAGTATTGATATATATTATGATATATCTCCATAATCTTTAGTTTTATTTAGTTTATCTCAACATTATAGTCAAACAAATAGAGATTAAATTTATTCTATTAATGATTTAATTATAAGAATTGGAGTTTAGGCTAATAAGAGCGAAGAAAGGCCTAGTCTTGATTTCTTACGCATTTAAAATTACTTTGAGAATGATGGTAATAAAAAAATCACATTTAAAGTGAATGGCAAATTGATTAATTATTTAAATCATAAAATATGTAATAAATTTAGGAAGAACTTGCCAATCTCAAGTTAGATTCAAATACCACCGGCTTTATCTATTGCGAGGACTTTGATAAACACTTTTCCAATAAAAAACATTTCGAAAATCCAAAACGAACTTAATCCATAGATTAAACCATTTAAAATTATTTATATTAACATGATGCAAGAAAAAAGGTGGAATAGTTGTCATAGTTTAATTAATGGTACTAAGTTTGTTTATTTTTATAAGCGAAATCGAGTACTTGAGATTAGTTTATGATTAAGCTTACATAGATTTTGTTGAGGGATTATTTGAAGAGGTAGGAGATCAAAAGAATCAGAAGGAAGTTGTTCACTTGAGTGATACTTATTTGTGCAAAACATCAGCCTTTACTGCTAGAAAATGTGTCTAAGCAGTCTTAGAGGGAGTTGATAAGATATTAACAAAAGAATGGAGGAATGCATTTTGCAGTGTTAGACCTCCTGGTCATCACAGTGGACATAAAGCATAACCAACTGGTTTTTGTATTTATAATAATGTTGCTATTGCTGCAAAATACGCAAGATTAAAACATAAAGTCAATAAAATAGTTATCTTTGATTGGGATGTCCATCATTGTGATGGAACAGAGTTTGTATTTTATGAAGATCCAAACACATTAGTGATTTCAATTCATAGATATGATCAAGGTAACTTTTATCCCAGAAGTGGGGATCCTGAAAAAATAGGAGGAAAAAATGCAGAATTTAAAAATGTTAATGTTGGATGGAATGTAACCGATGGACCTGCTCCAGGATATGATGACTATGTCTACGCATTTGATAGATTACTTGGTCCGATCATCAAGGAATTTGCACCAGATTTCATTATCATAAGTGCTGGTTATGATTCAGCCAAAGGAGATCCTCTTGGCTGTATTGATAATACTCCCTAAGGCTATTAATACATGACTGAAAAGTTATCCTAAATCTGTCCTAAAGTCTTGGCTGTTTTGGAAGGAGGATACAACTTAGATGTTACTGCTGAATGTGCTTTAGCTACACTTTAATAATTGATGGGATTACCTTAAGATTTTCCAGCCACAATTGAACCAACTAAATGCGGAGTCAGTGCAGTCACAACCACAGTTGATAAGCATAAGGAATTTTGGACTTGTCTTACTTCAAATGATTTGATGGAATATTAAAAAAAGTATATAGGATAAACTGCTGATTTAATTTCAGGAGGACATTTACAATCATTTCAAATTAAAGATGATATCATTATCAAGACCACAAAAAAAGGAGAATTCTAATTCTATTCAACACTAAATGATAAAACCAATCCATTCTATGAAGAAAATCAAAGACTTATTCGATTCATGCCTAAATTGATTTCTCTTGATTAATAATCCTGTTCGATAACCATGGTATTTTTGTGTTATTATTCAATGATAGGAAAATCTAACTTATGGCCTAGAGAATGGATCTATTATTGACTTAAAGATAGGCTACAAAACATATAATCCAAATGGGTCAGCATTAAAAAGAGAAAAAGAAATTAAGAAGGCTAAACAATGCGACCAGTTAATTATGGGTTTTAGAATTGCTGGGGTTAAAGTAAGAGATTAGATTGGAGCACTGACTGTCAATAAGAATGGATCTGATGCTTATAAATGGATAAGAAATGATAAATAAATGAAAGACATTATTGAGTAGGTTTTCAAATCGAATTATGTCGAATAACCTAATAAAGAGGCACTCCAAGGTTCTATTAAGTTTATCTAGGAATTAATTGAAGCACTTCAAAAAAGCAAGAGGTAATGTATTAAAATATTGTAGAGTTTTTCGAAATACTTCTATTCTTATCATTGTGGATAACATGGCCAAAAAGTTTAGAATCAAATGGATTGATTTCAATTATGTTATGAAGTTATCAGATGATAGTGAAAATCCTGATGCACAAGTGGATAATAATATATTAGGAGGACTCAAATATTTATTATCAATGTTAAGATAAATAGATTCGAAATGATCCCATTAATATGTTGTGAAAGAGAAAGTTATTAAGAGGCTATCTTAATTTATTAATATTTATCCAAATTTGTAGAAATTTCTTTCTTCCCTTCTGATTTTAAACAGATTGTGCAATTATTTGAAATCTGAATTATTTATTAATTAATGGAGCATCGTTCGTAATGATTTCTTTAATTAATTTCAATCCTGCAGACAAGAATTGCATTATTGATAGTCCTAGGTCAATTCAGGTCATTAGACAAAGAGGAATAGTTTTAAATGAGTTATTTTGCATCAATAAAGAGTAACTCTAAGCAATGGCAAAAAAGGAGAAATCATTAACAAATGAGAATTTAGATGATTTTCATAAACACTTTGAATATAGAAGACAATAAAAAGTCTATGCATTAATAAAGGACAGAGAGGCCTTGATAGAAAAAGAAAAAAGAGGTAAGATTGAATAAAGTGCTTGCAGTTTGAAACTGCTCAGACCAGCAAGTAGTACAACTACTTCAAAATTTATGGATCAAGTTCAAAAGAGAAAATAGATGGAGGAACTAAGACAAAGGCATTTACAAGAGATGATGTTAAAGCGAGAGGAATAGACCTAAGTAAGGGAAGAGAAGATGTAATTATATGAAGAAAAGAGAAAAAGGATGTAGGAGGAGAGATAACAAGAGTTTTAAGAGAAATAAGAAAATATTGCCAAATAAAAAAGATAAAAAGAATTAGAGGAATAAAAAAAAAATAAATAATTGTAATAAGTCTATTTTGAAAGAGAACAAGAACGTAAAATGCAATTAGAGTTTGAGGAACAATAAAGAAAAGAATAAGCAGCCCTTAGAGATTCATAACAGAGAGAACTGAAATAATAATTAGAAAAAGAAAAAAAAATGAAAGATAAATAGAAGGAATAAGAATACTTGATTAGAAAATAGGAAGAGGAAGACTAAGAACTTAAAAGATAAATGTTCTTTTAATAGTAATAAGAATCAAAAAAGTAAGTTGCTTAAAAAAGAGCTTTGTCTGCTAAGGAAAGGTAAAGAGATGCTTAAAAGAGTTAAATTGATGGTTTGAAGAAATTAAGAGAGGACTTTTTAAAAAAAGAAGAAAAAATTGCTGAGAAGTAATATAAATTTTAAGAATTATAAAAAGAAAGGTAATTATCGATTGAAGAGAAAAACAGAATAAAAAATGAAAAAATTAAACATACAGCTAAACTAAAAGAGCATGAACAACAAGAAGTAAGAAGAGAATTTATGGAAAAGGAGATGGATATTTAACTAAGATTATAATAGAGAAGCCAATCAAATCCTAAGGAATAATACATGTAAGAAGAAGCAGATAGGAGGGCTAAACATAGAGAAAAAGTTAAGAAAATGAATATGTTATAATTAGAAGAGAAAAGAAAAGTGTATTTACAAAAAATTTAAGAATAAGATGAAAAGGTATAATAAATTAATAAATTATAGATTGAAAAAGTAAAAAATGAATAAGAGGTTATGTTCTAAGAATAGGCATATATGAAGTTAAAGAAAAAATTAGATTAACAAGAGGCAATCAAACATTAAAAGTAATTGGAAGAATACAAAAGAGAGCAAATTAGAGAAAAATTAAAGTAAGTGGATTTGAGAATGGATTAAAAGAAGGAAGAGCAAAGAGAAGTAGATAGGTTAAGAGACCAAGCAAACAGAGTCGAGATGATGGGAAAAAAATAATGATTTTATATTTAACTTTCATTATCGATTTATATATTCACTCTTATTGCACTTATTTTTAGAAGTAGTTGTAATAAAACTATTCAGCAGCCACAGGTTTTAGTAATTTAGGATTATTGTACAATCAATTGATTATAGCTGGGTTTATTAGAATTATTAAATTTTAGAGAGTTGGTTTCTAATTTAGAACAAGATGTTATTATTTCATTTTAATAGATCAATTATATTTTCTAAGCATTGCCTATTCATAATGAAAATTGATTTTAAAGAATATTGATTTTTTCTTAATGTATATTTTTGATATTATTATTTGGACCATAAAATAATAAGATATATGCATATTATTCATTTCATCCTTCGACCTTTGCCATCATTTCAAGAACTTACTCTATGAGTACTTAGAACTCATCAATTGATAATTTTCCATCTCCGTTATCATCCAATTCTTTTAAAACTTCATCAATTTCTTCACTTGTGGGTGGCTTTAATATTCTTAAATATCATACTTCAACTCCTAAATCAGCTGCTACATTATTCATAACCTCTTCCAATTCTGGTCTTTCAAGGTAACCGCTTCCTATAGTTTAAATGTATATCATAGTTACCATCTTTATCCACCTATTTGAATGCACTTTCAGCCACAAATCGAACCTTTTTCTTATCCTTTAATATATCCTTTACTGATCCATTGTTCATTTTATATTTTTATATTTTAATTAATAAGTAAATACTCTTTTCAGATGGATAAAACAAACAAGAAATCCCGTCTTTATTAATCTACCATATTACCAAAGTGAACAAAAAGAATAACTATTCTTCAAGAACTTATGCTTAAATAAAAATAATTTATAGAACTAGAATATAAAATGAATGATTTTTAGTATATAAATTATTTGATCATTTAAAAGTAAGAGATTTTGGATAAATTAGAGCTTTCCTTCTTTCAAATTTTCTAAATGGACCTTAAAATAAGTTGAATTATTACTTATTAATTTATTATCACTTTTTTCATCATCAGAATCTTTAATTTTTCTATTTTGATAACTTTCAGCTCTTTGTTTCAGTAAGTCTTTCTTAAAAAGATAAATAAAGTCAAGAGGGAACAGTAGGTATTTGCTTAGTCTTTTGATTATATCTAAATATAGTCTTGAATGTTCATATTTGCAATTTAATTATTCAATAACATTACTAATATTCCAAAGTCTGTCAAATTTTCTGAATTTCTTAACAATCTCAAAATTGCCTATTTCTAAATCAGCTTAACTCTAGTTTTCAAGAGTTTTGTATAAAATGAATAATTCTATTTATTATTTTTATGGGTATTTTTGGATATTGATCATTTTTAATTGTAGGTCCTTTAATATATCAGGTTCTTTGATAAATGGCGAGATGTCTTGATTATTACGAAAAGTTAATGAGAGATTATTACCGAATTTATCATAAGTTTTCCCTTAGCTAGTTTTTATAGTTTCAAGTAAATAGTTTTATTTCTATGGCCGATAAACTTCATTATCCTTTGGAGACTCAAATATTTTTTGACTAGAATTTAATGGCTTTATTAATGCTTCATAAGTGAGTTCTGGGAAATATTGTTCAATTTCCTTTTCAAACTCCTATTAGATTAATTTGCAAGAAGTTTCTAGACTCTCTTATTGAATCATGGTCTGAAATTTTTATAATCTATTAGATCTTTTAACTTTAATTCTGGGTTGATTATCAACCAGCAAATAAGTCTTAATTGATTTCTCTTTATCAGCCACATAATGTACTAATTTGCATGATTCAAAAGAATGTTTTGTGCTTTTGCAGATATAACAATAATGAAATTTAGTTATCTATTTCTTGATCTAAATCTTTTCAAAGTCACTCTTGCTTTTTTTAATGGCATCTGTTAAAATTTAATATGGAATACATAAAACACTGGTATAAGTAGTTGTTTAATAAGTAATATCAAGATTATATTGATTATTAATATATTCTTGAAATCCAAATTGATCAAAGTCCTTTAAGTCAGAGATTTTGGTCTATGTAAAAATAGCATAAATACTTTATTGTATATTACTTCTATATTTCCTCTCTCAATCACGAATACTCCATTGTTAGAAGGAGTAATTTAAATTAGTGTTCCTGGCTAGAAGGAAGTAAATTGAACTCGTTAAATGATGTATTAAATAGTGGATTTTGCAAAATGTTGCTTAAAAAATGTGCATTTATTGACAAGCTATCTAGCCTATTCTAATTTAAGCTAATATTATAATTCATCAGGTAACTCCTTAATTAATAATTGCTATTCATTTTTCTTTTAGATTATGTCTTATTCCCAATAGAAGGTGCAGAACTCTCTAATCCTAAAATATATTTCACGTCTACTTATATTGCAATTACTGACTGATATTCTTATCCTTTAAAAATTCATTCATGCACGTCATCTTCTATCTGAATATCTCATTCTTCTCTTTAAGTAAAGTAAGAATGGCTCCTATAGTGTTTACTGAATAAGATAATTATAAAGTAGAGAGAAACATATAGCAAATACAAAACACTTTCTCTAATGAATTTTAGGGATTAATGTCACCGTATCCAACAGTAAACATGGTGACACTCATAAAATAAAATGCTTCCAAATATTGAACTTCCCAACTTTCAAGGTAAACCTTATAAATCCAAGTTTAGTGATGTTGCGATATTTAATTAATTCCGATAATCAACCTAATAAAGTTATTATCTATACCATACACATGAACATAAATGTTAGATTAACAAAATTAAACCTACTAATTTTATCAGGTCTATAACAGATGACATTTCCTTATTTGGTTTATAATAATATTAGATATTGTTCATAAATTTGACTACATTCTTGATTTGAATCAAAAATAATATTAAGAGTAATTTAATCCAACCATTTTAATCCAAAATTGAGTGATTAAATCCAGGATCATTAAAAATAATGGACAAATAGATTCCAATAAAAATGCTACAAACTTCAAATAAATTGCTTAATTTTATTTGTCTTTTAATTAACAGATAGCGGTTATCGACAGGATATCCTTTATCATATACAATGGTAATACACCTTAGAAATAGATCAAGCAAAAGTAGAACACTTGAAAATAGAATCATTATTCGATTTTTAGACTCTAATTGCTGATTTTAAAATACCATAATAATTGGAATGGAAATAATCAAATAGATTCTTATTATATTCAATAATATATCCCAAATAAATAGCTTCTAACTCTCAGGTTCAATTAATGGTATTTATTAATACTGATAGTGAAGATATTCAAATAATCTTTTTTTAAACTTTCTCAATTATAAACGCCATCTAAATTAAAAATCAATAGCTCTTAAATTTTGTTAAACAAAATGTTTAGTAGTTTATTTTTTAGTTTATAGGTTATTATTAAAAAACGATGCCTTGTCATTAATCATATTAAATTATTCAATAGAAAACTTCGAGCATGGTTTTATGAGAGAAATCAGTCTATTGGCAAATTTCATAGAATGGCAATATATTAGCAATTTGGAAAATTGTTTTTACCTAGCTATTGTAGTAATCATTTAATTCTTATCTGATAGATTCTAAGACGACAATGAGTCCTTTCTTTTTTAGAATGATTCTTAAGCAAATGAACTATCAAATTTCAACAAAGTTTATTTATTTGATGAACTTATTAATTGTTCTGCTTGAGGACTTCTTATGATTGAATGATCAAGGCTTCTTTCTATTTCTAGTCCATTCTCTTAGATAATTAACTCACATTTATTATTCATATTGTTAAATTAATAATAAATTCAAATATGTATTATGATAACATATGTCTATAAATTTATCATTCGCTTTTCCGATCAAATACAATATGAGTTCTTGTTTTGAAACAATACACTTTACGTTCGATACTCAATAAAATTGCAAATAATTAAGAATAATTCTAAATTTTAGAATTATTATTTATTTCAAGAATTTATTTATTATGTAGGATCATTTTCTTTTAAGAGTGATGAATTTAGAATAAGCATTGAAATAGGAATGGGATTCGACTTATTGGATTTGGGGTTTATTGATATTCTTATGTTTGATGGGCTAAGTGCTTTGTGTTTACATGCTTGCCTAACCAGACACACCAAAGGAGAATTCAGATTATCACGTTTAGGAAGAAACTCCATAAATGGATCATGAAAAATAACCTGAATAAGAGAAGCTTTTGCAGACTAATGAATAATAAGAATAATGAAAAACGATAATTATAAATAATTGATTGCCTTTATAAGCATAATTTTTGTTATTTCCCCTAAACTTATACTGCCATGACCTGATATCTTTTTGCATAGTATGAATTCAACAAAAAGTGGCAATTAAAATATCACCGTAAAATAATAAAGCATCGATTGAGAAATCAAAGCAGTTATTAAAATTAATATTAAATCTTTGACATGTATGTGATTTGAGAAAAATCTATTTTCAATTTATTTATATATATTAAAAAATGGATCAAAAGAAAACCAGATAAAGTAAGAAGAAGTAGAGTCCCGAGAAGAAGGAGGAAGTCTAAGAGAAGGAAGTTGTTAAATCCAAAGGAAAATAATAGAAGGGTGCCAAGAATGCTGGAGATAATGAAGATAAAAAAGGAGAATAGAAAATAGAGAAATAACAGGTAGTGAAGGGAGAGGATAAAAAAGCAAAATAAGTGCAACAAGGAGATTCAAAATTTGAATTGGGGGATGGGAGATTTAGTACTCCAACTGTAAAAATTGCTAGTTGGAATGTTAATGGAATCAGAGCAGCTACGAAACGAGAATAGGCTGTTAAATACTTACAGGATACTAAGGTTAATTTATTAATTATAAACTTAAGTTTGATGTCATTTGTTTGAATGAACTCAAAGCTGATTAGGCTGTATTTGACAAAGAAAACTTAGGCGCTTAATTTGGAAAACATTATTTTCTTTATCTTAATTTCTGTAAGAATAAGGGTGGATACAGTGGAGTCGCTATAGCTTCGAAGTACTAATTACACTAATTATTAGAGTGAAACCTATATCCGTCAAGTGTGATATTGGTATTAGTAAACATGATCAAGAAGGAAGAACACTCACAGCTGAATACGAAAGGTTTTATTTAGTTGCATGCTATGTTCCAAATGCAGGTTAGAAATTAGAAAGACTTGACTATAGAACCAAGGAGTGGGATGTTGATTTCCAAAACTATCTTGAAGATTTGAGGAAGAAAAAACCAACTATTCTATGTGGTGATCTTAATGTATCTCATCATGAAATAGATCTGGCTAATCCAGCTGGCAATAAAAAGACTGCAGGGTATCTCAATTAATCTATTTAAGATTTACCCAAGAGGAAAGAGATCAGTTTACAAATTATTTGCAAAAAGGATGGGTCGACTCATTCAGACATTTGCATCCAAAAGAAGTCAAATATAGTTATTTTAGTGCTAGATTCAATAGCAAGTTTAAATAAATGTTAATTTTAGACAATCAAACAAGGGGTGGAGATTGGATTATTTTATAATCAACAAAGAATCTACTGATGCCATCATTATGTCTGATATCAATACAGCAGTTGAGGGAAGTGATCATGTTCCAATTGAATGTGAAGTTGACCTTAGAAAATTATGATAGAAATATTTACAATATATATAGAATAATATTCAAATATAGACCTACCATAATCTATTGAGTTTAACTTCAATTTATGATATTAATGTTTGCTCATACTTTCAACTAATTGCAGGTATATTACTATATAATAGAGATTAAATTAATATATTAATCTTGCATTCCCCATTATTATTAATAAAATTTAGTGTATGTACATAGAAAAAAAATGTAATTATTTCTCATATCCATAGAATAGGCATACACTAAATTCATAAATAAAAATAATTGGGAAGAGGCTCTTGCATCCGATTATGATTAGGCTGAAAAATTGGAAGCCTTTTTTCTGAGATATCATAGAGGACCCTAAGAATTGAAAATGGCTATAGATAATGTAACTCTCAAATATTTTCCCACTCTATTATAATGTTGCCTTGAAAGTTTGGTATTCTTATCAAAACCGAACAAAAAAAAATATAGTGGTTATATAGATCAAATTTTGGGGTCAACTCACTTTTATAATTTATTCTCTAAAGAGCTTCAAATTATGAACGCAAAGCTTGGTTGGGGGGATGATGATGTAACAAGATACCAAAAGTTTATTAATTATTTCTTAAAGGTTGTCCACAATTCATTAGAATTATAATTGTAATAGCTCCCAAAATATGTAAATCTCTTAAGAGAAACAGTTTCTAACTTAGAGAAAAGAAACTCAAAATTCACTCAAGTGCTCAGGGATATTAAAGATTTATATGATAAACTAACAAATCCTCAACCATCATCTATTTATTAACCAAAGCCCTAAAATGTTGTCAATTAAGGAACGAATTAACAATAAACCCAGGAACCTTAGTATCGACCTAGAAACTTTTAGGTGGAATTTCTAAAAGATAACCGCCAAAACAATGTAAATTTACCTCAAAGCCAGAGTTATTAAAATAATCTACCTTAAATATAATAATAACAATTTGTTTAAATCCAACCGACATCAAATAATACATAATCAAATATATATTAACCAAGACTAAATTAAGCCAACAATATTTAAACCTATTAATAAAATAATATCTAAAACTCTAAGATTGATAATAATAATTTGTAAGGATTTCAAACCTTACAATTTGATTCATAATCTTAAATACCGTAGAATCATCGTCCGCCTTTATAAACAAACACATAATAACAATATCAACATAATCAATAAACACCTCAATAATCATAAATATAGCAAAATTCATTTGTTCCTTACTAATCATTTCAAAACTAATAAATATAATAAAATCAATATCCGCCACCATAATAATAAATTCAGCAGAATCAAACTACGTCTCAATAATTAGATTCATACTATTAAAAATAGCAAAATCAACCCGAGTACTATTAACCAAAATAATAGAAGTAACAAGAAGAGCAATGGGTAGAAAAGCCTCAAGTTTAACAGTTCAGAAGAAGCGATATCCCAAGATAATAAGATAACTAAAACAAATATTAGTAATAATATAGAGAAGATAATGGTTCACAGTACGAAGTTAAAAAAAATAGTGGTCCACAATATGAAGTTAAATAATATGATGTTCCACAGTATGAAGTTAAAAAGTCTAATGCACCGGAATACGAAGCTAAATAATATAATACACAGTATGAAGCTAAATAAAATAATGATCCGCAGTATGAAGCTAAATAATATAATGCACAATAATATAATACACAACAGTATGATGAGAAACAATATAATTCATCATAGTGTGAAGTTAAATAATCCAATGCATCTCTATATGAAGCCAAACAATATAATGAACAAAAATATGAAGGCAAACAATATAATACACGACAGTATAATGATAAATAAGATAATGCACCGGAGTATGAAGTTAAAAAGCCTACAAAATTTTCAAGAAATTATGAAAATTCACAATAGGAATATAGAAGTAGTAATTAAGGATATCAAAATAAACCTATTAATATTGAAAATTATAAACCTAATATCGAATATTATAACCAGATGAAGAATTTTTATTAATAGAATTAATCTAGTTATGAATAAAACAGACAAAAATAAACAGAATAAGCTTATGTAAGTTACAAGGATTGCTCTATAGAACCTATGGTTAAAGAATTTGAAACTGTTCCTAATAAAGATTTTGTATATGGTGGGTGTATTTTTGAGATTCCAATTGGATAGCCATTCAAAAGTAGAGAGTTGTTTTTGAATAATCACTTTTTTATTCTAAGAGAGGATTACTTAAAGAGTTTTAGAAATGTAGTTGCTAGATTAAAATAAAATCATTTTGAGGAATTAAGTTACGAGGTATTGTAAAATGCATTTTTATATTACAATGTTCTTATTGAAAATATTACTGTCACTAATAGAGGACTTCAATTTGCTGTTACCATGAATGCATATGACGCAAGGAATAATAGTATAAATTGGGTAAAAACAACAAGACTTATGCCAGGTTCCTTACTCTTATTAGTAATTTCTATTATAATATTAAGTCAACCATAAAACTTGAATTTATGTTATTCGGAACTGTAGTAGAAAAGCCCAAGGCAGATAGAAATGGTAGAGTTGCTATTCTTCTTATATTGATTGGTCTTTCCATTAAAGAATAATTAAAATTTGTGAATAGTTTATTAAGTCAAGGTAATATAACTAAAATATACAAGAACAAAATTTGGTAGCTATAGAGAACAAAACATATTTTGAAACATATACCCACTTTTTGAGTTGTTTGTAAATGATTGAGCCAAGTAGATTTCCCTTCGCTGAACAAATAGTGTTTGGTTCAAAAGTTATGCCTAGGCCAGGATATTTAGATAATCAGCAAGTGAGAAATGAAGGTATTGTTTATGATATTGATCTCAAATTTGACTTGCATCAATAAAAGCGAATTGGATAAAAGGAAAGAATAAATATAATGAGAGAATGGCCTAATGTTAATACTGAGAGTTTGGATGAATCTTAATTGTAAGCTATAAAGTCAATATTGAAAAATGGTATCTCATTGATTTAGGGGCCTCCAGGTACAGGGAAAACATTCTGTGGAGCCTTGGGTGTCAGAATATTATTAGAGAATCAGTATAAGTGGAATTAAAACTATCAGTATCAAAATAAACCAATTTTGATTGTGTGTTAAACAAATCATGCTTTAGATTAGTTCTTGTCACACATGCTAACTTTTTGCAGAATGGAGGATATTGTTAGAATAGGAGGTCGATGTAAGGTGAAGGAATTTGAACCAATGCTTTTGACAAGTAACTAGCAATTAAGAAAAATTCATTTTAATTGGCCTGATTTTTTAGATTTAAGAGAGGATTTGGATATAAAGCTGAGAAATTTATTAAATTTGACAGATAATGTGAATTATAAAGATGTTGAATAATATATGCCTGAATTGCTTGAGAGAGTAATTTTCCAATACTTAGAAATTGAGGATCTTAATTTCCATAACCCTCTATCATCAGTTTCTCGAAAATAAATTATGCATATGTGGTTGGATAATTTTAAACCTCAAATAGAATAGGCTAATAAAATTATTGATATTGAAGAGGCAAATTCCAATTACTTATTATAAAGGTAAGTTAATAGAAAAAAATTTAAGCCAATTCTTGTTTACAAATTTAGCGATTTGGATCACCAATTTCGATTAACTGATGAGGCTTAATAATAATTAGATGATGATTTAGATGAAGAGTTTTTAGATGAAAATTAAAATATTGATTCTGATGAAGAGGAAAATAGAAAGATCTTCACTACTTCAGAAAAATCAGGGAAGGAGGAATTTGTAAGAAAACTTATTGAAGATTCAAGAACAATGAAGAGATTGTTAAATCGATTAGGCTAGGAGAATGAAGTTAGCTTTAATGTTATTTTGAATGAAATCAATCAAAAATAGAATTATTAAATATGGGAAATGCCATAAGCCAAAAGGAATGTGATCACAAGATACATATTTAGTCAGAAATTTTAGCATTTATTCCAACTTTTGTAAAGAGAAGTTGACTAATATGAAATTTATGTAAAATAACTAAAATAAGCGTATATTGACAGGGATATGAAATACATACAAACTAAGAGAATAGTGGGAGCAACTTTGTCAGGATGTGCAAAATATGCAGAAAAATTATCAAATTTAAAGTTTAATATTCTGGTTGTTGAAGAGGCAGGAGAAGTATTGGAATCTAATTTAATCGCTGTATTGTCATAACAAATAAATCATTTAATTTTAATTGGTGATCATTAGTAATTGAAGCCACACCTGGAATGCTATGATTTGGAAGTGAAATTTAGAGCAAATATTTCATTATTTGAAAGACTAATAAAAAATGGATTAGAATATGCCACCTTAAGATATTAGAGGAGAATGAAATCTAAATTTGCTGACTTTATTCGTTTAATCTACAAAGATTATAAGGATCACAGCTCAATAGAAGAATAAAACAAAATACATTTGGAAGGATTTAACTCTGATTTGCTCTTTTTTGATCATAGAAAAAGTGAAGATAAAAAATTATACTCAAGTTCTAAATAAAATTAATTTGAAGCTAGGATGATTGTAAAAATGGTTGATTATTTATTGAAAAATGGTCATACAAATTAATAAATAACTATCCTAACAACTTATGTGAGATAGGCACTATATATACAAAAAGAATGTGGAAATAGAAATATTAAAGTTTAGGCAATCGACAATTATTAAGGAGAAGAAAATGATATAATATTGTTATCATTGGTTAGATCAAATGATGAATACAAATTGGGTTTTGTTGCAATAGATAATCGTGTCTGTGTAGCATTATCTCGAGCAAGATTGGGATTGTATGTATTTGGCGATTTCGATTTTATTAAAGTGTGCATAAAAGATCACCTGAAGAAAGACCCTTTAAAAAGAACCCCAGATGTTACAGGCTTGTGGTTAAAAATAATAGACTTAGCAGAGCAAAAAGGAGTAATTAAGAATCACATTGAGTTGAAATGTTCGTCCCATAATTAAATAACAAAAATATATGATGTAAAAGATTGGGATCAAGTGAAAGGAGGTGGCTGTTAAAATACATGTGGGGCTGAATTCCCTTGTGGCCATATTTGTCAATTAAGATGCCACAAATCTAACCATCTTCAAAATGATTGCCCAGAAAACTGTGAAAAGATATTAACATGTGGTCATTAATGTTATGGAAGGTGTAAGTAGTATCCTTGCCCTCCTTGCAGGACAATGGTTTAAAAATAGATTTAAGAATGTGGTCACACTACCTCAATATAATGTTCTGACCAACATAAAAAGACTAAATGCCGAGAAAGGTGTGAAAAGATTTTAAATTGCGGCCATTAATGTGCTCTTTAATGCATCGATGATTGCAAAATGAACAAATGTTTAATATAAATTTAATACACTTTGCCATTATGCAAACATGTAATGTCTATTGGATGTGATGATCAAAATTACCTAAATAAGTTGATATGTCAATAGCCCTGCCAAAGCTAATCGATATGTGGACATTAATGTTGTGGAAGTTGTGGGGTATGTTTTGAAAAATTCCATTACCCATGTTAAAATGTTTGTGAAAAGATATTATTATGTGGTCATAAATGCAAACAACTGTGTTCTGTTGAGTGTTATAAGTGTGAAGATAAATGTGAGATAGAATGTAATTGTAACACTTAATGTAAAAAGAAATGCAATGAAAAGTGTAATCCATGCCAAAATAATTGCAAGTTGAGTTGCCAACACACCAATTGCACAAAAAAATGCTATGAAATATGTGATAGGAAGCCTTGCAATTAAAAATGTGATAAGAAGCTAAAATGTGGTTGTGATTGTATGGGATTTTGTGGAGAGGTTTGCCCTGAGATTTGTTAGATCTAAGATCATAAAAACTAATTTGCTGATAAGGACACAATTTATTATTAATTGGAGTGTAAATGCAATTTTATAAGTGAGGCGGAATTCCTAGACTAATATTTTGATAGTTAACAATCAAATTTTATTCACTGTCCAAAATGCAATTAGATTATTTGGAGAAGTAGAAGATATTAAAGTCAGGTCAAAAACTCATTAATTTAGTTTAATATTGAAAAAGAGAAGGCATTACTTAAATAATAAATTACTAATGATAAAATCAAATCAGCCATTAAACTGACTGAAGAAAAACTAGAGTTAATATAAAAAAACAAAATAAAGGATAATGATAGCTTTTTGGATAAAATCTTACAGGGTTTAAAATATGAAATGCAATAATATAATGCATGGAAACCTCAAAAGATGTCATATCACTATTTCAAGTGTGTCAAAAGACAATTAAAATATTATGAAACCACTCTGGAATTAATTGGATGTTTAAATGATAATCAACTATTCAATATCCATAAAAACAATTTGATTCACCAATATTTACTGAATGAAGATTTTAGAAGTTCCTATTCAAAAAGCTTTTGGTGGAAAGTCGCATATAAAATGGAGAACCTGTTATTATATTAAAAAATCATTGCTCAATATTAAAAGACTAAAGACATAGAATTCCAAAATATTTCTTATGCAATTGAAGATTCAAATTTCTATTTAGATGATGGAAAAAAACAATCATTTGAGAAGATCTTAAATGAATCAATCGCTGGTTAATAATGAAAATCATGTAGGTTATTTAAACAAGTATTAAATTCATTTAAAAAAATAACTATAAACATCGTTTCCAAATGATAATGGTTTAGCTATTAATCTTCCCATTAATCCCTTAGGCTTTTTTGGTTTGTGTTACTTTTCTTTCCTTTTAATGAATCCAATATCTAAAAGTACCTATACCAATCTCTTCTGTTTCCTACATTTTTGTATTTCTCGATAGAAATTATTTATCAATCCTCTCTTGATGAACTCAGTTATTTTTTAAAAGTCGTTTATTTTCAATAAATAATTCTCAAAATATTTCAGCATCGATAGTATAATCTTGGTTAATATGTCTTCCCCTTCTATAAAAAACATTGCCAATATAACCAAAGAGAATTATATCGGAGCATGTTGCATACACAAAGTCAAATAAAATGCATTCACACACATACTCATATCCTCAATTCCAAGGCTTAAAAAATGGTGATATAATGCAGGCATTCTTTTCCTTAAATTTGAAGTTGAATTTTGCTACCAATAGGAACAATCCTGGTGTATCATTAATATAACATTATCTCCACTCCCTATCCATTATTATGGTTCTTAGAATTTCAAATATAGCTTCATCATTATTGAAGTCCAAATACATAAGAGCTGCAACAATGAAATTCATTCCCTAACCATAAGATACTTCTGAATCCAAATTACTGTAAGCCACCAGTATGTCCTACAGTCTTTAAAGTACTTCTTCTTTCTAAAAATAAATTGAACTCTTAAAAGTTCTATTAACGTCCTTACTGATACATTCATAATTTTTTTCTTTCACTTGACTTTTTAGTTAGGCAAATTAACAAGACATTTAGCATTGCATCGTTATGAAATCAAAAACTTGCTTCACTGTTAATGATCTTGTAGTAAATATTGATAATAGTAGGTTTTTATTTGAATCGTACGTTCCAGTCTTTAAAAGGGTTTACCACTCTGAATGTGATAGCACTTACACATCTATGTTATAATATTTCAACTCTAGATTCAATTATTCATAATAATCATCTTCCCATACATAACTTGGAATAGGTTTTAAAATAGCTAATTCATCCTCAACAGTTATCTCATGAGAACTTTTTTCATCAAAGAGCGAGTATGCACACTGATTGCTTTTTCTGAATGGATTAAAGTATTATTAAATCATATTGGTTAAGTATTATATAGAATAAACTTAATATTATAGTTTAATAAATGTACATTTAGCAGCTAACTCATCTGAACAAATTTAAGAATTTATCAAAATTTAAGTAATATTTATATCTAAATCAAAAAGAAATGACTAATAATGAAAGTTGAATTTTAAAGTAATTGGTTAATAAATATTTCATCTGGTGTAGGAATTTTCAAATTATGAACAAATGTTTATTATTCCTTTATTGTTCAATAATCACTTAAATATAATTGACAATAAAATAATGATCATATATTGTTGTTTCTAAATTAATTAAGCTGGATACTAGATAATTTAGTCTTCTCATATGATATCCCACCCCTTAATAATTTAATGAAAAAGGAAATCTTGCTAATAGAGTTGATATATTATGTATTAATAGTTAAATATTTGCTGATTAATTATATTATGTAATAAAAAAATATTCAGAATATTAATTTAACAATATAGATTTTATAATAAGATTGTAATTTATGTGTTATTCAAAATGAATATGAAACTCAATTTTTTGTTATTCTTTTCTTTAATGCAGTGTTGCTCGAACTGATCATTGTAATCCTAACTTATTTTTGATTTAGTATTAATTGAAATAGAATAGTTAATATATAGTATAATCCATTATTACATATTGAATGATTTGATTGCAGAATATCCTTAGGATTGATATTTTGAAAAGAACTAATATAGGGAGAGTCAAGCAAGTGCTGCTTTGAATTTTTATCAAAAGAATAGAATTATATAACGATAATTTGTGTGTAATAAAAAGATTTTCTCCATAATTGTTCTGATAACCTTGGAGAATGTGGAAATGAATAATAGATGAGTTTTAAAATGTCCTATTAAGTTTTGATTAATTCACATTAATATATAATATATTCTTAATGCACCAATCAAATCTTAGTATAATATTTTAAGTACGCAAAATATTAAGTGACATTTTTAATAATAAAAATGGCAAGAACTAAATAGACTGCAAGAAAGAGTACTGCTGGTAATAAGAAACCTACTAAACATTTGGCCACTAAGGCTGCCAGAAAGACTGCTCCAGCTGTTGGAGCCGCAGGAGGATTGAAGAAACCACACAAATTTAGACCAGGAACAGTTGCCTTGAGGGAAATCCGTAAATATTAGAAATCAACTGAATTGTTGATTAGAAAACTACCCTTCTAAAGATTAGTTAGAGAGATTGCCCATGAATTCTAGAAAGAACTTAGATTCTAAAGTTCAGCTGTATTGGCACTTTAAGAAGCAGCTGAAGCCTACTTGGTTGGATTATTTGAAGACACAAATTTGTGTGCAATCCATGCTAGAAGAGTCACAATAATGTCCAGAGACATCCAGTTAGCTAGAAGAATCAGAGGCGAGAGATTTTGATATTCTTACAAAATTTAACGAAAAATTTATTATATATAATTAATGAAATTCTAAAGCATATGATATAAAGAGTTTATTATAGAAACCTCATTAAGTATAGAAAATTGGGTTTGAGTAATCAGTGGGTTCTAATAGTAAAGTGAAAATTATCATCAAACAAGGTATTTGAGTTTGAGAACTGTATTTTTGGAGAGCTTGGAACATTTAAGACTTAATAAAGATGTCTATATTTGTATAATTTTTAATACTACTTAAGTAAATCAATTAAAAGCTTTTTTACCAACTATAATATAATCGTCATAAAGTTTTTTCTTAACATAAGGATTTTTGACTTTAGGTTTCACGTGAGGTTTAATGATAGGAGGTAATCTGGAGTGCAAGCTTCCGTCTCTTACTTTCTCATTCTCATCATCAGATTAATTCAATTTGCCTTCCAACTTTACTTCCAACTTTATTGTGCCGGGATAAATACCCTTATTTAATCTGGTTTTTGGTTTTGTAATTGTGATTGCCTTACCAAATTGAGTACTATCACTGGACTGAGACATCGGAGCATCCCAAAATTCTTCAAAGAATTCATGTCTGAGTGCCTCCTCCGCAGTGATTCTCTTAGTTGGATCAAGTTACAATAATTTATAAAGTAAGTCTATGCAATCAGGTCCAGCATGTGGAGATACTAATCTTTCCAGTCCGATTCCTTTTTAGGGTTTAAAATTAAATTCCATATGAGAAGCTTGAGATTTGAATCTGTTCAAGAGTTCAGGTTCAGGAGTGCCTAAGATTTTGAAGATTTTGTTAATTTGATCTAATTCATTTTCACCTTGAAATAGAGGTAACAGTGCAATAATTTCAAACATCACACACCCAACTCCCCAAATATCCATTTTTTGATCGTAGTAACCATCTGTCATTAGACATTCAGGTGCTCTGTACCATCTTGTGCTGATGTATTCAGTATATGGATGAGTCGAATGTATCCCTTTGCAACTTCCCAAGTCTGCTACTTTAACATTGTCATTTTTGATCAGAATATTTTCAGGTTTAATATCTCTATGAAAGAAATTGCGTTTGTGCATGTAATCCAAGGCTTTTAATACTTGATGCATATATTTTTTGACTTTGGCCATGCTCATATATGAATTTCTATTCTTTATGCAGTCATAAAGATTCATTTCCATTAATTCACATACCAAAGCCAATCTTCCACTAGGTTCGTCATAGAGAACTTCATGCAATTTCACAATATTTGGATGTTATTACAGTTAATGTAAGGCTTAGATTTCTTTGAGGTTCTTCACTTAATCCTAATGATATTTAAAGATCATATTACCACACTATCAAATCTATTCTTCATGCATTTAATAGCAACTACTTACCCGGTTATCATTGATTTAGCTTTCAAGACTTCTGAGAAAGTACCTTCTCCTATTTTGACTAGAATGTAATATTGGTTCATACTACTCAATAAAAAAATAAATTTGATTTTTTACTAATAAAAATAATTATGGGGCTCATTGAGAAAATCAAGGAAATTGAGGATGAAATGGCCAGAACTCAAAAGAATAAGGCAACTGAGTACCATATGGGTCAATTGAAGGCTAAATTGGCCAAATATCGTACTCAATTATTGGAGCCTCCTAAATCTGGTCCAAAGGGTGAAGGATTTGAAGTTTAAAAGTTTGGTAATGCAAGAGTTTGTATGATTGGATTCCCATCCGTCGGAAAGGTAAGAACATCATCTCTATCTCCAAGTCCACCATTCTCTCAACTTTAACAAAAACCTAATCCTTAGTGGCTGCTTACGAATTTACTACATTAACATGCATTCCTGGAGTAATTGACTATAAAGATGCCAAAATCTAATTGCTTGATCTCCCAGGAATTATTGAAGGAGCCTCTGAAGGCAGGGGAAGAGGAAGACAAGTCATTGCAGTTGCTAAAGCCTGTGATCTGGTTCTAATGGTCTTGGAAGCCGATAAAGCAGAGGATCAAAGAAGGAAACTCACTTTGGAACTCGACAAGATGGGTATTAGACTGAATAGAAGGAAACCAGATGTGACTATCACACCAAATAAATCAGGAATGTATCACATATCATTATCACTTTTAGGGTTCGTATTACATCAACTATCAAATTGACCAAAGTGGATGAAAAATTAATTAAGAACATTATGTAAGAATATAAAATCCATAACGTTGATATACTGATCAGAGAGGATATCACAGTAGATGATTTGATTGATATTATAGAAGGAAACAGAAAATATGTCAAGTGTCTCTATGTTTTCAACAAAATTGATAAGATATCTATTGAAGAAGTGGATGAAATCGCCAGAAGAAAGGATCATTGTGTGATATCATGCAATTTGAAGCTCAATTTGGATTATTTGTTAGAGTGCATGTGGGACAAACTTGATTTAGTGAGAGTCTATACAAAGAAGAGAGGAAATTAGCCTGATTTCTCTGATCCAATAGTTCTCAGTAATGAACGTAATGGTTTGATGGTTAGAAGTGTTTGTGCACAGATTCATAGAGAGTTGGTTGATGAATTCAAGTTTGCCATCGTTTGGGGGAGAAGTTGCAAGTAAGGTCTTTGATTTATGCAGGTTTAACCCATAGAAGGTTGGATTGAACCATGTATTAGCTGATGAGGATGTTCTGTAGATTTACAAGTCCAAAACTAAGGCGTAATTAGCCAAATAAAACAAATAAATCAAGGGCACTAAACATGATAGGAAAAAAGAGGAGAAAGGAGATAAAAGTTAAAAAAAATGAATGCTGTAATTGGTTATAAATATATATATAATTAATTAACATAAATTTCATCTCAGGAGGTAATTAGGATTTTCTCTCATTAAATTATCCAAATTTAGTTACATAAAATAAATAATTGCGTTTCCCAAGGATTCCAAATATAAAATTACTGTTTTCTTACTTACTTGATATCAAGTAAATCAAACTAGTATGAATTATTATATTTGACTTTTTTACAATAAAAAATTCTTAATCTTAATTATTTTTGTAATGTCTATAAATATAATCAAATCTCATAAAATTGAAGTACCCAAGCCAAGAGTAACACAAAATTATAGCAGGAATCATCTGACAACATCCAAAATACTTCGATGTATCACACTATTGTGTATTTTAATAGCAAAAAGTTTGGATGGATTTATTAGACTTTTATAATAAACATGCTATCAAAAGTCAGAGTAGTGCATAGATACTAACTAGGTAGTTTCAACTACTAGATAACTGAACACACAAAAGACTTTGATGGAATTCGGATTCCTAAATGGAAGAAGCTCTCCTATAAAAAAGAATAAATAGCCTTAGAAGAGCAGACAAAAAAATTATAAATTTCCTGAGTTATAGTATAGAATACGGAGATTAAGTTGTGGATGTGGGGAATGTGGGATGGTGGGACGTAAAATTAGGAAATTTCACGATATTCTGATTCCAAAAATGAAGGAAGTTTAAGATTAAGCAAGAGTAGGAAATGGGAATAAATTGAGGGGAATTTTTAGTCAAGTGACTAAGACTGCGAGGATGTGCATAAGTTTGAAAACTTTGCAATCAGAACGAGAAAGGGAGGAGAAAGTAGAGTTTAGTCCTGAGGGGAAGGGAAGTGTTTTTGACTTTTAATGTAAGCAGGTGTCTCGAAAGATTATTTACTAAAACTAAATGAATCAACTACCGTTAATAAAGAAGCCTCAGATGAAGGATTACATGAGGAAGATAAACAACCTGAACAACTTAATTGAGTAGACTCAAATGATAACTACTCAGTCTTCAACTTTGATCAGGAACTCAGCACCAAATTTAGATGCATTCGAAAAGAGACAGATGGAGAGTCCGATGTCGAAAAGAGAACAGTCAATGCATAGTTCTCGGTAGAAACAAAATATTTACTTATTAAAGACACCTCTGAATGGATTGAGTTTATCGAAGTTCAGCAGAGAGTTTAAAATAAAATAATGAAATATATTTAATTTTGGAATTAAAGCAACGATATTGAATAACAATCTAATCCTAAGGAGAAATCGGGGTTCTTATCTAAGTTTTCTCATTCTTTTAGATTTCTATAGCCATGTAAGATGAATACATACATATATGAGAGAAAGTGTATTGATAAGGTAGATGATGTATAATAAAGCAGCAATGAGAATTGAAAGAATTTCGTAATATTTTTCAGAGTGGGAATATGTTTTATGTTTGTGGCATTCCATTGATCATAGTGTTTCCATCCAAATTCGGTGGTTTATTTAATTTGGAGTATGATGTGTAAATAGATCATTAAGTTTGTGTTTATTATAAAATGAGGGTAGAACTTTGTGAAGATGTTTTGTAATGGGGATAAATTCATTTACAAGAACATTTATGTGATTATTTTGATTGAAACTGCATATTTTAGTTTGATCAACAAGAATTACATATTGGTGCCCCTCCTCTTAGGTATTTGAGTACTTAAAGAGTTTAGATGATGTCTTCGGAGTGGTTGTTTGCGTCTTCATTTCCAGGTGGGATCACTGGCATGAAGATTATTACAAAATAAAATACTTGCACCAATAATAATGTCATTTTGTTTTAAGTATTCAGAATGGAATTCATTTCTGGGGGGATGAGAGGAATAAAGTGAAATTGCAGTACGAAAATGATGGATTTATATATATTTTAATAATGTTTTCACCATGATATGGGATTGTAGGGAGATTCCTCTATAACATAATTCATCATCACAACTCCGGGGACTCCCATCATTCTCTGGATTTCGAGTTCGTGATTCATCATCATTACATCCATTGGAGGTGTGTGATAGTGAAATTGCATGAATGAATATTCATCTAAGCTAAGATCCTATTTCTCTACTCATATCAATTGCAGCAATACCAATTTATTGGCGTCCTCTCAGTTGGGATTGGGCAAAACATATAGATGCTAAAATCAGTATGATAAACACCTGTCTCATCTTTGCTATTTTCCCCTTGTTATTATTAATTATTCACTCAGAAATCCGTTTTAAATTTTATATACTCCAATAATGTCTTTACAATAGAATTGCGATCACCCCACCAAATACTGTTTGGGATGGTTCTTTGGTACTTGATTTCACACGTAAATTGAAATTTTATAATTTGACATAAAGTGATGATGCGAATGTAAAATACTATTAAATTCTTATATTTATTAATTTAATTATGCGTCCTCATTATGCTAGTAGTATTGCAAGTATACCACCCCCAAAATAATAATAGTATTTTGAAGGCAATCGAAAGGGAGAAGTCAACGAATTGAAAATGTACAATTATTCAATCCATATAGATTGGTTAAGAACACCCTAAGCGAGAAGGATGACAAAAAGAAGCGAGAAGTAGTCAAAAAGGTTATAGCCTACATGACCTCAGGTATTGTGATCTCTCCATCTCTTTAGGAATCGATGTTTCCAAAATATTCCCTGAAATGTGCATGGCTTCCTACACTAATGACATGGTCCAAAAGAAGATGATCTACTTGTATCTCACTACCTACGCCGAACAAAACAAAGATTTGGCATTCATGGCAATAAGCACATTCTAAAAGGATTGCAAACACAGCGATCCAAAAATCAGAGGATTCGCACTCAGAAATCTTTGCTCCTTGAGATTCAGTGGTGCCATCGAGTACTTGATGCCAGCCATCAGAGAATCCCTTTCTGACATAGATCCCTATGTTAGAAAAACAGCCATCATGGGATGCGTCAAAGTTTACTACATGCAACCAGATTACCTCAGCAACATAGAAGAACAGTTGTATAAGATGATAAGTGACAACGATCCCTTGGTCATTATCAATGCAATCCATGCACTCAATGAAATATTGGCAGAAGAGGGAGGAATGGCCCTATCCAAAAAATTAGTAGATTATCTCTTGGGCAGATTGAAAGAATTCAACGAATGGGGACAAGCCACCATCTTGGATGAATTGTCCAAATACCAACCCAAAGATGACAAAGAGATGTTCAACATTATGAATCTCCTAGAAGAGAGACTCAAACATTCCTGTTCTGCCATTGTGTTAGCAGTCATCAAAGTCTTCATGAATTTCACCAAAAACAAACCTCAAGTTTACGAATAAGTCATTACTAGAGTCAAAGCTCCCCTTGTTACTTTGGCATCTATTAGTGAAGGCAATCTAGAAATTATGTACACCATTCTGTGTCACATTAAGTTCATTGCCTCCAAAGGATACAATTAAGTATTTGCTTAAGATTATAAATGCTTCTATTGTAGAGTTGATGAACCCACATACATCAAATTAATTAAACTTGAAATATTGGCTCTGATTGCCTGTGATTTCAACCTAGGAGATATGCTGAATGAATTAGGGGAATATGTCACTGATGTCGATTAGGAAATTTCCAAGAAATCCATACAAGCATTGGGTGCCATTGCCCTTAGATTACCTGATCTAGCAAATGCCATCGTTAAACAATTGTCCTCTTTCATTACTTTACAAGACTACATTACAAATGAAGTCATAATTGTATTTAAGGATATTCTCAGAAAAGATCCAAAACACATCAAGGATTGTCTGGAGATTATTTAATCAGACAGTGTCACAGATCAAAACTCAAAAATAGCATTAATCTACATCTTGGGACAATTTGGATCTCAGATTCCTCTGGCTCCCTACATTCTATAAACATTCATTGGAGCAGCAGAATCAGTTGAACTTAAACATACCTTATTGACTGCTTGTCTCAAGGTGTTCTTTTGCAGAGCACCAGAAATGCAGGAAATTTTGGGCAAACTATTTTACAACATAATGAACAATGAGAATGAAGACATTGATTTACAAGATCGTGCTGCTTTCTATTATAGAGCATTGTAAAACAATCCCATTGAACTTAAAAAGTTGTGGCAAAATAGTATTAAAGTGGATAAATTCTTGGAGGAATAAAATATCAACAAGGAAGCCTTACTCTTTGAATTTAATTCTCTCTCTGTCGTCTATGAAAAGAGTGTCAGCAAGTTCATCAAACCAGCTGAGTATTTTAATAATCTTAGGAATAAAGAAATGCAAGATCAAATTCAAGAAGTACAACAAACCACTGAAAAACCAGAGCCAGTTCAAGATGGATTTGAAAACGATCAAGATATAATTATTACAAATCCAACTATTGAAAAAAATGCTCCAAATTTACTTGAAATTACTGAATAACCTAAACAATAATTAGTTGTTGATAACTTTGTACTTGACTATAGAATTGATGTTGAATATTTTGAAAGCATGTGGACAAGCTTAAATAATGGGTATCTTATAAGTATATATTATTCTAGAGCTTCCATCACTAGAACACTGGCTAGAAATGATATTGCAAATGAAAATGCCATGGAGTAGCTATTTAATCGTTTTAGATTGTATAATATCGCAGCTGGAGAAGAAGATAATGTACTTTAGATGTATTTTTATGGAGCACACAAATGTTAAGTGTTTTTTGAATTCGAAATCAATAAAAATTTGAGCACTGTCATACTAAATACAAGATCAGAATTAGAAGATTATGCTTACTTAGGATAGAAATACGTTGAAGATTTCCTTAAATAATCAAATTTAATTAGTTGATATTAATATTCAATTAACATTAACATTTAATATACATTCAAATAATATTATCACTCTCTCCCTTCTAATAAGGAATCAAGAATTCTATGTGTTCACTCCTTTTTATTAGATTTCGGATTTCTATTTTAAGATTACCTAATTTATCATATACAATTAGACTCACCTCTAATTAGCTTGATTATTTTAACAATACAACAAACAGACTCATCCTACTTTTTTATACCGTCTATCTATTACACTATTAAGGATTTTCTGCAATTTTATAACCAGTAAGATATATTACTTCATAAGATAATCCATAATTTAATGATTCCAATAGAAATATTCAATATTTTCTTACTATAAACCAATAATATATACTTTTTTGGTCTCAAAATCTCTGTAATAATAGTTCTATTTTTTCATATCCTTTTATAAACTTGAATTAAATACTTGTTATTCATTAGTTTTTAAGTTAATTCCCATCTACATTTATCTTCCTTAATCTCATTCTAAATTCATCCTTATTCTGGTTATATATCATTGAAATGTTATATTTAATTTTAATTTTAAAATACCTAACATCCATCAAAATCTTCAAATTCTTCTACCATTTTTTTTGAATATTAGTTAATATGATATATAATATTATTAATGTCTTAATATTCATATTCCTAATCGTTGAAGATTATGTTGATACCATACATAATCGTTGGAATATTGTGGTAATATCCTATCCTCTATTAAAAGGTTTCCATTGACTGTGATGATTGAGCAACATTACGATTCAATTTTGATTTCATAGTTTCTTGTGATTCAAATAACAACAGCTTTCTTATTTTTGATAGGCCTATATTATAAGTATTTGATTTGATTGAGAGTAGCAATACATCAATTTATGATATTTATTGGAAGGTAGCTCCAATGTTTTTTGTAACATATTGGTCGAGGGGATCTGGAAACATAATTCTGCCTTTCCTTGTATTCTTCTACTGCATCAAGCAAAATTATACATATTTTAGATTCTGGCCAGGTATATATAAAGATCATAGAAATAATTAAGGTTTATAATACGAAGATTATCGAAATGTGGCAGTCAAATAATAATATCCAAATCCTTTTGTTTTCTGGCCAATTATTTATTTGGGCTTTGAAGTCGTACCCTCGATAATGATCTTTTTAGGTCATTTGCCCCTCTATTATGTGTTCACCTCATAAAACCCATGTACTTTTTGTTATAATTTTTCAATCATATTTACAATTTCAGCAATATCGATTGAATTAATAGGTAATGATGATAAATAATTGTTAGCTGACTATCAACTCTTTCCTTATAGATCTAAGTAGCTTAAGGGTGATTGTGACGTTGGACTTTGGAGATATTCCAGACATCCAAATTATTTTGGAGAATGCATGTATTGGTGGGGACAATATTTATGTCAATTGTCATTTGGCTTTGAAAATGTTTGGACCATTGTGGGAGCTGCCGCTATTTAGGCATTATTTTCATTTTATTCGATCCCAGATATGGAAAGTCATTTGTTAAAGAAGAGAGAGAGTTATTAAAATTATAAAAGGAAGGTTGTTAGTTCATTTGTGCCTTGGTTTAGAAAGGAGAATTGAGTATATAGAGATTATTAAAATATTATAATTTAATTTATTTATTATTTTATAGGGGAGATATTGAGGGAATTATTATTTTGTTTAGATTTGGATAAAATTGTGGTGTTGCAATTTAAAATGTAATGAAATTGATAATAAGACATATAGATAGAGACATCAAACAATGAATGCAGATTTATGTAATTCAAATTTATTAATATACTTATTTTATAATAAGCTGATCACTTCTTCTTATTTCCTCCTTTAGCTGGAGCTTGAGCCTTTCCACCAGCATTCTTTTTCAAAGATTTGAGTTGGGTGCTTAGGAGGGCACTTCTCTAATAAATGATTTATTGATAGCATTACTCTCTTTCTAAGAATCATGACTCTGAATCTGTCGAAATCGTTTAATTTAGCTCTGAGTGCTTTCTTAGCAACCTTCTTGGCAGCAATGGTTTGAGCGTATTGTGCGAATGGATCAGATTTTTTAATTGCCTTGGTAATGACACCAGTTCTGGCACCTCTTGTTGCACCTTTAAGATTGAATTTGGTAAGTGTCAATCTTCTGATTGGAATGACTTATCTCTAAACTCCGGTGGTTGGTCCATCGATGAGGACTCTCTTATCATTGAGGATTTCAACAATTGTTGCCAATTTGCCTTCTTGAGGACCATAATTGATTTTGACAACTCTTCCAACTTCAACAAACTTTCCAAGTACCTAGGGAGAAAATGAATGCTATATATACCATCTTTAATAAAACAAATTTTTTTTATTATTTAAAAATCCTTTTAATCTTTTTAAATAGAGAACGAATAAATATAAATTATATTATATATTTATATTTATTAATATTCATTCAACAACAAGTCTTGTCTTTTTTCTGTTATTGGTTCTATGAACTTTGAGCAGCATTTAATTGTACACCACCATTACTTTATTTAAAATTCTTCTGTTGATTCACCAGTAATCCTTTGTCGATTATCTCTTAGATTAATTCGGTGAACAGTTGCTATAAGCCTACTTCACTTTATTACCTTCAACCCTGTGCCCTCCTTTGCACTTGTTTGAATGCAGGAGAAAAATTTATTTGTTTTCGCAAAACCTTATAAAGTCTGATAATAAGATGTCTTCTCATCATCACTCGCTAAGTCACACTTATTCTGCACCAACATGATTGGAATATTATTTTGATCACTATTCTCCTCGATTATACTTTTCCATTTCAAAGTTTCCTCCAGAGAATTCGGATCCTTTATGTCACACACTATTAAACAACCTACCCCTCATTTATTTTAATACCCAATGCTCCCCTCACATACAATTTGCTCACAGCATTATACTTCTCCTAACCAGCAATGTCCCACAATTATAATCGAACAGTCTATCCATTCGTCTAAGTCACCTTTGTCGTAAAATCGCACCCTATCGTTGGAGGACTATTTGCTTCAAATCGCTCATAACAATATTAATTCAACAAGCAAGTCTTGCCAACCCCTTGCTCACCCACCACAATGATCTTAATAAAAGGATCTGCTTCCATATAGAAAAAATTATAATTATTAATCGGAATTACGAAATCAAAACTATATATACTTACAACCCATGAACTAAAGCATGTTACAATATAAATCAACACAACTCTGAAAAATTTATAACCTTTAAATTAAACATCTAAAAAATCACTGTTATCACAACAAAGAAGAACGAAACATAACTAAATTTCAGAATTAGCAAATTTGAGTATAGTCTATTCTAAGATTTCAGAGAATTACAAAACCTATCTTCATCATACATCTGAATTCAAATAATGATTTAGTTTTGAAATTCAGAGAGTTTCTCTTTGGGCATTCGATAATATTAAGCTATAATATGGAAGCTTATCTCCTCAAGATAAAGAAACAGTTTTATGAAATCAATTCTCACATATAAGATATTTGAATGGGTAAGAAGAAAGAAAAACCGAAAAGCTTAGGATGATTAATAATTTTACTTATTTCTTTCTAAATTTCATAATATTTTTAGAATGACTTAATCTTCAAAAAAGGTCATTCAAATTGATTTTAATTATTATTTCAATTTATTAAGCTATTTATCATAATTCCCCTAGCAATAGATGCATTTTAATAAGATAGCAATTCTTTATTATAAATTCAACTTAATTTCAAGAATAGTTAAATGATGCTATGAAACACATTCAAATTTCATCGTATATAACTAAATTTAGAGTCAACTTATTTAGAAATCTATGTACCAAAAGTAAACAGGGATAAGGTGCTGAACATTTTTGCTCATTTATTGGATTGATTGTCCAAAATGAATATATATAAATAAAATTATTTAATAGATATGTCTAGAGCAAATAAATAAGCCGAGTAAGCACCTGCTTAAAATAATAAATAGAAGGGTGCACCAGCTGCTAAACCTTAAAAACCCAAGGAAAATTATTTGACTCCAGAGGAAATCAATGATTTGAGAGTAATAATATGGTAAAACATTATAAGGAAACTTTTGATTTGTTTGATGATGATAAGAGTGGCACAATAGATGCTCACGAAATAAAGAAGGTACTTGAGGACTTAGGCGTAGATGCAAGAAATAAATTTGTGTATCAAATGGTGCAAGACTTAGAAAAGTAATCATCATCATATATCAATGCTAGTCATGGAGAGTCTATCAATTTCGATACTTTTGTCGATATTATTTCAAACAGATTGGGAAACAATAAAACAAGGGAAGGAGCATAAAAATTGTTTTAAATTTACGATCCTGAAGATACTGGGTTATTATTTTAATAATTAGATTAGATTCATTGATTTTACAAATTTAAAACGTGTAGCTAAAGAACTGGGAGAAACTTTAAATGATGATGAATTGCATGAAATGATCCATCATATTCATATCCTCAGAAAAACAGAGAGTCCTGAACAAATCTCATTTGAAGAATTTTATGAGATCATCACAGCTCCAAGAAGATATTGATAAAAATAAATAATACATATATATCTATAGATATCAGTTGATTCAATCATCATATGGCACACATTTATCGAAAAATCTAGGAACATACTTATTCAAAACTCCATTAAAGCCCAAGGCACTTACGCGATCTCTTACATAATCTTCATACTCCTCTCTGTATTACTAAGGATTTCTTGATAAAACCCACATGAATAACATTTCAGGTTCACTCACAATGACCCATTAATATTTCTTATTAATAACTGGCCCTAATTCAATAATCCAATAGTCTCCTCCCCCGACTTGTCCTCCGTTCAGAAACACCTTCAATTTGGCCTTCTAAGTCAGATCTGGGATTCTGGCATACCCATCAATTGATTTTATTGCACCATCACCAGCCCCGTCTCTCTAGACATTATAGACACTTAGATCTCCACTACCCAAGACGCCATATCTGGCTCTATTGCAAAATCCATTTTTCTCAAAGGTTGTGTGAACCCAAGGACTGCTTGCTACTTCAAACCAATCACCCAAGTAAGATTCTACATCGTAGTCATCAACCACATCTATAGCTAAGCTTAATGAGACGATAGCAAAAATAAGAACTATTTTTTACATTTATTATTGGATAGAATATTAGCAGAACAAAAGTTTTTAATTTAAAATTTAATAACAGGAACATTCTTAAACATATATGAATAAATATGATATTTATACAATTCAAAGTTAGGATTATTAATAATAAAAGCATTTTCAAGTTAGAATTAATTTATGATGTTGTATACATAATTTTAGTAGTTAAATCTGGCTATAAAATTAGATAAGTAAAAATAATTTATATAATTTAGAGTCTCCAAAAACTATTAATGAACAGTAATAATATATTTATCAATTTATATGTATGACCATATCTAATAATAAATCAACGAGCACCCTTTAAGACATTTAGTACTGCATCAACAATTTATTCAGTTTTGGGGAATGCCATAGCCTCTAAATTAAAAGCATATGGAGTTGGTATTTCCACACCAGTCACTCTTTAGATGGGAGCATCTAAATATTTGAATGCTCCTCCTTCCATAATGAGAGCAGTGATTTCAGCTGAGATACCAGATTGTGGCCATCCCTCTTCTACACAAACCAAACGACCAGTCTTTTTGACACTGGAGAGAATTGTTTCTCTGTCCAATGGTCTCAAACTTCTTAAATTAACAACTTCACAACTGATTCCTTCTTTAAATAATTGCTCAGCAGCTTTGAGAGAGTATTAAACCATTTTTGAAAATGCGACTATTGTGACATGATCTCCTTGTCTCATGATCTTAGCCTTTCCTATTGGTGCTAAGTAATTGGGATCTCTGGCTTCAGCTGAGAGTTCGAAGGATTCACTATAGAGGATTTCATTTTCCAGGAATACCACAGGATTAGGATTTCTCACAGCTGCCTTGAGAAGTGATTTAGCATCATCGCAATCATAAGGAGATAACACAACCAACCCAGGCACATTACTGTACCAAGAAGCAAAACATTAAGAATGTTAGGCTGCAACGTAAGCCGTAGCACTAAAGACTTATAAATCTTTGATCTTACCCATTGATTCCTCGAAAGACTATAGATGCCTTCTAATCACCGGCACTCATATAATGTGCCTTAGCTGCAGAGTTTATTATATGATCAATAGCTTGCATTGCGAAATTCCAAGTCATAAACTCAACTATTGGTTTCAATCCATAGAGGGCTGCTCCCACTGCAATACCTGTGAATCCGGCCTCAGTAATTGGAGTGTCGATAACTCGATCGCCTCCGTATTTTTAGAACAACCCCTTCGATACTTTGTAGGCTCCCTGATATTGACCCACTTCCTCTCCTGATTTATATTAATATTAAATCATATACCAAGCAAAAACACATTTGGATCATGGGCCAATTCCTCATCCATAGCCAGGTTTATTGCCTCCCTGACTGTCATCTGGATTGGAGTGTATTAGGATGAAGGATGGACATGAGTAAATTTAATACTTGGTTGATATGCATAGCGCAATTTCAATAAATGTTTATACATTAAATTTTATGTATTTTTTAATATGCATCACAACAGTTTTAGCAAACTATAATACCTAATATGTTACTGATTAATTAAAAATAGAGCATAATAATCTTGATGCCTAAAAGACTTATTTAATTTAGATGATCATTACATAATTTCCAGTAGACAATTATTGCTTACCTCTGATGCAAATATATAATGGTACCCAAAACTAATTTGATTCACAATCATACTCTATCAGATCCAACATCTAATCTGTCTTAGTCAAATAGACCAAAAAGCTCTCCATAGAGATAAGTTGCCCTGTTTTGGATCCTTTTATTAACATTAAAGATATCAACAAAACAATGCATTTTAATTTAACTATAAATGAAGCAGTAATATTTTTTATCGTAACATATTGAGTAGGTATTAAAATAATAGAAATCTTGTCCCTTCCCTTACTATGGATTGGATTGTTTACTTCAAATGCAAAAAATATAAACTGATTATTCGATCACTTTACATGTACTCAATAATACTTGGTTCTATGCTTATGTGATACTGGACAATCAAGATTATGATGTACATACTCTCAACTTATTTAGATTAAAATTCAAAACCAACATGCCTTATTTGGTATATCCTCTCTCCCAGCAGACAAACTAGACATTACAATTCTGCCAACATTCTTTACTAATTTTGAAATTTTGGAATAGACTTCAGATGAGAAATCCATTAGTTTGACAAGAGAAACAGAGATCTCAGATTTCATCTTCATTTTTGGATTATTTAATTTTAATTCAACTCACATTTAAGAAATCTAAATTTCATTTGTGTACTTAATTGTTTATATTTTTAGATCTTTAGGTGAAACCAATAACTTCCCTTATTGGGCAACGATACTTTTGTCATCAATCTTTCTATTTGGCATCCTTGTGGCTCTCCTCATATTTTTAAGTTATAAAAGCTAATACAGAAAAATAACATAAATTCAACCTGCACTAGATAGAAAGATTTTTAAAAAATACATGCCAACACAGAGAATTAATTCAAACTTGGTACAAGAAACATGTGCAGTTTGTTTGATATAATTTGAGAGGAAGGAAAAATACAGAGAGACACCATGCAAACATAATTTCCATGATTAATGCTTATCAGATTGGTATTTGATTTACTTTATTTAGGACTATTAAACAAGCAAATTGTCCAGTTTGTAGATAGAGCTTACAGGAATAGGATATATAAAAATTATTATTATGCTAGACTTAGTTACCTAAGTTAAATTTAGAAATTAATGAAAAGGCCGAATTGAAAGAAGGGGAACAATAACAAAGTGATAGAGGAGCTCTATATATTCCTTTTTATCCGACTCCATATAGAACTACATGTAGAATAGACTTAGATAATTCTCCTCAGGGAGACAATTCACCTTAGACAGTTTAATTTGATGGAACTCCTAATCATCAGAGTTAAAGAGATCTTTGCAAACAAAATGATCGAATTGTTGAATTATGATAAATATACTTATTTATTAATAAATTTAGTTTTTTCAGATTGAAGCAACTAAAGAGGATATTTAAATTTTTATTATAATTTGATGCCAAATATAAATTATTTTTATAACAATTTAGATTATGCTCCTTGAAATATTAGTAGACAGAGTGATGCAAGTTAGACTTCTTTGATTTTTTGTATATTTTTATATAAAATTTATATTATCTTTCTTAAATCTTGCGTCATAATCGATCTTAATACCTCATACTTAATCACTCACATTTGACACTAAGAAGCTAAAAAATAATAATATAATGAGCTTGTTAATTAACGAGGAAAGATTGATGGATTCGCCAAAAAGGACTGAAAGCACCGATATATAATCAGACAGTTAAAAAGTTAAAAAGGAATTTAACACTTTTTTCTTAGGTGTCCAATAAACTTCTAAAGTAACTTAATATGAGAATACTTTAGGTTACAAGATAGTACATAGATACTAAAACACATGGAATTCAATTATATTATCAAGAATTCACTCCCTAATTTATTGATGCCCAAGTCATTATCGTACATGGATTTGGAGAGCATTCCGGAAATTACAAACAAGTAATATTAAATATTTATCATTTTCAGTTGACAGATTGTTTCTTACTCAATAATTTTAAAGTCCATCTTTATGATTAAAGAGGATTTGGATTTTCAGGTGGAATCAGAAGTAAAGCCACAATAGAAGAGATGCACATGGATCTGGAGACTGTGATAGATTAAATTGACAAATCAGTGCCTTTGTTTATTTTTTGTCATGCATTGGGGGCAGCTATTGTAATCAGTTTTTGCTTGAGGAATCCACAATTTGAAATACAAGGAATTATTTGCAGTAGTGCTTAATTTAGAGTGCCACCAAGGTATGGAAAAATGAAAATGATCACATTACAAATGATGGCTAAATTATGTCCAGATTTATAGGTTAATACGTATCATAATTTATCTTTTGCATCCAAAAATAATCATCACATCAGAAAATTGGCAACAGATCGATTGATACATCCCTATATGAGTATCCAATTTGCATAGAATGTGTTGTTATTCTAATAATACATTTTACCTAATGCAAATTAGTTTAAAATACCAATCTTGATATTGCATGGCAAACAAAATAAGGTTGCTTCACATCTGGATTCAGTTGACTTTTATATGTAAATTCAATCCAAAGAAAAAACAATCAAAATATTTGAGTAAGGTTTTCATGAAATGCATAATGATTCTGAATGGCCGAAAATGAAGACTATTATCACATAATGGTGCTAAAAAATGATAACCAAAGATGTTAAAATGAATTACTTAAAAGAGTATAATCATGGAGTTGTTGTACAACAATACAGATCCAAAATCAGACTATTGATTTCTGTTCTCTTAATAGTAATAAGAAGGTATAACATTTAATTAACAATTTTAGAAAACTTTCTTGCTTAAATGTCAGTACGAAAGTTAGTATACTTATATTTATGGAACTATTACTCAGATTGTTCACATCTCATTGATTTTGATTATTATGTTTATACTAATTAATACCTAACTATAAGATAGTATTAAATAATTAATTTAGTTGTATATTATTGTTATATATCTTAATATATATTAAGATTAAGATCAGCATTGAATAAAGCTTTTTTATTGCTTGATTTTATTATAAATTTAATTGATTTATTTTATAATCGTTAATATATTTAGTAAAATAATAGATCCATAAATTAATAATCGAACTGTCAGTTATTTACTTTAAAATGTGTGGTTCATTGAAATCTCAACTTTTAACATATAATTTAAAATCAAAACAAATCAAAATTTGGCTTAAGCTTTGACAATAATTTGAGCACACAAGTAGTCGTTCATATTTTTTGATAAACAAACTTATTTTTTTTTGTTTTAATTCATTCTTTTCTTTGAATATGTAATTTGAACTTCGATAATTTTATTTGGGGGGCTAAATATACTTTTATTTTCACGCTTAAGAACAATAATAATACAAAATTAAAATAGTCTAGAGTGATATTTAGTTAGAAGTGTTATTTAATATCAAACAAAAAAGTTTTAAAATATATGTGATCAGAAAATTGTTAAAAGTGTTAGATTTATATGCTATTCTTAGATTATTTTGATTTTTATAATATAATAAATATTCAATATATTGTGATGGGTTGTAATATACCAAAACCAAAAAAGAAAGACTTGAAGCTTTATGATCCTAAATTGTAATAAATAGTCACAGTTCCAGTTTTATTTGAAGCAAAAAACAATCCAATTGTCAAACGAAGATTACATGATTAATCATTTTCACCTGAACAAAAAATCAGCAGCAGAATTCATTTATGATAGTCATTTAAACTTTATATAAATATATTTAATCTTGTATTTACAAATATTTATTCAAAACCTATCAAATTATTCAACTTTATAAATCTAACTCTTTATTACATTTCATAAAATTTATTTGGAATAATGATTTATAATTATTTTATTAATTAGTGTCATATTGATAAATTAAGAAAGTATTTCTATACAGTTTTATTTTTGTTACTATAACTTTTTCAAATAATTTATGAAAAATTCATGATTGATAATTTTTCAAAATCTAAGAAACTCAAATCTTTAAAAACTAAATTTGTGTTAAGAAACCAAATAATTTTGATACATATATAATATAATTTTATATGGCAATTAACTTTCCAATTCTAATAATAAAAAATCACTTTTTCTTAAACATTATTTTAATTATTTCCTGATTTAACCCGTTAACCTTTTCCTAATAATATATCTTCATATTATCATATGTAAAGTCTTTTAAAGATTGATAATTTTCAATTGTTTACTCAACATTTTCACTGTCATTATATTATTATCTAATTTTATTAAAGATGCATTTATAATCTACCTTAAACCATTCATCTTTGTCACCTTTATAGAAATCTAAGATGTTCTTAATATAATGGTTGATTTTATAGTTAATAAATTTTTCTAAAAATTCAATCCATTTTAAGGTTGATTCAGCGTAGGATACAGATATTATAATGTCTGGTTTATGACGTTATTTTGGAAATGTCAATAGAAAAATATAGTCATTAATATTTTATAAGCGCTTAAGCGAGTTCAAAATCTCATACTCTTTTAATATGATAAAAATGTCGTCCAAATCATCCCATAAAGTTAAAATTTTATATAATGGCAGCAAGTTTAATATTTCAAAAGCACGTTAAATATTAGAAGCATCCTTAAGACTATAATTACTTTTGGCTACTTAACTGATTAAGTTATTTGTTAATATATCATAATTTTTTCCTTATAGTGATATTTCTTTTGAATTTTAAAAAATATCAACTAATTTTTAGAATTCAATATTCGATTTATGGTTTAGCATTAATTATTAGGAAGGTTTCAATTTATTTTGTATGATATTTTGTATTTCATTAATTTAATTACATTTTTTTAATGTTTCATTTACTTCTTGTATTATGTAAGGATCAGACTAAGAGAATAATTACAAAAACTTAACAATTGTTGTTTTTAACTATCCAATATCAGGATTAATTTTGTTTAGTTTATCGAAATTGATTGAAGTAAATATGACTTATTAAAATGAATTCTAACTTTGACCAATATGAATCCATATTTCTTCAGGGTTGAAATTAACATTTAATTAATACTTTTCATATTTAGATTGGAATTCTGCTAAAATTTAGTTTATTATTACAAATGCATAATCTACTTAGAAACATTATAAATCATTTTCCTAAATAAAATCATAGATAAGAATACTTTAAACGTAATAAGATCTTAAAGGCTTAAGAATTAATCTCCTTTAAAAGTAAACTTTAATATTAATTGATTATCTTCTGTCTCCAAATCGGTATATTATTTGATTTTTAACTAATCCAATGTTTCTAAAATATCTGAATCAATCAGATAGTCGTTTTGGAGAGGTTTAAAAATTGTTTATGGGTAACTAAAGCCTTTCATCATCTTTATTTATAAAAAAAATTATATAATAATTATAGAATACCTCACACCTTTTTCGTTTTCATAAACTAAAATGAATTTTATATTTAGGGAATAAAAATATTTGAGAAAAATGATTTAATGAACGAATGATTGCGCTTTCTTGATGTAAATATAGAAAATAAAAACTCATGTAAATTCTATTACTTAACTATTTTTAATACTTCAAATTATAGCTATGTTTACAATTTAAAATTATATTATTAATCAAAAGCATAAATTAATACAAATTAAGGCCAGAATAGAATGATATAAATTCAATTAATTGAGAATTTATTAAATTGAAGTTTCTCTAATATATTAATAATTAGCCTCCTTTCATTTCTTCTTAAGGCAATAAATATTTTGAATGATCATAATTCTTATTATATGAAATGAACAGATAATAATTCTTATTATATGAAATGAACATGGGAAAATAGATGCTCTTTTTATCTCTGATTTATTAATAAATTGATTCTCAATATATATTATTAAATTATCAACAGAAAAATGTTAGGTCTTTTAGAATAATCATAATTTAGTTTAAACTTCATCTAGGATTCCATTATATTTATTACAAAATTTTCTTTAAACAAAATTAAATTTTTTTAACATTTTTCTATAGGTCTGTCTTTCAGTCAAGCATAAATCATTTATTGATTTGACAAAATCTTTATGGGAAATACTTCTTCTACTTATGTCAAGTCCATCATGAGACTTTACATTTAATTTTTCCATATTTAGAACTGATACTTTATGATTTTATTCTTTAAAGAATTTTTGATCATGTTAGACTTATTTTTTGTAGATCAATTATCTTTAAATTCTTTCAGTGAGCACCGATTTTGCAAATTCAATTGGTTCCTTAAGTTTTAATTTCTCCTTAAATGTAAGTTCCTACCTCAAAGTTTTAATTATTTAACAATGTTCTGGTGTTAAATTTGTTGAAAATTTATGATCAATAATTTATGAAAATGATTCTCTATTTGAATGCACAATTTAATCGTGGAGTGAATTTCGAATTTGATTCATTTATTCTGAATCAAAGATCTTTAATTTTTACTTAAGAGCAACTTACTTTTAAAATGCATTATCTATTTATTTTAAGACTTTTTCATCACTATTCTTTCTGGTCTTTAATTTAACATACTAAGGCTTATGAGCTGGATTTGTGATGTACTCTCTATCTGCATTTTACTTACCAAAAATCTTTACTAGATTTGGGTCTGTTTGCTTTGGAGAAAGCTTTTCCCCTAATCCACTCAAATTATATGTTACTTGACAAATAATCCTTAAACATTATCATAGTTTGTATAAATCTGGGGCTCATACGAATATTCTCTTCCTTCATGAAAATGAGTAGTTTTAATTTTATAATGCAAAAAAATTTGTTTTTCTTGAATAACCATATTCATTATTAAGTATTAATATAAATAGGTTTACTGATATATTTAAGATTGCGAATTACAATTCAAGTGGTTAAGAATTGGTTAACCAAAGAATATTACTATGCCATAAAGGATAAAATCTGAGTTCCTTTTTTCAACTAACTAAATTAATATTATAATAATCAATGGCTTTAGATGCGACTAACAATTAAAATGAATATAAAACATATTATAGAAATCTGTGAAAGTAAATCAAATAATTTTAGTATTCTGGAGTATATAATTTAAATCAATAGTTTCAAAGAATACTGTTGAAAAGAATACCATAATATAATGTAAATCAAATAAAATGAATAAAGATTGTTATTTGTCTTTTATTCTCTTTCAAAGGAGCACGCAGATGTAATAAATACCTATCCATAAATAGAAATTTTGATTCTAAATATAGATAAATTTCTTTTAAGATATATCAATTCACAAAAGATGAAATTTATTCAAATGGAAGCATAAATAAATATCAACAATTAAACTTCTATTTTCTAAGAATTGAGTAAAAGTCATGATATATTATTTTAATAAAATGATTACAATTTTACAAAATACATTAATTATTTATTTCGGCCTTCTTGGTCTATGTATGATCAGCATTTTGGTCGTTTGCTTAGATTCTGAATATGAATGTCATTGTCCATCAATCGTCATCAAAATTTTGAGAAGCCTTTCAATTATACCATTTACGAATGAAGTGAAAAAGTCCATTATTCCAATAATAAAAGAGTTATCTCCTAAATGGATTCGACTGTTAATTTTGAGTTCATTTATGATGGCTTTGGCCTTGATACTCTCTTTGATATATACTGCACTGTATTTATTTTACCATTAATTTACTTAGTATGATCACTTTAAGTTTATTGATGAACCTATTCTATGTTATATTGATAGCACTTTTTCTATCCATTAGCTTAGGTATTGCTAAGAATAATACACCAATTCAATAAAATTTATTACGACACTTTGAGTACATCAAATTAATATTCTAATGAGTTTCATTATCAATGTGATTTTTAATTGCAATATCCAAATCTTTTATTAGATTGATCTATTCTTTTTTCTATTTGTTTAATTGCAATATAGTAAATGTTGATGTTTTTTGTTAAATTAACTTTATTAATTAACTGCTAAAAATGGAAGTCAATTCCTTTATATTTCCTGCTCCTAAATGTGAATACACTGAAAAGAATTTCAAAGAACTTATATGGGTTCCTGTTTACAAATCAAAATAAATAAAACAACTGGGTGTTTAATCTGCTAATCAATCCAAAAGACCTAGTACACAATAAGACTTTTACTTCGAAGAATCTAATTATGATTAGGATGTAGATGAAAATGTAATTGTACACAAATCTCCTCCAAGATTATTAAACAAATATAAATCTAATAATGTGAAAACTCTCTTGTCAAATAAGAATTAAAATAGATTATATGAATCCTTAGCAAATGTTTGTTTGACATCCACTCCAAATGAAAAGATCTAACATCCTAGATGCAATAAACTACCAATAAGACACTTGAAATAAATGACTCAATAAGACGAGGAAGAAATTGAAATTATTAAAAAAATCCCTTGTGCCTTTATTAATAACCAATCAAAATAAACACTTGTTTATTTTCATTCGAATGGAGAAGATTTATATTAAGCATATGAACTTATGTGGCGAATAGGAAATTCATTGAAACTAAACATTTTGGGAGTCGAATATCCAGGGTATGGAATCTACAAAGGTGATCCAAATGAGTAAACGATATTGGAAGATGCTGATCATATCATGAATTATTTGATAAATACCAAAAAAGTAGAGGAATCGAATATCATGATATGCGGAAGATCGATTGGAAGTGGGTGATTTTAATTAATTTATTTTAGGCCTGCTTGTTACATCGCTAGTAAATATAGGCCATTCATGCTGATTCTTATTTCCCCATTCTTATCCATCCAATAATTAGTAGAACATAAGTTGGGGAAACTTTTTAGTGTGCTAATAAAAGAAAGATTTCCAAATTACAAACACATCTCAGAAGTCTAATGTCCAATCTACATTTTACATGGTCAATCTGATAACATGATACCTTTAAGTCATGCATTAAAATTATAGAGACTCTGCAAGTGTAAATGCAAGTTGACCACCCCTTATCACATGACCCATGCAACTTTTAACTTGTAATAAGACTTAATAATTCCATTATTACGATTTATGATGAGTTGAATAGAATTGAATTTAGAAATATTAAATCAACTTTTTTATTTTATCAGATAATTTAATATGTTTAAGAGTCAATAGAAATTAGAATTTCTATTACTGCCTAAATATTTTCTCATAATTTTAAGATAAAAGTGTCAAAATAATGAACTCTTCAAACTTTGTAATAAGTGAAAAAAATATTTATTTAAAAAATAAATCATTTATATATATAATATAAAGTTTTTATTTAGAAAAGAATTAAATAAATATCAGCTTATTAACCCATGATTTCAGCTGAATAAACTGCCCAAATTAAAAATTATGCTAATCTGTTTTGATATATTAAAAATGAAGGAATTAATCAGATTTAAACAGTATATAGTTTAGTTTGATCCATCGCTAGTCATTTATATATTCAAATTATAAGTTAAGAAGTTCATAAAATAAATAATTATCAACTAAATCTAATAAAAGCAAAAGATAAAATAAAATAGGGAGGATCAGAGTTAAGAATATCCAAATCTCCAATAACTTTGATGAGAATTATATTCTTAATTAGTATAAATAAAATAAAATTTATGGTTTGCATTCCTTGTTTGCTCTTGCCTTTGGTAGGAATATTGGTTGTGCTATTCGATTTTATTAAACCTTTTCTAACAAAAATTGGATTGGTTAAGGCTTCCCCCAAAACAGATGATAAAAATAATCCTTAGGAAAATAGAACAAAAGTTTAAGAGACGCCGACGCCAAATGAGTAAGAAAAAAGTAAATCATCATGATTGTCTAAATATGTGTGTTGAAATATTTTAAATTTGCAAATCAAATATCAATTTGGTATATACCTAAACATTCCACATAAGGAACAATATGCTATGTTTTTGTTTAAAAGCATGTCTGATTTAAAATTAAGAAATAGATTCCAAAATATGATCAATATTATGCTTCTATTAATTTTGGTTCTTATCTATAAATAGACTAAGCTATGGTAGCGGCTTCTTATGAAATTTCTACTGCAAATTCGATAAGTGTCGTTATGGACTGATCAAGGTTCCACAAAATTTAAGTCTTAAGTGTTTGCTTAGGTCTCATCGAATGAGGCTTGAGTATTCCACCAAGGAGGGAAGAGGATTGTTGAAGCTGTTTTTTAATTGTTTTCGAAATTTTATTCAGAACACTATCCGTTTCTGTGTCTAAAAAAAATAAAGGACTAAAACGATTTCATTAATAATAATGGTTTAAGTCAAGATCATAGTCTTGTTAGTCTGTGCATTGACACTGACCTAAGGTACGTCTATAATATATGTCAAGCTTTCGAAGCTGAGGGCACACTCTTGTCGATGTCATTAAATGAGATTAGCAACCTCAATTTAGGGGATGTTAATTGTTAGAACACATCTTAGCAATAGTTTGTGTAATTGGAATAAAATCTCGAGTCTTGGGCCGACATCATCGATCACAAGGATGACATCTAAAAAGATATCAACACTTTGAAACAATTGGAAGTGATCTTACTATAAGTGAAGAAATAAACATAAAAGAAAAGTAAATTAGTTTATCTTATTTCTAGAGATCGCTCCCTAACAATTGAAATAAATTAATTAGGTCGTGACAAAGAAAATTAAGTCTTTGGTTCTTCCATAAACAGCAAGCAAAATTGGACAAGCTCATTGTGATGAAATCGAAAGACAATTAGAGAGATTAAGTAGCGATAATGAGTCAGAAAGAAGTGAGTGCTGTGATGCTCTTCTCAAATTAGCCACCTTCCTCATCAGACAATTATCCAGCATTAATTAATAATGCCATTAAAACCCAGTCACCATCATTAAAATCAAGGGATAAATCAAAGAATTACATATCATTCAAGGAGGATGCGGAGGAGGACAAACCATTGACATCCCAATGGGAGGATCAGATGAAAAATGTGATAAACCAGAAACCCCAACCAAACCTACAGATCCTACAGATCCTGAAAAGCCAACTGACGACCCAGTCCCAGATCCCGGAAAAGAAGAAGAAACCACAGCTGAAGAGACTGTAACTGAAGAAGGTGAAACAACTCCACCAGGACCAGATGCTGAAGAAGAAGGAGAACCCACACCAGAGCCAGATGCTGAAGAAGAAGGTGAAACTACACCACCAGGACCTGATGCTGAAGAAGAAGGAGTACCCCCTGGACCTGATGCAGAAGAAGAAGGCGAACCAGTACCAGAACCTGACGCTGAAGAGGAAGGAGAGACTCCAGCAGGACCAGATGCCGAAGAAGAAGGTGAACAACCAGGACCAGAACCTGCTGCTGAAGAGGAAGGAGAAACTACTCCAGCAGAACCTGCAGCAGAAGAAGAAGGTGAAACAGCCACACCTGCAGCTGAAGAGGAAGGAGAAGCAGCATAACCACCCGCAGAAGAAGAGCTTCATGAACCAGCTGAAGAGGAAGAGGAATCATTTGGACCAGATGAAAAAAATAATACAAAAGGACCAGGAGATATTCCAGATGATGCTGAAGAAGAAGGATTCTTACCAGAGGAAGAATTTAGTCCTGAAGATGGACCTGAACCTCAAGCAGAAGAAGAAGGCCCCGCTGAAGAAGTGACCCCTGCAGGTGAAGAGGAAGGAACTCCAGCTACTGAGGAAGATCAAGGTGAAAATGTTCCAGGAGAAGAAGGTTTCCCTGAGGGAGAAGAAGAAAGTGAATTCCCAGGAGATATCCCATCAAACAAGAATGGAACTTCTACTATTCCTGATATCCCTGAAGGTGGAGAAGAAGGTGCTGAGGAAGGTGCTGAAGAAGGCTCTGAGGAAGAAGGAGTTCCTAAAAAGCACGGGGGTTCTGAATCTAAACCACATAGAAAACCAGCAGGAGAAGAAGGCGAAGAAGCAGGAGAAGAAGAAACTGAACCAGAAGAAAAACACGGTCGTGGTAGTGAATCTAAACCACATAGAAAACCAGCTGGAGAAGAAGGTGAAGAAGCCGGAGAAGAAGAAGAAGGATGGGTACCAGGAGATATTCCAAAAGGTAAAAATGGAACATCAACCATTCCTGATATACCCGAGGGTGAAGAAGGAGCTGAAGAGGAAAGCGACGAAGTAGGAGAAGAGACTGAAGAAGGTGGAGAAGAAGGTGCTCCAGGAGAAGAAACTGAAGAATCTCTAGATTAACCAGAAGAATCAGAAGAAAAGTATTATCAAATAAAATATCCATAGATGTTAAGAGACTGTCGAAATAACAGCAACAAATGCAGCTGATATCATGTGCGCATTAGGCTAATATTTGAGTCAATTGGCTCACGGAGGATCCCCTGCTGATGGTCCTAAGTCTAAGAAGGTTTGCTTCTGCTTGAAATATGAACCAGGTAAAATTATTTTTTAACATTAGACAACGCTGATCCTTCATTGCTTCAATTAACTTAAAAAGTGAGCAAGAAATCTAGAATAGAACAAGACGGTATTTTAAGAGCATTAATTCCAAATATGAGAATCTGAAATGAACAAGCTTTTTTTATTTATTGATCTAAATAAAAAAAGTAAACTTATCGATATATCCAATATTCTTTAATATCTCTCCTTCTTATTTTTGCAAGAACAAATATATCTTTCAAAATTTATGATAAGAAATTAGAAAATTCAATATTCATCAATTGTGTCTTTGGTATCCAATTAGACCATATATCTAAATTTAACCTTGGTTTCCTCATATACTATATATTCATTGTGTTGTAGACAATAATGAATAGGATTGCCCTCCTTGTCCTTCTTTTTAGGTTCTGGATATTCGATGCATTATCCAACAGGAACTTTGCACCCATTAGATAAAATAACAGATTATTTGTAATCAGGGCCTGTCTTTCCACATCCCTTGACAGATTGGTATTGTTCTAAAAATATATTTTATAAATACTGGGTAAATTTTGAACAAAATCTGATTGATAAAGTTCTTAAGACTTTCCAACTGCTACTTCGCAAAGTAACATGTATCTATACCTTTGAATGTCGTCTTGCTCATCCTAAATTACTTATTATTATTTGTTCCAACGTCCTCCTTCCTAAAAGAGACCTCTATAAGGATTATAATGTAATGACCAATCCTCTGTGTATGCAAAAGACTTTTGGAACATATCAGCGAAATAGATTCCCTTTCCAAACATTGCCCCTGTGTTGAGTGCCCAAGGTGGTGCAACTAAAAATAATTATTTACTTTACCTTTGAGTCCTTAGGCTAAAATACCCATAAAGTTGGAGATTTTAGAACCATGCCATAGTAATAATCGATTGTATTATTTATTGCTTTCAAATCTTTCAGCTTCTCCTCTTCTCTCAATGGCAAATATATTGGATATTTTTGGAGTTGATGATTGATTAATGTATTACTGAATTAATTTGTATTCTGGATGTTCTCGATGGAGAGTAATGACTCTAACATTAAGAGCATTGAAACAATAAGTAAGTGGATTCAAGGCTTACTTCACCAAATGAGCTCCCAATAAAATCTTGGAAGTGATTTCAAAATTGAGCAAAGTTTCAATGAGCAATAACTTTTGATTAATAGCTTCAATTGAATCTAATGGAGGAAGAGGTTCTGTTCTTTATTCAATCATAGGAATTAATTCATAAAATCTACTAGATTTGTCAGCTATTTCAGATGATATATTAGATATCTTTTTGATGTCTAAATCCCCTTTCTACCTAAGTTCCTTTAGTTCTGTCACACTATCAGTTAATTCATTAAGAATGGCCTTGGCAACTTCTAATTATTTTCTATCCAATCTTTCAATAGGCAAAAAGTCCATATCTACATGGAATTATTATAAATCTTTCTGGTATAGTTTAACTTGAATAAACTACAGTATAAATCTCTTTATAGTGTTATCTAATTTAGAGGGTGGATAAGGGGAATTCTTACTGAAATCGAAAGGACTTAGCAGTGTTTTATAATTCTTCATCTGTTTTACATTCATCAACTAATACTTGCCAGGTTTTTTCACAAACTCTTCTTCACCAGACTTAATCTTTCTCCAATCATTGCCTCCTGTTTTAGTGAAGAAGATCTTATTAAATTCCTTAATGGCTTCTTCAGAACTCTCAAAAGGAGTTTATTGGTGTTATCCTCCAGTGCCGATTCTGCCCCATCTCGTAAATAGGATAAAAACATTTCGATTGATTTCATGCAAGACTTACATTTTATAAAACACATTTTCTGAATATCTTCCATTGCCAATATCTACTTTGGTCATTAACAAGTAATATGGACCTATGTCCTTATCCACTAAGACTTCAAGCTTACCAGTACGCATAGCATATTGATCAACTTCATTTTTATAATCCTGCTTAGACTCCTCCAATTATTCTCCATTCAAGTCTAAAAACTTTTAAGCATCTGCCTCAACATCTATTTCCTCTTCCACCCATTAAGCTTAGGAGATTACACTAGTTGGTAATCTGGGCTATTGAGATTTTATATTTTTGATAGCTTTAAGATTTTTGAGTACTCTGGCCATAACACCAGAGTCCTAGTCAACAGCATAGTCTAAAGCAGTTTTCCCTTTGTCATCAACTAGATTGACATCAAATATGCTTGCCAACAGTTCTAACATCTCTGTATTTTCATAGGAACCAAATTCTAATGGCTATACAACATGATGGATGGGTGATCTTTTATTTGAATCTTGAAAGTGCGCTTCCTTTTTAAATTTAGGATGATGGAGAATGAAGTTAACCAATTTCAAAGAGTTATTTTTAATTGCCAGGATTAAGGAGGTTTCTCCTTTTTCAGTCTTCTCATTTATGTCACATCCAGCATCAACAAATTTAGATAGAATGATTTCATCTTCTACATGATATTCCTATATTAAGTATAACAAAGGAGTCAGACAATAATTTTTCTTATTTATTTTAAATTTCACATTAAAATTAGCATTGTTGCTTGCCCATAACCCTAATTCTAGAGGATCTGCAAATACCCTATAATTATTTTGTAGTCTTATTGAAAAGGGAGTATTTTACTCAGAGTTAAAAGCATTAGGATTACCTTTTCTATCTAAGAAATATTTAATCATTTTATTAAACGAATATGTGCATGCATAATGCAAAGGAGTATTCATTTGATAATCGTTTGCAATCCTATCAACTCCTCTTCTAGATAATTCTTCTGCAATTAAAATTGCCATATCTTCATTACAATTTCTCCCTTTGATTGCAAATATGTGGAATAAGTTTTAATTATTTTGATTATACTTTTTAATAACTTCATCATCTTTGACTTTCAAGAGCAAAGTTCTGACTAATTTAAATTAATCTTCCATCATTGCATCCTCTATGGCTCTTTAGAGATCATATCCATCGCTTATCAATAAGTATGCAACCCCTTACCATCCTTGTTTAATGGCTAATTTGAAATAAGAATAAGTTCCAGGAAGAAACTTAGATGGTTAAGGCGATTAATTATTCTATCCAAATGCACTCCTGGTAGATACCCTCCTAACAGCCTTTGCAACTTTGTTACCAAAAAATATTGAGTTCCCTTTTTGATTATATTCATCTTCATCATCTACTTGATTCGAATCCAATTCGTCTTCAGTTTGAATTTCCTCTCCTTTTTCTCTTCTCTGTTACCTCTAAGCTTTCTCTTCTTTTTTGATCTTCTCTATATCAATCACAATTGCATTGCGATTCACGTTTGCCTTGTTATCGATAAGCATTGTACAGAAGTTAGAATGACCACTCATGAATGCCAGACCCAAGGGAGTGTTGCCATATTTATCAATGTCATCCACGACAGCATTCATTTTAATCATATACCTACCAGATATAACACTACCTCTTAAGGCAGCATAATGGAGTGGAGATCGATTGTAAATATCTAAACAATTTACAGAGCAATTCTTATCTGCTAATATGGAAGAGACAGTCTCGAAAGGGTCGATTTCAGAGAAGTCATTCAATTTATTAATTTTTGTGAAAGCATAAAAAAGAGGAGTCCTGTTTAAATAATCTTTGAGACTGGTATTAGCACCATTCATAATTAATAGATGTTCCATTTCAAAACTAGCATCTGCTTAAGAATTCGAAGTGTTGATGGCATGATGCAACGCAGTCCGATTATGTTTATCTCTAAAATTTGGATCAGCCTTATATTGAGTCAAAAACAATTCAACAACTTTAATATTGTTTTCTTTAACCCACTTCTAAAGAGGGACTTCATTAAGTTTGTTTAGGTTATCAATGGAACCCCCCAATTTTAATAAGGTATCAATAAACCATTTCAAGTCTTCATAGAAACGAAATGCGATTATACTAGTAGGTGTATTCCAATTGAAATCCTTAACCTTGATATCGATATTCTTGATACAATATTTTAAGAATTTTCCACTATTCTCTTATTCCCTACCACATATAGAATGCAAATTGCAAGTGCCAGCCAATAAGTGAATTGGGTATATGTTATTGTGCGTTGCTTCTTTCAATGAAAAATTGCAAATCTTTTATAGCCCTTCCAGAAAAGACACACTATGGAATGACTTAAATATAAAGTGAGCTATGGTGTAATTACCTTCACTTATATAAGGATCCTCTTTCTTATCTTACTCAGATTGGTCTGGCTGTCTAAATTTCTTCCTCTTTATGATGACACTATCAGGTTAAGCCCCAAAATTAATTAATTACTAAAATAATTTTAGAACTGCATCTTATAATAAGAATGAATCTTAGAGAGCTTCCTACTTCATTGTATTCACTTATTCCTTATTCAAATTTACAATAATGGGTTTGTTTTTATAATAAAATGTTACTTGATGATAGGCATCCTAATCAACTCCATTTGAAAATCCAAATTATTATAATTAATTCTGTTATTTCTGAAACATATTTGTTGATGACCTAAGACGTGTTTTGATTCCATTGTATTATTTGATTTATGCTGTATTTGGTATAATTGATGGATTTTTAAATGCAGCCTTCTTACTTCTATAATGAAGTTCTTCTTCTTCATCATCTTCATCCTCCTCTTAACTTCGATGCAAGTCACTAGCTTCGTCATCGACTACTACTTTACTTAAATCTCTATCTTCGTCTTCATCATCATTATTTTTCTGTTCCTCATTGATGTTATCTTTGTCTGGAGGCAACTCTGACACCTTCTACTCAAACAACTATACTTATAACAGCTTAATCTTCTTTTTTAAAATCCTATCATGTTATTGTTCAGCTGACTTTGTATATTCAGAGATCAAATATAATAAGGGATTCCAACCATTCTCATCGTATTAATTGATATATGATTAATCAACTGTTGCTATTATATTTTCTAATATACTATTTCCTTTTGGAGTCAAAAATAATTTACATTCAATCAACTTATGCAAAATGTTTCTGTCTTTCGTATCAACATAATCAAAAGTAGGAGTAGCCAATTTCATCAATTGCTCTGCTGTTTTGAAATTCTAGCTCATTAATGCTTATACAAATGGAGTCTAACCATTTGCATCTGGAATGTTAACATCTGAACCAGCATTGATTAATAATTCGATTAATCTTTCTAATAGATTCTCATAATTATTTTTAATATCTCTCCTTTCAGCTTTCATCATCTCATTCCATTTTAAGTAGTATTACTTAACATTTTTCCTTGAGATCTACACAGCATAATGAAGTGGAGTTTTATCCTATAAATCAGCTATTTTGACATTCGCATTTTTCTCAAGAATCAAATATTTCATATATTCAAAAGAGTCCGCTGTGAATCTACTTAAACTAGAAGAAATTAATGTTCTCCCCTCATCATCCTTGCAATTCACATCTGTGCTTGGATAATTTAACAGAGTTTTAACTACGCCCAAATGATTTTTTTATAACGCAACTGATAATGGAGTCAATTTCCATGAATTAGGCAAATTCTAATCTGCTCCAGCCTTCATCAATTCTTCAATGCATTCAGGAAATCCATAAGCAGCAGCATAATGAAGAGGAGTATTCTTTGATGAATCAGGCATGTTGTATTCAGCTCCATGATAGAGTAGAAGAGATAAAATCTTAACATTACCATTTCTAGCTGCCATAACACAAGCTGATCTCCCAAATTTGTCCTTGCTAATCACTTTAGCTCCTTAGTCAATCAAGTACTTAACTAGGTCATAGTGACCATAGGCACTGGCAATTATTAAAGGAGTCATTCTATATTAACCAGGCTAATTAATCTATGCTCCAAACTACAAAAGTGCTTTGACTGTTTCGACGTGACCTCCAAAACAAGCTAAATGGATTGCTGCATTTCCTTCTCTATTCTTACCACCAACATTATTAGATGCTAAGAGTTCAATATTATGTGTTCTTCCATACTAAGAAGCAAGCATCAGAGGAGTATTCTTTAAACGATCTCCTTCTCTAGCATCAATTCCATTTTCCAATAAAAACTTTAAACAATCACTTGTTTATGAAACAGCTGCATAATGAACAGGTTTTCTGTGAATTTCATCTAAAATATTAAATTCTTATGAAATTTCAACTAATTTTTTTAAGCAAGCATGATTAGGATTGATGGCTGCACAATGAACAGGTGTTATCAAATACATTCCAACTGTTTTTTTAGTTGCAGATACTTTTTTGATATTCCCTATTCGACTGGCACTTGTATGGTTGAGAACATCAACATGTACTTAATTAAATCCATACATGTGGCCTTTCTCTAAAGCTTTTTAAACCAAATAACCAGCAGTTCTCCAATTACCACATCTTACGGCAAATGCAATCATCTCAAAAAATTAATATTCGTTTCCCAATTGTGCTATCATTAAACCAAAAAATTCAGGATCAGTTTCAATTTTCATTAGCCTTTCAATTTAATAACGACCAAAAGTATTATCTTAATTCAAATCATAAACAAAAGCATTATTGCCTTCTCTTCCACCTCTACTCATAGCAACTTTTCTAGTTCTGGTTCCATAAGCATATTAGTCATTGTGACCAGTATTCACTTCTTTCAAAGAGCAATTCTGACTCACTCCTAATTTGATTTTACCCATAGATTTAATGAATGGCAAGAGCATTTCCTTGTCTTATCTTAAGAATATCAGTTCTAAAGCATTGATTTCATTTTCAGGACCCCATCTCTAGAAGAGATTACTAATCCTAAGAGAATTAGCAAATATATCTTCTAATAATTTTTTATTGCCTGTTTTAGCAGCTCGAATTAATTCTTTATTGTTCATAATAATGCTAGTGTAATCGTGGAATTTAGAATTTGGTCCTTCTAATTGGCTACTAATGTTTCTTAGCTCTCTGTAATTAGGATTAAATTTTCCTTTGATAAATTTAGTTGGTTAGGATTAAGATTTTTATTTTTTAGATGAACTAGTTTTACCTCCTTTCTTGCGTTTGCTATCAACAGAGAATGATTATGAAACAGATTATTCTTCTGCTTCTTCATCTTCATCGTCTTCCTCTTATTGGGACTGTGATCTGCCTTTTTACTTCACTTCCTTTTTAATAAAAGAAGTATCCTAAACCTTTTAAATTACTTATGTATTCTTATTTTTTTTTTTTTTGGATACTTCAACAATCTATGATACTTCTTCATCCTCTTCATCTTCATCTTGATCACTTTCATTATGCTTTTATTCTTTTTTAGCATTTTTTTTCTTGATTTTATCATTATTTTGATTTTTAGGACTTTCAATTTTAGTTTTATTTAATTTTTATACAGAATCTTTTTTGGGAGGTTTGACTACTTCTTCTTCTTCTTCCTCTTCTTTTTCCTCTTCTTCTTATTCTTCTTCTTCTTCACTTTCTTCCTTTTATGCTTACTTTCGTATCTTACTTTTCACTTCCTTCTTGTCTTGTTAAATTTCCACTTGTTTCTTTTAACCCTTTTTGATGGTGTATTTTTTTGGTGGCTCTTCTTCCTCTTCTTTTTCTTCATCTTCTCCTTCATCTTCACTCTCTGAACTCACTTATTTTTTTTATGGTTTTGTGTTGGCGGGAAGTTATTTAATATTTTTAGCAATATCTTAGAGTGTGTCCTGGGGGAAAGTAAAAAAGGTAACAGCTGTCTTACTTCTTGCATTTGGTTTTGTGGATTTTACTTCCACATCTTCGACAACTTTACTATAATAAATGAATATTTTTACGTGCGTTCTTTTACGGGCAATAAAAGTTCTTCAGCCTCTTTATAAACTACCTTGCCATCCTTCAACTTCTCTTATTATTCAAGTTTAACAACTCGCAATTAAGACCTATGATCATTGGTTTTCATGTCCTCAACCACCTTGTACAAGAGTGGCTTGCCTTTTTCGCTCTATCCCAATATTTGATCTTTTTTGTAATGGTATGCATAATGTGGTTCTGATTTCTACCCGCGAGTTTTCATTTTATTTATGTAAATTGAATTTAAAATAAATCTGATAAAATAAGCATTATTTCTGCTAAAAGGAATAAATAAATAAATATATCAATTGATCTTTTCTAAGCTAATACATTCTATCTAATTCCTCAATTCCTTCACATCCTCTTACACAATATCGAAATTTGGATGATGGTGATGAGCATACTCAAAATTGATAGGACTGTAGTCCATAAGTATTCTTCTCTGGTGGAAGGGAGAAATATCTTGGGAATGAATGCCTTCGAATTGTTTTGAATCAAAAGAATCCAATCCTTAAATTAAGTTAATTGAAGGCTGAATTCTATTTGAAGGAGTCCGATTCTGGATATTCATAAATGAATCATTCCTCATCGAATCATTCTTAGTATTGTCATGTTCCTCCTTGATTGATTAAATAGTCTCTAAAGGTTGATAAATTGGAATTGGTTGTGGAATTTTAGGTTATTCAGAAAACGAAGAATCCCCATCATCGTCATCATCATCCGATCTCTCTTCCAACATGTGCACTCTCTTAATAAACGAATAAAATCTATTCTTCACTTAATTTTCCTATATTATAACAACTTTATTACTGGTCTTCTATCCAACATCTTTGCAATCTCACTCCATTTTGGTCCATATATCCGATACTATTCTAAAATTATTTTATCTTCCAAAGGCGTGAATTTTTAATGATTGATCTCCGGATCCAAATTATTTAAAAATCGTTCTCTGATCTATTTACTCGATCTGCCTTCCATGAATCCTTCAATAACTTTCCAATTCCGACCATATTATTGAACAAACAGAATCACACGTTTGTCCTCTTCATCACTCCACTACTTGCGTAATTTAGTCTAGACATATATCATCTTTCAAATTCTACCTTATTTGGATTAATGCGTTTCCACCTTTGTTAACATTGACTTAAGTTCCTCCCAGGGATTTCCTCTGCTATTAAACGCCAGTTGCCATTATATTTAGAGTGCAATTCAATCAAAAGAGCATCCTCATTGGGTTTCCAAAATTTTCCATACCTTCTTTCTGAAGAACTTGAATCTGAATCCTTACTATGTTTCCTAATCTACTTATTTACAGTGGGGGACCTATTTAAATGAAGAATTTGAATACTTGGAGTTTACCCTTTGTCTACTCATATTTTTTATTAAAATAAATGACCCTCAACAAAAATGAATTTCGAATTAAATCTTTGTATATAACATTAATCTGAATAATATCACTAAACTTGCGGGGTTAAACATTTCTACATTCATACAAACAATCAATACTTATAATTTCAATGAAATATAGGGTACAATTGAGAACAAGCAATGGAACAAAAGAGAGAACAAACTCAAGCTTGATTTAGTTATGACTCAGGAAGGTAATAATGGAAAAGTTAGTTACAAGTATAATTTTACTTAGATTTATAAATTAGGAATTACATTTTAATAATAATGTGAATAAAGAATTTGATTTAGCTTATAATTTTTTTATATAAATTTAATTATTGAATAGGATGTCTAGAGTATAAAAAGACAGATTGCTCAAATTAGGATTGAAGGAGAAAAAGCTAATTCGTTTATTATATCACAAGGATCTAAGTGAGGAGGATACCATATTCTTAAACACAATATATGAAGAAAAGTAAGAGCAATTCTAAATATATTGAGACAATATTTGCACTTTACGTATGCGCTTGCACTGCCCTGCATGATATCATTAAGCACCAATTACGCATTGTTTAGATAGAACTCCAAATGGATGTAGGTGGGTTATGTGGCAGTAATTGGATTATCGATGCATTTGTACTGCAATTCGAAAGTCAACAATCGATTTTATAATTTAACCCAGCCTTTTTTCAAGAAATATGAAATAAATTGAGTTAGCTTATAATCTTGTAGTTTATAATAAATAATATTAATGACTAAAAATACAAAAATATTGATCATCAAATTTTGATTGCTTATTCTTTTTTTCTTTATGTGACTCCATTTGAAAAGAAATTGAGTAAATTTTTACATGAACATTAAACAAATCTATCTCTTTTAGGAGAGAGCAATTCATCTTCAATTTAGGAATTCTTGTTTGAATTGGTCATAACTGATTTAATAGTGGATGCTTGATTTTGTGCTGCAAATCGCTCGAATGTAGTTTGACCTAGAAAAATGTTTTAGAGTTAAGTCACAAGGAGGACGGAAATTCCAGTTACAAAGATAAGTTCAATGAAGATATTCAAAATTAAGATTGTCCAAAATATGAAGGGTTCATCAAAGAACTCTAATTCACTCTGGTTTCCAATGAAACACTGTCGGATTGTATTGATTAGAGCATATATGAGTGAAGTATCCAAAGAAACTAAAAAAGTAATAAAAATCAAATGATTTTCTGCGCCAACCTAGTATATATTGGATGTTTTACGCAATTATTGATCCAAGGACAATGATGGTCGTAAACTAAAACACATCGTTGACAAATGTCGCAATGCTTACTTCTTGGCAACTTCACTACATTGCACATAGGACACACATCTTAATGATCATATGTTGTTATCAAGGTGTATAGTGGTTCCTTTCTTCGGATTTAATAGCCAGGATTAGAACAAACGATGAAAATAAAGAATAGCAAAGTAAGTCCAAATAGCACGTAATCGGAGATTAAGGGTATGAAATCATCGACCACATACAAAAAATAAGAGAGCAAAAGAAAAATCATGAATCCTCCGAATCTCATTAATTCTATCCCATTTTTTCTTACTCTCTTGATTCCTTGCTTCAAATTGAAGTATGTGATCAGAAACCCACGCTCCTTAGTCAGCATATTGTATATATTCTTGAAGTCATTCTCCTATGCTAAATCAGCTGGTGTTTTATCTTAATTCCCTTTAATTTTTTTATCAGCTCCGTAAATTAGCAACTTTTTAACTAGTTTGGTATTTCCACTTTAAACGGCCAAATGCAAAGGCGTAAGCTAATGAGAATCAAGAGAGTTTAATGGATAATATGGTTTTTTTTTTTCTATCAATGGCAACAAATAATTCACAGAGTGCTCTTAACCATAAAAGCATGCCCAATGCAATGCAGAACCTCCATTGAGATCTAAATCAGTCAATTTAATCCCATTTACAAGTGCAAATACAATACTATTAGGCTGGTCACCTTATGCAGCTATGTGCATAATATTCAAACCTTATTTATTTGTAGCTTTTAGGTTGGCTCCTTTTAATTTCAAAAGAGTCAAAATTTGCACATTCCCTCGGAATGCTGCGAAATGCACAGCTGTAAATCCATCATTAGTTGTAGAATTGATAAAATTCTCCATATTCTGTAGACTTCTCTCTCTCCTGTCCTAATGGTTGATTATCAATTCACACATTTGATAACTGTTATTGAAACAAGCGTAATGAAGAGAAGTGAACCTTTTAGAATTCTGGAGAGCAGATAAATCAAATAGTCCAGATCTTAACAAATTGGAAAATTGTTCAAGATCATTGGATTGAGCAAAACACAGCAAACGCATCTCTGGAGAAGAATGATCTATGGGTTAAATATTTGACCCAATAATTGGATTCGATGGAATTAGATTATTCTCCTCTGTATATATTGTCGAATTTGATGGACTTAATTGCATTATTTATTAATATACTAAATATATGTCACTTCTTCTTGCCCTTTTTTCCTCCAGCAGCTCCCTTATCGGCAGCACCACCAGCAGGAGCAGCAGCCGCAGCAGCTGCAGCCTTGGCAGCTTGTTATTTTTTGATTGCTTCTAAGTTGGCTTTAATCTTAAAAATCAAATTAAAAAATTACTGTTGCCTCATCCATTCTAAAGGTTTGGTGACAAGTTCCACAGTAATGTCTGTCGAAGTGTTTAGCCATGTACACACCTTATGGACATTAAGGACATTATTTGTGTGATCTCTAAACTACTCCTTTGTTGTCGACATTGTACAATTTAAGAGTAGCCAACTTAACCTTTCGGTGTCTATGCTTCTTCTTCTTGGGCTTAGCGAAATTCTTCTTCTTCTTCTTCTTTTTCTTTCCTCCTTCTGCATCAACTGTGACATAATAGATTCTGTCTCCAGCTAAAATCGATGATGCATTCACTAATTCACCACTTTAAACCAATTGAACTTCACATGCTAATTCGGAGTTCAAAACATTCATTAATTCACTAGCAGTGCTTTAATCTGCCAAGTTATATGTTCTCACCTCTCCATTAAGGTGACCCACCTAGATGATCATAATACTTTTAAAAAAAAAGATTTAATTTATATCTCAAATTTTCATAACTATGCTATATATTTTAATTCAACTCATCTCTCACATTCCTACTCTAATTTAAAATTCCTCCATAACTCCCCAATCCTCTTGATCCTATTAATTGCATCTCAATAACCCTATAAATTCAATATCCAATCTTATTATTAATTAATCCATCTTCATCCTATTTTTATCACTTTAACCTTGTCAATACATTATTGAAGTGTTTCATTTTATTGATCCTAAGCATAAACATATGTAGAAATACAACTAACTTTTAAAATTTATAAATATTATAAAATGTATTTTAGGGACCAAATTTTATTGAAAAAATGAACATTCTAGTTTTCTAATTATAAATGCTTATTCAAATGTTTAATGCTCAATTTCAAAAAAAATAATGAGATTTCTTAGTAGACAAGATATATCATGATGTATGAGTAGATTAGATACTAAGTGAACAGAAATCCATTTAAATTTGATTGAAAAATGATAAAATTAGGCATTTGCTTAAGAATAATTAAATTAGAATCAACGACTACTTATTTAATTAGCTTTGCTATTAACTATCAATTAAATTATTAATCAAAATTTTCCTAGAATTTCTAAGAATAATAAGATTTAATCGGCTTGCATACTTTAAAATCATCTTCCCCAGCAATTCATGATTTTCCTTTAGATTGAGTGTCTAATATTTTGTAAATGCCAATTTCTAAGGTTCAACAAGGATTTCAACTTTAAACAAGCAAATAGTAATGGTTTTATTACAGAATTGTGGATTTTTAAATAAGGTATTTTTAGGAACAAAAAGGAACAAATTGATAAATCTAAATATATTAATTCATTCTGCTTTGCTTTTGAAGCGGGGCTATTTACCACCTCATATTCCAAATGCATCATCGGATAGGTTTATGTTTTCACAATAGGGGTCATTTAAAGTGAATTTGAACTCATTAAAGAGAAGAGGCGAATACTGATCTTCGTTTATATTGTCATCCGAATATTATTGGATTTGAATTATTGGTTCTATTTGTTATTAAGTCTATATTAGGCTCCTTTAGGGATTTCTATCTTTTTCAATTACTGAGGGTTTCGATTTGGGAGTCTTCTTAACTAGTTTTTTTTGGATGGGAATCAGTTTCTTCTTTTGGGATGATTTTGAGGCATCCTGTTGTTGGCGATAATTCTTTAACAATACAAAGGGTTCTGACAGCATAATTATTATTTTAATAACTGTATATAAAAAAAATGAAGCAAGATAAAGAAATGCCATTTAATGGGGATTTCGAAGATAGTGAAGCAGATGAGGATGACGTTTCTTAGGAGTCTGAAAGCGAAGAAGAACAGATATAAGTAAAAAAGAAGAAGAAGAAAGTCGTAAATTCTAGCAAGAAGTTAATAATGAATGTTTCAGGTATTCACGACATAATTAAATAGACACTTAGTATCCTGTAGTTAAATTTGTTGGAAAAATGATTTATAAGTTCAAATTGTCTTATGTTCCTTATCTTGAGAACAACAATTGGGACTTTTGTTGGACTGACAATGCTGTCCTGCCTGAAACACTCTCCAAAATGCAGCGTACTATTCTAATTTCTATGATAAGCTCATTAACGAATCAATCATTTTCCAGGTATGTATTCTCTGGCGAGGAAAAATCACTTGGGTCGTAATCTCAATAAAATGCAAAAATAATATCCAGATGAATATGACTTTTATCCAAGAACTTGGATGTTGCCAAGCGAATATGGTGATTTCAAAGCTTAGTTCCAAAAGGGCAAAGCGAAAACCTTCATTGTAAAGCCTGAAGCCTCTTGCTAAGGAAAAGGTATCCAATTGATTAAATACTAAAGGGATATTTTTGACTCGCTCTATAGATTAGATTAACCCCCAAGAACATTATGTTGCGTAAAGATATATACATAAGCCATTACTGATTGATGGATTAAAGTTTGACCTAAGAATGTACGTCATGATTTGTGGGTGTGATCCCCTAAGAATCTACCTCTATAAAGAAGGGTTGGCTCGCTTTGCCACCCAATAATACTCCTCACCTCATTCAACTAATCTTGATGATGTATGTATGCATCTGACGAATTATGCAATAAATAAAGACAACCCAAATTTTGTATTTAATGAAGACGAAAAGAAAATGGATGTTGGACATAAAAGAAGTATGACTAGTGTTTTTGAGTTGCTAAGAATTCAAGTAAAAATAATAGCAAGTTATATAGAAATAAAATGTAGATTAATTGTTGAGTGACATCAAGGATTTAATTATTAAAACCTTTTGTGCTGTTCAACCAATTTTATAATAAAATTATACTCAAGTAGAAAATTATGCAAACAATATGTGCTTTGAAATTCTTGGTTTTGACATATTAATAGATAGCTCACTTAAACCATATTTATTGGAAGTCAATCACACACCTAGCTTTACAACTGATACTCCTCTAGATTCTTACATTAAAAAGAATCTCATACGAGATGCCATTACTTTGATGAGTATCAATGTGAAAACAAAGAATGAAATCATATCATAAAAGAAGGATCAAATGCAAAAACGAGTTCTTACTGGGAAAAAGACTAAATTATCATTTGAAGAAAAACGTGTCTTGAAGATGCAAGCGTAGAAAGAAAGAGACGAGTATGAATGCAAGAATAAAGGAGATTTTGAATTGATATATCCATGTGATAAATCCTATGAAGAATTCTTACTCCATGCTTAGAAATTGTATGAAGACTGGACAGGAGCAAGTACAAAACATTTTTATTCACTTATTAGATATAAGAAGGAATTTGAAAAGAGACACTATTTCTGAATAGCCTAAACCTTAATCTTGTTCGCAGAAACCAATACTTACATAAAAAAGCTAATTGTATAAGCATGTCTAAAGCAAAGTCAATACTAATTTATACCCTACTAAAAACACAAAGGCTGATTAGGAAGTCACTTAAGAAGAGCCAGAGCAAACATTTTAGCATGCACACGAACCTATTTAATCATAGCCTCAGCTCGAGCCTGACAATTTTGTAACCTATGAGGATTATCATCAATCAGAGTCTCTAAAAGATTTGTACAACTTTGCGGAAAAGAGAATCCCAGAAATTTAGCTTATCGATTTGATTCAATTTAGAAGAGCAGAGAGCAAATAGGATAATTCAAGTTTCTAGATATTTCAAATGAGTCAATAGAACTCCTTATCTAACTTGTCTCCATTAATGTAGATCAAATCCATTCAAGATTCAAAGAATGAGAAGAAGTTCTCTATAAGAAAAAAAAATAAACAGCCTAAATAGATTGATTAAGAACAAGTAAACCAAATGATGTTAATTCTAGTTGTACTTTCAACCACAACCCCATTACCAGCCTCCTATCCAATAGCATTCAATTTCTTATTAATAGTAGGTGTAGATGCAAAATGGCTCATTTGTCAAGCCAAAGGTTTTTAGTATAAAATTGCAGCATCCTCCAAAGGGATATAAATTGTAATCACTTCCCATTTTAATGTAATAAAATTATACAAAATAACGGTATGAGTAAGGAGTATGAATTTCGTTTTTTCTTAAATAAATGTTATCATATATTTTATCATTTCTTTTGAATTCTTTCAGTTAAGACATTAGAACTCTAACTTTTAATTTCATTATTTAAACCATATTTATAACAAAATTAATGATAGACCTACACAGATTAAATTTAAACTACTATTTCTTAATATTTGTAAGATCGATATTAATCGATTTCAAATATTTTGTTATATATCAAAACACAAATCATTGATTTTTTCACTCTATTCACATGTTTTTATAATGATAATAAGCAAATCTGAAAGAGTGATTAACCGTTATAAGAGTTATCGAGTTCTGTTACGGCTTTGAGGTAATTGAAAATAAGACTTAGACATTTAAATTTAAAAAACGTACTTTTCGCATACAAGTATGATGTTAAACAAAGATTTATTAATATAATATGATCGAATAATTTCAAGTTTAAGGAGCGAAGGACAAGTATATTGTCTATAACAAAGTCTTGGGAAAGGGAGCATACGGGGTTGTTTTATTGGCAAAGGCTGCTAACTTAGGAAGTTATCACGCTGCTAAAATTGTAAATGTTTTTAATAACTTCTTAAGATTAGTAAAAAATCTCTATCCTAGACAGACATTTTCAACTTAAGAAATGAAATTAATATATAATCCAAGTTGGCTCATCCAAATGTTGTTGCAATGGTTGATGCCTTCGAAGACAATGAATATTTATATATGTTGCTCGAGTATTGCAATGGAGGTTGTCTGTTTACAAACATACAGTTAAGTGGGCCTCTAAGAGAGGAGAAGGCATAGCAATATTTTGTGCAAATTTTGAAGGCTGTTCAATATTTACATTCTAAGAATATTTTACACAGAGACATAAAGGTAAAAAATGTAGAATATTGAAATAGCTGTCAAATTTGCTTTTAACATCTCAAGATCAAGTTAAATTAGCAGATTTCACTTGGAGCACATCTCTTTAAGGGGGATGCGTTGGTCCTCAAATTTGCGGAACACTTGAGTATATGCCTCCTGAAGTTCTCGGAAATAAGGTCTAAAATGAAAAATTAGACATATGGAGTTTGGGAATTGTTTTATATGTATGCATTGATAGTTAATATTATAGGAAATGCTTCACAATGACTTTCCGAAGCTTGGCTAATTGTTTTTCAAATTTGGAATTAGTGAAGAATGCAAATCATTGATCAAATAAATGTTGGAAAAAGAACCGTATCGAAGGCCAACAACGAGTGAAATACAAATGAGTCCTTGGATAAAGAGATATCATAGATATAAAGAACTTTCTATTAATATCATCAAGAGTTCAAACAATTTGCAGGATCAAAAAGGACTCAACTCTATGTCTTTTGTAGCAGGGTCCCCCTTGGGCTCTCCATTAAGATCAGGATTAGGAACTCCTCAAATAAATACATTAGGATCTCCTTAAAAAAATAAATTAGGCGCTACCTTGGGATATTCCTTTAACAATGGCTTTGAATCTCCACTTGGTTCTCCTATGCAATCCCCAATGAATTCACCTCTTACAAATGTGGGCAAACGTGTTGCTACAGAGCCAACTAGAATCAGTGCTTAGAAATTGGTATGAAAATTACATTTCAACTTCTTTAAATAAATCTTAATTGCTAATATAATATATTGTTATTTTCTTAAAAAATTAATTATTACATGAGAATGCGAGGAAATAATTTCATTATTCTTTCCTAACTTTGTTTTAATTATGGGTTAATAACTGTAGGTAATTTTCTGAGAGTTTGAATATACCTCTGATTTATTTTGAAAAATGAGATTAAATAATAGTCTATTTAAATTTAAGAAATAACTCATTAAAATGCTTTGAACATATATATTGATAGTCAAATCAATTCATTATCCAAAAAGAATTGAATACACATATAACAATGATTTATTTTATTCAATAATGAAGGGCCATTCTATTTTTCTTTATTTTACTTCTACTGTTGTCAGTTAAATAATTATGAATTTGAAGGGAATATGCTTTTAGTTAATTCTCCTCAATAATTCTAAGGGTTATAATAGAATAATAGTAAATTATCTTTAACAATACCAATATATATATTAAAATTTGTTGAGAATAATTTAAAATTTTATTAATAAATAAGTATGATGTATATAGATTTCGTTCTTTAAAAATCCGATGAAAATTAATTGATTTAGCAATATTTAAATTTTTAATTAATTAGGAAATAATATATAATGTAATCTGGAAACAATATTTTTGTTTTCACTCAACAAGACTTCTAAAAATGTTTTGTTGTGAATTTGAACCCACCTTTGGGTCAAGGACATGATGCGAGAGTTTATTTGGCTATGCATAAGAAAACGGGAGAAATGTTTGCTTTAAAAGTGTTAACAAATTTGTCGTAGGATCACATAAAAAATCTCCAGGTTTAATTACAATTTATTTAGCGAACGAAATACAAATTCTTAAATGCATAGATCATGCAGGGACAGTTTTGTTGAAAGGGTACGCTTAAGATTACACCTGCGTTCTATTGGAGTACATGCCAAATGACACATTCTTAAAAGTCTTGAAGAAAGGTCCATTCCAATTGTCGTTTGCTAAGACTTTGGCAGCCTATCTGACAAGAGTACTAGTCACCCTCCACACAGCTTTGATAGCCCATTGCGACATAAAGCCAGAGAATATTTTAATAGCCGCAGATTACAATTTGAAACTTTGTGATTTTGGCTTTGCTCGCGTCTGTAACGAACCCTTAAGACCTCCTGGAGGCACTCCTGGATACACAGCACCTGAGATGTACGTTACTCCATAGGTAAACCTATTTAAGTGTGACGTTTTTGCATTGGGTGTAGTGTTATTTATTGTAGTCATGGGATTCCCCCCCTTTCAAAATAATGACCCTAATGTGAAAGATGGATGGTGGGGTTTAATCCAGAATAAGCAATTCGATATTTTCTGGAGCAAATGCGAGTCATTTAGACAATAGCAATTTCCATAAGAATTCAAGAACTTGATAATGTCTATGTTGGAATGCGATCCAGAAAAACGGATATCTTTGCAGTAAGTGTTGGAACATGAATTTTTATAGAATGGAGCCTCAGAGGAGGAGGTGTTACAGGAAATTGAGAAACGAGTTAAGGAATGAATTGAAAAATTTAGAAATAATATTCAAAAATATACATTAATTTAATATTAAATTATGAGTTCATCACAAAACTCTTATGAAAGTGCATCATCAGCATTGTCCAACACTGAAGACTTAGTCAGCAAGTTGAGTTAGGGAGTGGTAGAGGTCTTGGTTAAGGGAACAATTTGTGGAATGGTCCATTTGTTAGTATTTACAGTACTAAAACAAAAAATTCATTACCAATAAAGTGAGGTGAAAAAGAATATCATTATTATTAAAATAACATTATAATTATTTTATTATCATCCAGATGTAGAGGCTCTTGAAACCTATTCAGATATAACAGCCTGTCTTGTAGAGAGTGGAAAATGCAAGGTCAGATTGTTCGGCTGATGAAGACCTTAGTTTTATAGAAATTTTAAGAGCTGAAGCTCAAAATCCAATGATAAAAAACTTCTCAAAGGAGGATTCCATCATAGATGACACAAAGGATTTGGAAGAATTCCTTAATTCTCTTGATTGAAATCAATGATGAAAGAGGAAACCCACTTCATAGTGAAAACCTCTTTTTCGACTGATTATAATACATAAACTTTTAATCAAAAATACCTTCAAAATTCATTATTCGCATGAAGCCATCAACCATTTTACTTCATATTCTGGTTTTTCATAATCAGAATTTCCAAATTTTCACCAAAACAAAGTTATTCCCATTATTTTTGAACTATAATAATTTTCCACAAAATTCTCATGTTTTCAAAAATTCCACTAAATCACTCTCAGTTTTTCCTTTGAAATATCACCCTCGACAACTATGAATATCATAGTTTCTTTATGTATTAGGCAAGCTTCAAGTGTTTATCATAATAAGTGGATACGTTTTTGTAATTTGAGTCGATATGATGAACGATATTGAAGAAGATTAATTAATGACATCTATGAGAGTTCTTGAATTGTCTATTGATTAAATTAAAATTGTAAATGGTTAAAAAAACAGAGATAAATTATGTCAAACAACTCGTATTTAGATTGATATTTTTGCAGTGAATTTTCAATATAATTCTAATTAATTCATGTTAATAATTGTCAGAATAAATTGATAGATTATTTGAGAGTGGCTCTTCTTATTTGAGTGATTGTTTTCAATCAGAGAACAAGGAAGGCAGTGTTCGTTGAAGTTGAGATAATATATATAAATATAAAATTAATTATTAATGAATAAGGATAAAATATAAGAAGGTAAAAGGAGATCCAAATCGTTCTAGGTCACGAGACAAGGAAAAGAATGAGGTGCTGAGATTCCCTCCAATAAATTAAGAGTAATTCAGAGCGGTTGTTATTGAATTTATGCTGAGTGATTAATTTGATTACCCTATTTCAGGGGGGGAATTATACACTTACATAAACACAATATTTTTAGTATTGCATTAATTCATTCATTTTAAGACTAAAACAAGTACTCCTTATTTGAGAAATCTCTAAATTGAACCAATCTTAATTTAATTGTCCGAAGCCGGTGCAATCAATCTATCAAAACTAGCTGTAGGTACATATTTGCAGGATTTCATTCTATCAATCTCAAAGGAGAAATTGGGATAAATGAATATATAATATTCCTAAGGAATAAACCAAAACAAATGCCAACAGGTGGAAGAATGGATTAAAGAGGAAATTAGATCAATTACAAGTGGATAAACATTTCTAAAAATTGATCACCTGTTGGATGAAGCTAGAAATTAAAAAACTAATGTTAGTTTATTACCCAAGATGTGCTGCTCAGAAAAAGAGATTGATTGAGAATGTAGGAAATATCAGTTTAAAATATGAAGATAATGTTGTTTAATTGGCATTGGAAAGGAAAAGAGCAGCTTTGTTGAAAACTGAAAATTATGATGAGGAGGAAGCAAAAAGAAAGTTTACAGAAAGAGGACTTTAAATATGCGAAAATTTTACAAGAGATAAATGTCGAAATGTTTAATGTCAGAAAACTCATTTTAGAAAGATACTCAAAGCAAATACATAGACAAAATTAGGTAATTGTACATATTTGGATTAATGTCCTGAGTAAGAATAATGTAAATACATACATTACATTCTCGATGGAAATGATGTGGATTGGCAAAAAAGAATTTAGACAGCACTATCTAATCATAAGAGCATGCCACCTTAATGGATAAATTGTGATTTAAGAATTTTCGATTTTAGAGTCTTAGGAAAATTTGATGTTATCATGGCTGATCCTCCTTGGGATATCCATATGAATTTACCTTATGGAACTTTAAAAGACAAGGAAATGAAAGCACTTAGAGTAGATTTATTGCAGAATGATGGAATCATTTTCTTATGGGTCACAGGTAGAGCTATGGAGTTGGGAAGAGAGTGCTTAATTCTTTGGGGTTACAGAAGAGTTGAAGAATTGGTTTGGATTAAAGTAAATCAATTGCATCGTATTATCAGAACAGGAAGAACTGGCCATTGGCTCAATCATAGCAAAGTAAATTATTGTCTCATCTCATAGGAACACTGTTTGATTGGAATCAAAGGAAATCCTCAATTAATTAAAGGATTAGATTGTGATGTCATTGTCTCAGAAGTTAGAGAAACCTCCCGAAAGCCCGATGAAGTTTATGGTATTATAAACAGAATGTGTCCAAATGGAAAAAAAGTAGAATTGTTTGGAAGACCTCATAATTGTAGACCTAATTGGATCACTCTAGGCAATCAACTTCCAGGAGTCTATCTCAAAGATGATGGAATAAGACAAAGGTATTAATTTGCTTATTATATAGATTTATGGAAGCTTATCCAAGTGTAGATATTTCAGAAAACAACATGAATGATAATTTGGTTTAGATGTCGAATCAAGAAAACTTAAATGTTATTTATAACAATCATATCGGAAAAAAAGAATGAATTATAAAATAATAAAATTAACAGACTTTTCGTTATTTAATTGCAAGCTTATCATAAACAAATATAATCATCAAATAAATACCAAGTTCATCAGATCTCTATGACTTCATATTACTTCAATCTTTCTTCATAAACTTCAAATACTTCCTTTTAAATAAATAATTCGTAATTCAACATATTCAAGAATTCCTTCTCCAATTAGTTTATCTCCTTTAAAGACAGTCCTCCAACCTTCGCATAATATTCATTCTTGTAATACTCATCATCATAATACTTTATTGCCACCATTATGGAGACTATCATAAATCTAAACATTTTAAAAATTCATACCTATGTATACAATTTGAATTAAGCACTACATTCTAGTGCATCTCCTAAATCTTATCCAGATATATTAATGCAAAGACAAAGCAAACACTATTGCAATGTGCATATTTTGCAATTCTCTGAATGTAATTCTCTATTGATATAGATGGGGTTCGTTAGGTATGGAATGGAGAAGCCTACTACAGACTCAATGGATCTGTTTCCTGTAAAATTTCTTCTAAAATTTTTGCTATTGTGAGAAGCAACTAATTAATTGGTTGCATTTACAAATTAGATATTTATCGAATGATTATGAATATAATTAAATATCTATATATTATCCTCATTCGTAATTAATATAACTCATTAGCATCTCATAGACAGAAGGCTGATTGTTGATATTTGAATTCTCTTATTGAGGAGCCATTTAGAATTAAGGAGCAAACATTGAGCTCTTGAGCTGTTAATTAAAAGGTTGTGATTATGAATATTCTTATTAGAGAGATTGATTTTAATAATTAAATTATTATGATTAGTTTTATAAATTTTTTTATTATTCTAACATTAACTATTCTTACCTTAGTTACTCTTGCTTAATTTATTCTTATTTAAGTTACTCTTATTTAATTGACTCTTATCTTAATTATTCTTATCTTAATTATTCCTATCTTAATTACTCTTATCTCAATTATTCCTATCTTTATTATTCTTATTTCAATTTTTCTTATCTTAATTATTCCTACCTTAATTACTCTTATCTCAATTATTCTTATCTTAATTACTATTATTTCAATTATTCCTATCTCAATTATTCTTATTTCAATTTTTCTTATCTCAATTATTCTTCTTATTTTTTAATATAATCTTATGTAATTTTATCTTGAACAGCAAAATCTTATTTGTTATGTTGTTATTCTGAGCCTTTAGATTGATCTACGTTTGATAATTAATTGATAGTTTCTATATATTATGCACATCCATTCTAAGTTTATTCTGATTATTTTTGTTGAATTATATTCTACGTTTAAGTAACTATTGATTTAGGCACATAAGGACAATCATCATCTTAGTGTTTTGGTACATAGATGTATTTTGGATAGAATGAGTTTTGCTAAGGTATTTTAGGTTTTTAATTTAGTTATTGTTTTCTGCGTCCATCATATTTAATGTTGTTTTGATCGGAATCAAATTATTCATATTTTCGATTTTGATAGTTGTATTTTCGTGGAGAAACTTCTCTTCTTCGATCTCCAGAAATATTTCTTCTTTAAGTTCTTTAATTTTCTTTTTCAGAAGACTATCTTTATGGGTAATATTCTGAGTCATGTTTATTAGTCACAGATTATGATCTCTTAGGTTTTTGATTATTTTCACTTGACTTGGTAATGTTATGAATGAGTGCTCTTCTTTTGCTTGTTATTTCAATCCAATCATCGTCTCCGTTGTCTTATTAATTTTGATTTTAGATTTAAATGCTAATGAATTCATTTGCAATCTCTCTATTGAAATCGAACTGCTTATAAATTTTGTACAGAGCAAATTTCTTTTTAATTGTAAATTGAATTTACTTAGAAACTAGGATATTATTGAGAGATTAATTTAATGTCTTGTTTGATTTCCTAACTCAATTTATTTTTGTTCTCCTAATATTCTGCCTCATATTTCTCTTTAATTGCTTTAGTGCCTGCCTTCAGCTATTCTTCTTACTGTAATTTTTTCTTTTCAGCCTCCCTCTGTAATCTCTCTGCAATATTCATCTTCTATTATGAGAAATAATTTAAATAATTTTTAACTAATACACAATAATATTGTCAAATAATCAATCATAATAATCGAGTCCATCATCTATTTATCATGATTCGATCATATCATAAATGGACATAGATGTAATAATCAAATTTTTGGTCTAGATAACAAATCATAAAATATGGATTATCAACTACATATATATAATTATGATAAATATTTATGATATTAATATGATAATATTTTTCTGACATAAAAATCATAAATGTTGAGATAATCACTTAGCAAAATATGTAGAAAAACCAAGCTTCAAAGATTGGGCTGTTGCTTCAGCAATTATGCTTAGAAGAATCCTGCAATGAAATTTGATGATGAGTTCAGAACAACCATAAATCAGGAAGGCAAATTACTACCAAATTCAGATCATTCCTTTATAGCTGATCACGATGACAAATTTGGGTTGTAACACATCAGAGATCCTGCGAAGATATTGACACACTTGAAATCAGTCGAGTTCAAATATTCATTAAATGATTTGATCTACTTTTTGCGTCATCTGGTTCACATTTCAGAAGAACATGGTTTACGATCGTAGATCATGAACAATTACAATTTTAGGGAGTTTTTGAATCACATTAAGAAATGCTTATTGACAAATCAGCATGACAAATTCCCCTTGATTGGATCCTACGCTTATTGCTTGAACAAATTGGATATCAACGACAGGGAGATGTGGAGATTACTGGAATACAAAATATTAGAAGATCAATATCATACAACGTTCGATGAGAGTGTCTTTGCAGCTCAAGGGTTCTGCAAATTGCCTTTGATGTACTATGGGCAAAGTGAAGAGACCATATAAGCCAGGATTGATAAGGTTTACAAAAAGTTAGAAAGAGTCATTCGGATAACCATTTGGGAAGTCAACCCTGTGCATTATCATTCGATAGCAATGGCATTGGCCAAAGTCAATAGATTTGATCCCCAAATGTTTGCTAAATTGGAACAACACATCTTGACCAATCTATCCTTGAACTACACCACCAAGATGATGATTGACATCCTATTCTGTTTTGCAAAGGGGAAGCAAGGGTCCTTGGAATTTTATGATTCGATGCAATATGTGATCTTCAAAGGTCACATGTTTAATCGAAACTATTTCTTGTAATCGCTTTCAGAATTAAGTTACGATGGACATCTAGTAGCAAGATTATTAGGAATCTACAAAGAAGCATAGGATAAGTATCATGAATTCCAATTGCATCCTGACTTTTAAAGCAAGGTTCATAATCTCATGGTCAATAAGTTAACTTTTTATGATTTAGAATCTCTGGTCACGACAATGACTCTATTGCCCACTTTCCTTAAAGACGATGTTAAAAATATTCAAAATAGTCTCATCAATCGAATTACCTAGATTCCAGGTTAATTCTAAATCCAAGACATAATCAAGTTTTATGAGTTCGTTGAGAAGAACTATGATGATATCAAGAATGCGCCGATTTAATAAATGCATTTCGTTGAGGATAACCTTTACAAATACAGTGATTCTGTGAGCATGGATGATTTGATTATCGTATTGCAATATTTGGTATTGATTTATATTGATCATAGTATGAGAGACCTAAGTTCATATTGTAGCCAGATAAGTTTATTAATCAAGTCATCAAAACCTTTGATTAGAACATCAATCTAATGACTGCAGCCTAGATAGACATGTTGACATCTCTCTTTTAGCCTTTTTTGGAGTTTCAATAAAAGCAGATTGGGGATTCTTTGAATATAAAGAGCACATTAAAAAAGTTAAAGGATATTCAACTAATTAAGTAATATTATTAGAAGTAAATAGAATGAAATATTTATTGTATGTAGATATTTGCATTAATTATATAATTATGGTTATAAAATTGCTCAAATATAATTTTATCAATGCCATTTAACAATAATAAAAATGAAAAAGAAATTCATCATCATTTCTTTAGAGGGCAACATAGGAGCAGGTAAATCAACATTGTTCGAGATCTTAAAAGAGGAATACCCATAAGCTATATTCCTTATGGAACCTTTGGAGCAATGGCAAAAAATTAATGGGAATTCCAATCTCAACATATTAGAGAAGTACTACTCGGATGCGAGACAGGTGGGGGTTTACTTTTTAAATTTACGCTTACTAATCTAGATTAATGGCTTGGGATAGATAATTGCAATAGGTGTTACAAAATGATCAATAGCCAGTGTTAGTGTTTACAGAGAGAAGCATTGAAAGTGCCAGAGAACTCTTCTTTTAACTATGCTGCAATGATGGAAAGATCAGTCAAATAGAATTTGAGATTTATGAGGAATTTTATTAATGGCTGATGAACCATTATCAATAGTATTTGATAGATTGTGTGATATATGTCAATACTCCACCAGAAGTGTGTTTGGAAAGGTTGATAAAGAGAGGAAGATCAGAAGAAGCCTGTGTGCCACTTGATTATTTAAGGAAATTGCACTAAAGACACGAAGATTGGTTGTCTGAAAAATCTAATAGGTTCTTAACTATAAAGATCGATGCAACTTTGAATTATGTATAGGATTAGAAGGTGAAAGAGAGTGTGCGACAACTGTTATTATCGGAGATATAAAAATTAAAGGAGTTGCTGAATTGAATTGGAATGTACTTGTGATTTTATTATTATAAAATTTCCCATTAATCTAATCGTTTATACTTAAATAATTTTTAATTTATGAATAGATTATCCTAGTTGAGTGGACAATTTGATGAGGAATAGAAATTGCTCCAGCAAATAACTGAATTGGAAAAGTAATGATCCAAAATTATCTAATCATTTAGTTGGTTCAAGAGTCCACGTTTCAATAATGTTTTGCGTCCATACACAGCCAAATAAGTTGCTGAAGTAAGAGGATCGATTGTACCTAATCAATTCTCTGATTTCATGGCAAGAAAATTCTACACTCTCATGATGGATTTAAAATAAAGCAAAGGGTATTTCCTATTTATCATTATAGCTTCTCTCTTGCATGTGGAGCCTTAGATACTGTGTAAGTTATCAATATGTCCAAATACATGACATCTATTTATGTATCAGGTTGGCAGTGCTCATCTTCAGCTTCAACTACTAATGATCCAGGTCCTGATTTTGCTGATTACCCATACGACACAGTGCCTAAGAAATGTGATCAGCTAGTCAAAGTAATCATAAATTTGATGGTAGATGCAAAGATTTCAAGACAGAAGATAGTAGTATGAAAGAAGTCTAATTACAGCTGAATAACGAAAATAAAAAAAACCTTATGATTATCTAGTTCCAGTTATTTGTGATGCAGATGCTGGATTTGGTGGTACAAGCAGTGTTATGAAATTGACAAAATTATTTATTGAATCTGGAGCTGCAGGAATTCATTTGGAAGATCAGAGACCTGATTTAAAGAAATGCGGTCACATGGCTGGAAGAGTTGTTACATCTACTAATACTCATGTCTAAAAACTCATAGCTTCTCGACTTCAAGCTGACATTATGGGAAATGAGTTATTCATTATTGCCAGAACTGATGCATTAGGAGCAAGGTTCATAGAGACCAATGTGGATTTGATTGATTAACCATACATTCTAGGAGTTACCAAGTTTCATGATAAACCATGCACTTATCCAGAGGCAGGAGTTTTTATCATTGAACAAATGATTGACAAAGAAAAGAGAATACAAGCCACTAATTAATGGTTGAAATAATGTGAATCAGGTGGAATCAAAAGAGCCAAAGACTTAGCAAAGAGATTGGGATTTGAACTCGATTTCGATTGGGAACAATGTAGAAATCCTGATGGATTCTATGCTCTTAAGAGTAGTGTGCATTATTGTGCAATAAGAGCCAAAGTATTCATGCAATCTAAATATAGGAATACTTGAAATATGCAGATGCTTTATGGATGGAGACTTCAACTCCTGATCTGAAGGTTGCTAAGGAATTATCTGATGAATTACAATTCGAACTTCAGAATAACAAAGTCCTTTGTTACAATTGTTCTCCAAGTTTTAATTGGAGCAAATTTGGATTCTCAGACAGCGAACTCAAAAACTTTAATTCAGAACTAGGGAAGTTAGGATACACTTGGCAGGTTCTCATTTATTAATATGCATATAGTTTATTACGTTAGCGGGATTTCATTTGAATGCACTACAAAGTGAAAGATTCTCCAAGGATCTATCAGAAAGATATATGCTGGCTTATGTGGAAGATATTTAGAGAAAAGAGGAGAAACATAATGTTGATTAATTGAGACATCAAAAGTAATCTCAATTTTATATTATTTTAGATGGTCTGGAGCTGAATTAATTGATCATGTCATGACTATTGTTAATCAAAGTACATTGATATCTTCAGGCGAAGACTCAACTGAACATTAATTCGACAATAAATGATTACGTGTTAAATAAATATATAATGATATCATTATGTCAAAATATAAGACAGGCAACATATTCATCAGCTCTGACTGCCTTATTCTTCTCAAAATTTAATTGGCAATCCTTCAAAATCTAATCCAACTCACTCTTGCTTGTGATTGAACCCAATGCTGTTGTTAATGTTTGTTTGGCTTAAAAACTAGAACAATCATTAAATTTATGATCCATATCCCTCGGAGAATAGTATTATGATTAAGCAACTATCTCTTTCACTGTCACTTAAGAATCTTATAACTAATTTTATCCTAATTTTGGTGTTTCCGCATTCAATTCCTTGTCTCTTTCTTTCCTTATACATTCTAATACTCTTGCCGTATGGACTGTGATAATCTTCTTATTTGTTAATTCCCCGTCTGATGCATTGTATTTGTGATCTTTTTTTATGGTTTGAGGTTCTGTCAATGAAAATGCCCTCTATTTGGATTTTTAGTAATTCCCTTACTAGAATAGCTATTATTATTCCTCATGCTTAGAAGATTGAGCAAATGAGCTAAATATGTGTGAATATTTATTTTCACTCACACTTTGAAGATTGTCCAATGGGACCATCTTAAAAACGGGATTCTAACTATTGTGAATACATTTTCATAATACAATTTTGTTTTCTCATTATTATGTATCACATTCGATTGAGATGAATCTATTCTTACACTCTCATTTGAAATTGACTTTGATTCTTTTATTTTCTAAACAGTATTCAGAATTTATAGCATTTATCAGTTAGATTTATGGATTATATTTATATTATAATTCTCCTTTATTTATTTTTATTATAATTTACTCAACTAAAATTTAATCAATCAAATTTGAACTCATTCTTGAAACCAATGTAAAATTACTTAAGAGGATTATATCTTAGTCTTTGAACAGACAGGATTATGTTAATATTTTATCAAATCATATTTTACAATCCCTTTCTTAGTTAATTTTACAATTTAATTCGATAAAAAATATTTTTTTTCGGCTTAACCTTAATCATAACTATCAATATCATCTGGATTTGAGATAGTAAAATATTGATTTATTTTGTATCTTTATGATTCAAACTCTTTAGACTTATATATAAATTCTTCGCCTCGTTGAAATTCATTATTACTTATTTTTATTATTGATTAAACATAAAAATTGAATTTAGAATAAAATTATTAAGTATTATCACTACTGGGAACTTTTGACATTTCTAATTATTTTCCTTTATGCTAATCTCCAATAGTATTGCTCTTTTCCTGCAAATTGTATTATATTTATGAAGTAAATGTTTGAATAATTCAAAAATTTAACTCACTCTTAATTTACACAATAAAATTCAAATCTCAGAATTCAGTTTTCAAATGTACACAATAATTTAAATTAATAGTCAGAATCATTTTACTTACTCCTATTAAGATATTAATTATCAACAAAAATGGTATTAATAATTCATTTCAAATGACATATTTATATTATCAAACACTTTTTATTGGTGAACTAAATAGATATAGAGTTGAATGAATTTAAGAACAATTCTATTAAGAGGTTGAATTTCTTTTCAGTTTTAGATGATTGAATTTATACATTAATTACAGTTATATTGAAAGAAATTAGTTGGATCAAGAAAAAGGAACTCCTCATGAGAATGAAAATAACAGAAAGAGAACCACATTTAGGATAGAATGTAAATTTGTCCCTTCACAGGGAAATCAATTTATTTCTTCTTGTTATTACATTTGATTATTTAATTGGTTTTTCTCAATCATCAGCTATATTTTTAGAGTTTCTATTTCTTATTTCATCTTTTCATTTTCCTCTAATAACTCAGATATATAAGATCTCATTTTTTTCATTTCCATTTGGTCATTTTATTGTAAAATTGAGAGTGATTCAAATTAGGATTTCAATGCAGCTATTTGATGAGTTAAAAGATTATTATGCGTTTCATGATCTTTCAATGATGAAGATAAACCGCCTCTCTGCCTTTAAATATCTAAAATTTGCTGTTCAATCTCGTCTTAAATAATTACCTTCCTTTTTAAATCTTGAATTAAGTAAATCTTAATTTCATCATAAACTTTCAAAAGTTTTAGTGAAGTATTTACATCATCTTGATTTAAGAATTCTTCAATTTTGATATCAATCTTATCTATTAATTCAGTTAAATTTTATTTAACCAACTCCAAATCCATAATATCTTGATTTTGTTCTTAAAAGTCTAATCCTAAATCCTTCTCACTTAATGAACCTTTCAATAAGCTAAATTAGTTAATAAGTGACTGAGCATCTGATTCATTTATTTTCTGAATTTCTTTTTTAGGAGTTGACATACTTTTAGGTTCCTGCATCTCTCCTTATAATCTTGCTTGAGTTTAATTTTCTTGTTAATCTTTATAAACTATTTGTGATGTTTAGGTCATTATACGCGGTATATTTTTCCTTTCGATTTCATAGAAATTTTAAAGTAACTTAGTAAACATAGGAGATGTATTATAATCGAGTTTCTCCTTCTTGATATAAAAAAATTTATCTGGAAATTTTACATTTTTCTCTAAAAGTCTAGTATATGACTTAAAGAAAGCTGATTATGTCAATTAATCGCTTTAAAAAGGGTAGAACCTAGCCCATGCTTCTAGACACTCTAAAGTAATTATCAATAAACTTTTTCCATATTACATTTCTTCTTTATTTGGAATTGTAGAGTAATAATATTTTCCTCTGTCCTCAGTTTAATCCCAGCTACTAAATTCAGCTATATTTTCAAAATAAGGCAAACAACGTTCCATGAACATTTCATTAAAACCTGCATTATTTTACTCTACTGCTTGCATTCCTAACCTAGCAGCAAGCAAGCTAGTAACAAGCTCCTTAGATGCGAAACCCAGAATGATAGCATTGCATATGGGTTTATAAACAGTCCTTAAATTTATTCAAAGCTTACTTGTCTTATCTATCTAATCTTATTCTATATTCCCGAACACCTTTGTTGTAGGAATCTTATTGTCTTAATAGAGTAAAAATTTTAAGTGTTAAAGACATTATTAAGAAATAAAGTATATTGAATTTTATTTGAGACAGATATGTTTTAAACATTAAAAAATCATGAATACTCTATCAGTATTCTAATTTTAAAGCATTACGATTTTAATTAAAACAATTATAATAAATACTTACTTTTTTATAAATTAAACAGAAAATTTTTTTCAATTATATAAAAGCTAAATAAAAATGTATAATCCAATCTACTTTTGGAAAATCCCTTTAATATGCAATTTAAAAAGTCATTATTACTTATGCTGAGATATAAGAAAGGAATTTATAGAGATCTATTTGATTATAATGAATTAATTCAAAAAAGGCCTTTCCTAAGATGCTTTCTAATTAAGTTTAGGGATTCTCAAAATATTCATCGACTACTCTGTTGTTGAAGGGTGTCGGCAGAGTTTAAATCAAAGAGCTCAGCCAAGCCTAAAAACAAGGATTTATAATTTTTGAATTTTATAATATAACATGAATAAGAATTTTAGAAGCTGAATTTTATTGTATTATGAATTATATTGATCAAAGATTGCCTTCTAAATGTGAAATACGCATTTTGTCAACAGTTCTCTGAGTTTTCAGAAATGTAGCTACCAATTTATTCAATTTTCTATTAAATTTTGCTTTTTGCTGTAAGAAATCCTCATTGTTGCTCTTCTGAATTAACATTTTTTATTTTTCAAGGTAAGATATATGTTTTTTGATTTATTATTCTACTTCATCAATGTTTTTTGATTTTTTTATTCTTCTTTTGTTTTATTTTATTTCTAATTAAGGCATATATATTAAAGATTGAAAAAATAATAATTATAACATTATTAAAATGTGAAACTTTTGAATAACACTTGCATGACGTCATTTTTACCAAGCAATTGTACAAATCAAGCAGCGAGTGCACTTCTAAAATTTAAATAATAAACTCTTTATGACATGAACGATCCAATATGTATGAGATCGATTTCCAAGTATTTTACAAACATCTAAGCAACTCTGACATGACACTATTTCTTATTGGAGATTCTAGATGAATAACTAGATTTCTTTATGCCGAATCCAATTACCTTAAGAATCCGCTATAACCGTAATATTAAAGGAAAATCATTTTTATTAATATCGATTAAATTAGGAAATGAAAAAATTCTTATTATTGATGACATCAGTTATCGGTAGTTATTGCTTTAATCCCAATGACTATGTAACAATACCATTCCTCAAATTTCCAGACTCATTGAGCTATAATGTTTTAGAGATAAATTCAATTTTTGAATATTTGATAGCATGTGTATACATAGGGTAAATTGATGTCCTGATATAGATTATTCTACTATTCGATGTACTTCTGCATCAGTCATATTTTGGTTTGGAGTCACCCTGCACCAAAGACCCCAGATAGAATAGCTCAAACAAGGGAAGAAATGAGGAGAGGAATCAAAGCTCTTTTTTATGTAATTTTGTTGACAACAGGAATAATATGGAAAGTGCAGCCTTTGAATCCTTATTATGGATATTATGAGACACATGGAATTTGGATTGAAGGAATTCTTCATTTCACTAGTCGTGTACAATAATATTATTATGCATAAAGATATATGTTGACTTTCGATGTGTGGTTTTACACTTCCCACATAATAGGACACACTCCCTTTTTTTGGAAGCATCTCCATGGGGAACATCATGAATTTGTCGAGCCTGGAGCCTATGCTTAAGATGCAGTACACCCGATAGAAGCTTTAATATAAGGGCCGATTGGACATTTCTTGCCTACATTCATCTATCCATTCCACCCAGTATGTCATCATGTATTTGGGTTGTTAACATCGATCTATGCTCAATTAGCACATGATGGAAGATGGGATCCAGCTGGCCACACTTTGCATCATTATTATTATTCATGCAATTTCAGCATTTGGGGATTTTGCGATTTCATATTTGGGACAGGTTACAACTAGGAGAAGTATCCCATTCCTTACATTCCAACTTGGCTCAGAAGCAAGGTTAATAAGAGTAAGAATGAGGATAAGAAAATAATGTGATAATATGATATATTTGATAATGCAGATCACAATCTAGCTTTGTTGTTTGGGAATCCTAATCCTTAAGCAATCTTCTCTCCATACTCTGGGTCACATTTAGTAAACACTTTAACTTGTCTCTCTTGGATTACTCTATTGGCATTCTAACATTATTAATTAAACAAATACTTTCAAATTTCCAACAATATTGGTTATTAACCATTATCTTTCAAAATCATTCATAACCTTTCTGTATAGAACTCCTGGTTGAGCGAAATCATCATTGGGATGTGATGGTTTATATCTTCCGATTAAACCAGTTACTCTATATTAACTAGTCTTGGTTTCTGGAATCATCTTTAATGGTTAAAATGAATTAGGTTCATAATTTGGTCTATTTCCTTAATTATTGTAGGATTATGGTCCATCTCTTTATTGATTGATGACTCTAGCTCTGTATGGACAGTTGACTGGGAGTTGTGTATAATTGGTTCCTAATCTGTGTCTGTGAGTATCTGGATAGGAGAACAATCTTCCTTATAACATTTTATCCAATGATGGCTCAATTCCTGGGACTAAATGTCCTGGACTGAAAGCTGATTGTTCAACTTCTTAGAAGTAGTTTTCTGGATTTCTATTCAAAACCATTTTTCCGAAATTAAGACATGGATAATCACTGTGTGGCCATACTTTAGTGACATCAAAAATATTCCATTTGTATTTGAATCCATCCTATTCTGGCATAACTTGAACTTGGACTGTCCAAGTAGCTGTCTTACCAGTAGCAAGATGTTCAAACAAATACTTGAGTAGCATAATCTGCATTTGTTCTCTTTAATTCATCAGCCTCAGCACCTGTAAATGTCTTATTACCAGAATCTGTTTTGAAGTGTAATTTAATCCAAAATGCTTCTCCTTCCTTATTGACCCATCTGAATGTATGTGATGTATATCCATTCATATGTCTATATCCATTTGGAGTACCTCTATTTGAAAAGAGGATGGTGACTTAGTGAGCACTTTCAGGCACCAAACTCAAGAAATCCCAGAACTATATTAGCATCCTTTAGGTTAGTTTAAGGATTTCTTTTTTATGTGTGAATAAAATCTGGGAACTTACTTGGATCTCTTATGAAGAAGACTGGTGTGTTGTTTCCTGTCATATCATAATTGCCTTCTTCAGTGTAAAACTTAACAGCGAATCCTCTTGGATCTCTTTCAGAATCTGCTGATCCCTTCTCACCTCCCACAGTGGAGAATCTTGTGAATATTGGTGTTCTTTTTCCAACTGTATCCAAGAATTTGGCTTTTGTGTACTTGGTCACATCTCCTGTCACTTCAAAGTATCCATAAGCACCTTTACATGTCAAAGATATCAAATACCTGCTCCTTTGGCATGGACAACTCTTTCTGGAATTCTCTCTCTATCAAAATGAGCTAATTTATCAATGAGATGAGTGTCCTACAATAGGATGGGTCCATATTCTCCTGCTGTCAAAGAGTTTTGGTTGTCATCTACTGGACAACCTGTGGATTGGGTCAACACGTTATCTGAATTGTCTGACATATTATTTATTAAATTTGCGTAATAATCAGCTTATACTCAAAAATCTTTATTTCTGTAACGAATCCAACTTTTCATAATGTTACTCAAATAATTTATAAAACTAGCTGATATTTAACCTCAACTTATTGTGATCAATTTCCAAAAGAATTCCAATTAAATAACTAATAATTTTATCAATTCATTACTTTAATATATCATCCGATATTTTGCTTAAATCAATCTAAGAAGGTGATATATACCCATCCTTGTCATTATCCAATAAATTGAATAGCTTGTTGCTAATCTTTTGTAATTTGTCATCCCCAAACATTTCAGTTTTGCATCGTGTCCTTCCTATGCTTGAGGCTCTTGAAATTGATAACTATCTTAACGGCACCATCTGTTAATTCTTCGTACTTAATGCCTGTTGTTTTATCTGTTGCAAGACTAAACTACTTTGCACCTTGTTCCCATTCTCAAAATATCCAGACTTATTGAGCAGTGGACTCTTTTGAGTTGAATTGTGAGGAGATTTGCTTTTGAGTTTCTCTTGACTCTTTTATTATGGCCTATTGGCCTAGAGCTTGTTGAGTTGTAATTATCTCTGTAACTTCGAGATGTTTTTGGTTGTCTAACTATAGCTGATCATATAACCACAATCAGGTGTTGGCGATAAGATGTTTTAATACAGTTTTCTACTCATATCTTCCAACTTTTTGGAGTCTATCTGCGCGCCCGCACTTAAATGCTGAATCCCTTCCTTGGGACTTTTGTAGATATCCACTGATGGTATGGGATTGCCTAATTTCTCGTCTAGTTGAGTTTCTTATTAAAATGAATAATAAGAGTTTTCCTTTTCTTCTTGATTCATTATTTCTTCCAAAGAATACTAAACTTTTTTCTTCAAAGGTTCTTAGTTACTGAAGTATTTAGAGAATTATTTCAATTGTTTAAATTCATCAACATAAGCTCTAACTGTTATAAGTTGTTTATCTTACAAATTCGGATTATCTGGTTGCTAATTGTCTTGCACTTTCTTAACTCAATATTATTATCGCTGCAAAACCTATGAGCAATTTATAAGGGAGTGTCAAATTATTTGATTTAAATTGGCTTCGAATTGGCAACTTTGATAATCAGCATTTGATCGTTAGTTTCTTGCATTTAATTTTTATAATAATGAAGTATATAATAACTTTTAGATCATTAATTTACAAGTAGAATCCAAATAAAATGCTACCAGAAAAATCATTCGAAATCTATATTGATGATGGAAGGAATTGGCAAGAACTTGGATATATTAACATGAAATAAATATAATTTATAATAACTATTTTCTTCTAATTCTATTAACATGAACGAACCTAAATATAAATTCAAGAGAAATATCAACAGTAGTAGTTAAATAGGAAATACGGTAGTTGTAGAAGATGAAGAAGGAAGAGAATTTTCCAAGAAAACTATCAAGTCAGAATATTATGATTCGTGTAGGGAGGCTGTCGAACTTCTAAAAACAATCTAACATCCAAATTTAGCTAAAATTATAGATACTGTAGAAGATAGAGATAAAGGAGAGATTCACATAATTGTGGAGTTTTATGAACTGAATTTAGATGATTTAATTTAGAAGGATCAAAAGTTTTTTTAAAATCAAGACAATTTATTAGACTTTGTTAAATAAATAATCAATGGTTATTGTCGATTAATGGAACTCAAGGTTATTCATCGAAATCTCAAGCCAAAAAATATACTCTGCAATAAAAAAGAAAACAACAAATATGAATTCAAGGTATAATAGCATAGTTTATGTGAAGATATCAGATTATGCGTTCGCTAAAGTTAAGAGTAAATTTGCCCATGATATGACCTTTTTTGAAGGAAATGACTATTATTAAGCTCCGGAGCTAAAAGACGATAATTATGCGTATCGATGTGATGTTTATTCTGTAAATTATCATTTCATTTCAAGTTTGGTCTCATTCTTGCATAGATAGTATTTAATAGGAAATTATCTGAAGAAGAAAAATAAAACTAAAAATTTCCTGACAATTAAATTGTATTTGAAGAAATACTAATAAAGTCTATGCTAATAAAAGATCACTCTTAGAGGATATCCTGGACCTAACTTAGATTAAAATATTTCTATAATATAAAAGAGTTAAGTCGGGAAAAAGTGTTTAGGGGTAAAAACATTATTACTCATGAAATGGTTTGGATTAAACAAATAAACAAAAGAGTGAGTAGTAATATAATAGGTGACACTAATGAGATTAATATTAACCTTAAATTTAAGAATGGGCAAGAACAAAACGATCATATTGTTAAAGTTTTAGAGATTTTAAATGAAGATTAATATCAATATGCCTTCTTGATCATGGAAGATTGTGATGGAGATCTCATGCAGTTTATAAAAAAATAAGGTAACTTCACATATGAATAGATACTTGAATTCCTCGAATAATTATGTAAAGGATATCAATTTCTAATAAAATAGGAGATTGTTCATCGTGATCTTAAACCTGAAAATATACTATACATCAAAACAGACAAAGGGATTTTATACAAAGTAAATAGCTCATAATGTTCTAGATTACTGACTTTGAACATAGTTTTGATTTGAAAATGAGTAAGAAATCTCCTAATACAAAAACTGGGACACTCAAATACTAAGCCCCTGAAATTGACGCATAAAAAGATTATGATAACAAATGTGATATTTTTTCAGTAAGAATATTAACCAAAGATAGTTAGGAATCATCATATTGGTATTGTCAACTTCCAAAGAATTTTAAGTAGATTAATTTAACAATGTGAAAAAAAGATTAGAAGAAGAATGTATCATAAAAATACTTCAAGAAAGATCATTTGGGTTCGATATTTCGAAGTTAGATTAGAGGATAATAGAATTGCTTAAGAAAATGATAAGATATAATCCTGAGGATAGATTATCCTGGGAAAAGTTAATTTAATATATCTAAGATTAAAAGTAATAAAACTTACCTATCCAAAGAAACTTTTAACTTAGTAAATCTAATAATATTTTCAATAATGATTAATCTTTTAAATTCCAAAAATTCAATTCTAATAACTAAAAATTAAATTAATAATTTGTTGTATAAAACTAATAAAAAAGCGACAAAAATGTAAATAATTAAGAGTAATATCAATTCCCATAATTTAACCAAAAACTTGGATAAAGTAGTAAATTTTAAAACGGGAAAGAATTTCAATTCCCAAAAAATAATAATTAATTATCGACCACTGGAAAATCATCTTTATAATTCTAGACCACTAAATGGTAGCAATCATCAAATCAAAATTAATTTGAATAAAACTAGTTGACTTAAAATTCTTCTCAATAAACTAAGATATCGACAAGTTAAACTATTTAAGTTAAAGACCAGAAAATTCAGAACTAATAAACCTAAAACTAGAAAAATGAACTTCATCCTACATTTTAAATTGATTAACAATAAATACCTCAATAAGGAAATTAAACTGGCTGGGGGTTTACATAGTCGTAATCAGCAAATCTGAGTTTATAAGCATAGAGCTGTAATTCTAAATAATATCCTGGTTTCACTTCTTCAATTAACAAATTTTCCAATTAATAATCTCAAAAGTCACCGATTTAAGATTAATCACATGCAAAATATTAATAAGCCCAAACCACTATTTTTAATAAGGTTACCCTTCCAAATGATTAATCTATTCAATCTAGCAAAGATGCTAATAAATCATCTCTAAATATCAATATGAAAGGTTAACAATAAATAAGTCAGAATTAATTCGCCAAAAACTAGTATAATTGGCAACCCCCTACTTTTCATAATTTCTCCACTCCTTAGCCACAATAACCATAAAATTAAGTTAAATACACTGCTTAAAACAATTGGTAATATTAACAAAATACAATTCCCATTAACCGTTTTTCCAATTTACATTCAAGATAATTTTATGGAAATTGATTTTCTTAATGAATACAAAAGGTAAAAATCCACAAAATAAATATTTTTCATTCATTTTTATTATTCATTAAAAGCATTTTAATTTAATTTTATAATATTAAATAAATGATAAGTATTTAAGTTGTTTCACCTAAATTGAAGAATACAAATCATAAGGCAAATTTCAGTTAACCTTCAATAACTAAATATAATAATTTAAAAAGCTTCAATGAATATTTTAGAAGTCAATAAATCAATGAAAAGTTTCTAGGCATCATTAAAGGATTAGCACTACTGATAGTAAATATAAAACAGATACTCGTTTATTTGAGAACTTTTCAAGCAGCACAAAGAGAATTTCAATACAATCATCTACCTTATGCTTTTCAAATACAAAATCCTAGAGTACAAGTCGAAAAACAAAATAAATACAATTCCCATAATGAATTTAAATTCCTCAATAAAAAAAAGCCTGAGATCTTCAAAGAAACAAAAACATAAGCAAGGTTTAGATTGAACATTTTCCTTATCATACGGTTTTAAAAACAAGTTTGATGCTTTAATTTTAAAAACAAATCAAAGATTTAGAATTCCAAATCAAGAGAAAAACCATTTATTAAAAAAGAAAAGGAATTGAATTAAGAAATCCTAAAACTTAAAAATAGAATAGAAATATTAAATAGACTTTTAATAAGTTATAACACTCCTCAAACAAAATTTTGAAACACTACTTTGATTAAACTATATAAACATAATACAATCTGATGTTTTATTAAGATAATAGATAGTTTTATAATAAGAGAAAGTTGTAATCACAGATTATTTAATTTTATACCTAGTAAATGAATAAACAAAGTGCTGTGACCAAAGATTTGATTTACCAATAATTTAGAAAATTTATTAAGAGTTTTCAAAATGAAATTTTGAATGATTAATGATAGATTTAGAATCTAAGAGATAAAGAAATATATTTAATATCTTCTTTCTTTCCTTATTGATAATTAACATTAATTTTTGTTCTTAATAATTTAAAATTAACATGCATATTGAAAATTCTGTTTACTCCTCAATGTAGACACCCTACACTCAACCTTATATGGCACCTACAGCCAATATGTAAAGAAAAGAAATTGGAGATTAAGCTATATGGACATTGTCATCTGCAAAAACAGGGAATGGAGTAGATCAGTTAAGAGATGACAATATGAATACCTTTTGGTAATCTGATGGAACATAACCGCACTATCTAACCATATAATTTTTAAAGAAGATGAGAGTTTAGGAAATTGCCATATATTTAGATTTCAAATAAGATGAAAGTTATACTCCGAATAAACTCTCCATTCGAACTGGAACTAATATTCAGGACATGAAGGTATTTGAGATGATTAAAATAAGGAAGTTTAATTTATTGAATTGAAAGAACCTTATGGATGGTATGTGATTGCACTCAAGACTAAATTGCTAAATGGTTAAGAAAAGTAAAAGCATTGATTAAGATAGACCATACGTTTCTACAATTAATGTCTAAATTGTAGTTTTATAAAATTAACATAGTGGAAAAGACACACATATAAGATAAGTGAAAATATTTGGACCTCGAGAGTAATAAGTTTTCTTAATGTTTTAGGAACCAAAATCAAGGATTGAGTTTTCCTGACTTTAAAACACCTGAACTTACTTAATATGCTTCAATTCGTTGATGTTTATAATTATATAATTATGCTTTTTGTTGTTAACAGAGATCCTGTCATAAAACGAAAGAAAGCTGTTTCTGAACGTGTATCACCTGAATAGAAAAGTATTTCTCTGATGTGAATCTGATAGAATTGATGGATGACTATCAAATTTTTACATATCTCAAGAATGAAAAAAATAATCACCCAGCCTCATTCCATGTTACTTCTCTACGATAAGTTCCATTGACTCAGAGATCTTAGAAAATGAACATCCAAACAATCATAGAGGAAAGTGGGAAAAAGCCGAAGAGTGTGGATAGCAACTAATAAATCAAAAAGAAAAAAAAGAGCTATTTTTAAATAAAATTAGAAAGATATCATAAAGAAGTCGAAGAATAACAAACAAAAAGAAAATAAGAGCAGTTGACTAAGTCAAAAAATCTCTTAAAGAAAGATTTAGAGGACATCTAGAAAATGACTAACAAAGGAGTCAGAGAGTTTGAGGAGAGATGCAATTTGTATAGTAAATATTATTCAGAAGAGTTGCTCACCCCTACTGGAGTGTAATGCTATTTATTTACTTAGACAGAAGGCAAGAAGACATGAATCTACCTATATATAAGTACTCGACAATTGAAAACTAAAATAAATATAAAGTGTTGCTTAGAGGTGACCCAACTCCTCAACCAAAATTTACATCAGAATAAGTATTTGACTAATACTATGGTGATCCTGATAAAATCAAGTTGATTAGTTCATAATTGCACAAATTAAATATCAAAGTAAACTTAATAATTTAATGTAATAGCTTATAAAAAGGCCAAACGTTTAAGAAAATCAACTTTTTGATGCCATTATAAATAATGATAGTTTTACAGTTAATAAGTTGCTAATGGAGAACAAAAGCTTAATTAATATTAGAAACAGGGTATTGCTTAGTTATAAATTATAGATTCAAGAAACTCCTTTGCATTTAGCATGTAAAAGAAATTTGAAAGAAATTGTTGAATTACTATTGAGATTTTAGGCAGATGAATCGTTAAAAGATTTATGGGGACAAACACCAAGATAACTGGCTTTGAAATTAAGACATTTGGAGATTTTGAAGGTTTTATCTTATTTATGAATCTTTTAAATACTTTTATTATATAATTTATAATTAATTATAGATTTTATGGTATGACTAATCTTATATAGAGAGGCTGCATTACTAAATTTCTTTCAAGGAGCTCCAATACTTCATATTTATTTAGATGGATTAGAAACTAGGAAAGCAGCGATAATTAATGATAAATAATAAGGTTTAATTTAATTGCCTGTATATTAAGTAAAACTTATATATAACTAATGAGGATAATGATGATATCTCAGGTGTGGTGGATTTGAGAATGAATAAGAATAAAACAATTGATCATTTGGGCATCCGAATTGAATTGATTGGGAGAATTGGTAATCTAGATGAAATATGTAGAAATCCTTAATGATTAACAATAATCATCAGATTTTATATCATTGAGAAGAGAATTGGATGCTTAAGGTATATTAACGGAGGATAAAAGCTACAAATTCTCATTTAACAAATTTGAGAAGCAATACGAAAGTTATTATGGCAGAACGGTCAAATTGAGGTAAGTTAGGATTCTAATTATATCTAGTTATTATTTGCGTGCTACATTGGATAGAAATTATGGATAAGTAAAAAAAGAAATAGAATTTGGAGTCTTAATTATAAATAGAGATGAAGTAAACCAACTTTAATCTCCACTAAAGCTTGTTTTGGGAATGGATGATTATTTGTACTTAATTTGTGTGTACCTTAAATCGAGGTATGACTTAAAAGATGTTGTAAAAGGAAAGGTGAAGTTCTGTTTAGTTAAAATAAATATAAAGTAAATGGAATTAGCTGTGATTCGTTAAGAGTAGATTGGTTAAGGTGCAACTCAAAAAACTCATAATGAAACTCTGGTGAAGTATGAAATGATGGATGGATGCCCTCGAAAAGGAGATGTTATACCTATACGTATTTTTTTGAGTGGTATTAATATGTCACCCAGTTTTTAAAATGTGAGTGGCAAGTTTAGTGTGAAATATATTTTGAATTTGATATTATTTGATGAGAATGATAGAAAATATTTTAAGTAACAGGAGATTACAGTTTATAGAAAGAAATGATAACTAAAATAATGTATTTTATGAATATAAAAACGGATTATAATAATAATAATAATGAAAACATTTGTCTTGATTGTTCTCTTAGGAGTGGCACTTGGAGTATAAGTTAATGAATAAGCAACAATTTTGTAAGAAGCTCTAACAAACAATTTAAAGGCCACAAGTATGGGCAGAGCAGTTCTTGCTATGGTGGAATTGGGTTCACCTAGTTTCAATCCCTTATTCGATGCATTGGAAGCTTGGGCTTCACTTATTGAAGTAATATATTGATTAATTTCAGCAAACCATAGCCGATGAAAATTCATCATATGGAGCATTCGTCTAATAAGTAGAAACAGAAGAAACAAATTATAAAGCTCTTATTGCTCAATACGAAAGCGAGTTGGCTGAATACAATATTCAAATTAGAGAGATCTTAAAGTCAAGAATCTCTCTCGAAGAAGACCTAGAAAAGACCAGAAACGAATTAGGAGCCACTAAACAACAAAAAGCCAACATTGAGAATTAATAAAGAGAAGATTCAGCTGATTTCAAAACAAGAACCAGCTAATTGAGTGCTGCTATTGTCGTGATCGATGAAGCATTAAAAGTATTAGAAAAAGCAAAATGTAAATCATCTATTAATCATAGATTCATCATTTGTTGAGGAAGATGCTTAATAATTATCATCTTTAGTCTCAGGAACACCAGAATTGCATACTTTATTACTTCAATTAAACACTGAAGATTACAAGAGTGCATAAAACTTAACTAAGTATTCATTCTCATCACATTATTAGAGTCATCAATTTATTACAAAACATCAGAGATTAATTTAATTAAAACATTCAGACATTACAAGCAGGATTCACTGCAGCCTAACAATAAGCTTAAGATTTGTTTGAATTATTGAATGCTAAAATTGATTCTTTAGTCAAAGATGTTATACCATAATTGCAATAGGATATCTAAGGAAAGGATAGTAAGAATTTGCTCTATTTTAAGGTGAGATTGATTCAAGAAGATAATTAGCCAATGAAGCTTAAGCCAATTTGGATTCTGCAAAAGAAAGTTTGAGATAATCAATTTAAGAGAAAGGATTAGCAACCAATAGCCATAACATTTTAATTTCTGAATATCACAGCAATTTAGATACTGTAGCTGAATGCATTAGTGCTCTACATGGAAGTGGAATTAAAAGATAATGAAATAGATACATAATAATAAATAATTTTACTCAGTAATGATCAATTTAATATGATCTCGCTAAATGATCGAAATCTGTGTTTACATAATGGTTCTTCTTGTATCACACGATCTACTCTTTCATAAATTGTTGAATATATCTGCTAAGCCGTTTACAATAAATATTTAATCGATTACTCTTTACTATTTGGCATATAATAATAAACATTGGATGTTTATTACTATTATATTAAGGTGTCGTTATTCTACTTTTAAATAGGGCTTTCCATTTCATCAATATCAAATTATTTAGATTAAGATTATTCTTCTTCAATTTAATGTGTAGATGTTTATCTATATTGATTACTACTTAATGATGTGGTTGGCATTAAATCTTTATTATTTAAATAAAACTGATGTAAAAATTTGTAATTGGCATTCATTTTTTTAGCTTTCTCCTAATAACGAAGATTTGAATTAGTGAGTAATTTTATTCTATGCTTATTTTATTATTTAAAATTACTTCCATCTCATCGCAACATCTCTACAATTCATCATTATGGGCTTAGAGTGTTTTGTTTAATATCATTTCTCTTTAATGATTTTTTCTAAGTTCATCCAAAGCATTTTCGAGTTTTTAGATTTTTTCCATACTTTATATATCATTTAATGGTTTTTGACTCTGCATGATGAGTCTTTTAGCATTAATCTCTTATATTTATTTAGGTATTGTTAGGTTAAGCTTAGGAATGACTGTTCCTTTTTTTGGATTCATTTAACATTATTGTTATCTCTTAAGTGAATTACTTGAATCTAAAGGGGCTTCTGATACTTGTGAGGAATGTGATTCAGAAGAGGAGGAATTATTAATTAATTTAAGGGCTCTAGTCTAAAAGTCAACTAATTGATCTGGATCCTAATTCATGAAGATTAGTTTATTACCAGCATGAGCTACACTTCTTTGTTGCAATAATTCATTCATTAATCTCTTATAAATACATATAATAAATTACTAAATTTAGTCCTTATATATTTGATTTCTCTTTGATTAATTTTTATTTTTGTTTTTACTCAATTAATAATTGTTCATTTAACATTTGAATTTCATTATGCATTTTAAGACCAATAAGATCAGGATTGCAAACTTCCTTAAACTTTATTACCACGCCAGCAACTTCGTCATATTCTGGTTTCAACTCCTCCATTTTTGCCAATTTATTTTCAGTAGTCATCAGATTTTCTTACATGCCTTGCATTTTTTATTATAGTGATGCGATTAATTCTTTCTCTTATCTTTAGACTTATTCTGTAATTTGTTGATTGATCAATTAATCACTTTAAGCTTCATTTCGCTCTTTAACTAATTTCTCTATTGTTATTTGTAGAGTTTCATTCTCTTCCTACAAATTCTTCATTACTGTTAATAGCCCCTTATGTTATTCATCATTTGTTTTTGGCATCAAAACCTTCAAAGCCTACTTATTCAATTAAAGCAATCCTTAGAGCTCACGAACCTGCTCTTACAATTATTAATTCTCCTATTTGAGATAATCGAGAATCTCTAAACTCATTATAAAATATATTGTTTTTCAAATTTTACATAAAAATTTGCCTAAATTTAAAGATTATCAAATATAATTCTTAATTTCTAATCATGTTTAAGTATGCCAGTGATACTTTTTATAAATAGCATAATAGCATAAAAATATATAATAAGGATTATCTCCAAGACGTGATTCAATTACTAATGAAAGATGCTCTATAGTAGAAATTCATCTATTGAATGACTTTATTTAATAGATGATATTACGCAGAAGTCCTTTTTAAGAAGGGAAGATTAATAATTAAATTAATTAATTTAATTGTGTATAATTAGTTATGTTAAAGCTAATATTCAATTTCTCCAGAGCCATTTAAAAATCTCAAAACCTTTTGAATTAGATGAGAAAGAATCGCTATTACATTGATGATCCTATAGTTAGTTAAAGGAAGGAGGCATAACAGATTGTGGAATCATTATATTTTAATTAAAAGAATAATTTGTAATAGAAGCTTGAGAAGGAGGAGGAAAATAAATTGGAAAATGTAATTGAAAAGTTGGATGAAGAGATTAATTTTAGAAGATTTTAGACAGCATAAGAATTATTAGAATTATATGAAGCTAAACCCTTAAAATCTAGAGAATAATACTTGGAATGGTTCAATTAGTTGTCTTACTGTTTAAAGTTTCAGGAATAAATTTAATAAAACAAATTGAATTACTACAAAAAATTAGCTGGTCAGTACAAGGCCTAATATAATAAGGAGTATGAGATGCCAAATATAGTTTTCTTGACTCCTTCTCAAATTTTAGAGAATTCAGTTTTTAATCAAGTAATCGAAGACTTTGTCTCTAATTGTGAGGTAATAGAATGGCTGCATGTTAGAAAGTAAATCAAGAAATCATTCTAAACATAACTTTATTCATTAGATTATTATGCTTTATAGAGACTATGGGAAGAGAATGAATATCCAATCCAAACTATTTAATATCTGTCATTAATCATTAAGGACATAAGTATTAGATTGTTTATATATATTAGCTGAATCTAAGTTTGAGAAGGATTAAGAACCTCAATTTATGGAATTATTTGATGGTAAATTTTAATAAGGATAATCCTTGAAAAAGATATTAGAATAGCTTCTGTTATAGAAAATGCAATAGATAAACTTTTATGATTTAAATAATGAAGATTTTGCAAATTTCGTTTTTATTTACTATTAATAGTAAAAACTGCCAATTTTACCTACATTCCTTAAAGAATTAGTGGAAAATGTAAAGGAAAGAATTAGTACTTTGAATTTGTTGGAAAATGTTAAAATATTGCAAGCGATGTTAGTAATTGAAATCGGGGATAATTAGTCATATTGTTACCTCTTGTGGAATATCATACGATTGAAAAATAGAATCAATTCTGACTATTCAATCATAAATGGGATTATTTTCATATTGTTGCATTTTAGATAAAACATCCTCTTTGTGAAAGGAAAAAGAAATTATCCAAAACCTATTATTGTAGAGGATGCCATGGTGTTCTCTGAAATATTTCATCATTTAACCGAGGACTTGAAGTTATTTGGTTTTGTCCACCTTAGTCAGCTGCTTACAATAGCATCTAAAAATTTCGCAGACCCAGCTAAATTAAATGCAATTATAGTTTCGCTCTTTTAGAAGCCTGAAATAAATCAGAATATTTAGATTGATCATAAAATTGATTTGTATTACTAGGCAACACAATTGGGAGGAGCTATACTTGATGTTACTCAAATATTAAAGTATAAAGTACAGCTTCTACAATCCCATTCAATAACTGGTTTCTTTGAGAAGAATTAATAATCAGAAGGGAACCAGATTACAGGATATTACCCATATTACACAAATTTATTGGATAGTTTAATCAAATTGATTTGGACAAGCATCATATAAAATAGCAAATGTTTTGAAGACATCAATTATCTAATATTTAAGGTGAATGAATTGACAAGATTGTAAACAACCATAAGGATTGATAGAGTGACATAAAAACTGATTTCATAAATTAACTAATACATTTCCCTTGCTGGAAAGACCATATTTCCAAATAAAATTGATATTCAATAGATTTTGGAGAACAAAAATATTTATAAAAAACTTGAAAAATTTGGTAACCCATTAATGTTGCACTCTAAATTGTATTTGCAAGAAAAATACTATTTTTTATAGAAGTATGAGAAGAATTTAGAGAAGGATGTGTATTACGAAGATGTATTATTAGATTTTGTTTATACAAATTAGAAAACAGGGAACAAAGCATTGATTTTATTGAATGGAGTATATTCATTATAATATCCTATTAGTCAAGCAATTACCAAATTTCTGCAGTCGGTGAAATGATTCCAAATTCAATGATAAAATTTTAAGATGATCTCTTGGCATAATCTGAGATTCCAGTTATTTAAATCAATCTTCCCGATATGATTCAAAGCCAATCTAAGTTAGAGATTTAATTTATTAATTTTAGGTCTTTTTATGAGGAACAATTAAAGGACATTCTGGAAGATGGATCGAATGAATATGAAGACGTCGCTAATGCAATTCAAGAGACAAGATAGAAAATAAGGAGAGACTTTAATTATTTGTCAATCCATTAATAAAAGAATGAGGAAGAAAGTCAGGAAGAAAAGGAGGAAGAGGGAGAAGTTTAGAATGATGATACATATGCACTTTCAGATGAGGAGAAATGATTGTGATGATTATTGTGTAATTTATGTTTTTGTATTTCCATTGAGATAAGATAAATAATTTTTTATTAATGATAAGCGCCTATAGATTTAATTACGAACATTTGCCAAAAGAGGTGAAGCTAAATACTTTTGATGCCGAGAGAGGCCTAATTTATAATGAGATCATTCGCTTGTTAAAGGATTTTGAAATGAGGTAATTTGAAATATCAATGTTAGTTCTTCAAAGCATTGGTTTCCGATTATGAATTTACTTTAAAGGTTCAAATAAATCTATTCCTTTTTAAACGAAGAAAGACAGGAGCTCGCAGAGTTGATTCTTTCGAAGTTGGGAGGATTGAAATCATCTGTAGGACTTCAGAATGGATTTAGCCTTGTTTGCACCATTATTTAAAATAAGCAAAAATACTTGAGTTTAAAAGTTGATTGGAGATATTGGCATTAATATTTACAGGATAAGTTTATGACAAACAAAGATAAGACAATCACAAGTTAAACATTCAGTACTCAATTATTTATGCAATTTTGCTAATTCCTTAAAACAGTGAAATATTACTTTGATGCTGATGTTGTTTAATTTGCATTCTTAAAATTTCGTGAATATCTAGGGTACTAGGACAAGCAAGTAGCCTGGGCTTACTTGATGTTGTTTGTCCCTTTTAGAACTGATATTCCCTAAGATGCCTATAAAGATTTGATCAAATATTTGATGGATCCATTATTAATTTTTGGAGAAAAAGACAATTGTAGATTAAAATTTATATTGAATTATCTAAGAGTCTACCCTTAATAAATGAATCTGATGCCGTAAATGATGAGATTTTTTCATGGTTATTGGCGTAATGATTTGGGTTAAGATGATAAAAGTAACAATATTATGTATGTTAAGATGAAAAATTGGTTACCATGTTATTACCAGATGACACTTTGGGAGTACCAAGTTTATTCAAAATAATGCCATAGTTATTAGTTGAATTGATTGGAAATTCTAAAAGAGAAGGATATAAAGAATACATGTTAAATATGAAAAGATTATTTTCTTTGGTAGATTCTATTACTTCAGTATATTCTTAATAAACAATGGATGATTAAATATTTAAATTATTGAAATTAATGGTCGGCAATTTCATTTAAAAATATAGGAGAGATTAATTATTACTAAGAATTTATGAGATGTAATAAAATAAAAACTACGATGAGAATGTTTCTGAATCCTTGATGTAAGAATTGATTGATCAATTCAACGATGTGCATATTCAAGACTTTATTGAAAGTGATAAATATATACTTGAATTGTTATTGATTAATCCAGATCAAGGATACTCAAGTTTTCAGATAAATTATCCTAATAAAAGAAATTCAACTAAAATCCATGCTACCAAAATCAATATTGATAAGTTACTACCATTTTTATTGGATGAACAAGCCAAATAAGATTTTATAGAAATTGTTATGGATGTATTAGACAAGGTCATTTATATGGAGGATCAAGGATATTCAACTGCGAAAACTGTGTTATATTTATCATGTTTTGAACCAAAATTAATTGATTTCTTTCTCAATAAAATGAAAGAAGCTATCAATGATGTAACAGCTCTCTAATTCATCACAATTAAGAGTATACTCATATTTATGGCTATTCCAATTTTATAAGGAAAATGGTATTTATAATAGAAACTATAATTTTTAGTCCTTTTTCCATTCATCATCTATAGGAATTCATGGATTTGACATACAAATTGTTTGAAGTCTAAGGAGTCAGCGAAAATATAGATTCGTTAGAATTTTACTGTAAGATATTTATGAATGTTCCCATCTATACTCCAGAGGAATATATGGAATTATATGGGGAACACAATGAACTGTGTCGATATTTAAGTGAATTCGTCTCAGAAGTATTCAATTTAGTTATTAAAAACTTCAACTTGATTAAGTACAAGGATGTCGATTATGGTTTTGTATTGCCAAATCTCATTAATATCTTCTGGCCATACGTAGCAAATTCATCATAAAGGATGTTGGACAGTATTGTTGATAGATTAAAAGAACATCTAGAAAATCTAGAAATGCAAGATCTGAGTGCGATGGGAGATTTGATAGATTGCATACTTTATAGGGATTCCTCATTGTTGGAATATATCATTGATATTTGCATGGAAAAGTTACTCAAATAGAGATAATCTCCTCCTAAAAAACATTACCTGAGTTTTATTGTGTAATTATCAAAGTATTCAGATTATATACAACAATTTGAACCTACTTCAGGTAACAAATAATCAAAACTCTTATGGTTGACACTTCTCGAGAAATCACTTACTTATGCTGGTAAAGCTACTTAAAAGCATGATATGAAGATACAAGCAATTGTGATTAATTACTTAATGGATGAAGAAGATGAGGTCTTTACAAAAGTTAGTGATATAATACATTCAGTTATAATAACAAATCAAATCATTAAAACCAATAATTTATCATGGTAAAATCAAAGATCTCAATTTTTTAAAAAAGATTTTGATTAAAAAACCCTTTATTAACCTTAAGATCTTGAAGTTGAATGGATTTTACCCACTCGATAGGATTGGGAATACATATTTGATTGGAACAGGATGTTTATGTTTGGAGTAATTGAAGAATTTGAAAGGACCTATATGAAGGAATATGAGTATTATGAAATGCCAAGAGACTTCCCGAAACTTATTGACCTAATGATTTTCAGGAACCCTCCCATGGATCCAAATCTTAAGCAAATTTGTTATCGTGTGTGGTTCCTTGTTTTCGGGTGTTTTACTGGGTCATCTCTATTCACACCATTTTAACCATAAGACCTCATATAAGGCAGCAAAGGGCATTTAAAATTGGAAAAGATATAATAGGATTATTTAAAGAGAGTATGTCCACCCGAATACTGGGACTTAAGACAGAGACTGGGTACATTTGCAATTAATTCCATTTGTTATGCTATAAACAATGGAGTTGCCCATGATAAAGACATTAATGACCTTTTGGTTACAATAGCATCAGAATGCATCAGTTCATAAACTTTGAATTAAGAATTGCAATTAGGCAGAGAGTTTATGGAAGGATGTAGATAATTGATGTAAGCTTCTTAATGTAAACTATATTTTGAAAGTCGAATTCAGTGTGTGATTGATATCAACACATATCTCTATCAAAGACATGTTTTCATGCTACATTTACAAGGTATTCCAATTGAATACAATCATATCTACAATTACATAATTGTTCTTTATTTGTTAGGTCATTCAGAATTTAGCAGTCCATAATATTTGTTGCCTTATTCCGAACGAGCTACTTACACTTTAACTACTGGAGTTAGAAATAACTTCTTCGAGTACTTGCTGGGGATCTTAGACTACAACAATAAAGACAGCAGATTAAGTAAAATCAACTAGTTAAGTGAAAGGAGTAAGGAATACAAATAGTTAATTGACTTGTTGCAAGGCTTTAATTCAGCAGTCTAACATATTTCTTCAGATATCGAAATGAGTATGTCGATTCAAAAACAATTGAACTAATTTATTAGTGTAATGGAATATGTTGATAATCAAAAATGCAAATATTTAATTATGGAATCATGTGTTCATCATCTGGCCATTCAATATGATGAAAGCACAGTTGTTATATCTAATGATTATAATGATAGATTGGAAATGATCAATAATAGCATCAGAGCTTTGCAAAGTCAGTATTTCTGGAAATGCAAGATCATTCATAGTTTATCCCTATTGAATAACATAAACATAATTAGATACGTCCCTGAAAATTGTATTAATGCTTATCGGGATTTATGCATCAATGACCACGTCACCTTGAATTAATTGGGAAGAGCAGGATTATTCTACTTTCTTAGATTGGCCAAATAAATGATCTATAAAAAACAATAGGTCAGTAGTTAATAATATGAGCAACATCTCCCTTTTAATAAATTCATCCAATATAGATATTTAACATAGGAATAATTGTCAATTATAGAAAAATCCTACTAATCTATTTTGGAATTGGATGACATTCTCAAAGCACAATAACCAATTTACAGATCTAAAATGCATGAGAAATATATGTTTACAAAAAATGATCTCACTAAAGTAACCATCATTAATGACAATATCACTCCTTTCATAAAAGACTTAAGATAGCTCTTTACTGATAAAAAATATATGCGAGAGTTTATGGAAAAGATATTGATAGACAAGGATGTAGCTCCAACATCAGAATTTGATATAACAGATGCTCCATCATAGGAAGTGTAATTTATGTCAGCACAAGGAATAACACGATATGTCTAAATCTTTTTCACATATATTTATGGAAAGAATAGGAATAGACAATCTCCATTTTCTGCAACCTAATCCTTCTTCATGTCAGATTTCTATTTTAGATTATTTAAGAAAATGTTTTAAGTCTGTGGCATAGCTGCATTTTATTCAACCAAGGAAGTCATTGATGAATACATCGAATAGTTTGATTAGAGAGAAAAACAACGATTAGTAAGTTGCTACCTAACAGCCCTTCATAGATCATTATTAAATGTTGGTTCCTACATTTAGGATTCATTTATTAGAATCCTTCCTAACATCACCTAAGAAATATTCTATGATTACCATTTGGCATTCTTCTACATGTGCAGAGACTAAGATTGGCAATGGATTTCTCCAGTTTATTTGTAGATGTTGCAATGTTGTTAGAATCTCATTCCTCAAGGAGGATTCAAGGGTTTAAGATACATATAACTACTGAAAATTCTCATTCAATCATAAGGTCCAAGAGTGATATAATTGTAAGAACAAATTCTTTAGTAATTCAATTCTATTATTTTCACATACCCATCTAGTGTTTATGTTGAAGAATACACTTGCACTCTTGCAACTACATTGTTGTAAACCATTTTAATACCTATTCCAATCGATGCTCCTTATTAGGATGAACATCTAATTGCAACTACTGCAAACTTCTAAATTTGGTACAATAGTATTCTTTAGATGTTTTTCAAAACCTTTAATGAGTTTCTTTCTAATAATTCATAGAGAGATAAAGTCAAGTTTCATCAGGAATTATCAGCTAGAATTTTAGAATTCATTGCTATTAGTAAATTTGATAATTATTCTTGGAAATTCATTGTTGAAGCCATGAAAATCATTTTCCAAAACAATCAAACAGATATTGATGCTTAGGAGATTCTAAGAAAATACATCGAATGCGATTATGATGAAATCACAGAACTACTTGATATTGCAGAATAAATGACCAAAAATGATACCTGGAACATTAGAAAACGTGCCAACTTCTTCTTGAGGGATTGGTATTTCAAAGCCAAATTAGAAGGAAGCCTATTAAATGATATACCAAAATAATTACTCAATATGTTCCAAGACAGCAATCTGTAATTGTAATTCCAGGCTGTATCCTCACTTGCTGATTACCTGAAATTGTACACCAAATAGGAATTAGAGGATTTGTTCAGATCGGCATAAGAAAATAGAGTCTATATATTAATGAGCATGTTACTTTCAAGACAAGATAGAAACTTCAATTGGACAGACCAGGCATTATCTGAGATATTTTAAGAATTGAAAAACAAAAGGTATTAATTTAATTATATTAAGAATTTTGTAAGAGTTTGTATCTGAATATTGGAAGAGTAGACAAGACTGGTAGAGAGTATTCAAAGATGAAATCAGTGAAGAAAATGTTAGAAAATTGTAGGAAATTGTAAATCCACATCCCTATTATGCATGATTGTTTATTAATATAAAAGATGTAATTAATGGTAATATTATTTTATTCTGTAAATTCTTAGATTTTATATATCAATTATTTATAGTATTATCCCTTTTATAAGTTAAATATCTTCAAAATTTATTAAATTCTAAGCAAATATTATTTTTTATAAGATATTTATTGAATAATTTAAGAAAATAAAGATTTCAAATATTTAACTCGTTATTATATGAAACTTAGTTATAAATTCAATTCATAAGTTAATGATGATAATATATCTTAATTATTTCATAAAGATTTCATTAATTATACTAGAAAGCCATGAGGTGCAAATATTCTTCCAGTGCAATCTGCTGATGTGCTCAGAATAAACGGGTAGAATGGATGCCATTTACATAAGACAACTCGATCTTCATGATCAGTAATTTAGGTGATCAATTTCTGTTGTTCCCAATCATATAGGGCTATAGTTGAATCAAAGGAGACACTGCAAATATATTTACCAGTGGGATCAAATTCAACACATCTGCAATCCATTGTGTGATGCTTCAATGTTTTTACACATTTCTAATGTTGGATATTCCAAACTGATACTACACCATCAGAATGTGCAAGCACTGCTAATCCTTAAGATGAGAATTATGGAGCCTTCTTAGAACCCTTGACTAAATTTTATAGATTATAATTGGTAGTTGATTCTGAAAGTGAAACATAATTAATTTCTGTTTGCATGGTCATAACTCCTTAGGCTCTACTTGCTCTTTAATCCCATATTCTTAAAGTTTTATCCATGCCACAAGAAACCTAATATGATCCATCTCCTGCAGTCTATAAACTATTTCACTTTATATGTAATTTGGTTACCAATATATTGTTTATGTATGGCCTTCTAGGTTTCTTATGCATTTTTATGTTTCTACATCCCAAATCTTAATGACAGCATCCTATCCAGCTGACATCAATCTATTCTCATCACTAAAACAAACTGATCTAACTAAGCCTCTATGACCAACCAAAACGAAATCTGTATCCTCTTCAACATTGTACAATTTAACAGTCTTATCATTACTTCCAGTTCCTATCAATCTTCCTGATCGACTCCAATCAATACAATAGATAGATCCTTAATGGTGATTTTACTTTTCCAATTACATTACAACTTGGCTTTCTTACAAAACTGATTTCATTGAAAAGATCCTGAGACTTTTAGAATTGGTTCCGATTGCAAACATTTCCCCATCAGATGAAAATGCAGCTGCTCTTATTGGATGTGTATCTGACAATGTAGCAACTTAATCCATCTCATCAAATTTATAATTAAAGAGTTAAGACTATATACTACTATTGCTATGAGGAGGAGTAGCATTTAAGATACTTTCCTTCTTTATCAATGACTGATCGTTCTCATTAATATCCGAAATGTGCAATTTTTCTATGATAATATTTTTATCGAAATCGGTGGGTAATTGAGATGAACTAGACTATTACAATTGAATTTGAGACTTCTTTTTTGAGTAAACTAATATTCTATAAGCATTACTTTACATTTCGAATGTTTATTATTCTCTTCATCTTCTTCAACCTTCTCATATAATTATTGAAGTGTATTGCCATTGTACTTTTCTATTCTAAATGTTTTACCTAAGTTTTTCAACACCGATGCTATTCCTTCGAAACAATCAAGTCTTCCCTATAATTTAAAAATCGCTAATACCTTTTCAACACTCCAATCACTAAACTCTGGATGATCGCGAATACATGATAACGTCAAAAAATAGCAGAGGTTTTTATATGCCTCTGGAGATGCCAATTACTCAATTTATCGCAATAATGTTATAAGTATTTCTACATCTGGTTTTGCATTTATCAATTCAAAATATTATTGTTTCTTCAATTCTAACAACACATACGAAAATTGATCATTCAGTCTTGTCTTCAAAGGTTATAGGTATTGTTCTGCCCCTATAAAGTTACCATCTAAAATTTGCTGCCTAAGAAATTATAATTCTCTAGTGTAGGTGTCTATCGATATCTATTCATAGAGTAATCATTTTCATTTTACTTATGTCTCTAGTTCCAAGTGCAAAAGACTCTTAAACAATTTTTGATCCCTTAAAAACACCAAGACCATCTGCAGAATTTGTTAAGTTTGTGGCATTGTCAAGTTATAAAGATTAAATTAATTATAAGTTATTGGTTTATGGAAAGTAATCAATTAATGTAAATGAACCAAACATCATTAAGCCTATACTTTATAGAATTAAACAATTAGATTTCGTGAATAATCAAACAAGATTTTAATGGTAGATTTTGTAGGTTAAATAATGAAGTGTATTTTTATTACAATGAAATTGTTTTAGGTACTTAAAAGTTTTTTAATTTAATATGATAATTAGAATACTAGTGAAACTGTCATAATGCAATTTATAATCATTATAGAGAGTTGAGAAAGTAGTATGACTTTGTAAAATTTTTCAATATGATAAGAATATGAATTGTAAATGTAAAAATGATTGCATATGTTAGAATAAATAGATTTATTCAAAATCACTTTTAATAGCATGAACATTAAATCTTCATCCCAAACATCTCAAAAGTTCTCTAGTCCTTTCTCTTTTGTGATATTAAAATTTTTCAGATTTTTGCTGCTCAGAAAATCCTCATTGTACCTAAAGAATTAAAAGTCAATATTTGACAGTCTAATATATATGCAAAAATATTAAATAATTTAAATATCCTTCTTTTCTAAATCATAACTCTAATTTTTATTTTACATCTCATATACTAATAGTAAAATTAACATATATTAAATGAAAGAAGAAAATCATTTTGATTGGCCAGACCCTACAAGAAACGACCTCATGTACTTATCTTCCATCAGTATGATCTAAACATAAATATCAAGGGAATTAGAATAAATTACGATCCATCTCTTAGGACTATAAATATACAACTAACTAACCAAAAAAAACATATTATAACAAAGAAACCTACATCAATAAAGTTGATGACATACCTACCAAGAATAACAAATTTGAAACTGTCAGAGAAAGCCTTTATATTGATGATATTGCTGTATTTTATTAAATTCAAATTTAGGGAACTAGACCATAAATTGCTAAATTTAAAACCAATAGAGAAACAAACCCAGTCGAACCCATTTACAAAATACCTACCTATTAAGGGGCTGATGTTCCTTAACCAAACAAATTTATTAGAGACACACTAAATATATCAGATATTCAAGGAACTGTTCCAAAAATTAAGATATATAATCCAAGAAATGTAGACCCCTATACTTTTATTGACGGCTCCAAACCTAAATAATTAAGACATATTGTTCGATCATAGGATGAGTAGGACATAAAGAGAACCTCAAATCGACAAGTTAACCCTCTTTAACCTTTTTACAAATGGGGAGAGGAAATAGTAGGACCTGTAGATGGATCACAGCCTTACAATCATTGCTAAGACAGAAACAAATTGAAAAGCCTTTCATTATACACTAAGGATATCACCGGAGCTTAATCGGATACTGTAAAGAAAATCCAGAAAGAGTCTTAAAAGATTACAAATCACACCTAAGACATTTATAGAGCATAAGCTGACACTATATAAAGAGGGATGTAAACAAAGAGACAAACTAATCCATTGCAACCTGCTTACTAATTATTAGGCTAAAGTGAACTATACAAAATGCAATTCAAATGAATATTAATTATTGAAGGAAATTTTATAATGATTTTATATATATATTAATGATCATCTTTACAATTGACCCATTAAATTAGCTTGAGATGGGTAAGATGACACGGGTAACTGATAGGAGTAGTTGTTAATATTTTGAAAATTACCCAACAAGTTTTAATTAAGAAAGGATCTTTATTAATAAACTCCACTCTAAATTTGAGGATATTCATTTGATTGCAGCATGACAAACGATCGAAGTAGCTTAGGGTCGTAATAATATGAGCCTAGACTATTTTGATTAGATAAGTTATTTTCTTAAAAAGTGCTTTGTTAACTAATTTCTGATCTATTTAGATAAAAATGTAATTGTTCAGGTGATACAAAAAATATCTAATTTTTTTCTTTGTTTATTAAACATGGTTGGAGAGTGCTCATTTCAGCTTCTGTCAGTTGACACTCCTTGATTTACAAATTGATTTTATCTTATTGAATAGGATTTGGTTTTGAGGCTCGTAAATTTCTTTTTAAAGGTAGATTTGATTCTACTTTTAATTTTTTAACAATGTCTAAATGTTCCTCCTTGATAATGTCTTTCTATTCATGTTCTCGGAGGTTTTCGCTTTATTGGATTCTCCACTCTATTTTTTTTATGATTGTATGTATGAGTTTGATTTCCTCGTGATTCAACTCTTCTGCGGATGGAAAATTAGAATTCTTAGATTCTTCTGATTCGCTTTCCTCTTCATCTTTTTTCCTTCTATAATAATTATAGCCTACCCTGCTTTTTGGCCTCGTTCCTTCCTTAAGAGACAATTGAATCTATTTTTGACACTATTCTCACTTCTTGGTATTTTTAGCTTTTTTGAAATCAAGGCCCATTTTTTCCCATTTTAAATTGATAACTAGAGCAAATCTAAGTCTTCATTCAATTGCCAAGGATTTCTTAGGAGATATTTACATAATTGTTATACCGATTGATAAAAGGGTTAAGATGGTTGTTCCATCGTTCTCTGCACTATTTACCATTTCTATGCACATTCGATTCACTAATTTTGTTTAGAGTGGTGGCAATCTGGCTCCATTTATTTCCTTTGTTCTAATTTTAGTAGTCATATATTATGGACCTTAAAAGGTCGTCTTCAGGTAAAGTCCAAGGAGCTTATTACAAAGGGAGTTTAAGCATTTGTAGCCACTTCTATTTGCATTTAAAGGCATCCCTCCTTGGCATCATGCTGGCAATGGAATTCCAATCTTCGTCACTCTTAATATAGGGTTGAATTGATATACAATGGATTTAATGTCTCTTCTATTCAGGGCAACCCATTTGCCAACCAACCATATGAGTACCTTTTTGTCATCATCTGTCCAGTTCTTTTTTAGTTTATTTTACTGAGCCTGTAAATTCAACTTGTTATTTTGTTGAATTGTGTAAACTTCTTAATTGTCAGGAAAAGTATCCACTCCAAGGTTATATAATTCTCTCATATAATTAAATCTAACATTGGTAATGTCCTTGGTTTTAGCATAAAAGTGGAGAAAATTTTGATGAAAATCTTCAACAAGCAGATTTTCAGATGATTGCATTTATTTTTTTATATTTTAAGTTTCCTTATTAATTTAAAAAAAATCTAGGCTTCTCAATAAAATAAATTAATTAAATGAATTTGACTACGAGATTTGTGGACTCTTTTAGTCTCACAGATGATCTGCTTACTTAAATCATATAAGATAAATAGACAATCAGTTTATCCTTGAGACAATTGAGCAAATTGCACCATTTGCAAAAGATGCTAGAAGAGTTTTAATTTCTCAATATTGTATACAGTGATTAAAGTAGAGTGAGGTACATAATAATTCTTATATTAGGAAGATGATGTTAACTCGAACAAAATCTAATCTGAATTTACAATAATAACTGTGTCATCAAATAGATAAGAAAATTGAAGATTTCATGGTATAAATTCGTAAAATTTCTTAGAACTTTTTCAAGAAATTAGACTCTATCCTTTTTTACACAATGAATATGCAACTCATGTCTGAGAACTGTTTAGAATTCTTATAGCAAATTGCAGATTTAATTTTGGGCAGTCCTGCATTTACAGTTATTTATGAGATTAACAAGAAAGTGAATGGGATGTCAACTCACATTAACGACATCGAGAATGCCTATTAGAAATTATTAAAATTCAAGGAGAGCACAAATGTGTAAGGAAGCGAACTCGATAATCTCTTTGGCACAAATGAATTATATGTGTACAAAAACAAGTATTCATACTTGATTTACGATGTGAAGGATGTACCATTCAAGGCATTCCCAGATTATAGATTGATATTGGATCAGTTTATTTCAATTGCTTATGATTTTCAAAAAGAAATATATGAGTGAGATTTATTTCTATATCATCTAGCAAGGAAAACTTAGTGAGCATCATAAGAGGGATTAAGTCAAGGTTCATTAAGAATTCAACGAGGATTATGCTAAGAAATCATTCGATAATAAGTTACTGAAGTATTATAAAGTTAATGGTATGAGTGTTGTAATTATCATACAGTTGGATTGAAATGCCAGACTAAATATAATACATGAATGATTTGATCATAGATTAACATGGCTATGTTGTGTTGCCAGTTAAATTGGATAAATAAATCAAATACTACATAAAGATAGAATCTCCAAATATAGATATGATTACGTTCAGTGATTATGTAAGATTATCTAAAAGGAATTCTAGATTCAATAATTATGGTAGAGACTGACTTACTAATTGAAGGATTTGAAGAATGAGGAGTTCTTAAAACAAATGCTTGAAGTGAATTCACCAAATAAGTTATACATTCAATTAGATGGAGATGGAAACATCAGATATTAGAGTTGCTGTATACCTGATTCTTGGTATTTCATGTTGATCAAGGGAGGTTCATTGGAAGATCTCTAATTGGAGTAAGTGAATAAACAGAGTCTCATACAAAAAATGTAGGAATTGAAGTCTTCAGTAAAAGGAGCTGTTAGTGTTTGCTAGATTTGTTTTGGTGATAAAGCAGTCGATGTTGATCTATTTGCCAAAAGAAATGAGGAAGATGAGATTACTGACTATTACATAGTGTTTAATGCACCAAAAAAGTATCTAGTTTGTTCTCTATGTAAGGAAATTTGAAGATGATCATCGAATATCTTCTTAAATGTCTAGTGAAAGCAAACTGCAAGAATTGAGCAAGGCAGCTTTAATCAATATTAAAATGGAAAAGCTATCTAAAGCATGCAATGTGATGAGGGATTATCTTAAGGTTAATTTGACTGATGAGGAAATCATTGATTTACTGAAAGAGAAAGACATTCTCAAAGAAGTCTATAACCAATAATCAATCACTGATGATATCAGATCATCTTATGTGATGGAATATTATAAGGCTGAGCCATTGAATCCAATGAGAGATCCAGTATAGGGAAGCCAACAATATATAATTGAGTCAGAACTCACAAACATAAAAAGTATTAAGTCATTTAACTTAGAATTCGACCTTTATACTCTAGATGCCAATGATATTTCTAATCTTAGTGATTATTCATTTGACATCACTGTTGTTTAGGATAAAAATGAATAACTACGGTATACTTGGGCACTATTTCATTTGTGTAATTTCATAGATCTTTATCAAATCAACAAAGAAGTATTCTATTAGTTCACTGTGATTGTCCAAGAAAAATATAGTTATCGACAGAACCCATTTCATAACTTTGATCATGGTTTCACTGTTGCCCATGCTTGTTATTATATCATAAAGAGTAAAAGCATGAATCAATATTTTGATAAATTCATATAATTTACTGCTTTGCTGTCTGCTCTTTGTCATGATATTGATCATACAGGACGTAACAATCATTTCGAGAGTTAGAAATTATCCAAATTAGCATTAAGATATAATGATGAATCCGTACTAGAAAATCATCATGCTTCTGTGATGTTTAAGATTCTTTAAAAAGAAAAATATAATATTTTGAGTTCTCTTAGTTAGGATCAATTTTAAATCTTTAGAAAATACGCCATTGCCAATATTTTGGGCACAGATATGAAGAAACATTTTGAAATCGTTAAACTATTGGAACTCAAATTATCCAAGCTTCCAGATGAACCATTTATTTAAAAGGAAGAAGATAAAAAGTTCTTATCCAGTGCTATTATTCATACTTGTGATTTGACAATGTAATCTAAAACCTTCAAAATGGCATAGAAATGGTCTAATCGTATAGCAACTGAATTTTCAGATTAAGTAGCTGAAGAGAAACAATTATCATTACCTATTACTCAGCATTTCTTACCATTAGGAACTCCAAATTTCAATTAACTATTAGCCAAATAAGAAATTTCATTCATTAAGGTAAATTTCATTAACATTTTAAAAGTTCATTGTTAAACCTGCCTATGATTTAACAGCGTAAGTCTTATAAACAGGTTTAGAAGTGCCATTAAAGAATTTAGAAGACAATCTTAAAGAATGGGAAAATTAGAAATGATAGAATTGTATCAGTTGTTGTAGTAACGATAATATTTTGTATCCCTATAATAATATTAATTTATATTTAAATGCAAGGTGTAACTACTTAAAATGGTTCAGATGAAGAGACGGAATTTATTTTTGACTCCAACACTATCCAACTCAAGGAATCAAGAAATAAAATTTCTAAAGCAAATGTAAACCATTGATTATAAACTATTCTGTAGGAAGAGATTAAGTAATTAAATGAGTAAAATAAAGAATTGATCATGTAATTGAATCGTTAAAATGAGCTCCTTGAATTAAAACACAAATAAAACTAATAGTTGTAAGCTGAAGGTAAGTATGATTGTTTAAATGATTAGCAAATAAATTTAAAGAATAAATGGATGATAGAGAACTTAAATTATTATAGTCAATGAAAGAAAAACAACTATTGTAAAACGAGCTAATTGCCATGCATGAAATTTTGGATCAAACAACCCAAAGAAATGATTAAATCAATTCTGAAGTCTTTGCACTAAAATTAACTTTGGAGCAAATCCAATGTAAATGCCATTTGTAATCTAGAATCTGCAACCATGTGTAAAGAAGAAACGACCTAAGGATTGTAAAGAGAATTAAAATTAAAAGAAACTATCGATTAACAAAACAGGAATTTAAAGTAGTAAGAGGAATAACTTAGAAAAATTACTAATGATTGCAATAAGAAAGATATTTAGTTCAAATTTGAAATGCAAAACAAAGAAAGTGTTCTTTAGGAATTGAGGAATTAATTATAATAGCAATAATAATAGAATAATGAGATTATTAATGAATTAATAGAATAAAAGAATTAAAACATTTAAAATTCTGTTTATGGCAAAGATTATAAACCTGAATTGACTAATATCACCAAAGAAAATGAAGAACTAAAAAATAAATTCAAGGGGTTGACTTTTTAATTGAATATTTACAAAGAAAAGGAATAATCATAAATAAAAGAAATCACTACTCTAAGATAAACGCAATCTAACTTATCAACTGAAATAGAAAGATTATTAAATAAGATAAACGAATAAAAATTACAATTACTGAATCTTTAATTAGAAAGTTAGAATGTTTTATAAGAAAAGGATAAGAACATTAATTAATTGATGAATTAATTGTCACTTTTAAAAAATTAGGATCAAAAGATAAATTTACATAAGAGTATCTTTCATAATGGAGATGAGAAATTATTGAAAGATATCCAGCTTAAAAATGATTAAATAGCCATGTTATAAAATGAAAATAACTAATTAGTGAAATTAATCGAGTCTTTAAAGAATCAATAAAGTAATTGTTTTATGTAATAAATTTTAGTTGACAATCAAGGAACTGAAAAAATAAAGATCAAATAATTAGAATCAGAACTTAAGAATTTGCAATCTTTCATTTATGATAGTCCTCTTGTAGTGTTGTTTAACTTATTAGAAGATCGATTATCAAAATAATAGCAAAAAAGCTTTGAAAATAAAAATAAAATAAAAGAATTTTGGGCAACACAATTAAAGTAATGGACAGAGGGATTTGAAGAATTAAAATAAGCATTTTCTGGTTTAAAGATCGTTTTCAAGTACGATCTAAAATATGCTAATCAAACATCGCAATAATGATTGATATAATATTTTATATAAATCAATATGAAATAGAGAATGATATTTCTACATGCAGTTGTTACAGAGTTCCTATATTAGTATTGACCATTATTACATCTTTCGTTTTACTTATTGTAATTAAGACTTAATCCAAGATGAAATAATTATATTAGTAAGTAATTATGCCAATATCTATGAGTTTACATTAGAAGATATATCATCCACTTAGGCGAAAATAATTATTTAATTGAATTTCGCTTTGTTCTAATGCAAATTTGGCATGATGTAATGTTTTGAATTAAAACTATTGTTTTTAATGAAATTAGCGAGTGCACTTAGCCTTAAAGTTCTTTTTTTATTAAAATTACAGTCTAAAAAAGGAACTAAACTTGCTGTCTTCCATAATTTTTTTATCCTAAAATCAAAAATAAATTTAAAATCAAAACTTCTTAATTTTATAAGATAAAACACTTTTTCAATTTAAAAAATCATCTTTATTATGGCAATACTTTCTTTCTCCATAACTAAATGGGTTTTACAATTATATTAATGCCTAGAATTTATATAATTAAATTAATTTTATATGTTTCATAATAATTATTAATTATTATATAATGTAAAAATTTTCATTTTTTTAAAATAGAATTTATTAATTTCACTTAATTTTCATTTTTAAATGAAATCAATTCTAGGAATTAATTGATATTTGATTTTAATATTTTTCCTTTTAAAGCTCTTAATAGTTCAAGGATTATTTTAAATTAGTATTCTTAATATTCTTCTACTAACATTCTATCCCATAACTCTATTACTATTTGGATATCTAAATCTGATGTAAACAGAGTTATAAACCATCTAACAAAAATGAGGGATAAAATAATCCCTAATTCATTTACATGATCATAAATTTAGGGTTCTTTGTTCTTTATAAATTCATCAAAGCTATTCATTGTGGCCTTTAACCCTTTTTGGTTATCTGATTACAACAACAAATGTTATTATTTTTCAATTAATAGTTCAAAACAGAAATAACAATCTGCCTCTTTTTAAATAACTTAAACTATTGGGGCTAATAAATAGTTCATTCCTGACTAAATAAAATATGAAATAATTTATTACTATATATCCAATATTTGGATGTAATTTACAATAAATGTACAAAATTCGTTTCAATACATCTAAGTAAGTTGTGGAATATGCATCCTTTTAGTTAGATTTGAATGCATAATTATTTGTATAAAATAATTATTAAATATTAAAATTACACGGGTTTTTTAAAAATTCATATTTTGACAAAATCCGACTAATCATTTCTGAATAAATTACTTATTATCTATTTCTATCATACTGTAAAGTTGTTCATTCTGTTGATATTATTCAATATTCATATATTATGAAATTATTTTTAGCTTTTATTCTTCAACCTATTACTCAGTCTATGTCGAAACCTCCAAAGTATACTGGCTCAGTTATTGAAAAATAAGCAGCTCATTAGACTTTGTGATATCGATTACAAATTAGTTATATTTCTGTTCCATCACATCTAAGAATTAATTAATTCCATCAGATGGTAAGTAACCTAAAACTTTCATCCATTTAATAGCTCTCTCAGAATAATTATTCATTTATTAAATTAATTAATTTATAAAAGCACTTGGGTTAATTATTAAATGATAGGAAGAATCTTGAGTAATAGTTTTCAACTTTTCAATACGAATTCACTTATTTTTACTCAAATTCTGTGCTTCTGAAATATTGTAAGGTTTCAATACTGTTAGGAAAGTAAATATCATTCGACATTATAAAGAATCCTGCTTTAATCTTTTATTACTAATAAATAGGAATTCTTATTTTAAAGTTAATATTCAATTAGTAAATAATAGATTAAATTTTATTTACAAATATGTTATTGCTTGTGACAAAAATATCATGCAAACTATGGGATAATTATTACATTGAGGAATACAATTTAGAACAATTATAACAAAGAAGTTAAATAATATTAATCAGTTGAGTATAAATTAGTTATTTCAAATGTCCTCAATTATTTCTCCAAATCTACACTTATATTCAGGTGAACAAGTTTCTATTTCAATTTATATCTAGGTCTCACCTGATAGTATCTCCACATTGGCTTCGATCTGCTTCTTCTGAAGGCTTTTGAAGGCAATCATTCCCAAATTTTTTTTGATCTTCGAAATCCAATTTTTATGTCTAATCATCAAAAGATGATTTTATTGTTTTCTTCTGAGATGATGCACAACCCATATTACTAATCTCTCATTATATTATATGTATGAAATTAAGATTTTGTTGTAATTAAATATCTTGGCTAAAATAGACAGACGTTATTTTAATTATGAATTATAAACTTATTTGATTATATAAATCATTGTAATAATTTGAGTTCTATGTCATTTCTAGACGTTCATCTAGCTGAAATATTAATAATATATACACAATTCTGATCCTTTAATTTCTATATACTTAGGATACCTACTTCACAATATCAACAAGGTCAGGTCTTTCTTTTGGATTTTATTTCAAACATTCTACAATAATTTCAATAAGTTTCTTGTCATATTCAAGTTTATTTTTAATCAATAAACCGTTAATGTATTCAGCATTAAATTTCTTTTCAATTTCCTCTGCATCTAAAAAGCAAAAAGAAAATAAAGGGGCTCCTTTATTTAATATTAATAAAGCGACTAATCCAAATGAATATATATCAGATTTCATCGTGATATCTTACATTCCCTCTGGAGCATGAAATTAGTATGAGCTACTTTATTGAGTACCACAATTATTCAAATTTTCCTCTTTAGCCTTCTCTTGGTCTCCTATGTAAAAGTGAGCATCAACTAAGTTTTCATTATCAATATAAATTGATTATGGTGAGATATTTCTATGCATGATACCTTCTTAGTGAAATGTCGAAATTCCTAGATGATATGATTAATAATTAACCTTTAATCAATTCATTAATGGCTCTACAGGCTACTTTTCTATATATAATGTTATCAATGTTTTGAGCCTTTTTTTGTTCTGCTGCCTCAGCCAAAGTCATAATAAATTTCTTTTGGAAAAAAAAAGTTTAATTATATAATCTCAAGTAAGAGAAGTTAATTAGAATATTGGAAGTATTAGACAACTTCTCTGTCACAAAAATTTCTCTATTTTAATATTCTAATTATTAATTTCTATTGGGTTTAGATAGGTCATAGCTTCTATATAAAAGACTCTTCGATTTAATACCAAAAACAGTTTCAAATACTTTTGGAGTGTTGAATTCCACTGTATATATATCTTCCATACCATATGAAGATGAAATTTGCAGAATTTTAAAAAATAGATTTAAACCAAAATGATTTTATTAATTTATTCTCAAACCTTTAACAAATGAAAGCAAATAGTTTATAATTTTCTCAAAATTATCCATGTTGATATCTAGAATTTATATCATCTATGGAAAGTATTTACGTACGAAACTTTTAAAAATATCAATGTTAGGAGTAGTCATTTTTAAGTGTGAATCTTCTAAATCAAATAATTATAGAAAAACACAGTCTTCAATTAAATATAATTGTGAAATGGATTACAGATTCCAAGTAATTTTTTTCTAGCTTAGTTCATTTAAGGCTAAGTTATGGATATATTAATTACTTATTGCCAACTAAAGAAGGATAAATTCGATATTTTATTTATTCAATTAATTTTCTGACAAACGATATTATCTCCAATCCTTCATTATAATTAGAATTTAATTCTATTGGATTATTATCTCATGTGGTTATAGAATGTTAAACAATTTTAGATTAAGCATAGACTTGGCATGTTATTCGTCCTTGAAAAATTGAAAATTTGTTTCTCTCTTCAAATAATGCTCAATCTCTGAACTATTTCTTTTCTAGATTTCGTGTATTTTTATTGAAGAATTTCCTTCATGTAATTCTTAAAGCTCATTGTAATAAAACTTATACTCTTCAATATTCATTATTGTTTAATAGAGTATTTTTATATTAAAATAAATATTAAAATTGAATAATTATCATCCTACATTTCTAATAATTTAGTTCTGAAATTTTATTGAGATTTTGTCCCTGGTGTTCTTGTAATTGAAGTAAAAGTTGTGGCGTAGGTTCTGGCAAACTGATTATCATCTTCATTTTCTTCTGGAATTTCTATGCCCTAATTATTTATTTCTCTCTTCTTCTCTCTATATTCTTTGTTCATGCTATCTAATTATGATTTTAGTTCCTATTTCTTCTCTCTCAATTCCTTGCATTACTTTATGAGGTGTTTGTTTTAATCTTAAATGGTGTCATATGCTACTTCTCTTTGGCTAAGTTGATATTTCGCTGAAGCCTCAACTTCAGAGAGACTTTATTGTAAATAATACTTCTGACTTGATAATGCTTTATAAATAGCATTTTGTTAGCTTTGATCAATCTGTTATTATAGAGGATCCTTTTACATATCCTTCAATGTTTCTTAAAACACAGGATTTTTAATAGCGATTGCCTTACTATTATCTTTCTGCACCATATGATACAATTCCTCTAGTTTCTCTGGCCAATCTCCAGTGTCACTATTAATTAATGTTTGTATAGAAGACTTAAAGTTGTCCATATTTCTTTTGGATAAAGATAAAACAGTTAAGCCGACTTTAGTTGGTTTTTAAGTATATTGAGATCTGTAATTAATTTTCTTTCTTCTTCAATTCTAGATTGCTTTAATCCTGATTCTTCTAGCAATTCATTATAAAGATTCTTAACGTGTTTCTGAATGAATTATTATCAATAATTACTTCCATAGTTTTCAGATGATCCATCAAATTCTCTCTTTCATCCTTTAGAGTGTTAACTCTATAATCGTATACTTTTTAGAAATTTTGCAGATGAACATTTTTCATTCTAAAATCTTTAATTTACTATTCCCTTTAATTTATAAGTTTCTCTTTCTCTCTCAAATCTGCCAACATCATTTTTATGTTTTTCTTCATACCCTTTCAATTCTTAGCGCAAACTCTACAAAGATTCCTCGGTTTCTAGTTTATTGCATGAAATAATTACCTTTTTTTAAATTATGCAAGATTTCTTGTCTATTTTAATATCTCACAATTTCTTTTTTAAATCGAGAGATGCTAGATCTCAATATTTCTGTTTGAGTGTTAAATTCTTCTAATTTTGCCTTAAGGACTGCTATGATTCTTTGTAAAAAGTTTCATAATCTTTCTCGCTTTACTGCAAAACTTCTTTAAATTTTCTTTAATCTAATTTCTTATTGGACATAGCTTAACTGAACCTGTTGAATAAATCTTAATATTTTTAGCAGTATTCGTCATCAACTTAGGAAATTGATTACTAATATTCTTAATTCACTGATCGTCGTTCCTCATCTTACTGTTTGATGAAATTTTGTAATTTTTCATTCAATTTGTCCCTTATATCATAGATCTACAATAGTTTCTTTGAATTTTATTCATTCATTTCATCTATGGTTTTCTTAGAAGTTGATATTAAATTCTTTTTATCTTCTTTAATCTTGTTGTTTTTGGCATCTGATTATTAAATTGTTTGAGATAATTAATCCTAAACTTTTTGAATTTCCTTAGTATGCTCATCGCGTATTTTCTGAAGTTTGTAGTCATTATTATTCAATTATACTTCCTTAGCGTCATCAATGTCACTCTTAAAATTTTACAATCTATATTCTAATTCTTTCAGCTGCTCTTACCTTACTTCCTAAGCAGTAGTTGAGCATAAACATAAACTATTAAGCGCAAAAGTATCACCTCTAGTTATCAGATCCAATTATGTAATCTAATATTATTAAAAATATTGGTTACTTCTTCTCCATTTATGAACTACTTTATTTTACTAAAGAAAATACTACCATCTATTGATGAACTTATTAAATAACTATTATCCGGAGACACTTTAATGGCTGTCACTGCAAATTAATGAACAGAAATTTCAATTGGTTCCATCATTTAGGGTTGAAGTGGTAAAATGGATAGGAGTATACTCTAATAGATCCTTATGTAGTTCCAAAAAAGATTGCATTTTACCTATGACTAATGCATATGGCACTAAATTAAGTAGGAAATGTATCCACTTCTAGGACAATGTTCTGTCCCTTTTCATGATAAACTTTTAATTTCTAATCTGAAACTCCAACAACAAGATCATATTCAAAGTCATAACATAAGCTTTGATATTTGTTCTACTTTTGAGCATGTTCTAAGATTCTTTCTCCTGAAAGCAAATTCCAAACATATAAAATTCCAAATTGACATTAGGAAATTAAGAGATTATCCTTAGATATATTTAATGAATTTTAATACTCTATCTATAAATAGTAAATCCTTAAGATTTGTTTGATGATTAAGTAATACATTTATCATTTTATATGTTAGAGGATTATATAATTGAATTTGATTACCATTAGCTGCAGCCAAGATATGTCCTCCTTTGCTATATGTGAGAGCATTACAAACTTTTGTAGTTTCATTGTGGACTAATTTAAGATCATCATCTAGTATAAAATAGAATCGAAGACTAGGGAATAAATATAATATCTCATTACCCATCCTTAAATACGATTTCATATTAATAGCTTAATGGATGTATAGCCACCGATAATGGTGTTTCATGAAATTAATGAGAGAACATTTCTTTAAAATCATTTGAATAATCCCAAAATTTTATATTCTTATCATCACACACTGATGCTAATATAGATCTCATAGGAGTTGTGGCAATATTGAAAATTGTACCTTTATGAACACCCTTCTCGAATAATGGTTCAAATGGTTCTTTTTGAACTGATTTCAAAGCCTCAACTTTGGCTAAATTAATGTAAACAATTCTAATTTTCCCTGATAAAATTCCAAGATTTACTCACATGAAACAATATTATTTAACACTTATTATGATCCTAAGGCTACTTGATATGCAGAACGATTAAAGTAAATCACTGTTAATGCCCCATAAATCTCATATGTAGCCAAGTGAATTTAATGAATTCCATAAATATGTTCATCCTTTATAAAGTAAGTACCGACTAAATTTAAGATATATTGTTCTTGTTCTGAATTATCCTATTCAACTTCATAAACCTAGAACGCAGGTTTTCCTATTAAACCAATTATGAATCCTTTATTGGTCTTTGCTATAGTAGAGATTCGAACACTCACTAATTTTTCTTATTCAGTAGCCTTATTTTTATCCTTATTTATTTATTCTACTAAAAAATTAATTAATTTTTTACTTTTCTCATCCCTTTATTTTTTTAATTTTAATAGGAACATAGATTAACTCTTAGAAAGTATATTGTATAAATTATTCGATGATGATGATTACAGAATAGATGATTTGATTCTTTTTATTGAGTTTACAGTTCGAATTTTCCTACTTTCTTATCTCCTTTAATCATAATGAGATTGTTTTTGCTAGTTGCCACAATTGCGTATTTCTTTTCAGAATTATAACAAACTTCTACTATGTTTTCATCTTATTATAACTCTAAGACACTTATCAAATTATTCTATATTTCTAAGCCACTGATGTCAGTTTGATATTTGTACTATGTAAGAAATTATGGCCCAATCAGAAAAAATTCAAAATCGCTAATGGATTCTAACATATTTATTTTTTATTTGATGAGGGTATAAGAAAGAGAAACTTATTTACTAACGGCAAATAAACTCATTCCATAACCATCCTCCTAAGTTGACAATGAGATGAGATGCTATTTATTATTCTATTTGGTATCATAAAGTAAATAATTTATTATTGATTATTCGAAATTTTAGAATGGAAAAATGATTTCCTTGATTGTTATAATGCCTTTCCATCATTAATGAATAGAATTTCATGAATATTACTATTAGGTAATAAATGAGAGTGAACACATTAGTAGAAACGCTTCTTTTTTCTATTGTAAACCTTGACAGTAGGAAGTATCTTGCTTGTTGATTTGAAAGCTACACATGAAAACTCAATACTTAGACTACTTCATCTTCAGCACTCTTCATTATGTATGTCTATCTCTTTCTAATAATGTCATAGAGCACTATATGTTTGCCGCTTATAAACATGAGAGTGTCATCATTCACAAACTTACAGTTCTTTCTTATTGGATTTTACAAGCATCCAAATGAAGCTTCTAATGTTATTGATACACCATTTATAATCTAATGTGATGATTTTGACAACATTTACTGTTTTATTACTTTTTTCCATTTAGAAACCACTAATCTTCCATATCAATTTTAGGTTAGTTAAATATATAATTATAAATTCAATAACAATTCGTATTTCACTTCTTTAAGGCATTTTGTATTAGATCCCTCATAAAATTTGGAAATGCTTAGAGTTAGAAACATATATAATATATATATATTATAAAATAACTCAAACTTCAAAAATACTATTAAAAATATTTTTTAGAAGAATTCTTTAATCTTTCTCCATTCCTAATCTTGAACCAATGGATTATTCTAAGAACTCAATTTCTTTTTAATCAAATAAAATTTGAAAGAGAGAATCTATTTTATTTGGCATTTAGCTAATTTTTTTGAAAGAGAAATAAATCCTGAGTTATGAAAAAATCCATTTCAAGAACTCCTCGTCTTAAACACTAGAGATATAATAATTTTTTTCAAAATCAATCTTTACTATTGATTATTACTTCAACTTTTTATCAGTTAATGTCATTTGATTGAATAATGCTTCTAAATCTGTCATTTCTTTTATATTTTATTGATCTTCTTTTGATTTCTGCCTTTTCTTTTCTCTTTTGATCTTAGTCTTTTGTGTGTCCTCATTTTAATTTAATTGATCAATTACCCAACTTTCAAATAATGTTTAGTTCATAACACAAATTAAAATTAATAATTTATTGAAAATAAGATAAGTATAATTATCTTAACTTGTTAGTCAAAAATTTGTTATGTTTTAAATCTAATAAATTATTGTTATATATTTGATTGTATATTGGTCATTTGAATTTTTAAGATAATTAAGTTTACAAAAGACTAGATATTTTGGCTTAAAATGAAACCTAAGTTGTATAGGACATTTTTAACTTTGTAGAGATCTTAACATTTGTTAAACAATTCTTTCAGATGAACCAGAATATAGCAGCCATCTTGATTAGGAACTAGTGTAAAAGAAGTAGTGTACTTAATTTGTATTCAAGAGTAGTGAGATCCAAGCTCTCATGCTCTAAATTTTTCAATGACTAATAATAATAATACAATAACATTTAATGAGAAGTTGTAAAGCTTAGTCCTAACTTTATCCAAAATGTTTTGTTTAGGACTTGATATTCAACAATAATATTTTGGTTCTGAATGATTATTCCGAACATCAATTTTTGCTAGTTTATGCACAACTTATATCGATGAATAATGAAATCAAATGTAATAAAATAATAAATTGCTGTGAGATAAGTGTTATTGTAATTAAATTCATAATAATTGATTTAGCTAAGAATACTTACAGCATAATTTTTAAATACTATTCTAATATTAATTTTTTATCTTTTATTTTTCGTATTAATTCTATTCTAATCTATAATTATAAGTATTGTGAACATTTCATTTCAGGTTACTCTTGAATAGAAACAAATTGCTTATTATTTAATAATCTACTTGAAATTTATGAACTATATTTATTTTTACTCTGGGAATCTTCAGAATATTATTTATCCACCTTTAAAGAAGTATGATTCTAAGCAGTAAGTTGTTCTATTTTAAGCTTGATTAAATAAATTTCTTTTCAGATTTGCCTTGCCTTGCAAAAAATTACTACTCTAGCCCTTTATTGGAAGCATTAACAAATTCTTTAATTATTGTTGATTAAATCCTTCTAAACCTATGAATAAGCCTTCACTTTCCTTTTAAATGTTTGAAATGCTGAGACAGGGATTAGTTTAAGCAGAAAACTTAGAATTTTAATATTATGATCATCTGTTAATTAATAGATAATTTGATTTGTATTATTGAATTTATTTCTTTTCCAAAATTTATTATAACCTTTTTATAATAAATTTAAGCAAGCAACTTTTTAGATGAAATGGAAAAATATATTTAGCCTCCTTCAATTTCTAAACTTAATGAATAAGGCCAAGTTGGAAAAGCGAATTTAACATCATTTAATCTTTCTTATCGAAATCTGACTTGCAAGTAAGAGTTAAAAGCTTTATTTTAACTACTATAATTGAAAAATCCATTTGGCTTTAACAAGAGGCATCAGGCATCAGCATCGAAAAGTAGTTTTGCTACTCGATTGAAATTGGTCAATCAACAATTAAAGCATGATGGTTAACACCATAGAATAGTAAAAACCTTAGAGTATGATCAATTCAGGAAATTTATTATAAATTTGTGTTTGCAGGAAAGAGTGCGTTTAAGGTAAACTTATATTATTAAATAATTATAAACAATGATGTAATTTAAAAATTTACCTATCTAAAAATTGATATTGTCACAACCTAAAATCCTAATTTAAAGTATTTACAAACTTATCTATTTGAAAATTAGGTTATAAAAACAATAATTAATACAGCAAAAGTGTTCTATAAAGTAATGATTTAGTTCCTATTGCAATAATGCGTATGAACTATCGGATAGTAAGTGGAGGTAAAATTTTTAATTCAAATATTGATAGGTGAATTTACTCCTACCAGGTTTCTTATATAAAATCAGATATTAGAATAGTGATAATTTAACTTGTACATAAACTTTGGATACTTTTGTCATATGATTTGATATCTGGGTTTCAATCTTACAAAAAAATCCAAGATCACAATCTTTTTTATATTTACTATTTGGAAACAGCAATAAGATCTGAGTAACTATCTAAGGACTCTTATCAACAATGTTGAAATGTTCGATACTTTGATGCTGATATGGCAAATATGATGCTAATTATGATGATGTCGTAATTTGCATACTAATCATGTTCATTGTGGATATATCTTTTCTAATAAAGGAGTCACAAAATTTGTAAACACTTGAACTCCTGCTTGTATCATGTATCCATCTGTGTACTTGTTAAACTTATGATAACTTTTATTGTTGTTTCGAGTATATTATACTAGTAATAAATCAGCTTCGTAGACAACATTTCAAATTAGTATTTAAATACTTCAACACTGAATTTTGATTTTGTCTCTGTTGTGATGATGGCTAATAGGAGCCTATTGCTTGGCTTTTTAGTCCATCTTTTTCCATATCTGCCATCAAAACTTGGTAGAATGTTTATTGAAAATCAGCAACGATTATTAAGTCTTTCTAATACTTCAGGGCATAATAAAACCCTTGTGAATCTAAGATTTACTGTGAGTATGATTCAGCATTTTAGTTTATCATAGCCATGTCCTTAATATATGTCTAGCTATTTCTTTTAGTCTACATCTTATAAATCCTCAAAAAGTGGAGTAGCTATGACACTAAAAACATCTGGAAATACAAGCAGGAACTATGTTCACCTAATTGGTTGTATGTTACCTGCCTTCCTACTATCCTTCAGAATTGAGCCCAAAAGCTTCTAAATGTACATTAAATCTTAGTAGTTAAATTCATAGAATAGCTTTCATCAACATTCTATCAACACTTTAGCAATTCTACAACCACTACTAATTATTTTTATTTACGGGATAAGCAAAAGAGTATACCAACTTAGAAGAAAATAACTTTGTCTTTGGTGTTGATATTGCAAATACTAATGCTATTGGTTCTTCTGATAGTGACTGAGTTCTTGAGGTAAAATTAATTCCTTTAGCTGCACTTGTTGCATCCTACTTTAACATAATGCTAACAGGCCTGAGTGTGTGGCAATTTTCCTTCCACTTTACTCAATTTAGATATTATTTTTTTGATAAAATTTGCTCCTCTATAAAATCTCAACCCATGTAAGTTGCTGCCTCTTAAATTATGTTATGTAATAAATCAATTCATTTATATCCTTATGTGAATAACATCTATGGTAGAGACTCATGTCTAAAATATAATGCGTATAACTTATTTACTACTTTAAATCCTTCGTTCTTGCTATAAAATCTTTTTTTCTTAATCTTTTGATGGTTATTTCAGACATGATATTAATTTTACTATCTGATCTCAACCTTGTTTCATGTAAACAAGTTCTACAATTACTAGTTGTTGTAATACAAGTTTATGTTTAATTTGTTAAAGCTATCTTGATGGATCCATTATTTCTGTAGACTTCTTACAAGAAGAATTATATTTCTTAGACCTAACAGAAAGTTTATAGTAGACAAGATTCAGGTTCCTAAAGTGTATTATGTTTAAGGACGACTTGTATAATTACTGTTTGAAATTGTTTTCATCAGAGTAGAATCTGATTATTAATACTCAGTTAACATACAGATCTAGGATGCCTGTTACATGGGAATCTCCTTCTTTTAATTGGGCTGACCCACTTGCATATTCTTGCCTTTCTTTCAGTAGTATTATCATAAGTTTAAGGCTAGAAAGTATAAGTAAAAAGGATGTATCAACTGAAAATACATTTAAAAGTCACATTTATATAATTAAGATATGAATATTTTGGAGTAAATAAATCATCAACTTGTGAATCAAACAGCTAATGAACAACCGATAAATTATAATCTTAAAAATGGCTTGATCAACCATCCAAAGATACTTTGTATCATTTGTTTAATATTATAATGCACAGATTCTTGATTTGCTTGGACAGCTTTTAACCCTAAGTATCTTGTACAATTCTTGTACATAATACGCAAGAATGGAGGATAGTAGTCAATATTAGCTTCCAGTGGTTTCTCTATCCTCTGACTTGTGCCGTTAACATGGAAAAATAATGTGCTTATTATTGATACAATGAGCCAAATACTAGCCTTTTTCGTATATTCTTCTACATTATGGCAATCCTATGCTTTTAAATGCTTCCTTTATAATAATACCGTTGTAGATTATTTATTATATCATTTGGAGATATTTGTGAATAGAAAAATTTTTAAATGTATTTAACAGCATAGTATCAATTTTAGATATATCAGATCTATTGCCACCTGGTTAAAAAAGAAGATATCTTTGACTTGTGCCTTATCTGTATTTCCTATATACGACACCAGAGCCTACTTCAGGCTTGCATGTAAATTTAAGGAATTTAATGAAGAGGCTTAGTCGATTCAATATTATGATTTTCATCACAAATTTGGGGCATC